CGCGACGCCGGCCCTCCCCCCGGCCGCCGCCAAAGGCAAGTACAACCTGGCGCACGCCATCAACGTTCAGACGGCGCAGACTACCTACTCCGCGCCGGCGGCGGCGCTCCTGCTGCTGCTGAACAACGTCGGCATCCAGTCCCACAAGATGCAGCCGCATGACTACCGCCTCTTCGCCAGTCGCTTCCAGCCGCACCTCCTCTCGCCGGAAGACCAGCGGCAGGCCAGCGCGCTCCAACTCGTGCACGCCGCCGCCGCCGCCGCCGGCCCCTCCACTTCCGCCGCCGCACAGGTCGGCACCACCTGTACGTGACGAGCCGTCCGATGACGACGCCTCTCCTGACGGCTCCCGGGTCCAGCCCGACCCCACCGCCGGGGCTTCCCACGCCGCCTACCGGGCCGTCACGCGCCTGTACGACTACGAGCACCGTGGTGGAGACGGCGCCTTCCGTCACTACTCCCCCGTCCTGATGGCCATGCTCTTCTACAAGGTACCCCCATTTCCGTCGCCACCTGCTGTACCGCCGTTCGTACCTCGTACTTGCTCCCCTGCGCATCCGCCCTCAACATCGCGCTTCCCACCCGGCTTCTGATACATGACCTCTGCTCCATGCCGTGTCCCTCCTCCCTCCTGCTTGCAGCGCCAGGCCGGAGGCGGCGCCGCCAACCAGACCGCACCTCATCTTCGCCTGGCGCCGTCGCACATGCAGCACGCCACCCACGTCTGGAGCCGTCGGGAGCGGCTCTTTATTCCGCAGCCCCTCTCCGACCCACCCCCGAGGCCCCCAGATGACTGCGCCGACCCCATCATGCGCGACCGGTACGCCGCCTTCGCCCTGGGGAACTTCGCCGCCTACAGCGCCGCCGAGCCGCTCGACCTCAGCCGCGGCCTCTGGCCCGCGTACCAGCAGTACTTCTCCGGCGACGCCCTGCACATCCGCATCGCCCGCCGCTTGCTTGACAACGCTGACATGCTCGCCCGCGTCCGCATGCGCACCGAGGAGCGTCAGCTGCTGCAGGCCGACATCCAGACCAGCGTAGAGGAACAGGCCGAGGCCGCGGTCATGGAGGGCGTCCTGCCCCTGGATGACACCCTCACCGGCACCCCCGACGACGCCACTGACGTGCCATACGACCGCCCTCATGACAGGTGCGCCCGCCCCAATCCTGCACTCCCCCAGCGCTCCCGCTGCCTCGCCGCTCCCTGTGCTGCCTGCCTTTCACACCTTCCTTCTTACCCCTCCTCCCCCCCGTCCCTACGCACTTTCTGCCCGCCACAAGGCCTCCCACCGAGGCGTGGAGCAACCAGGCGGCCGACGCCAGCATCCGCGCCCGCCTCAACGCCCGCGTCCTGGCAACGCACCCCACGCCACACCGCGGCAGCCCCAGCGAGGAGGCTTACGTCCAACTCGCCGTCGCCGCCCTTCCAGTCCCCTCCCACACGCGCTTCACCCACGAAGCCCGCAACTTCCGCCCCGCCGCCGAGTCCATCGCTCCCGCCGCTGTGTTCTCCCCGCAACGCCTGCAAGCCCTGGAGGACCAGTACGACAGCTTCTACCCGCTCCCGGCCCCCCATGCTCTCGAACCTCCCACGCCTGACCTGGTCCTCCGCCTCCTTGACGCCGCCACCGCCCATGCCAAGCTCGTCGTCCTCCACCCCGACGGCACCCCCACCGGCGCCTCCTTCCCGGACCCTGCAACACCTGGCGCCGTCCCCCCCTTCATCCGCCTCCCGCCCGACCAGCGGCCGTCCGTGGAGGATACCATCCGCATCTTCACCCTCACCGACGACCAGGCGCAGCCCTTTCGTCTGTACGCCCACCTGTTCCTGGCGGAGAAGGAGGGCCGCCGCGTCCAGCCGCCTATCAATGCCGTCCTCACCGGCAAGCCTGGCACTGGCAAGAGCCAGGTCGTCCTCGCGCTCCTGTGGTTCGCCTTCCAACACGACTGCCACCACCAGATCGCCGTCGTCAGCTACACCTGGCGTGCCGCGCTACACGTAAGTGCTGTCCTCACCACCTCCCTTCAACCCTACCCGACCCTGCCACTTCCGTTCCGTCCACCACCTCCCCTTACCTTGCCTCCGCGCCGTACCTGTGTCTTCCCACATGCTTGCCGTTCCGTGCACTCCCCGCAGGTCAGCACCCCTGCGAACGCTGGTACCAGCACCACCACCTTCTTTGCCACCGCTGGCCGCTTCGTGGGCTCCGCCCTCCAGCGTGCGGCGCGCAACCTTGCTGGGGTGCGCTTCATCATCATGGACGAGTTCAGCACCTGCAGCCTCACGCACCTCGCCAAGATCGCCCTCCACGTCCACGTCGTGCGTGCGCAGTTGGACCCCACCTCGGAGTTCCAGCCCGGCGGCATCCTCGCTGACGTGCACGGCCTCTTTGTCGGCGACCCCCGCCAGCTCGAGCAGCCGCAGCACCCGCCCATCTACAGCGGCGCTGCTAGGGAGCACCTTAAGATGCAGCACGCCATCAACCTGCAGCTCGCCGCTCGCCAAAACAACCTCCCCGCCATCTCCACCACCCTCGCTGCCGCCGCCCCTACTGTTGAGGCCCAGCTGCGTGACCTCCGCAAGCCGTCCGGCCCAACCGAAGAGGTGGGCCGCCAGCTCTGGCGCAGCATCCCGTACGCCTTCGTGCTCACCACCCAGCACCGCGGCCTCACCACCACACCGGGCCGCCAACTGTACGACGCCGCCGAGACCTTCGCCGGAACCCAGGCCCACAGCCGCGCTGATGTGGAGCGCCTCGCTGACCTGTATAACGCCCACGTCGCCGCCGACATCACCAACCTGCCACCCCCCCACGTCGTCGTCCTCCGTCACTCTGTCCGCATACCGCTCCTGCACCGCCTTCTTCCCCACCACGCCCTCCACCACCGCCAGCAGCTCCTGCTCTGGCGCAGCGTTGACCTCGGCCCCGACGGCAAACCACTGCCCCCGCCCTACATCGAGGAGCTCGAACTGCTGGGCGGGCCTGGCAATGATGGTGACCTCCCCGCAATGTGCGCCTTCTTCCCCGGCATCCGCTACACCTTCACCACCAACGCCCATCCCAGCGTCCACCACGTCCACAACAACACCGCCACCGGCACCCGCATCGTCCTGCACCCCAACGAGCCCCCCGTGCCCAGCCCTGCCACCGCTCCCATTCACGTCTTCACTTACGTCCCACGCGCCCTCATCGTTCGGCCGGATGGCGGCGACCTGCCCCCCCTTGCTGCCGCCCCCGACCTGGACGCCAACGAGATCATTGTCACCCCCAAGTTCCGCACCTTCACGCCCAAATCCGCCAGCGCGCCCCAGGCCGTGCACCGTTTCGGCTTCCCAGTCGACCTCAACTACGCTGAGACCGACTACTTCGCTGAGGGCCAGACGTTCCGGGGCCAAACGTGGCTTGCGCACCTCTGCCGTCCCCCGACAGGCCACTGGCAGCGCGCTTCCATGTACGTCATCCCCACCCGCTTCTCCTCTATCGACGACCTCCGCCTCCTCTGCCCCATGTGGCCTCCCAATGATGACGCCGAACGTGAGCGTGTGCTCAAGCGCCTCACCGACCTCGCCCAGCCTGTTCCGGACCTACAGGCCGAATGGGAGCGCCTACTCCAGCTGGACCAACTCACCCGGCAGGTCCTGCCTGACTTGCTGCGACGCCTCGCCCCCCTCCCACCACCCACCGCCCCAACACCGGCAACCGGCACCACTGTGCCATGACGACCATCCCTTACAGCACTACACCGCCTGCCATCCAACACCACCGCAGGCAAGTCCCCCACGCAACACCCGTGCCGTTACTACCCAACCCTACGACCTCCTGCCACACCCCTCCTCCCCTTTCTCCATCCCTAACCTCCCCATTCCGCACCTCCACCCTCTTCCATGCAGACGCCGCCCTCTCTACTTTGGTCCTCCACGTCACGGAGGCACACTTCAAGACTTCCACCTCGTTCTCGTTAGGGGCTGGCCTGTGCTGGCCATCCTGGATGTAACCAACATCTCCTCCTTTCCTATCTCCGACCCTGCCATCCAAACATACCACATGCCGGACACCATACATCAGCCCCATACCGCCTCACCCCGACCACCTAAAGGGTGTCAGCGCCCTTCGGGCCGAAGGCCCAGCTTGTGGTAGAGCGTTCCCCTTGTAAGGGAAAGGTCCTGAGTTCAATCCTCAGTGGGGGCACTCCTTTTGCCTCCTCTTGTCCTTTGGAGGGGTGCATTCAGTTACACGCTGAGCCTACTACAAAAGTGCAAGGTCAGAGCCACCATGGCCCATGTTCATTTGAACCCAACGTGGCTGACCTTCATGTCATGTGGCTGGTGGGTGGCATCACACAATGGCTGCAGTGGTACGATGCTGGGGGTAAGACGGCCGCCCGCTGAGGTGGCTTAAGTGCAATTGGGCGAGGGAGTTTGAATGCGAGGGGTGCCTTGCGGGGGAGCACGAGTGGGAGGGGTGCAGGGGAAGGCGGTGTGTGTGTTCCAGGGGTGCTGAGTAATGAAATTGAGACAGCTGCTGACGCGCCTGCTGATTGGTATGCCTGCTGACACGCCTGCTGTCGTTGCTGCACTATGCTTCTTCTGGCTGCTGACACGGCTACTGACCAGGCTGCTGACACGGCTACTGACCAGGCTGCTGACACAGCTGCTGACACGGCTTTGACCTGGCTGCTGACGTAGCTGCTGGCGTGGCTGCTGTCACGGCTGCTGGCATGGTAAACTTGATTCACTGGCTGCTGACGGAAATGCGCAGTGCTGACACGGATTAGCGACGCTAACATAGCTACTGACTTGGCTGCTGACACGGCTGAGACCGTACGCGCGATCTCCACCTGACTGTATTACTGGCTGGGGCATCAATGGCCTGGCATTTGATGTGGCACGTGTACCGGTACCACACATCCCTGGGCGGAATGGCAATTCTTGCACGTCCAGTGTTGGGCCCAGGGCAGGGCCGGGAACCGATTTCCCGCCTTCCCCCTTCAGAGGTAACCTCTCGTTTAATGTGCCTGGCTGGGGGGAACAGCCCTAGGTATGGGGCATGTAGCAAAGGTGCACCCTACAGTGCTGGGCGTTGTCTGGGATGGGTGTGGCCCATTTGATGCCACTTACGTGCACATGGCAGCGACCATCTGGGCTGGGTGCTGCCAACAGCTTGGTGGTTAGATGGTGCCATGCATTACGCTTTGGATGGCTACAAGTGTGCACTCGTCCACTGACGGTGCACCTTGATACACATTAATGCTCAATGGATGCTCATGGGTAGTTACCGAAAAAGCGTGGAAGGAGTCATACATGGCAATCCTAGTTTGCAAATCTTCACATGCAGACGCTAACATCTACAACCATAAGAACCCCCCTGCATATCTTCTTCATGGATCCTACTAGACCCATCTTGCTAATAACAATGCATGTAGGGGCTGCAAACCCAGACCTGTGATTCTAATGCAGTGGACACTTAGGTATGCCACCTACCATATGCTGCTATACTACTTTGCAGCTTGCACAGCCCACTCTCCCTCGCTCAGCACCCCACCATCAGGCCCAACAACCCGTGCCGTGATAATGTCGCCAGCCCGCATTGCTGACACCCCTGGTGGCGTGCCTGTGAGCAGCACGTCACCGGGGGCAACCGGGAAGTGCTGCCTCACATACTCCAGCTGTGTTGCCACGTTGAAGATCATGTCAGACGTGTTCCCCGTCTGCCGCCGTACACCATTGACGTCTAGCGTCAGCTTCAACGTTGACAAGTCCACACCTGCGTTTCATGTATAAGCATATTGTGATCACCCTCATCAGCAAGAGGTGCATGGGACACAGCACACGCTGACAACGCCAGGGCTAGTCAGCCGGGCACGTGCATGAACCCTGTAGGTTAGGGTACCCTCGTTTCCTAAAGCGCAATCCCTACAGTGTACGTAAGCGTGAACAAAGCTGGCAGGATGCATGTATTAGCCCGAAGCCGTGCCCGCCAAGCCCTCCTGCACATGCACCTACCCGTCAGCGGGAAGGGACTGCCTAGGGGTGTGGAACCCTTGAAGCTCTTGGCAAGGGTCCATGGCCACTGCTGCTTTTTGAGGTCAGCCTACGGGGGTCAAGGAAGGCATCCAGCAGGGTATAAAGGATGCATGAGACAAACCATATATGCGATGTAAATTTGTCATGGACGGCAGAGTGATGGGCCACACAGGCACACAGGCACGTCAGGCCCCTCGGTGTGAGGGGCCACGCCTTCCACACCAACCCAATCCGAGCCGACCCCGACCCGCGGGTCCAAAGGGGTGCTTTTCTTCTTACCTGCACGTCCCGAGCGGTCAGGTCCAACGCCACCGCTGCACGCACGGGGTTCAGGTCGGGCCCTAGCTCCACCGCCAACTCCACCTGAGAACAGAAGTGCAGGTAAGGGCAGCAGCAGCTTCGCTTTTTGTAAATCCCCAGACACATAAAAAGCAGGAGAAACAGCAGAGCCTTGCTGAATGCTCCGAAAGCACCGCTAGTTGAACTTCTAGGAGGATAGTCTCACACCTACATGGAACCCAGGGCATCACTAACCAGCTCCAACACTGTAGGGCCCGACATAATGTTCAAGAGCAGCATGCCCCGTTATCGCTTCTGTTGTCTGTTCCACTAGCGCACCAAAGCATTGCAAAGCAGGGTCACGCAGCGCACCTCGTGGTGGACGTCCTGGGACCATTCAGGCAACACAAGCTCCCCGGGCGGCACGACGGTGGTTCCAGCCTTTAGGAAAATCATAGGAACCGTCGGTACCTCGTTGCCCAGCTCACGTGCGTGTTCCGCATAGTTGCGGCCAATGCACCACACGTTGCGGGGAGCCAACGGGGCCGACGTTGGTTCACCGGACATGGCGGACGACGTTGACGAACTGGCGAACCGGCAATGCGGCTTTGAGGCTAATGCTGTGCCTGCAGCGGGCGGGCACGTGCCGGAATGGGCAATCAATGGAAGGGTTCTGGTGGTCATGTGGAATGGCCATGCGGGTGAAGTCGAAAACGCTCAATTGCAGCGCAAAACACCTAAGCAAAGATAGTAGATACAGCTGCTCATGTGTTAAAGGAAACATCTTTCAAGGACAACAATCCATTTTTCGCAAGGTGTGGGAGATTGCTTGCCTTGGGAACCCAGCCGCCAGGTCCTAAGCAGACCCCCCAACGGTGCGCGCAAATTCATCAATGCAAAGACGTTCTATAGCCAAAGGATTCGGTGCTTACTACCGGTACTTGAAAGTTGGAACTGTCGGCCTTGCTAACTGTCACTATGCCAACAGTACCAGTACAAGTAGGACAAAACGACTAGTTAACTGCGACAGTTTTATCAATAGAACGTAGCGTCTTCTGCCACAGCGCTTCTGGTACTCTTGCCGTCTGTCGTAACACACATCAACAGCAAGAGGTGTGCAGGAGGATTTTCACAGCCCAACAGAGCCCACACTTGTAAACAGTAACAAAAGATGGTACAGCACCATAAGCAGACGCATTCGCGGCGATACCCTTGGGCAGTGCTTCTTACCGGGGTCCTACTCGGAGCCACCCTCACGCTGGTAGTGACGCAGCTCTTAGCCGCCCGGCGCATTGCCGGTTCACACCCGCTGCACTTGTTTGGAAGGTGGGGCTCGTAAGACCGGTGAGGGGTACAGCGCTCGCAGCAAGTGACGGTGCACGTCACGGGTACATGCAAGCCGTTGGATATTTCAACTTGGACGTCCTCGACGGGTGTTTGAAGGGGCTGTGCTGTGCCAAGCTAGCATTTGTATCTACAGGGCTGGTGGATCCCCTCCCTATGTTAAGCAGGGGTTCCTCTGCTTCCTAATTCCTTGGCTTGTTTGAGACCCGGACACTTAACAACCCAACACCTTACAGCTAGACACCAGCCATCGCCCACATCCCCTATTCCCCTCCCTCCTTCCAAGTATCACCCCACCGGCATGTCCGCGACCGTTGTTCAACAACCCCTCCCCATCAACAACAACCCCATTTTAGTTGTTCCTATATTAACTCATACACGGTACCCCGTGCCTTCTTCCGCTTCCACACACACACCAAGCAGGCGTGCGCTACATCGCGTGGTGCCTCACACCGAGTACCGAGCAGCCCTACCGGAGCTGCTAGACCACGTGGAACCGCACTTTGTAAGTTACAAAGGGAGTTGGGGTGGGGGCCGGTTCGGAGCTGGGGACAGCTGCTGCATGGGATAAGCGTGGGGTGGTGTGCTACGTATGCGTAGGGCTAGGCTGTGGCTGTGGCGGCAGGGCGGGGGGTGCTGGAGTCGCAGCGGGGTTGCTAGCTTGCTGTCCCGGAGGGTGTGGTTTCATGGTGCTAGCATCAGCAGGCCAGGCTGCCGATTGCAGCGCTGGTTGAGGCGGCTCAAGGAGGCCGCAGACTCCTCTGCTGCCTTCCCAAGTCTCAACTGGCCACCCATGCCCCAACTAGTTGTTGGTAGGGGTTTGGGTACAGGCAGGTATGAGCCGTCTGTTCTCCAACCCCAACCCTGCAGGTTGTCTTCACGAGCGGGCTGGACGAGTCGGGGCGGCCCTGGTGCCGGGACTGTGCGGCGGCCCTGCCTATCATCAGGTGGGTGGGCATGGGCGGCTGCCCTTTCTGGATCCCTTCAAGCGGGCTCCCGCCTGACTTGCTGCGTGGCTGTTCTGTTGACGCTCTCTTAGCAGCGCCCAATCGATCCTGGGATGCACGTGACTCCCCACCTAAGACATGGGCGCTTTGGCGTCTCGGCTGCGTAGCAAGATGCCGGTAACTGACCCATGGGTCATGCATCCGCGCTGCTTGATGCTGCGCAGGGAGGTGGTGCTGGGGTCGGGCGGCTCGCTGCTTGAGGTGTCAGTGGGGCGACGGGAGGAGTGGAGCAACCGGCAGCACCCCCTCAGGTGCGGGGACACGGTCGGGAGCACGGCGGGGGCGGGTGTGGGCGCACTTCCTGGGTGTGGCATGCACGATATAACAGCTATGCCAGAGGATCGCGAGTGCGCGGACGTACGCAACCCGAGTGCATCATACGTCCTCTCAGTCGCCTGGCGCCACACCGGGCCTCTCGGAGTAAACTCCCACTACCACGCCACCCAACCTGCCTGCCTGCCTGCCTCCCTGCTGGGGCCCCCTCTCCTGCTCCCCCCTTCCCTTCTCCCTCCCCGCAGGGTGGACCCCGGGTGCCCGGTCACCTTCGTGCCCACGCTCTACTCCTGGAGCGCTGCTGCGGGCTGCGGCTCCTGGCTGGCCAACCCGCTCAACAGCGACCAACCGCCCGAGGCGCTGCGGCTGCTGCTGGCGAGGTTCGTGCAGCAGACGGCGGCGGGCAAGCGGTGAGGGGGGTAAAAGACTGGGGCGGGGAGTCGGGATGGGGAGGAGGGCGGGATGGAGGGAAGGGAATGGTTGGAATAGTGCACATGCATGTGGTGGTGCGTGGCATGAGGGGACACTTGCTTGTGTGGAGGCTTGCAGTACCTTGCCGTGCAAACAGGCATGCCAGCAACCAGCTGCCTGCTCTCCCTCCAGTTGGTTGGTCTGTTTCTTCCTCCTCAACGCCCCTCCTTTCACGTCCCAGTTGCTTCACTTCTCAATTATGTTTCCCCTCCCTTCCTGCTGCCGCCACTTCCGCACCCATGCATGTTGTCAGCTACGTGGACAGAGTCACCCGGGAAATCATCGAGTCGGGCGGCAAGGGCTGCGGGGGCTGCTAGCAGGATACCAGGGATGCATCCCCGACGGGATGGGGGACTTGAAGGGGCATGCGGTTACAGTTACAGTCTGTACGCGTGTACAGGGTGTCCGTACGAGCCAGGGGGGCCAAGGACACTTAAATGCGTGGGCTCAAGGCATGCGCGAGTAAAGCGGGTGCAGTACGCAAGTTGAGTTATCGTGATCGTGTGTGTTTGCGTCTCCCGGTGATCCCATTAAGTGACTCAGGTTAAGCCAAACGAGCCAAGGACGTACGGGAACAGGGTTGCTTGCGTGCATGTATGCATGATATTGGGATGCTCAGGGCACGCATGGGCGCCTTTCATTAATAGCAACACGAGAGGAGAGAGTCGTCAAGGTATGCGTGTGTTTGTGTATTACTCCTGGATGTCAGGGCTTACCCGACAGAATGTCCTCACCGTGTAAGCATATGACGCAGTACGGATGTGTGCGGCGGAGGCTGCTCGAGTAAGACATCGTCTAACGATGGAGTATGGATTGCGTGCAATGTGGCATGTCGCTGCGCATGCCCAGGATGGATGTTTCTTCAAACCACCATGCATCTGCAAGGTGTGCGCTCAGTGGGCGCTGCATGCACAATAACACCATGCGTACTCATCACTCGGTTGCTCAGCGGCCCCCACTCGCATGTAGCTGCTCACAGGACCCAATGCAGCCGAGCACGGCAGCAGCACTCTGCCTCCTGCACCGTCATCCAACCCCGCTGGCATGCATGACTTCCCCCTCCGCACCCTTTCTCCGCACCCTCCACACCTTCCCGTCATCTCCTTCGTCCCTTACACCAAAGCCACCTGCCCCATTACCGCTTCCTACGCTTCCTGCCTCCTCCCCCTCCTCCTTTCGATCTCCCCTTCGCCTCCTTGCCGCCCCGCGCCACCCCTGCCCCCGCTGCCTCCCCTCCCCCTCTGGAGCCTTGTCACGCGCACGGCTAGTCCGTTCCTTCCTCTTTGCCTCCGCCCCCGCCCTCCGCCCCCTCCAATCGCTCCTCCAGCCACTCCAGCAGCTCCCCCAACCCGGGCCCTAGCGGCTCCTGGTGCTCATGCACCCGCAGCTGCACACACACCAGCACCAGCCGCTCACGCAAGCTGGGCAGCTCGGCGCCTGCGGAGGCTAGGTCCGCTCCACGCAGGGTGGGGGATTCGAACTCGGGCGCGGAGGCGGCAAAGGACATGCTGACCCGTGGGTCGGAGGCCTCCGAGTCAGCCGCGCCGCCCCAATGCAGCAACCTGCCGCTCCAAATGAGAGTCTCCCCGGGGGCGGCGGGCAGCGCTCGTACCGCCTGAAGGTCATGTACGGACAGGTCGGCTTGTACGGCAACATCAATCTCATCAGATGTGGTGGTGCGGTCCTTCTGAGAAAGTGCATGCCCAGCGTCTGCTCGCCGTGCAGACTCTTCGTTGCTTTCATCCATTGCTGGAACGGTAAATGTAGCGGCGGTGTCGTCGGCGTGGTTAGTGGCGGTGGGGAGTGGCGGCAGGGAGCTGCTGTCGTTCAGCGGGTCTAGGTCAGCTGGTAGGACGTAGATGCAGCCTTGCTCGGGTGTGGCGGCGCTGAGGGCAATCCAGAAGGTGATGTAGGCGGGAAGGCGGCCGGGGCCGGCGGACGGGAGGAAGGGCATGGAGGGGCGGTCGCGGTGGGGCGGCCAGCCGCGGGAGCCTGAACGCAGCGGGAGATGGCTCAGCTAGAGGAGGCGGTGCGAGGCGTCTGAAAAGCAGCTAGCGACATTGAGAGGTGGCTGGCAGAGCAGGCCTGTGCTGCACTACTACTACTAACCGCATCAGCCAAGCCGCAGCTAAGCCTTCCTATCCGGCGCCCAACCTCTCAACGAGTTTGTTTCCTCGTTAAGTCCCTTTCCCTTCCAACCATGAATCCATGATGTAACCCGTAGTGGAACATGTCGTAGGCGTGTGTGTTTTCCTTCTTACTCCCCACCCTCCCCCCTAGGGTGGAATGGACCGGCTACCATGTTTGCACCCCATGGTGAAGCCTTGTCATACAGCTCGTCAGTTGCTTCGTCAGTGTCTCATTATATTTTTTACCCTCCCCCCCTGCCGCCCCGCTCACCCGGCTCCACATGGAAGAACACAAAGTCCGGGTTCAGCTGCAGCCGCCCCGCCGACAGCCGCTCCAGAAACCTGCCGTACATCCGGGCCAGCAGCCAGGGCTCGTCGTACAGCAGCAGCCAGCCAAGGTGCCACCCCAGCCGACGTAGTGCCGTACATGCGCTTGCCAGCCGCTGACACAACCGGGCATGGGCTTGCGCTCCAGGGACGCCCCAGATGGTTTCGGAGGTAGGAAGCCGAGCGTAGCCGCGACGCAGGAGGCTGCGTCTGCAGCCCTCAGGTGCTGCTTCTGGGAGTGGGTGCGACGGCTCCGGGATGGGTGGGTAAGCTTTTGTCTGAAGCAGGGATAACCCGGTTGCAGTCGCAAGCTGGCGCCAGATGGAGGATGGCGAGGATGCATCGACTGGGTCTGCGGTAAGTAAGATCTGAAGGCTGGAGTCAAAGAAGGGTGGAGGGAGGGTCAATGGCTGCGGTTGATGTGGGGCCTGCAGTTGGTGAGGCGGGTTGCTTCTTTGGGTCTTGCCGCACGCGCGGTGGCGTTTTTGGCGTCGCGGGGGGTCGAGGTCATCCGGCATTGTAAGCGACATATACTGCGAAATGAAAGCAGAAAGCATGGTGTTCGCAAAAAAATGCCAAGATTGGAGCAGGATTCGGAGCAACTATGCCATGTGCTTGGCGGTGCTTCCGCTCCCACCTTTCGATGCTTTTTACTGCATCGAATACTAATTGGAGTAAAGGCATAACGATCTTAGCTTTGGGATTGGGGCTTGTGAAGACCTTCGTCGCGGGGCATTCCATTGACGCTGAGACGCGCCACTGTTTTCCCAATCATGCAAGCTTAGTATATTCAAGATGGTGTTACTAAGGCTGCTGGCTGTACTTCTAGTGGCTGGCGCAGCAGGGGTCAGGTGCGTCATCTGCGACGGTTTGTTTGCGGAGTGCTACTAGGGCTTGGTGTGGCGTCTTTCCGTTAGGCAAAATAAGTTGCAAAGGTGATTTTTTTATCACCTTTCGCTCATAATCGCTCAGAATTGTTTGCTTACGTGGTGTCCTTGTCCATGTGTCCCGCGGATGGATGGATGGCCCGTGCTAAGGGTGGAGTCCTAATCCATTCTGAACAGGATCCGTCTCCTAGTTCTGCAGCCATAACGCTGAAACGCTGCCTTGTGAGGTCACCTACCGTTGGCATCCTTGCTGCCAATGTGCTGCCACGTGTCCATGTCCACCTACACCCAAACCAATCGCCTCACAATCACTCCCTTGTAAGGCGGTTGGTTTGATTAGGTCATACCTGCCATTCATCACCACCTTCAATTCCCTTCTCCACATCCGCAGGTCCCAGGCTCCCGCCACGAACCCCTCTCCCTCGCCCCCTCCTTCCCCCACTCCCACCGACTGGCGCACCCGTGACCACTCCCCGGGCATGTGCGCCATGTACGGCACCTGCGGCCACCGCCGCGACGGCGACCCACTCGCATGCGCCGCCAACCTGCCCGCCGCACCCCCCTCCCCGGAGCTGGCGACCCGGCTGCAGGCGGTGTGCCCCAGCCTGTGGGCGGACCGGGGCGGACCCGCGGGTCGGTACTGCTGCACGGCGGATCAGGTGGACCGCATCGCCTCGGATGTGAGTGGGACTGGGGACGGGGGTGTTGGGTGTGGATAGGCGTTAGACGCTGTGGGGATGCTCTGATAGGAAAGAGGCGGTAGAGGAACAGGCACCCGGCTAACAACTACGGTATACCGGGACTTATCACCATGCTTTCCTGTCCCAACCAGCATCCCCTCCGCTGCCCTCCACCCCCCCCAAAAATTGACCCCCCCTCTCAGACCCAGAAGGCGCTCCCCTTCATCGTGGGCTGCCCCGCCTGCCGTCACAACTTCGTGCAGCTCTGGTGTCTGCTCACCTGCTCACCCGACCAGGCGGCCTTCACAAACGTCACTGCCATACAAACCGCTCCCGACTCCGGGGCGCCCAACGCGGTGGCGGAGGTGGAGCACTGGCTGGCGGAGGAGTACGGCAACCAGCTGTACGACTCGTGCAAGGTAGGGGGAAGAGCGGTGCCGTACAGGGGGATGGAGAGGAGAGTCGTAGGGGGGAGAGCGGTGCCGTACAGGGGGGCGGGCACGGGCGAGGGAGGGGTAGGGGGCGGGCAGGAAGGTAGTATCGTACCAAGGTGCTGCATGCATCCTCGCCGGACACCTGCCCTCCTCCCCTCGTGTTGCCACTATCATATAACGTATGCTATTCCTTCTCCTCCTTCCCCCCCACCCCACCCCCTCTTTCCCCCTCTCCCCGCCCCCTCCCCCCTCCCCAGGATGTCAAGTTCGGCGCCGCCAACGTTCCCGCCATGAGCTTCATCGGCGGGGGCGCCCGCAGCGGCCAGCAGTGGCTGGACTTCCTGGGCACGCTCAAGGACAGGCGGGTGCCGCCGCTGGGGGCACCCATACAGATCGACTTCAGGTGGGGGGTAAAATGATCAGGACCCTGACGAGGCAAATAACGAGCTGTGTGACAAGGCTTGAGGTGGGGGGGGCAGGGGGCAGGAGGTGGGGCAGGGCGTCACCTGTGCTCCCTCCGCTGCATGCCTCAACCCCCCTCGGGGGTCACATCCTCCTATCTCGCCTGTTCCCTACCTCCCACCACCACCACCACCCACACACCACCACCACCCACACACCACCGCCACCCCACCACCGCCCCCGCCCCTACCTACCAGGCCGGAGAACAGCACCCCCCCCGGCCTGAGCCCCATGCGGGAGCGGGTGGTGTCGTGCGGCGACAACGGCTTCCGCTGCTCCTGCGGGGACTGCCCGGGGGCGCAGGGCTGCGAGCAGGTGAGGGGGGGGGCGGGGGCGGGGGGGGGGGGTCGAAGACCATACCGTACCATAGGAGTTAGGAAACCACAGGTGATGCAGGTAGGAAGCAGGGTCTGTAGCCCTCTTCACAAGCCCTCCTAGAGTTACCAGCCGTGGGCCTAACAACCCTCTCGCAATGTTGCCCCTCCAGGGCCCCATGAACACCCAACCTCCCTACACCTGTCCTCGCTAACTCCCGCCCGCTATTCCTGCTCTCTGCACCCCACTCCTCTCCCCTCCCCAGCCCTCCCCCGGCCCCCCCAGCCCCCCTGCCGCCGCCTGTCACGTGGGCTCCCTGCCCTGCCTCTCCTTCGCCCTCATGTGGCTGTACGGCTTCCTAGCAGCTGCCGTACTGGCGGCCCTGGTGTGGAGGCGGGGGCCGTGGGGGGAGCAGCGGGGCGGGGGGCCGGAAGGGGAGGGTGCTGCGGCAGGCAAGGCGGCAGGCAGCGGAGGAGGGCACGGGTTGCTGGATCCGCTGCTGGAGGCCGCGGATGGTAGGGGCTGTGGGCTGTGGCGGCTGGGGGAGAGGGTGGGGGAGGGGGTGGATAGGAGGATGACATTCCGTACAGGGGGGTTAGCTAGATAGGGGCGAGGAGCTGGGAGGGAGGTCACACTAGGGCCTCACGCCCGGGGTGTTGCGCCCTGTGTTTGCCCGGCTGTGTGTGCAGGTGGCGGTGATGGGGCGGACGCGGGGGGCGGAGGAGGCGGAGGAGGTGGAGGCGGCCCCGGCGGCTGGTGTGCCCCCGGGGGTGCCACTGCTGCTGCTGTCCCCCGGGTGGAGCGGCTGCTGCAGCGGGGGTACTACCGACTGGTGAGGGGGGGAGAGGGGGGAATGGGGGGAAGGGAAGGGGCAGGAGGGAGCACAGGGCTGTGGGAGCGGATGCGTGTGTCCTGGTTGCTCCCGGTAGCCCCGCCTAGGACCTCCCCAGTACCTCCCGGCACTCCACCAGCGTCTTCCTCCTCCTCCCGCCTCCCTCCCTTTCCCATCCTCATTCCCTTCACCCCACCCCCCCCACCTCCCGCCACTCACTACCAGGGTTTGTTCGTGGGTCGCCGCCCCGTCACCGTGGTTGCTGCGGGGTGCTGTCTGGCGGGTCTGGCCTGCCTGGGGCTGCTGCGGCTGCGAGTGGAGACGGACCCGCAGCGGCTGTGGGTGGGGCCGGGCAGCCAGGCGGCGAGGGAGAAGGTGGGTGGGGCCGGGCAGCCAGGCGGCGAGGGAGAAGGTGGGTGGGGCCGGGCAGCCAGGCGGCGAGGGAGAAGGTGGGTGGGGCCGGGCAGCCAGGCGGCGAGGGAGAAGGTGGGTGGGGCCGGGCAGCCAGGCGGCGAGGGAGAAGGTGGGTGGGGCCGGGCAGCCAGGCGGCGAGGGAGAAGGTGGGTGGGGCCGGGCAGCCAGGCGGCGAGGGAGAAGGTGGGTGGGGCCGGGCAGCCAGGCGGCGAGGGAGAAGGTGGGTGGGGCCGGGCAGCCAGGCGGCGAGGGAGAAGGTGGGTGGGGCCGGGCAGCCAGGCGGCGAGGGAGAAGGTGGGTGGGGCCGGGCAGCCAGGCGGCGAGGGAGAAGGTGGGTGGGGCCGGGCAGCCAGGCGGCGAGGGAGAAGGTGGGTGGGGCCGGGCAGCCAGGCGGCGAGGGAGAAGGTGGGTGGGGCCGGGCAGCCAGGCGGCGAGGGAGAAGGTGGGTGGGGCCGGGCAGCCAGGCGGCGAGGGAGAAGGTGGGTGGGGCCGGGCAGCCAGGCGGCGAGGGAGAAGGTGGGTGGGGCCGGGCAGCCAGGCGGCGAGGGAGAAGGTGGGTGGGGCCGGGCAGCCAGGCGGCGAGGGAGAAGGTGGGTGGGGCCGGGCAGCCAGGCGGCGAGGGAGAAGGTGGGTGGGGCCGGGCAGCCAGGCGGCGAGGGAGAAGGTGGGTGGGGCCGGGCAGCCAGGCGGCGAGGGAGAAGGTGGGTGGGGCCGGGCAGCCAGGCGGCGAGGGAGAAGGTGGGTGGGGCCGGGCAGCCAGGCGGCGAGGGAGAAGGTGGGTGGGGCCGGGCAGCCAGGCGGCGAGGGAGAAGGTGGGTGGGGCCGGGCAGCCAGGCGGCGAGGGAGAAGGTGGGTGGGGCCGGGCAGCCAGGCGGCGAGGGAGAAGGTGGGTGGGGCCGGGCAGCCAGGCGGCGAGGGAGAAGGTGGGTGGGGCCGGGCAGCCAGGCGGCGAGGGAGAAGGTGGGTGGGGCCGGGCAGCCAGGCGGCGAGGGAGAAGGTGGGTGGGGCCGGGCAGCCAGGCGGCGAGGGAGAAGGTGGGTGGGGCCGGGCAGCCAGGCGGCGAGGGAGAAGGTGGGTGGGGCCGGGCAGCCAGGCGGCGAGGGAGAAGGTGGGTGGGGCCGGGCAGCCAGGCGGCGAGGGAGAAGGTGGGTGGGGCCGGGCAGCCAGGCGGCGAGGGAGAAGGTGGGTGGGGCCGGGCAGCCAGGCGGCGAGGGAGAAGGTGGGTGGGGCCGGGCAGCCAGGCGGCGAGGGAGAAGGTGGGTGGGGCCGGGCAGCCAGGCGGCGAGGGAGAAGGTGGGTGGGGCCGGGCAGCCAGGCGGCGAGGGAGAAGGTGGGTGGGGCCGGGCAGCCAGGCGGCGAGGGAGAAGGTGGGTGGGGCCGGGCAGCCAGGCGGCGAGGGAGAAGGTGGGTGGGGCCGGGCAGCCAGGCGGCGAGGGAGAAGGTGGGTGGGGCCGGGCAGCCAGGCGGCGAGGGAGAAGGTGGGTGGGGCCGGGCAGCCAGGCGGCGAGGGAGAAGGTGGGTGGGGCCGGGCAGCCAGGCGGCGAGGGAGAAGGTGGGTGGGGCCGGGCAGCCAGGCGGCGAGGGAGAAGGTGGGTGGGGCCGGGCAGCCAGGCGGCGAGGGAGAAGGTGGGTGGGGCCGGGCAGCCAGGCGGCGAGGGAGAAGGTGGGTGGGGCCGGGCAGCCAGGCGGCGAGGGAGAAGGTGGGTGGGGCCGGGCAGCCAGGCGGCGAGGGAGAAGGTGGGTGGGGCCGGGCAGCCAGGCGGCGAGGGAGAAGGTGGGTGGGGCCGGGCAGCCAGGCGGCGAGGGAGAAGGTGGGTGGGGCCGGGCAGCCAGGCGGCGAGGGAGAAGGTGGGTGGGGCCGGGCAGCCAGGCGGCGAGGGAGAAGGTGGGTGGGGCCGGGCAGCCAGGCGGCGAGGGAGAAGGTGGGTGGGGCCGGGCAGCCAGGCGGCGAGGGAGAAGGTGGGTGGGGCCGGGCAGCCAGGCGGCGAGGGAGAAGGTGGGTGGGGCCGGGCAGCCAGGCGGCGAGGGAGAAGGTGGGTGGGGCCGGGCAGCCAGGCGGCGAGGGAGAAGGTGGGTGGGGCCGGGCAGCCAGGCGGCGAGGGAGAAGGTGGGTGGGGCCGGGCAGCCAGGCGGCGAGGGAGAAGGTGGGTGGGGCCGGGCAGCCAGGCGGCGAGGGAGAAGGTGGGTGGGGCCGGGCAGCCAGGCGGCGAGGGAGAAGGTGGGTGGGGCCGGGCAGCCAGGCGGCGAGGGAGAAGGTGGGTGGGGCCGGGCAGCCAGGCGGCGAGGGAGAAGGTGGGTGGGGCCGGGCAGCCAGGCGGCGAGGGAGAAGGTGGGCGGGAGGGGAGGGTGTGGGGAGTGGGGCGGGGAGGAGGGGGCAGCTTCGTTGACTGGAGGGATGGGAGCGGGGCCGCAGGTGAGGATGAAGGGGTTGTCCAGCCACATGCATGGTTGCTCCTTTCTCTCACCCCTCTCAAGGCCCGGCCCTTTCCCTGGCCCCCCTTCCCCCTCCCCTCGCCCCCAGGCTGCCTACGAGGCCTCCTTCGGCCCCTTCTACCGCATAGAGCAGATGATACTGGCAACACAGCCGCCAACTACCACAACCACCACCAGCGCAACCACCACCAGCACCGCAGCAGCGGGAGGGCAGGGGCAGCAGGGGTCCCCCTCCTCCTCCCTGCCTCCCCCCCAGCAGCCGCATCAACCCCCCATCGTGACCCCCGACAACGTCCGACTGCTGTTCGACATGCAGCGCCTGGTGGACGAGCTGGAGGGTAAGGGAGGGGGGGAGGAGGGAGGAGGGGAGGGGGGGAGGGGGGCTTGCATGCAGGAGGGGTAGTTGAACAGCTGCTGTATTCCCTTACCCGGCTCCCTCCCCCCACCTATCGTCCACAACACCACGACTTGACTAATGCTACCCCATCCCCTCTCGGACTCTCCCCACCTTCCTCTCCCTCTTTTCCCCCCCCCCCTACCCTCGCAGCCCCCCTGCAGCCGCCCCCCTCCTCCGGCCCCCTCTCCGGCCGCTCCTCCGTGCGCCTGGCCGACATCTGCTACAAGCCCTTCGGCGACGTCTGCGCCACACAGAGCGTGCTGCAGTACTGGCGGGGCAGCCGGGAGGCGTTCGAGGCCGCCATGGCCCGGCCTGCAGGGTCGCCGGGGCGCATGGACCCGGAGTACTGCTTCAACCACTGGTGGGGGGGGGAGGGGAGGAGAAGAAGGGGGAGGGAAGGGGAAGAGGGAGGGGGCTACGCATGCTGGAGGAGGCTGGGGATGAGGGGTAGGAAGTAGGGAGAAGGCGCTGCGAGGCGTGCGTGGACCTGGCTGTTTGCAGAGGGCTGATGACTAGAACACCATATCCAGATATCCTACAGGAAGCAGCCGCAGCGGTGTACGGCTGCTCCTTCTTGTACGCTTCCTACCACTATCATACCACTCATTGAAATTTCCTCCCCCCCCCCCCCTCCCCTCCATCCCCCCAGGTACACCGAGTGTCGCTCCGCCTACCAGGCCCCCGTGGACCCGCATGTGGTGCTGGGGGGCTTCCCGGGGGGCAGGGAGTTCAGGTGGGAGGAGGGAGGGGGAGAGGGGAGGGGAGGGCATGGAGGGATGCACGAGGGGGCGTTACGCTAGGGAGGGCTAGGGAGGGTGGCTAGAGGTGCTGTTGAAGGCCATGCTGGGGAGTGCAGCCTGTCACACGGCCGCCTACCAGGAACCTTTCACACCCTTCCTACCATAATTCCGGTCCGGCTTTCCTTTCCCTCCCTCCCCCCCTCCCCCCCAGCACCTACTCCGCCGGCGCCACCTCCTTCGTCACCACCCTGCCCGTCTCCTCCGACCCCTCCCTGCGCCCCGCCGCCCTCGCCTGGGAGGCAGCCTTCCTGCAGCTGGCGGCTGACAAGCTGGCGCCCGCGGCCGCGTCAGCCAACCTCACCCTGTCGTACTCGGCCGAGAGGTGAGGGGGGGGAAGGATCTCTTCACCCCACCCCTCCCCCTACCCGATCCACCTCCCGCTCCGCCCCACCTAACCCGCTTCCCCCCGCCGTACCCGCTCCCCCCTCAGATCCGTGCAGGACGAGCTCACCCGCGAGTCGCGTGCCGACGCCGCCACCGTAGCCGCCTCGTACGGCATCATGCTGGTCTACATCGCCGCGGCGCTGGGCTCCCTGCCGCCTCTTTGGGGGCGGAAGGGGGGGTGGCGGGGGCGGGGGTGGCGGGCGGCGGCAGCGGGTGGCGGGGGGCTGCTGCTGCGGGCGGGGGTGACGAGCCGGGTGACGCTGGGGCTGGCTGGGGTGGGGATTGTGGCGGCGAGTGTGGCGGGTGAGTGGCGGGGAGGGAGGGGGAGGGAGGAGGGAAGGGGGAGGAGGGAGGGAGGAGGGAGGGGGAGGGGTGATGTGGGTGAGGGGTGCAGTGCGGAAGGCGGGAGGTCAGACTAGTACCTGTGTGTTCAGGCATGTTCCCTGGGTGCTGAGGGGCGCTGCTGCAGACTGTCCTCCCTCCTCCTCCTCCTCTGTTGCATTCCCCGACTGTCCTGCCCCCCTCCCCCTCACCTCACCCCATCGTTGCATCGTCGTTGTCTCTTTAGTTTTTACCCCCCTCACCACCCGACACCCCCCCAGGCGCATTGGGTGTGGTGAGCTGGCTGGGGCTGTGGTGCACGCTGATTATCATGGAGGTCATCCCCTTCCTGGCGCTGGCGGTCGGGGTGGACAACATGTTCGTGCTGGCGCATGCGCTGGGGAAACAGGTGGGGGGGTCAAAGACCAGGTACCAAACCATAGGAGACCACAAGTGAGGGCAAAGCAATGGGGGTAGGGGAAACAGGTGGGGGGGGGAGGGGGGGGGGAGGGGGGGGTAAGACCATACCATACCACAGGAAGCCACAGGGGGGGAGAAGGAAAACAGGGGAGGCAAGTGTGATGGAGACGGAGAGCGCAACTGTCGGAGGAGGGTACGGTAGTAGTGGCGGACGATGAGAGCGCTGCCTTGCGATGCTACCTACCGGTAAGCTGTTACTCAGTCCCTGCCTTCCTGCCTTCCTTCCTCCCCCTCCCCCTCAGGCCCACTCCCTCCCCCCCGCCGAGCGTCTGGCCGCCTCCCTGTCCTCCGCCGGCCCCTCCATCACCCTCGCCGCCTGCTGCGAGGTGGCCGCCTTCACGCTGGGCGGCTGCCTCACCGGCATGCCCGCGGTACGCAACTTCTCACTGGCGGCGGCGGCAGCATTGGCTCTGGACTTTGGACTGCAGGTGGGGCGGAGGGGGGTGGGTGGGGGGTAATGTGTGCGGGGTTTAGGTATGCTTGGGTACGACAGTTTGGCAGTGTGGTGGTGGGAGTACGACCTGCGTTGGGGGACGCTAGTTGCTGGGCTAAGTCGACTCAGAGCGCCCAACTCCTTGTCCCTCTCTACGCCCTCGCGTGCCTCGCCTATCCTTCAACTCCCCCCCCCCCTTCTACCCCCACCCCCCCAGGTGACGGTGTTCGCGGCGCTGCTGGTGTTGGATGTGCGGCGAATGCGGGCGGGGCGGCTGGACTGCTGCCCCTGCGTGAGGCTGGGGGGAGGGGCGGCAGGGGTGGGGGAGCAGCGGCGGCAGCGGGAGGGGGACGTGGCGGGTCCGCACACCCCGCCTGCCCCTGCGGAGGCCATGGAGTACGGCAGCAAACAGCCGCAGCAGGGTGATGGGGGGGACGAGGAGGATGCCGCTGCGCCGTGCACCGTGGCCACCAGCAGCAGCGAGGAGGGCGAGGAGGGTGAGGTGGACGAGCGGTCGTACTGGTCGCTACAGCGAGTACTGCAGGTGGGGTGGGGTGGGGTGGGGCGAAGGAGAAGAAAGGGGGGGGGAGGGGATGTGTTCGCTGCTGCCGTACGGTTCAACCACGGGGGAACCAGGGGGTAACAAAACATGCCGCCATTGCTTTGCTGCATCACCCCAGCTCGACCTCCCCTTCCCTCCCCACCTCACACAGGCCTACTTTGACCGTGTGCACGCTCCGCTGCTGAGCCGACCCGTGGTTCAGTGCGGGGTGCTGCTGCTGTTCGCCGCCACACTGTTCGCCAGCCTGGCAGCCATACCCTACCTGCAGGTGGGGGGTGGGGGGAGGGGGCGGGGGGGGGGGTGGGGGGAGGGGGCGGGGGGGGGGGCGGGGGGGGGCGGGGGGGTCGCCAGCAGGTAGTCAGCAGGTCGCCTCATGGGTCGCGCTGGTGCTCACAACCCTCTTCGATGCTTTGACTTTTGCTAGCGGTGCACAGATCGTACTGCCATATCCTGCCATGCGTTGCCTACCCGCGCCCCCCTCTCCTTCCCCCCCAGGTGGGTCTAGACCAGGCAGTGGCACTGCCTCGGGACTCCTACCTGCAGCGGTACTACCGGTGAGGGGGTGGGGCGGGGGTCGAGGGGGCGCGGTGGGGTGCCCACACAAGGGCCCCCCCAATACCACTTCCCGCTGCATTATGCGTCCTGAAGTACATGCGACAAGAAGAGAGGTTTTTGGCAACCTAACGCGCCCTAGCCCAGCCCCTTTCCACCAGCTACCCCTCAACCCCCCGCCCCCATCACCCCCTGCCCCTCTCCCTTACCCCCAGCGACCTGCTCCAGCAGCTGCGGGTGGGTCCGCCGCTGCTGCTGGTGGTGCGCGACCTGGACCTGCGGCCGGAGGCGGGGCAGGTGGAGCGGCTGTGCGGGGTGGCGGGGTGCGCGCAGGACTCGCTGGCGAACAGGGTGAGCAAGGGGGGGGAGGAGAGGGAGCGGGGGGGGAGACGGGCTGAGGGAGATGGGGGGAGGGGAAGACGGCGGAGCAGGTGGTGTGTATAGACCGTATTAGATCATAGGAGACCACAGGTTAGGGAGGGTGGTGGTGGGGGGAGGGTGGTGGAGGGGAGCCCAGTGTTGGTAGGAAGGGTATACGCAAGGGGCTCTGCACACGGGGGTGGGAAGCAGATGAAAACATGTACTGCATGCAACACATGCAACAGCCCGCTGCGAGTACGGCATAAACCCCCGAGTTGTCCCCCCCCTCCCCCCTCCCCCCCCCAGGTGTCCGCTGCCGCCCGCGACCCCGCCTCCTCCTTCATCTCCGCCTCCGCCGCCTCCTGGCTGGACGACTTCATGACCTGGCTCTCACCCGACCTGCCCGCATGCTGCAGGTGGGGGGGGGGTACCGGTAATAGGGAGGGGGAGGAAGGAAGGCTTGGCGGGCTTGAAGTTGGCAGGGTTTTAGCTTGGTGGCCTCACCCCACGTGTGAGGGCAACGGCGCCCGGGGTGTTACACGCTGCAGTGCTGGGTGCGTGGTGCGGCATGCGCGTCATGTGTCCCAGGCAGCAAGGGCCCGCTTCTGCGCCTCATCCCTGCCTGTCCCCGGCCCTGTTTGCCCTCCCCCCTGTGCCTTCATCTTCATCCCTATTAATCCCCCCTGTGCGCTGCCTCCTGCCCCTCCTCCAGAACCAACGAGGCGGGCGGGGTAGCTGCCAGCTACTGCCCCCCGCCCGACCAGCCCCCCTGCAACGGCAACTCCTCCGCATGCGCCTCCTGCCACACCTGCGTGCAGGCGGCATTCACAGGTGGGGGCCCGGGGGGTGGGGGCGGTGGAGGAAAAGAGGAGAGGAGAGGTTTATGGGGGAGGGAGGACCAGTTGGACGACAGCACTCCCTTACCTTCCTTACCTTACCAGGCTGCATGCATGCCCCTCCGCATGGCAGTACCCGGTACTGCCCCGTTCACCTGATTCACCTTGCCCCCACTGCCTCCACACCGCCCCCCTCGTCCCCCTCCTCCCCCTCCTCTTCCCCCCTCTCCCTCCCCCCCATGCAGGCGGCCGCCCCTCCGTGCCCCAGTTCCAGACCTACCTGCCCTGGTTCCTGGCCGCCCGCCCTTCCGAGCAGTGCGCCAAGGCGGGGGTGGGCGCCTACAGTGACGCGCTGCAGCGGGCGCAGCTGGACGACCCAACCAGCGTGGCGGGGCTGCTGGCGCCGGGGCAGGAGGGGGAGGGGGAGGGGCAGGGGGGTAACAGCGGGGGAGGAGACGGAGGGCGTGTGGCTGCCTCCAGCTTCCGCACCTACTACCGCCCGCTGAACAAGCAGGAGGACTTTATCGGGGCGCTGCGGCAGGTGGGGGGTGGGGGGGTGGAGTTGGGTGGGGAGCAGAGGGTGTGGCAGCGGGGAGCAGAGGCCGGGTATTGAGCGGAGCGGAAAGGAACAGGGGTTTATATCCCGGTGGCTGTCCTGACGAATAGGAGGCATCCAGCGTGAGGCAGCAGCCCGCTTCCCCCCTTACTGCGCCACAGGAGCCCATGAGCCGGGCCCCCCTCCGTCTCGCTTCCATGCCCCCCGTTCACTCCCCGCTCCCCACCACCCCACCACCCCACTAATCCAACTACCACTGCTCCTACACCCCTGCCAGGCCCGTGCCTTCGCCTCCCGCGCCTCCCGCGAGCTAGGCCTGGACGTGTACGCCTACTCGCTGTTCCACGTCTTCTTCGAGCAGTACCTGAGCGCCGGCTGGGACGCGGCGGCGATGGTGGGTCTGCCGCTGGCGGCGGTGGTGGCGGCGGCGGGGCTGCTGGCGGGCAGCTGGGGCGGCGCGGGGCTGCTGGCGGGGGTGCTGTGCAGCCTGCTGGTGCACCTGGGGGGCGCCATGTACCTGGCGGGAATACAGGTGGGTGGGGCGGGGGAAGAGGGAGAGGGGGGAGCGAGGGGGGCTGTGCGAGTGGGGTACCCTGCGTTCGCATGTTGCAGGAGGCAAAGGCAGGAGTAGTAAGGTGTGCAGGAGCAGCGGGGAGCAGTCGCCCTTCTGTACGCTGCGTCCTCGGCATCCGCCGCCTAGGCCCCTCCCCCCCCCGCGCATTCCCCAGCCCGCTATTACTCTCTCTGCCTGCCCCGCCCCGCCTCCCCCCCCCGCAGGTCAACGCCGTGTCGCTGGTCAACCTGGCCATGTCCCTGGGCATCGCAGTGGAGTTCGCAGCGCACATACTGCACGCGTACTTCATGGCACCGCCACCACCACCGCCGCCCCTGCCCACCACCACCGCACCCGCAGCAGCCTCCTCCTCTTCCTCAGCCCCCTCAGCACCAGCCACCACCCTGGCCGCAGCCCGGGCAGCCGCCGCCGCCTCCGCGTTGCGAACCGTGGGTCCGTCCGTGCTGAGCGGCGTGACGCTGACCAAGCTGGTGGGGGTGGCGGTGCTGGGTTTCGCTCGCACGCAGATCTTCGAGGTGTACTACTTCCGGTTGTACCTGGCGCTCGTGGCGGCGGGGGCGGCGCATGGACTGGTGCTGCTGCCGGTGCTGCTGTCGCTGTGGGGGCCGCGGCCGTGGGGGTGGAGGGAGGCGCGGGGTTAGGGCGGGGGGGGGGGAGTAGTAGTGGGAGCGAGTGATGGGGTGGGGGGATGGGTGTACAAGTAAATGAAAAGTGAGGGAGGAGAAGTGGCGATGGAGGGTGGTCAAAGATGGGTCAAACAATAGGGCGATGGAGGATGGAGAGGGTGGGGCGTGTGGGGGTTTGGAGGGGGAGCAGGCTGTGGGGTGTTGCTGTGCCTGGGTTGGGTTGCTTGGTTGGACGGGGAGCGCTGGAGTTGCTTGCGCTTGGAAATGCTGTTGTGTTGCTAAGCAGGGACTCTTGTGTTGCTGCAGAGTGGTCGCATGACTTGCTGGCCTTTGTGCCACGTAGGGTCCATTGTACTTTGATGACTGAGCATCGTGTCAGGGGGGGGGGTAAGAAATTTTCTTATAAACCCCAACCCGAAATTTCCAAAGAGAAGGCCTCGGAGCCACCCACCCACCGCCAAGCGTGTCGTACGACCTGTAAACTATGCCAAAACGCCTGGGAAAAAACGTCTAGGTTCCTCTGCGCAAGCCCTATTAAGTGCAGTCGAAAAACCCCAAACCCCCTGCGAAGTTGATGTCACAGCGTTGCACTATGGACGGCGAAGGTAACCATGTTCTTGGCCCCAGCTTGACTGATGTTATGTATTTGGCGCCTAGGAAGCACCACGGCCCTTCCATTTGCGCCATACCACCGCCAGTTCTGTTTTCACAACCGAGACAACGTCGCCACCACGTTCCAGGTCCCTGCTCCTGCCTCTCCTTCCCCCTGTGGCGCTGGGCCCTCGACCATAGCCCCTGGCACCAATTCCTACGCCTTCTTGTTTCTGTGCTCTGCATCCCCACCCCGTTCGTGGTCACTGTAAGTGCTTTCTCGCAACTCAGTCTGTCTACCCCAACCCCGCATCCTCAGTCGTGTTCCACATCCATGGGGACATGTGACATGCTGCTGTGCTAGGCCTTTACTAAGGGCCGACTAGCCGCGTTCGCAGTATATGCTTTCTACATAAGTTGTTTCTTGTACGTTTGGGAGTTGGGCAGTTCCGTTCGGCTACCGTGGTTCAGAGGTGAAGTGTCATTGGAACATCAGAAGCCGAGAAGTGACCATTTCGTTGATAAACCTAATTCTACGTATAAGAAACGAAGAAAGGATGGCAATACAGCTTTCCAAACCTTAACATGAGGCCTGGAAAAAAATTTTCCGGAGGTTCATGTAAAAAAGTCGTTGGGGCCCTGAACCCACCCACCCACCCCTGCCGTACAACCAACTTTGCAAGCCCATAACTTTTTCCGTACAACTCCAAACAAAAATCTGAAAGCAGATTCGGAATCCCGACGCAAAGCGCCTTCGATTTGAGGGTTGGGATCTATTTTTCCGCTTCCTACACCCCCCTGATCGTGTAACAGGTTTATGGAGCGGAAACTGTATACAGTAATGCCACTGCCTGGTAATGGCGGTTTGGACCCTTGGGTCCAGAGAGCGATGCAACAAGCAGAGAGGTCCGTCTAGCTGATGATTAAATAATCCACGCGTGTGAAAGCCGTGGCATGGCTAAAGCAAACGTGTTACTGCAACATCGTATAGGCGAGGGTTCCTTCGGTGTATTTATGAGAGCTATGTGTCATAAGGAAGTCGACCCCCCTTGTGTAACTGTAATTGTACAACGCAGGGCTTAGGAAAACGTGTCAAGCTTGCAGCAAGGACCCGGCGTCGCTCTGCCGAACGTTTGCATCTTGTGAACCTTGTTCTCGGAGAACGGCTGTGTGCTCATAACCGCGAGTTGCTTGAGCCGATCGGAAGATATCAATGGACCAGAAGGTTGCGGTTAGACAAAAGGTACCTACAAGGTACAGTTATCCATTGCCGGATGTTGGCGAACGACCCATGGACGGACAGCAAAGCTTATAATACTCATAGTTGGCAACTTTCTACGTTTCCACTTGCTGATGAGATTTCGCGCGTAAACGCGTCGCATGGGAAGGAAGCTCGCTATTGGGAGGTCAACTGCAGAACTCTGTTTGGCATTTTCTGCTCGATCATACGCGCAGAACCAGAAGCAGTCAAACCGGCTATCCGTTAATTAAAAAGGGAACATGAAAGGAAATGAGCGAGAGGATGCCGTAAATGCAAGGCCCCCGATCGCCGTACGCCCTTATCGGCCCCATTATTGTTCTTGTGAGCACTGCTTGTTGACCTGTCACCAGCACTCTACGTAGAGATTTACAGAAATGGCGACCGCTCTGTGCAACAAGGCTTTCGCTGCCGCCCCTGTGGCTCGCCCGGCTTCGCGCCGCTCGGCTGTCGTCGTGCGCGCTCAGGGTCAGGATGTGGTACGTTGGGATTACCATTTGAACAACCACTTAAGATAGATGGTGCAGCGGCAGGACAGCGCGGCGACTTTATGCAGTGCTTGCAATACGATGGCGCACGCTTCAGCGTTGGAATAAATCCCGCTTCCTTGTTATTGTCGCAGACCCGCCGCGCTGCTCTGGGTGCTCTGGCTGGCGCTGCTGCCCTGGTGTCTGTTGCCCAGCCCTCTAGCGCTTCCTACGGTGACGCTGCCAACGTGTTCGGCAAGGTGACCAACAAGTCTGGCTTCGTGCCCTACGCTGGCGATGGCTTCGCTCTCCTGCTGCCCAGCAAGTGGAACCCCAGCAAGGAGAAGGACTTCCCCGGCGTGACCCTGCGGTGAGCTGGTCTCCTTGCCATTTGGCTTGACCAGCAAGTAAAGGCGCAGCAGCGGCCATGGCGTTCGCTTTGGATAAAATTCAATAACATATTATAGTTTATTGTCTTTCTGGATCTGACGATCTGTTTTTTCAGAACGGTATCCTTGCCGATTGCTAGCGATCTGCTTCGGTCTCCAGCAAGCGCGCCTTGGTGGAATAGACGCTTCGTATTCACAACTCTTACCATAATGTCGCGCGCCTGTGTCGATCTCTTGTGTGCAGCTACGAGGACAACGGCGATGCCGTGAACAACCTGGTGGTCATCGCCCAGCCCACCGACAAGAAGTCCATCACTGACTTCGGCTCTGAGGACAAGTTCCTGGAGTCGGTCAGCTACCTGCTCGGCAAGCAGGCCTACTCCGGTGAGACACTGCCGCTCTCTTAACAACACAACCACCCCCCTTTTCCTTGTGTTCCTCCGGCAGCCTACTTTCTCCCCCATCCCCCAGCCCCTCTTCGCCCTCCCCAACATGGTAGCCTCATTACCTTACCCCACCCCTCTCTCTCCCACCGCAGGCGAGACCGTCTCCGAGGGCGGCTTCGCGCCCAACCGCGTGTCCGCCGCCTCGCTGCTGGACGTGTCCAGCAGCACCGACAAGAAGGGCACCAAGTACTACAAGTACGAGCTGCTCACCCGCACCGGTAAGAGGTGCCGGAGGCGGGTGGGGAGGGAACTGGAGGCCTGGGGAGGCTCGAATAGCCACCTAACCCCGCATTGGCAGCGACAGGCCTTCGCCTCCTAGCATTGCATTCTTTCCATCCGTTGGCTCGTTTCTCTCCGCCTGAGCCTCCTCACCCGCGCCCCCTCCCCTCCCCCGCACTTCTTCAGCCGACGGTGATGAGGGCGGCCGCCACCAGCTAATCACCGCCGCCGTGGGCAGCGACAACCAGCTGTACATCCTGAAGGTGCAGGTGGGCGACAAGCGGTGGTTCAAGGGCGTCAAGAAGGAGGCCATGGGCACCTTCAACTCCTTCACCGTCGTGTAAGGTGTGCATCCGCGATCTCGCGACGATACCCAGCCAGCCAGCAGCCTGGGGGCGCGTGCGAGCATGCTGTGGGGGCCTAGAGCATGTGCCGTGTCTCCCATAACTCCTCTAAACCCGTTGTAGCCAAGGCTTTTACGGTTTTGGTTTACTGGGGTGTTTAGGTGGCGGCTTGTTGCCGGGCTGGCGGGTGGGTGTTGAGGCTTGCATGTGGTGGGGCTAATGGCGGGGGGTTGCAAGCTGCTACCCGCGGATGGACAGCGCGTTGGTCCGCGGGTGGGGAGCTTGGGAGCCGGCCCAGGGCTGTGTTTGTCATCATTCGGAGTGTTTAGGGACTTGCGTGTTAGCGGACGAAGAGTCGGAGTAGCTGATGACGGAGTGGAGGCGGCTGGGACTGGTGACTTGAGAGGGTTGCTGGTGCCGGTGTGTCGTGCTGTTGGTGCGGAGGGCAGAGGGATGGGCAGCCATTTTGCATGCTACTAGTGGCAAAATGCTCTTTCGAGCGTGGAAGAAGAGACGCGGTGTGCGCGTGTGTGTGTACATTTTTTGCCATGGTTTGTTTCATTCCCTTTGCAGCTGCAATGTCCCGTTTACGGGGCATGTAACATACCCGAGAAGAAAATCCTATGTTAACTTTGGGCTTGATAACCCTGTTCCCCTTGTCCCCCATGCATGCCACTGCACAAACAACGTTGCAACCGTGTCAGCCTGCAAACTGCTACGCATCTGGAATTCTTAGAAAGGCTGCCAACTGTGTGAAAGCTGAGTACATGCCTTACTATCTGTCAGCGTACGGAAGAGGACTGCATGCATGCGCTTTAAATGCCTGAGAGAGATGCACACACATACCGGTACACACCTAATGCTCCTATGGCGCTTCTGTGGGAAGTTCATCTCCCGGCAATCACAGTACGTTCCGACTCGCGGCCAGTTTCCCTAACACATTCATACACACATACACATACGCACACATGCACACGACGTATGGCACTGATGGTTACAGCTTCAGCACGAATCCGTACTTGTGCAGTACATGCTCCCGCACCGCCCGCACCACCCGCTGCACTGGGGCAGCCACCCAGGGGGGCGCCCCCGGCCGCCCCCCCGCCCTCGCCAGCTGCCTCAGCACCCCCACCACCCCCTCCAGGTCCTGGTCGTGACCTATCAGCCACAGCGCGGCAGCCATGCACGTGACCTGCAGCCGCCGCTCTAGCCCCTCCCTTCCCCCTGCAGCTTCCGCGTCGGCTTCTGCGGCAAGTCCAGCGTCAAGACCCCTTGCTTCCCGAGCGCTTGCAGCCCCCTGCCCCCTGGAATTCGGCTGTTCCGCCGCCTGCGCTTCCGCCGAGCATGCGGCACGTATGGCGCGGAGAAGGGTGTCCCGCAGCGCACCCAAGGAAACCTGCATGCGCCCCTGCAGGGGTCGGAACATGTGCGCCGCCGCTGCCTCCAGCCGCTGCTGCGGACCCGCCCCCTCCGGCAGCGCAGCAAGCACCATCACCTCCTCCACATCAGGCACCCCCGAACCGGTAGTGGCGTCAGCTGCCACCACAGCAGCAGCAGCGGCCGCAGCGGCTGCAGCGCTTGCACCGCCCGCTGCTGCGCCAACAACTGGCGGCAGCGCTGAAACGGTGCCACCGCCTCGCATTACTAACCCAGTAGCGGGAGCCCCGCCCGCGGCGCCTGCTGCCAGGACTGCTGCACCGCCCCCGCCCCCGCCGCCGCTCCCCCGCAGCGCCGCGGTGATCTCGCTGCGCAGGTGCGGCGGCAGCTCCCGCAGCACGGCGAGGTCCACCTCCGCCATGCTGCTCGGCATGGCGGCGAGGACAGCGGGAAGGGCAGCAGCAGTGACAGCGGCCGCTGGCTGAGGAGGGGGAGCCGGTGGAGCAGCAGCCGTGGTGGAGGGCCCCGCCGGCGGCGCGGCTGCTGCTGCACCTGCCGCCGCGCTCCGGCGCAGGTCGCAAGCGGAGGCAGGCGCAGCAGCCGCAGACGCAGCGACAGCGTTGCCTGCAACGCCCCCGGCGGTGCCCTCCCGACTGCGCCTCCCCATGTCCAGCCCCAGCATCGCACCTCCTCCTCCGCTGCTGCCGCCTCCTGCACTGCTCGCAACACCAGCAGCCGCCAGGGCCCTCTCCCCACCTGCTGCACCTGCTGCTCCCGGACCGGCATTACCGCCGACGGTGCCGCTGCCGGCCTGTCGGGGTGCGGCCGCCGCCAGGTGGGCTTGCCCGGGCGCCTGCTGCTGGCGGGCGCGCTTGGCAGGGCGGCTGGGGGCGGGGGCCGGGGCGGCGCGTCGGGCCAGCAGACCTGACAGGCAGGGGAGGCAGGGTGAGACCCGGTTAATACGGCTTGAGGGACTACGGATTAGTCAATGGACCATGGATGTGTTACATGCAGGAGGAAGGGCCATGGCCACGCCTTATGCGGTGCCACCTCGGGAGAGTTAGCCAGGGCCAGCCTCCCGCCCGCCCCGCCACACCTACCGTACTCCCTCTCCACCTCCCGCCGTACATCCGGAGGCAGCTCCGCCAGCACCGACATGTCGATCTGCGCCGCCGCCGCCGGCCCTGATGCGGCCGCTCCTCCCGCTCCTCCCGCCGCTTGGACAGCCGCTCCGCCACCACCACTTCGATTCGCCCCGCCACCGCCAGCACCGCCACCGCTGCCCCGCCCGCTGGCCCCTCCCGTCGCCGCTCCCCTGCCCCTCCCTCCCCGACCCCGACCCCCTCCACCGCCCCCTCGCGCGGCTGCCTGTTGTTGCTGCTGCTGCTGCTGCTGCGGCCGCAGGAATCCAGCGGGCCAGCGGGTTGCTGCTGCTGCTGCCGCCGCAGCTCCCGAGGCGAGTGAGGTGCTGCCCGTGGGTCCCACTGTGGAGTCCGAGCGAGCGGGGCGCGGGGCCGGCGGAAGGAGCCCCGAGGAGCCCCCCGCCCCAACCCGCACACCACCCCGCCCCCGGGCCGCCGCCCCTCCACCCGCCTCCGCCACCACCTCCACCACCTCCACATCATCGTCGTCATCATCCACGTCTACAGATAGGTCTACGGACTCCACACCTGCACCTGCACCTGCCCCCAGGGTGCAGCCGCTGCCCCCGACGGAGGTGGCGGAGGCGCACGGCAGCTGCCGGGGGGCAGCAGCGGCAGCAGCTGCACCGCCGCCGCCTCGGGTTCCTGAGGTGGCGGGTCGCGGGGGCGGCAGGGGAGCTGAGGGCCGCAGAGGGCCCGCTGAGGTGGCAGGGCGGGCGGAGCCGGAGGGCTGCGGGCGCGGAGGGGAGCGCGGCGCGGCGGGTGGTGGGTGTTGTGCGGGGGGGCGACTACTGCTGGCATTAGCCACGCTGCCGAAGAGGCTCCTCCGGGCGGAGGCGGATTGTGCTTTCCCTGCCGCTGCTAGTGCGGCGGAGGGGCGCGACCCGCGGGTCTTCTTGTCCGCAGCGGCAGCCCCGCCCCCCACCGCGCTGGCCTCAGGGCCGGATTCCGTGTCTGACGCCCCATCCTCCTCCTGCTCCCCCTCGCAGCCCTGCCCAGCAGCTGCGCCCGTGCTTGCCTCCCCGTGTCCCTCGCCGCACCGCTCCTTCCGCCCACTAGGCCCCTGCTGCCGCGGTAACCCAGCCGCAAGCGCCTTGCTGGCCTCTCCCCCTCTCGCCCTTTCCACTGCTGGTGCCTGCGCAGCCTGTTTGGGCTGTGACTCGCCCCACTCCTGCCCTTCGTCTTCCTCCTCCTCATCCGGCGGCTGCGCTCCCGCCTTACCATCCCCGGCAGCAGCGTCACGACCATCCCGACCTCCGCCCCCGTTGCCCTGCTCCTGTGTGCCGCTAGGAAGGGACAGCAGCGCGGCGAACATGGGGTGCAGCCGAGGTGGGGGTCGTTGCTGCTGCTGCTGCTCCTGCGGGGCGGCAGGAGCCGGAGCTCCCGCAGCCGCAGCACCTCGCACCACCGGGACGGCTGCTGCCGGGGCTGAAGCGCGCGGGGCCGGAGGCCGAAGGGCAGCAGCAACCGTGGCGGTAGAGACCGCAGGCGCTGCTGCTCCTGCTGCACTCGCAACGTCTGCAGCCTGCGGGGGCGAGGGAGAGCGTGACGCGGCCAGGACCCCCTGCTTGTGTTGCTGCTGCTGCTGCTGCTGTTGCTGCTGCTGGCGACGCTGCTGCTCCCATGCCGACACAGGCGACCACTCGTTGAAGCGAGAGGCGTACCAGCCGGGCAGCTGCTGCTGCTGCTGCTGCTGCGGGGAGGTGGAAGGTGAGGCGGAAGGAGCGGCAGCGAGCGGGGGCGGCGGCGAGGGAGGTGCGGCTGCCGCTGCTGCACCCCCACCACCCCCACCACCCCCAGCCCCAGGTGGTCCACCTTGGAGGGAGGCCCGGGCCGGCGAGTCTGCTGGGTGGCTACTGGGGTCCGTGTGGCTGACAGGAGCAACAGCACCCTGCCGCCCCGGGCTCTGCTCGGCCTCCCCCTCCCCCTGCTGCTGCTGCTGTTGCTGTTGGGCCTTGCGCTGGAAGAAGGCGGCCCAGGGGGGCGGCTTGGAGGCGTCGTATGCGGTGCGGGGGGGCGCATGCAGCCGGGCGGGTGCGGGTGCGGAGGCCCTGCCGGCGGTGCTGGCGGGGTCGCTGTCCAGCCGCGACACCACCAGCCCCACCCCGCGCAGCTCCTCGGGGGGCACCCCCAGGCCCCGCAGCAGCGACACCGCCTCGCGGCGCAGGTCGGCGGGGTCGGCGGTGAAGCGACCCAGCGTCACAGAGCTGCGGGGAAGGTGGGGGAGGGCGGGTGGGACAGCATGGGGCTACAGGAGGAGGAGGGGCGGAGGATACTGGATACATGGGAGAGCAGGGGAGCAGAGGCACGGCACGGAGGGTGACGGGGCTTGCGCTTTACCAGTTCTTTCTCAACGTGAAGTTTTGCATGGGAAGAGCAAAGCCGGCACGGTACCACACATTCAGACTGGGCGTGGAACCTCCGTGCGTGGAATCCAGGCTCTCCGTGTTTGTGCGGCTTACACGGCAACCCCGAGCCCGCCCGCCTACCGGGAAATGTTGTCGCAGGCTCCGTGCCCCATGAACTTGGCCGGCTCGGGCGCCCCCGACTGCCGCCGCTTCACCTTGAGTGTCACGGAGCGCCCTTTCACGCCTGGGGGGAGAGGGAGTCAAGACAGAGGCGCGGGAGCAGCGAGGTGTAGGTAAGTTGGGCTCTCCGCGACGATGCACTGCAAGCAGATCAAGGCAGCCCTACGCGGCTGGTTCCTCATTGCAGCTCAGTATCGCATCCTCCACCTGCCCCTCCTTCCCTGTAAACCCAACCGCAAGCCTCATCCAACTCCCCTCCCCGCCGCCCCCCCCGCCAGCCCACCCGCCGTCCTCATGCGTGCCGCCACCTCCCCCGCCAGCTCCCCCAGGAAGCGCTCCGCCTCCGCCTCCCCCGCCGCGCCCGCCTCGAAGCGGATACCGTAGTTCACCTCCGCGCCCACCGACTTGCGCGCCTGGGGACAGGTGCCGGTAGGTAGGGGGGGTTAGGCGAGAGGTGGGGGGCAGAAGGAGAGGGGCAGTGGAAGGGGAAGAGTGATGAGCGCAGCTACCACCCGGAGCCGCCGCTACGCGTGGATGAGTCAGTTGAGCGGATGCTGGCCACCAGCAGCATGACCAGCAGCTGTCTCCGCGACGGGTCATCCTCCCAGCACCAATCCCAGCTCCCATCCTCCCCTCCAGCCTCCCCCCCCCCGCTCCCAGCCCACCCGCCCCACCTTCGGCGGCTCCACCCTCCGCTCGTCCACTCCGTGCGCATGCGCCCACAGGTCCGCACCCAGCTTGGCGCCCAGCTGCCGCTGCAGCAGCGTGCGCGAGGTGGCCCACAGCTGGCGCACGGAGGTGATACCCAGGGTCTGCAGCTTGGAGGAGAGCGACCAGCCCACACCTGGAGGGGGGGGGGTGTGGGTTGGGAGTGAGGGGAGAAGTGGAGGGCAGGGCATGTAGGGAAGGCAGTGGATCTTGCCTGGTGACGCGAGCCTTGTACAAGCAAGCGAGGGAGGTACTTATCTTCATCAAACAAAACATGCACAATCTAGATCCCTAGCAACCCGAAAGAACTGCTGTTCTCTCACCAGGCAATTGATCCACGTTCAGGTCGCCCATGAAGTCCAGCACCGACCCGCGGGTCACTCGGAACTGCCCATTCGGCTTGGCGCGCTTGGTCGCCAGGCGCGCCACCAGCATGTTGGGCCCGATGCCGGCGCTTGCCGTACACGCCGTCTTGTGCGCGATCTCCGCCCTCAGTCGCGAGGCGAGCTGCTCGGGGTCGGGTGCCAGGCCGGTGACGTCCAGGAAGGCCTCGTCGCAGGAGATGGGTTGTACGAGTGCGGTGTAGGACATGAGGATGCGGTACACCTGGGTGCAATTAAGTAGGTGTAAGCATAGCAACAACAACAATCATGACGGGGCTGTGCCAGGTAGAGAGGAGTAAAGACAGGAAACGTTGCTACCTGGGGCAACGTCAAAGAGCCCTGGCGCTCACACCGGAAGTGGAAATAATAGAACAAATCGCAGAGCTCACAGACGGGGCCGTTGCGACCAAGCAGCCTGCCTCCCCTGCAGGCTCCCACCGGTGCACCCCCGCCCCCCCGCCCCCACTCTAGTTGTTTGCATTTATTATATAATTTTGCCCCCACCTGCTCCGAGACCGCCTGGTACTTGTCGAACTCGTACGGCACCACCACCAGCTGCGGACAGCGGCGGCGGGCCTCCGATATGAACATGTCGGCACACACGCCGGACGAGCGGGCCTGGTGTGGTGGGTGGTGGGTGGGGGGAGTGTTGGGGGAGGGCGAACAGCGAAGGGGCGAGGAGGCAAGGAGGTCAGCAAGCTGACGGCGTGATGGGCCCCGCAGTGTCGCTGTGAGCCCCAGCCCAAGCCCCAGCCGCACCAGCCTGACCCTGCCTCCCCACCCCAACCCCGGCCCCCCTCCCGCCCCCTCACCAGGTAGTTGGCCGATGAGACCTCCGAGGTGCCCCGCGCGCTGTTGGAGTGGCACACCGCCAGCGGCCGCCCCGCCAGCTCGGGTCGCCCCACCGCCGCCACACTCGCGAAGAAGCAGTCCATGTCCACATGCAGGATCACACGCTCCGTGCCTGGCAGGGCAGTGTTGTGCGGGGCAGGGCAGGGGTGGGGCGGGGGCAGGGTAGGGGTGGGGGCAGGGTAGGGGTGGGGGACAGGCAGGGTAGTGGTGGGTGGGTTCAGTTCGGATGAGCAGGAGTCAACATGCAGTGTGCGGAGTTGCCTGTCCTGCAGGCGCCTCCTTGACGACAGCCCCCAAGCAAGACGCAGCGCTGCCATCTCCCGAACCCTCACCACTATCGTTTGTCCACAGCATGGCATGTGCCTTCCGTGCCCACCCCTCACCCTTGCTGTACGGCGCGGGTGCGGGTGCGCCCGCCTCCACCTCCGCCATGAGTGCCTCGATGCGTGTCTTCCAGGTGCCGATGAAGTGCAGGCGCGAGGAGCGGAAGAACGTCTCCATGAACCGCGGGTCGTTGCGGGTGGACCTGCGTGCGGCGAGGACACAACGGGGGGTGAGAGGGGGCGGATAGGAGGGAGAGGCGATACAGTCCCCCGAGCACCAGGCTGGGCGCTGTCAAAGGGAGCACCCAAAGGCGGGCCCGCATGCCCTAGCCTAGCATGCCCTAGCCTAGCAGGTCCCCCCACCCTTCCTTTCCCTCACCTGGGCGGGCCGCGGTCATGTGCGGCCCTCAGCTCAGCTGCCAGAGCCTGAGCAGCCCGGGGGTCGCCGCCGCCGCCAGCAGCAGCAGCATCCGCAGCAGCCTCGGAGCCACCGGGACTGGGCACACACCCCTGCCCTGCTCCCGCGGCATCCCCACCCCCCTGCTGCTGCTGCTGCTGCTGCTGCTGGTCCCCCTCCTGAGCTCCTCCCTCTCCAGACCGCCAAGCAGCTGAGGGGCCGGTCTGGCCAGCAGCAGCAGCAGCAGCAGCAGCAGGGGGCCCGGCAGGCGGCGAGGCGGAGCCCCGGCCGGTCTGCCCCTGCTGCACCCAGGTGGGGCTGGCGGGGGAGGGCAGCTGAGCCGGGGCGGGGGGTCGCAGCTCCTCCGCAGGTGGCCCCGCAGGTGGCCCGGGACCGCTGCCCCTGCCGCCGGGAGGCTGCGGTGAGGCGCTGTTGCTGCTGCTGTTGCCGCCTCTGCCAAGAGCCGCAGCTGTGTCGGCCTGGTGCTGCTGCTGTTGCGCATGCAGTAGCGGCGAGGGGCCCTCCTGCGGACCCCCGGCGCCAGTACCGCTGTGTGGCGCTACCCCGGGCCCCTCGCCCCACTGCTGCGGACCCGCCATGTGGGTGTCGGGCCCGGTGCTCGGGGCGGCCGCCCTCGCCCGCTCCGCCGCCCAGCTGGGCAGGTGGCTGGGCTGGGCAGGGTCAGGTATACCCCGCCGCCGCTTGGCTGGCCTGCCATCCATGCTCCCAGCATCGTCCCCGCTCCAATCTCCAGCAGCGGGCGGCTCCTGCACCCACTCCTGCTGCCCGGCTTGCTGGCCCGGCCCCTGCTGCTCGGCTTGCTGCTCCTGCTCTCCCCACGGCTGCTCCTGTCCTCCCCCCTGCTGCTGCTCCTGCTGCTGCTGGCGCGCCCCCAGCACGGGGTAGAGCTCCTCCGGCGGCAGCTGCGGAGCCGCGTGGCGGCGGAAGTCGAACAGTCGCCGCTGGTTGGGCTGTGCGGCCGCCAGCGGCTCGAGCTGGAAGTCGGAGATCTGGTGGTGGAGGAGAGGCAGGGTGGGTGGGTGGCGGTACCAGCTTTAAAGTATGTTTTGTGTACGATGTAACACGCCGATGCAAGTCCACACGTTCAGTCCAGGTTACACCTACACCACCAGTACACATCACCGGTCACCCCACTTCACGTCACCTCCGCCAGGTGCAAAGCTGCAAAGCCGCAAGGCAACCGTCCCATGGGTCGCTGCTGCTTGCGCAAGCCTCAGCGAACCCGACTGTCAACGCACCGGCAGCAGGCGCCCCGCGCTGATGGACGCCACCACCCACTCCGGCCGCACGATGGGGATGGGTTTCCTGCACGCAGGACACAGCAGTCCTAACATGACAATCCACCTATCCATGGGTATGATGGCAAAGATGCCCAGCCTGGCCTCGGTCGCCGCCGTGCGCGAAGAAGCACACGGCTGGAAGCGGGCTGCATGCAGCTGCTGTGCTGCTGCAGCTGCTGTACGGCCTGAGCAGGTGGCTCACGGCAAGGAGGCCGCTAGCAAGGGTCTGCCAAGTGCTTGCCCTACATGCTGGAGTGGCTGCCTCCTCAAAACTCCCCGCCAACCTTCCTTCCTTCCTCCCGTCCCCACCCCAACCCCCCACGTGCCTTTCATGGGCGAGCTGTTTGATCTTGGTGTCCGGCAGGTTGCTGCAGATGATGTGGGTGACACTGTCGCGGTAAAGGTAGTTTTCGAATCGGCCGCCGTGCAGAGCCATGAGCTGCTTCAGCTCCTGGGGTCGCAAGGGCGTGGCCATGGCGAGTGGCCGTACGTGCATGGGACCGGGGTACATGCGGTTGAGTTGGCGCGGTGCGATTGTGTGGACGCTTGTCTTATCATAGCAGTATGGGCACATGGTAGGTTGGTAGCCTCGGTGGACCCGGACTGATGACATGAAGCGCATGAGGAGACAGCCAAGTCGCGCGCTCTGCTGTGCGATGACGGCTTACCGCATGCGAAGGCCTTGTGAAGCCGTTCACGAAGATGGAAACCCCGCGGAAGATATCGGATTTCGCGTCTGACGTTTGTAACTGCTGTGCATCAAACTGTTCGCGCAGTTTCACCACCTTTAAGGCCATATACCGGCCAAAGCTGCCGTCATGATGCATCGATTCTGCTGCTGATTTCTCATCGCGCTGCTTCTTTCCACCGTTTCCGCCAGCGCCCGGAGCCCTAGCAGGACTCGGCTCAGTCTGCTCCCACCGAATCCGTGGATCGGTCATAGTAAGGTCAAAATAACTCTTATATTACTTTCGTTGGAAGTTGATTAATTGTGCAGTGTGGTTACAGCGTGGAACAAGTTCGCGACGTAAGAACATCTTCCAACTGTGTCAGTGACATCAAACGGTCGATTGTTTCTCGCCGAATACCAAGCCGGTAAACAACAACAATCACCCCACAGAAGTGCCAGACGCAAATATTCATCCGCCACCCAGCATGAAATGCATGCGATGCGGCAATCCGGGCTTCCGTACGCTGCTCTCCTCTCTCAACCGCTCAGTACATAGATGAAAGCGCTCCGTGTAAGGTGTTTCCTTACTGCTGCTTGCTCTCCGGTTGCTTCTGGGTGTTAGCTCCCCTGTCAGACGGCAGGGAGAAAACAGCCTTAGCGTGATAAGACGGCGCAAGCCGCGTAGAAGGTCCCATAGTGAACAGTTGCCTACACACCCTTGCTAACCTCTGTGTTTCGGCTACTTTTCCCCATCCCATAGACGACGTAAGAACACCCTCACCCCCCATGCGCAGCCCCCCTAGCGCGCCTCCTCCCGCCCCCTCCCCCTACCTCCAGCTGTCGTCCCAGCCGCGCACCCAGTCACGCCCCGCAGCCGCGCGCGCCGCCGCGGGTGAGGACTCCAGCAGCTGCTGCGCCACATGGCCTCGGAGCGCCTGCGGGCGGTACGGGATGAGGCGAGGGCTCATGCTTTGGCTCAGGCGCTACCCGGTAGTATACGTCAGCACAGTACCCAGCGAGGGGCGCGCCAATAGGCAGTCCCTATGGCCCACCCCTGTGGCTGGGAGTGTCTCGGCCATGCCACGCCTTTGTTGTGGTTGCTCGGCCAACCCCCTTTCCCCAGTTAGCATGCAATACCACTATATGCTGAAGGCAAGCCATGATAGATGGCCCACCTAGCCGGTCCCTACCTCGAAGACGGGGTTCTGGGTCAGGTGCTCTGGCGGCTGCAGCTGCCCCGTCAGCCACTTGAATAGGTCGGGGTTCTCCTGCGGGTGGGAGGCGCATGCAGCCGTCAACCGGGAGGAGACGCACGTCACTGGCAAACCCCGGCGTCAAGCAGGCGTGACCAACGTTTCCCTGACATCGCTCCAACATACCTCGTCCAGCACGCGTGACATGTCCTTCAGCTGCTCCATGCTCATCTTCGGAATGTTCGTCTCCGCCCACAGACCCATAAGCAGGTCCAGCTCAAGGAACCCTCGCTGCTTGCTACGATAAAGCAGCTTGTTGACTATCTGCATATCAGAACCAGCGACTTCAGCGCGCCGAAAGACTTTCGTGATGGGTCTGCCGACGTCTACGGTTGCGACGCACCCCTCGCCGACGCTCTTCGGAAATTCCTTCATCTTGCTGGCCTGAACTAGCGGATGAGAAAGCATAGGAAGTTGAAGGCAGGCTATAAGCCGCAGCGGCACGCGTCCAAGCGAAGCCTAGAGATGAAGCTGCGCGCGAAAGCATTTTTGTTTCTTATGCGGCTTTAGTGTAATATGGTTCTGTATAACTTAAAAAGATAACAGCATTTGAGGATGTGTGGTGTATCTTTGTGGGCTGACACACGTGCCGTGCATGGCGGTTAACTCCTCCATTCTGCAATAACCGATACCCCAAAAAACGCCACAACTTTAACCGAGCTGACATGCAAGTTGAGCATTCATTTGGACAGGTAAGGCGCGACCCGACGACTTTCGGTTAGTGAGGCCGATAACACAGCAAAATCACCACCTGCCATCTACGGAAGCTCTTGGTCATGCATGCGGCGGTCTGCTCTGGCGGGGCAGAGTGGCTCTGCCTCCGTGCCAAATAGCGCAATGGTTGGGTTGTGTTGCCTCACGGATCGTGCCGGCCTCCGAATGAACGGTCGGGCACAGGGGGAAAGGCTCGAGGGGATACAAAGTAAAGCCAAAGGGATAGCTTCTAGCCACTACAGCCATTCAGCCCACCACCGCTGCTTCGTAAACGTCACGACGACGCATCCGGGGCTACCACACACGAGACAGGATCCTTTCACCCACACGCCCGCAAGTACGGTAATCACAACACACTCCAGTTACTCCCGGAGGACGCGCAATAGCAGCTTAGCTCGCGACACTACATGCAGCTAACACTTTACTTCCAGCGTACATGTTCGCAGTTCGCACTCTTTGCGCTTGGGAAGAAAGAAACCTCCGCACGCACTAGGATACCACCAGCACCACCGTAGCAGCATACACCATATCAATGCTAGCTGCCAGCCTCACCTAGCCCCCGCCCAGGGCTCTAACAGCCAACCCTGATGAGCTCCTCAAGACACGGCTGTCTCCCTGCGCCAGGCGCCCGGTAGCCTCATGTAGCCCCCACCTTCCGGTGGCCCCCCTGCCCTGTCCTGCCCTGCTCCCCACCTGCCTCCTCCCCTCCCTCCCTCCCTCCATTATCACACCACACTTTGGAATTTCTTTTTTCCCTCCCCCGCCCAGCCGCCTAGCTCCGGAAGATCATGCTCTTGAGCGCCGCCTGGCCGCCCGGCACCCAGGTGAGGCAGTACCTGTGGGGAGGGGGAAGGGAGGGAGGGGGTCGAGGGGCTCGGGATTGGGGCATGAAGGGCCCTGAGGGGTTGCTGGGGGTCCCATCGTGACACATCCAGCTGCCACAGCTTGACGCTTCACGTGCCGCTGCGAACGCACTGCACATAGTGTCTCGGTGTGATGCGGACACACGGAGGGCGGGGTGCCCCCAACCAGGTTGTACGAGATGGGAAGCCACTCATCCCGCTGTACATTGGGCCCAATGCCGGTATCACCTCGTGGGACGTCTTCCCGTCATCACTCCCCAACCCTCCGTCCCCGTGGCCCCCTCATAACCCTCACTTTAATTCGTGGCACCCTCCCGCATCCTATCCCCATCGCTGCTCTGCCCCAGCATGTGGTCTCCTATGGATTTGTGTGGTCTTCAAACCCCGTATCCCATAGAACGGGAGTCTCGCGGGGCTTAAGCCAGGGACCTCCGCACCCTGGCCTTTGTTGTGACCCTCCCAACCCCGGCCGAAACCCCAACCCACCAAACGAGCGCCAGCAACTGGATAACAAGCATGATCAGGCACAACGCAGCGTTGCCCGTGGTGAAAGCGACTGCTAGCGTGCCGGCAATCGCGGCAATGTAGACGATGGTGGCTAGGATGCGCTTCTCCTCGAACATGCGCTGACATTGTTTTACAGGGCCCATCAGAAACAGCGTGCTCATCACGCTGACGACGCTGCCAATAGAGTACAGCACTGCAAACTTGGTAATTTGCATAGTCCACAGCATTGGGATAGAAATGAGAGTCAAGAGAAAACCAAAGCCGAAGCAGACCCCAAAGCCAATAAACCGCTGTTTCCAAGTAAGCGTCACAGCCTCGTCTAATTGCCCCATCAGCCCTTTCTCCTCCTGCTCCTGCAGGCCAACTGCGACCTTGAATTTATCGATCATCGTGTCAGTCTGTCAGATAATAGTAAATCTCTTACATAAAGCAAATTCAGCGCATATAGCAAGCGATTAGCCGTCCTCTTTGCAAGTACTAAGTGGGGTTCGTCCATGCCGTACGGCATCGCGGAATTGGCGCGGTACCGACTGGGGTCCAACGCAGTCGCTGTCCAACCCCGCCCAACCCGAAGGATCGCTACGCAAATTATTAGCTTAGGCGCACGGTGTTACCGCTTCTACGTTCATGCCCGGCTAGTACTCTCCGCACCTTGGACCGGTTGAGGGCGCCAAGGGTACCGGTAGACACAATGGCTGGGATTATGAAATTCTTTAGGCCTACGGGTGATGGCTCTGTTAACAGCTCTAAAAAATCAGAGCGCCCGGCAACAACTCGTGAACCGCTTTGCCAACTTGGCAACACCGATGCCTTGAAGCGCGCTGCCTACCAGCCGACAGATGACGCGGACTCCGACGTGGTGCTAGTCTGCGAGGATGTAGGTGCTGGTATGCTTTCCCTAGGATGACGATTGTATGTCGACAGTTTGAACAATCGTCATTGTACTCATAGTTGAACCTATGCCCCGAGCAGCCCGCAGCGTCACAACTTTGACAGATTGCTTTAACCCGTTATCCATAACCGCCCAGGTCGCAGCCGGTTCAAAGCGAAAGCGCGAAGACAACGGAGTCTCGAAGGCTTTGTTCCAGTCCTGCGACCAGCGCATGGAACCAAATCACAGCTCGGAAGCAATCCCCTCAGCCCAGCAGCAGCAACAACATGAACACATGGCTACCGACCAAGGCGATGAGGTCGCGCAGACGTATGGCGCTGTTGAGACCAGCGACGGCCGAGTAGCTGCGGAGCCTCTATCAGGCCCTACGACCAACCCCAAGCCCGGCATAAGCGCCGTCATAGCCTCCGAGGCCGCCAACGAGGCAGCCTCTGGCTCCCTGGCAGCAGCCCAACAGGCGTTTTCCCCCGACTCGGCGCGCCAGCCAACCGCCAAGCGCCAGCGGGTCCCCGGCGGCGTCGACGCCTCCGCTCTCAATCAACAAGCGCAGCAACACCAGCCGCAGCAGCACGCTCAACCCCTCTCGCAACAGCAGGAACAACAAGACCTACCCAATCCTGGGCTCCAAAGCACACCCGTGCCTGCTCCTGCACCCCAGTCCAACCAGCCCTCCCCGAATCGGGACGCCCGCCCAAGCGCCTCCCAGCTCTCATTCGGCGCTGCTGCTGGTGGGGGCGGCGGCGGTGCGGGTGACGCCGGCGGCTCCCCGGGTACCGCCCGCGCTCCCAGCCCCGGCGGCGGCACGGGTGCTCGCAGCGGTGCGGGTGCTGCGGTGCTGCCTGCGGACCTGGACGTGGGGGCGCGGCTGGGGGAGCTGCGGCGGGAGGCGGGGGAGCTGGAGGCGGCGCTGGAGGTGGGGGGCGGGGCGGGAGAGGGTAGGAGAGGGAGTAGAGTGAAGGAGCAATGTAGGGCACCAATAAGCTCTGGGGTGTTCAGCCGAAGGTGGCTCGAATCTGCGTTTGGAAGCTACTGCGGATGGGACTACTACTATGCAGCCTGAAGAGTCTGACGCCCCGCCGCTCCTGTGCCAAGCCAGTGCAATGACCGGCCCCTCCCACACCTCACCTCAACCCCATCCCCTTATTGCCCACCACCTCCCCCACCCGCAGGAGGAGCTGCTTCTGGACTCGGGGCTGGCTGCCACCGCAGCGGCCGCCGAGGGAGGCCGGCTGCCGCACACGCCTAGTCCCGCAGAGGTGAGCAGCAGCAAGAGGCAGTGCAGGCCGGGTCTGGGGAAGCCCACTCCTGCGGGTACCCCTGGTCGTGCACCCCTCGGTTCTTTCCCCTTACCCTTACACCTCCCCTCAGCCCCATGCGCTTCTTCCCCTCCCTCGCTTCCTCCCTCCTTCGGCCCCCGCAGCTGTGCACCTGGCTGGAGGGCCGCACGCTGCCGCTGTCGCAGCTGGTGGGTCAGCTGGCGCCGCTGCTGCCGGCCGGGTCCGACCCCACCGCCCTCCGCACCTGGCTGGTGGACCTGGCGCAGAGGAGGAGCTACGCGGCCAAGGAGGGTGAGAGGCGGGGCGGGGGAGGGGGGAGGCGTGCGGGATGGGGAGGAGGGGCTTTGTACCAGAGGAGGGGCTCGCACGAGTAGGAGAGGGACCCTGAGTGCGCCCCTCCCTCTTGCTCCTTCCCTTCCACCCAGTCTCCCTGGACGGCGCTGCCGCCTCCGAGGACACCACCCCGGGTCGGCTGTGGGTGTGGGAGGTGCGCGACCCGCGGAAGCACCTGGCGGACAAGGGCACTCGCAAACTGGTGGACCTGCAGCGCAAGAGGAGGAAGGAGGTGGGCGGGAGGGCGGGGGTGGGTGGGAGGAGGAAGGAGGTGCGGGCGGGGGGCGGGCGGCAACCTAAGGTGGAGATGCCGCTCCCGGCAGCCACACATGCATGCATGCATAACCGGCGTCCCCTCATACATCTGTATGCCCCGTTACCTAGCACCATTCACTCTCTCAACACCCATTCCTCCCCCCACCTCAGCTCCGCGAGCGCCTGGTAGCGGTGTGCGCCGCAGTGGAGGCGCTGGCGGCACTGCAGGCACTGCAGGCGCCCCCCGCACCGGGCACCAAGGGGCCCTCCGCCGCTGCCCGCCGCAGCGCCGAGTCGCGCGCCGCCCGGTCGCTGCAGCGGCTGGGGAAGCTGGCTGAGCTGGGCGCGGTGGAGGCGGGCTTCAGGACGGCGGTGGGGGAGCTGGCGGCGGCTGGGGGGGCGGCGGCGGGGCGCAGGGAGAAGGAGCGGGAGCGCAAGGTGGGCGGAGGGAGGGGGGCGGACTACTGGGTGGAGGGTGGGAAGCGGGGTTGGGGTGGGGTGAGGGATGAGGCGGGCTGTGCTCTGGGTAGGCGGGCGCCCCTACTTTGCATGGGCCTTCGGACTCATCTTGCGACCCTCGTGCACCGCAGGAGAAGGAGGAGGCCAAGGCACGGCAACGGGAGGAGGAGGCGCGAGCAAAGGAGGTGCGTGTGGCTGAGGGCAGGCGTCGTCATCGTCGTGCTGCTGCTGCTGCACCCTAACGTAGCTCAGAACCGTACGTGTGATGCCAATGGCTCACGATGTAGCGCATGTTGCTCTCCTGTTGCCTCAGAGCCCTTCCCTGCCTCCCAACGCTCGTCTCTCCCTCCATCTCCCCCACCTCCCGCGCCCCCCGCAGGCCAAGCGGGCCCAGGAGGAGGAGGCGAAGCGGAAGGCCAAGGAGGCGGCAGCGGCCAGCAAGGCGGGCTTCCACTCGCGGGAGGGACTGCGGAAGAGCCAGAACCTCATGGAGGTGGGAGGGGAGGGGCAGGGTGGGGCACTGGGGGCAGGTGCTGCATGGCTGGGTGCACGATCTACTAGGAGGTGGGAGGGACGGGGCGAGGCGGATGCGTAGTGCTGCTTGAACTGCAGACCTCGGGCTGCCTTCATGCGTTGCGTCGTTCCATCGCTTCAGCATGCAAGCCTGTATGCCTAGAACAACATCACCATCATCAATCCCCATGCCGACACGCCCTGCATGGAACCGCCCCGGTGCCCCCAGAGCTTCTTCAAGCGCTCCGCTGCGGCCAAGTCGGGAGCAGCAGCAGCCGGGCAGTCGGGGGGAGGTGCAGCAGCGGGGGCCGGCGGGGGCGGTGCTGGCTTGGAGGCCCCCGCTGCGGGCGGAGGTGCGGAGGCGGGTGAGGGCCCGGGCTCACAGGCCCCCGGCCACCCGCACCCCCAGCAGCAGCAGCACTCGCTGCCCCCCGCTGCGGGCGGGAGCTCCCAGGCCGCCGTGGCCACCCCCGCGCGGGAGCGGGAGGGCCCCTCCCTCTTCAATGCCTCTAAGCTGGCATGCAGGTGGGGGCTGGCGGGTTGCGACTTGCATGCAAGGAGAAGGGAACTACTACCCAGGTTGCGCTTTGTTTGGGTGCTGGTGGGTGATGTACACACAGCACACACTAGGCCCCAGAGCAGCCCTCATCGACGGCGGGCATCTCAACGGGTGGTGGTCGAGCACCCGAACCACCACCTCCTTCCCGCGTTCTTCCCAAACCCCCCCCCTCCACCCCGTAGGCAGCCCGACCCCGCCCTGGTGGCCGCCCTGGACGCCGCCGCCTCCCAGCTGCCGCTGCCGCCCGAGCGGGTGGCGGAGCTGTTCCGAGAGGACCACCGGCGGTGGCGGGAGCAGCGGAGGGCGCGGAAGCGCATGATTGGTGGGTGTCAATCACATGTGTGCATGGACGCATTCACGGACACATGCAGCTGGACACGTGCAGCAGCAAAGGAACCGTGGGAAGGAGGGAAAGAAGCATGGCGCATGCTGCTCCTCCCATGCCGTCTGCCTATCTCCCGTTGTTCCACTTACCTTTTATATGCATGCCCCAACACCCCTGCCCCTCACGCAGGTGTGCCGCCCACCTGGTCCCGCCGCCCCAACGCGCCCACCGACATCCGCGTGCTGGCGGCCGCCTACTACGGCGACGTGGGCTCTCTGGAGCTGCGGGAGGGCGGCTCCTGGGCGGGGCTGCGCACCTGGCGCCGCAAGCTGATCGCCTTCCCCAAGAAGGAGAGCGCCCGGCCGCCCTTTTACGGCTCATTCAGCAAGACCAGGTGCGGGGAAGGAAGGCCGCGGTCTGGGTGCGGGAGGGATAGGAGTTGGTCTGTAAACATGACTCCAGATTCGTGTGGACTCGTTTTCCATAGCCTGCGATACGCATGTAAACTTATCTCTTCCACCTTCCGCCTCCTTACCTCCCTCCCACACTTTGGAATTTCTTTTTTCCCCCACCTGCCCCCCCCAGCACCGCTGCGGGCCCCCGACGGCCCTTCGGTCGCGACCCCGCACTGGACTACGAGGTGGCTAGCGACGAGGAGTGGGAGGAGGAGCCGGAGGTGCGTTGAGGGAGAGCAGTAGGGGAAGATAGGGATGTAGAAGGGGGGCTGGCAACCCTCCGTGCTTCCTTCCTCCTGTGATGCTTGCAGCTTCCCCTTCTTCCTTTTCCAAAGTCGTTTTTTAAAATAATGTTGGTCTTGTTGGACCTCCTCTTCTCCTCACTGCAATCCCCTCCTCTTCTCCCGACTGCGGCCCCAGGGCGAGAGCTTGTCCGACAGCGGTGACGAGGGTGACAGTCACGTGGGTGCGGGTGAGGGCGCGGAGGAGGAGGACGACGGCTTCATCGTGGGGGACGACCACCTGTCGGAGGACGAGGGCGCGCAGCTGAGCGGTGACCCTGACGGTGCGGATGGGGGAGCCGCCACAAGGGGGAGGGCGATGACGCGACTGTATCAGATTGCTTGACGTTCCTTTGTTGCCTGGCCTGCCTGGGTCGTCCGCATGGATCACCACTGCTTAACCGGGGTGCGCCTCCACCCCACTGCCCTCAACCGCGCTTGAAACACCGCAACTCCCTCCCGCAGACCCGATGGAGGTGGACGGCGCCGCACGTGTCCCACGGGTCGCTGCAGCCGGCGGCCCCACTCGCCACCTGGACCCCCGACTGCAGCAGCTCGAGTCGGCCATCGAGCGAGTGCGCACCACCAACCGCCCAGTACTCCTGGTGCGGCCCCCGCCACCGCCGCCGGCGCCAGCCACAGCACCAGCAGCAGCACCCGCTGCTTCTGGATTGGGAGAGGAGGCGGCTGCCTCCGCTGCCCCGGCCGCACCCCCTGCGGGCCCCTGCCAGCTGCGAGCGGAGCCCCGCCCCGGCCTCAACACCGGGCTGGACCCGGGGCTGCTGGGCGCGCTGCGACCCGTGGTTCACCGGCCCGACCTGCCGCTGGCACCGCCGCGGGAGCCGGACGTGTACAGCGTGTATGCGGTTGCGGCAGCGGGGGGACCGAGCGGCTGGAGCTTGATGGAGGGCGGCGGGCTGGAGGAGGGTGAGAGTCGGGGCGCGGAGGGGGAGCGGTTGCGTGGTGGTGTGCAAGGCCTTGCACCTTTTTGCACTGTTCGTTAGCTGGTGCGGACAGCTTGGTCTCTTATGCATGTTTCCTCCTCCGCCCTCGTCCCATGCCGCCCCAGGCCGCATGGCAGCCGCCGGAGGGCTGCAGGCCGGGGTGCCCTCAGGCGCCCCGCTGGGTGCACTGGGCCCTGGCGGCGGAGGTGTGGGGCCCGGTGGTGTGATGGCGGGTGGTATTGCAGGTGCCGCTACCGGTGTGGCTGCCAGCGGCCCCGGGGTGCGACCCCCCGGCAGCGGCCACCGCGGCCGCACGCCGGGTCCCTCCCTGGGCGAGGGGGCGCTGCGGCTGCTGGCGGAGTACCTGCTGGGTTGCGCGGATAAGAACTTGGAGAAGGTACGGCGGGAGGTTGGTGGTAGTTCGTGGGATGGACCGGCTAGCGGCATCGTTCCCGGGTTTTGCGGCTTCATGTGACCCGTACGCCCTGCTCCCGCTGTCTCCCCCGCCCCCCCAGGTAGTGGAGGGCTTCCAGGCCACCTTCCCGCCGGGTGGCCCCAAGCCGCCCGCCAAGACCCGGGTGCGGGAGGCGGTCAAGCGGCTAGGCGCCTGGTCCGCTGCCAGCAGGCGCTGGGCGCTGCACGGAGGCGGCGTGGAGGAGGCGGTGGCCGGGGCCATTGCGGCAGCCGCGGCGGCGGCATCTGCAGCTGCAGCGACGCAATTAGTAGGCACGCCGCTGTCAGGGCTAGCGGCTGTGGCGAGTCAGGGAGTGATGGGCAGTGCAGTGGCAGCAGCGGGGGCGCAGCACCTGCCTCCCGGGGCAGTCATGACGCCCTTGCAGCAGGGAGGGGGCGCCGGAGGGGCGGTGACGCCCACACCCACGCCGGGGGGGCCGGGAGCAGCTCAGGGTGAGCTTAAGGGGCGTGGCGGTGGGAAAGCGAGGGCTACGCTGAAGGCAATACTGAACTTTGTTGACGGGAAGATGTGCGCCCTGATCCATGCATGCCCAATTCTGATCTTGTGCTCCTGTTGTGTTCACCATGCATGTCTGAAAGGGCCCCGCTACCCGCATGGCTGCTCCCGCAGGCCTCCCCGCGCCCACCCCCACTCCGCAGCTGGGCCTGCCTCCCAGCCGGCTGGTCACTCCGTGCGCCGCGGCAGGTGGGCTGGGTCGGGGCGGAGGGCTGCGCTGCTTGTGCACTGATGACAGGCTTTTATCCGGCCTTTTTCGACCCCTGTCTGGCTTTATACGCCGCATGCATGTGTTATGCAGACCTTGCTTGGGAAATGGAATCCAATATTACTTCCTTTCCTGACAACCCCACAGGTGCCCTGCCCGCCCTCCATGCGCCCGCCTGCACCCCTGCGGAGAACGGCACTGCGGTCCGGCAGCAGCGACCCACGGGTCACCACATGCTGCCACAGCACCTCGCAGCCGCCCTAGCCAAGCTGGCCAACGACGCCCCTCCGGCCCCCAGCCCCATGCCATCAGGGACCACCTCCCACCTACCGGGTCCAGGAGCCCTGGGAGCTGCGGGGCCGGGTGCGCCCGCCTGCACCCCGGTTGGCGTAGGAGGCGGCGGCATGGTCGGCGCTTTCGGAGGGGCGAGAGCGCGCGCGCCGACTCCCTCCTCTGCGGCTGTTCTGCCGCTGGATGGGTCGCTGCTGCAGCGGAAGCTCCTGGCGGCTGCTGAGCTGCAGACAGCAGTGGAGGCGGTGCAGGAGGAGGCGGAGGAGGAGCCGCTGGTGGTAGCTAGCAGGCCAGCAGCGGGGGCGGAGGGGAAGGCGGCTGCGGCGCTGGCTGGTGCCGAGGAGGGCGAGGACGCCATGGAATGCGAGGAGCCGCGGAGTGGCGGCCCGTTGGATGGACTGCCCGGGGGCGCGAGCCGGAGCGAGGCGGACGGAAGCGCTGGTGATGCAGCGGGGCCGAGGCCGGAGGAGGAGGAGGATGCAGGCGGCGAGCAAGGAGGGCGCATGGGAGCTATGGAGAGGGGAGAGGAGGGCGCCCCGCCGCCGCCACTGCCGCTGGTGCTGCCTAAGCCCATGTGAGAGAGGGGCGCGGCCGGGGTGGCGGGGCGGGCGGGGTCATGTAACTGGTTTAACGGAGGGGGGTTGTAGATATCCTGGAGCTGTAGTGGTGTAGTGGTCGTTGGTGCGTTGTTATCCTGTTGGGATGGGGCTGACGCCTTAGAGGGCTGCAAGAGAGGGGGAAATGCCTTTGGTACTTAACCGTTCGAAACTATGTTAGGACATTGCAAACACTGTAGCTTTTTGCTTACATGATGTTAAAATGATGAGGCTAGGACGTCCCACCATGCATATAACAGGCGATAGAAATGCGGCGAGCGCGCTTAGCGTTCGTTTTATAGCACCTTCCGTTGTGCAAGTCGGCAGAATCCGAGGTAGACTAGGACTCGAATCGTAGTACGATGATCATGTTGTACGGCACAACGTGTGTGACATGCGCAGTCATGTGTGTGTACGGACATTGAACCGGCGAGCCAGCGCTGCAGGTTGGCCCTTGTAACCCCTCATGCTGCTGCTTGGACCCCACCACAGCACCCGTCTCCTACGGTGTTTCTACCTAGAGCCTCCAGCAACACAAGTCATCCAACTCATCGCGTTGCTGTACCCCTACGTGCCCATGACCGCTACATCATTGCCTAGCAGAACCTGAACCCCTACTGCGTAGATACGCCCTTACAAATGCCAGCAGCGAGTCTGTCCGTTGCATCGCGCATGCACCGTTTGACCCTTGTAAGTTATAACACAATTCCCGTCTCGGCTTCTGAGCGCATGCCCTCACTCCTGCCAACCTCCTCCACCCCTCCCCAGGCCCCCCGCTCCGCCCGCCCTACCTGAGCTCGCCGCGCTGGGCACCGCCCACCCGCACTGGCGGCTGCTGACAGGCTGGCTGCTGGGCGGGGGCGGCGCGGCGGCGCGGGCGCGGCGGCACGGGCCCTCCTGGGCTGACGTGTCGGCGGCGCTGCAGGTGTTTGAGGCGGGAGAGCTGGAGCCGCGGCTGGGGGCCGTGCCGCTGGACGTAGTGAGGGGTGAGAGGCGCGGAGGGGAGGGCATGGAGGACTGGGGTTGGGGTCGTGAGGACGAGACATGAATGAGCAGGCGGCAAGCGTAGCATTGATACCTGGGTTTGCCCATGCGGCAGCGTTTCGGTTCCCTTCGGCTAGTATCCGTATCCGTATTCGTGTTTCGGCCAATGCAAGTGCCGCTAGCGAAGGGGCACGGGTCAGCCCTAGCCTGCTTTCACGAGTTACGACCACACTAGCCACCTCCACACTGCAACACCCGCACCCCCGTTTATCGTTCCTCGCCTCGCCTCGCAGCCCTGCTGGCCGTGTGCCACCACCGCCGCAGCAGCCACCTGCGCTCCGGGGCCTTCAAGGCGCTCGGCAACCTAGCGGCGGCACTGGGCGCAGCGGCGGCACAACCCGCGACGGCAGGGGCGGGGGCGGGGACAGCTGGATCCTCTCCGGGTCGGCCGGCCAGGCGGCGAGGTCCTGGACGCGCCAACAAGACAACGCCTGCGGCTGCGGACACCGCAACAGGTGCGAATGGTGAAAAGGACTTCACGTGCAAAACAATCAGTCGCTCGTTGTTTCTGGTGGCCCTGACCTGCAGCCTACCACATGCGGGAGCCCCACGGTTTTGCCTGCTTGTGCGTAAACCTTGTTCTCTGTCCGGTTTATACTAATTAGCCTGCGAATTTCCTTGCACATGTTCCGCAGAGCCTTCACCGCTGGTGCTGCGACCCACGGGTCAGCCCTCCCGCTGCAGCCCGCAGCCCGTGACGCTGCCTGCGCTGCTGGCGCTGCCGGGTCTGCTGGAGGCGCTGCGGGTGGGGTGCTGCCGCAGCGACCCGGACAGCGAGGTGGACAAGGCGGCGCGGGCGGGCGCACGCGTGCTGGGTGAGAGGGAAGGCAGGGGTAGGAAGGAAGGGGTCGATATCGGGCTTGGTGGGTGGATGTAGGTCCGTGAGCTTGTTGCCTCCTATGCGCTGATCCACGGAGCTCGATTCTGGTACTGAGGACGCCCTTCCCAAACACTCTCCTCGGCCGCTACTCCCTTCCTGCAGCTGCGCTAGTGGGTGTTGGCATTCTGCCGCTCAGCGCCACTGCGCCATTCGGAGCGTCCCAGCAGCAGCAGCAGCAAGAGCAGGAGCAGCAGCAGCAGGGTGACGGGGCGGAGAATGCCGGGCCGGCAGTGCAGTCGCCGCTGAGCCGCGAGGTGGCGGATGCGGCAGCCGCCTTCAGGCTGAAGGTACGTGGGGTCTAACAGCTTGGTTGCTCTTCTCACGGAGAGGGGATAGCCTTCTGATGTCGGTAGGAGGGTAGGAGAGTGGGCTGCTTGCATTGCAGCGAACGGTGGCAACCAGTTATGGCATTGCATGCTCGCTTGCATAGGCCTGCCTATGAGTTTACAGCCTCCTTTGCGGCGGGACTGCGTTATCATGCAACTGAGCAAGGCGCTCTACCCTCCAGCAGTACCTGCCTTCATCCCCATTGTCATCGGCGTCTTCTCCTCCGTCCTTCCCCCACTTGCAGGTGGCCTCCAACCCAGACCTCCACTCCGCCCTGCGTGATGCCGCCTGCCCGCCGGCCGCCGCCGCCTCCGACCCCCCGACTTCCGCTCGCGCCGTCTACCGCGCGCACATGCTGCTGGCGCTGCAGAGGGTTTTGCGGGACCCCGCCGCCGCGCCGCTCGTCACCAAGACCAAGGAGCGGGTGGCCAAGGAGCGGGACGCCGCCGCCTCGGGTAGGCCGCCCCCTGCACCCGCCAGCGCGGATGTGCAGTCCAAGTGCGCCGCTCGGCTGCTGCAGCGTCTGGTGGCGGGCGGGGCCGAGGTGGAGCACCCGGTGAGTTGCCGCTGGTTTTCAACTTGAAAGGATCTGAGGTTGCTAACTGCTTACCTCGCACGGATTCGTTTACACGGTCAAATTCTCATATACCATGCCTCCACTCATCCCTCCATGTGCTCCTGCCGCCCCCCAGGGCTGCCGCAAGGGCCTGGTGCAGTGCGCGGTGGCGCTGCTGGAGCACCCGCACCTGCGTCACGTGCTGGTGCCGCAGCCGCCCGAGGCGCAGGCTGCTGACGGGTCCGGAGCGGCGGGTGGGCAGGCGGGGCCTGCACTGCGAGACGGCTGGGGGGCGCTGCTGGGCGGCAACGATCCGCGCACACAGCTCCCCGCCACGTGCCTCACGCTGCTGGCGTCTGAGCTGCGCCACATCAGTGCCAGGTGAACTCGCGGTGTGGTGACAGGGAGGGCTCACAGGGTTGGTTGCGGGCAGAGGATATGCAATGGTCCAATTCTCCCCACGCGACGCAGTACAAGCTCCACACGCGACGCCCTAGTACCGCCTTCCCCGCGCATGTTTCTTTCCTTGCGTCCCCTTACAGTTGCGTTGGGGCTGAGGAGACCGCGCTAGACAAGTGTGCACGCAGCCGGGTGCTGTTTGCTGTTGCGGTGGCGGAGCGGGCGCTGCTGTTCCTGGCGCGTAACGACGCCACCGCAAAGCAGCTGCTGAAGCACGCGGATACGCGCACGGCTGTTGCAGACATGTTGCAAGCGATTCAGGTGAGCCATGGGTGCTGGCTGCTGGGTACTGTGCTGGAGGCAATTGAGTTGACTTGGCCAACACGTTGCCGTTGTTCGACAAACCATTCACGCCTCGGCGGGGCATCCCGTGTTTCCCCCCTCAGAAGGCGAGCAGCGTCCTTGCTGGCAACCAAGACCCGTCCCTGGAGTCGTTGATTGCACGGGTTGAAGTGCTAGCGACGGACCTGGCCTGACGTTTGACGGCTCTTTGATAGTTTAGCCGCTTGGGTTATTGTCCCGCAGTCTAGGATCTTGGCGATGGCATGTGCTTCCGCTTTTCGTGTAGTTCCGGGCATTACACTGATGTTTCGCATTGACGGCTTCGTATACCGTAGGGCTAGAGTACGGTAGAAACGCAGCGCTGACATGCCGCTAGTTCCCTTTGGTCATAGCCTCCATCGCTAGGCCGCTTTGCAGCTTCGGCAAAAATGTAATTGCACCGTGACGTCCCGTACGTGACTGCTCCACCTTCCAAAAGGCGCGATTCCACGCTATTGCTCGCTACCTCCCAGCTTTACAGCGGAACCCCACAACATGTACCATTGTCCGGTCCACCAGGGACCACTCTCGAACCATCTCCTAACATGGTTAAGTTGCCGGCTGTAACCAAGCAAGCTTGCACTTCTGAGCCCGCGAGTGCATCCCCGGCAGAAGGCCGCCGTGTGCACCCCGACAACACAAACCGTGCCACCCAACCTGTCGCCACCAGCGGGACATGCCGCCGGCCCTACCCGGCGCCCGGCGCGGCCCGCGTGGGTGGTTAGTGACAACGCAACAAACTAAACGGCTGAACTCAGCCGAAACCCAGACCTCAGGGGATTCACCACCGGCCCTGAGCGGCGCCCGGTGTCGCCTGCAGGCTGATGAACAAGTACAACCGAGCCAAACAAGGCGAGCCCATACCCAGAGTACCATAAAGACAGCCGTCCCTACACGGCGCCCGGCGCAGGCTACGCGGGTGTGTGGGGGGGGGTGAAGGGAATGCGATTTTTACAGGGGAGTCCCAACAACTCAAGTGCAACGCACAACCCTATGGGCCTTATAGACCATGCCACAAACTTAAGTCATTGGGATCAATTGTCCCTCTTCAAGTAAGGGATAAAGTTTCATTCACCTGGTGGTGGTCTGTTTATCACTGAACCATTCTCGTTAGTCGCTAGGAAAGGGTGCTGCCTAGGTATTCTACTCCAACCTCTCGGGGGAATATTCAACATGGCAAAAGAACGAAGTCGTGTTCAAAAATCCGCTGTCACCTCAACACATAAATCTCTTGTCTTGCAACCGTTCCTCCTCTTCCTTCCTCAAGTCCTGTTCTGTACGTGAAGCCCATCCTGGCAGAAGGACGGCACCTCTTGCCTATGAAGTGGTACTGTGGCAAGTTAACAAACCAGGCACAGCCTCTGCGAGAAAGCCACCGACCACTGTACGACATCGCTGACACGCTGAACGGTAGCTGAACACGCAATAAGTGAACTTTCCACTCCGCAAATATGTTAGCACATCTAGCGCTTGGCCCTATTCATTTTCCAGCCCAGACGTCCTGAAGCTCCTTCTAAAGCATTGTGACCCCAGGGTCAGTCGCCATGGATCATCAATATGATTTGTTATGCTGTTCATCCGTTCCACCAGCATCAGGCAATGAAGGTACGATGTTAGCAGTTGTCATAGCGTAGTCAAGACACACGTCACCTAGAAGTCGAGTGTTCTGGTAATAAGCACAAACTAAGTTGTCACTGCAGCATTGGCATACACTAATGCATGCAGAAGTGAGGATTGACAATGCTACAAAAACAAAGTTAAAACCAGTGACATTATTCTCATGCAAGGAGAAATGAGTACTTGTACTGCTGGGACCTTTGCTGTGGCAACTGAGATGCATGGATAGTGGTCATCAGACGGCAAGTTGACGAGCATTTACTTACATTGCGAATACTGCGCTTTAGTACGTCTGATATGTCCCAAGGCCAACTCGCCACACATTTACGTTCAGGGCCAAGACCCCTGCCGCCTGACGCACAGCTACCGTCAAACCTTAAACCATATCATTGGCACAGAAAGACAACAGCTACCAGCGACTCTCCGTACATGTACGAAACGATAATCGAAATGAATGGCGTATGCAAGAAGATGCGTACAAAGATGGCTAAAGAGCCAATAGGGTTACCAAGTCACATATAGTCAGTCAATGTTTTGTCACATGTAAATCAGAAGCAATCACCACCTACAAGCCTACAGTCATTGCACTACTCTTGTACACTTAGTTCTCCTCCTCCTCGCCCTCGAACTCGCCCTCCTCCTCAGCGGAGGCGTCCTGGTACTGCTGGTACTCGGAGACCAGATCGTTCATGTTGGACTCGGCCTCAGTGAACTCCATCTCGTCCATGCCCTCACCGGTGTACCAGTGGAGGAAAGCCTTGCGGCGGAACATAGCAGTGAACTGCTCCGACACACGCTTGAACATCTCCTGGATGGCCGTAGAGTTGCCGATGAAGGTAGCCGACATCTTGAGGCCCTTGGGAGGGATGTCGCAAACCGACGACTTGACGTTGTTGGGGATCCACTCAACGAAGTAGGACGAGTTCTTGTTCTGCACGTTGAGCATCTGCTCGTCCACCTCCTTGGTGCTCATGCGGCCGCGGAACAGAGCAGAGGCCGTCAGGTAGCGGCCGTGGCGGGGGTCAGCGGCGCACATCATGTTCTTGGCATCCCACATCTGCTGGGTCAGCTCGGGCACAGTCAGGGCACGGTACTGCTGGCTGCCGCGGCTGGTCAGGGGGGTGAAGCCGACCATGAAGAAGTGGAGGCGAGGGAAGGGAATCAGGTTGACGGCAAGCTTACGCAGATCAGCGTTCAGCTGACCAGGGAAGCGCAGGCAGCAGGTGATGCCCGACATGACGGCGGAGATAAGGTGGTTGAGGTCACCGAAGGTAGGGGTGGTCAGCTTCAGGGTGCGGAAGCAGATGTCGTACAGAGCCTCGTTATCCAGGACCATGCACTCATCAGCGTTCTCAACCAGCTGGTGAACGGAGAGGGTGGCGTTGTAGGGCTCAACGACAGTGTCGGACACCTTGGGCGATGGCACGACGGAGAAGGTGAGCATCATGCGGTCGGGGTACTCCTCACGAATCTTGGAGATCAGGAGGGTGCCCATGCCGGAGCCGGTGCCGCCACCAAGGGAGTGGCACACCTGGAAACCTGTAAAGGTGGATAGAAAGGGTGTTCAGGATGATATATGTGAATGAAGTAGTCCAAGTCAGAGCAAGCGCCCCACCCATAGAAACTATGGTATCCAAGCTTTAACGACAGCAAAACGTTCTTACCCTGCAGGCAGTCGCAGCTCTCAGCCTCCTTGCGAACAACGTCAAGGACGGAGTCAATAAGCTCAGCACCCTCGGTGTAGTGGCCCTTGGCCCAGTTGTTGCCGGCGCCGGTCTGGCCGAAGACGAAGTTGTCGGGGCGGAAGATCTGGCCATAAGGACCAGAGCGCACGGAGTCCATGGTGCCGGGCTCCAGGTCCATCAGGATGGCACGGGGAACATAGCGGCCTGAGGGAAGAAGGGAAGGCGGGAAGGAAGCGGGAAGATTGGAGAACATGTGAGGACGCGGGGCAAAAATCTGGGAATATAGGATGGCAGTAAACATTGCATTTGCTTTGATCAATAAAACTTCCTTCAACTAATTTACGAGGAATTTGGCGGACGGTACTGTAAGGGCAAGTGTCATCCGAAAGAGCCGCGGAAGTCGGGCCGCCTAACGCAAGCCTTCTGTACGCTAGATATTCTTAAAAATACAAATCTTACCTCCGGTGGCCTCGTTGAAGTACACGTTGATGCGCTCCAGCTGCAGGTCGGAGTCGCCATGGTAGGTGCCGGTGGGGTCGATGCCGTGCTCATCAGAGACGACCTCCCAGAACTTGGCACCGATCTGGTTGCCGCACTGGCCACCCTGTGGAGGCAAAGGATGTTCCGGGAAGTGGTCAGGGCCGCGCCATCAGGTGAGGTGAAGGGGACGCGGCCAATAAGCGCCATAGCTGCACAACATGATCATGTGTAGTATATTATTATAAAGGGCTACCAACCTGGATGTGGACGATCTCACGCATGGTTGCTTGTGGAAGGAAAAGAGGAAGCGAGGAGGATCACACGCAAGGTTGCGTGTCTACAGCAGCTGCTGATTAGCAAGCTACTTAAGCGGGAGGTAATAGTAGATGGGAAAGCTTGTATGCTTTAAAGAAGTTTGGACGCTGGCTTATATATGCCCTGGCAGCTTAGAATTTGAGGACATGGCCGTACATCAGGCCCAGCATGCCCGCGCGCGAAACGTTTGAACCGACTTCCGACAACCTCCTAAAAGCCTTAAAGGGCAATTCATATGCGCAGCAGGCGCGCGCTCAAATGTTGCGAGCGCAATCGGCGAACACCGCTTCGGAGATGGCATCGCTCCCACAAGTGCAACAGCTCTGAAACGTGTTTTTCAGCACATCAAACATAAATGGCTGCTGACAGCGCTTCACTGCAGCTGCCTGGCGTGTTAAGGCCGTCCTACTGCTCGCACAGGCCATCAAGCATGCTTGTGAATTGTAATATGAGCCTGAAGACTTGCAGTTATTCCCTGCCAAAGCTAATGAATGGATGGGAACGCAACTTTGGTGTAGCCATAGAGAACATATCAATGAGGTGTAGACCAGTTTACAGCAAAAACTTGGACATCACGGACTCAACTTATGGCTTACTCTGCAAAAGATGATTTCAGCCACCGCAGGATGTGGAAGATGCCCCAAACGGTTGTCTTGTCACCGTCGCCTGGGCCGTGTTGCTAGCCATCTAAAAAAAGTGACATCCACACATCCATTAAAGCGTCCGCGGGCTAGACTTCGGGTAGTCCTTCTATGCACCACCCATCCCAAAGCTGTGCTGTGCAACTGCACGACCTTATCACTGCGCCAAACACACGAGAAGCCTCCCCCAAGACCCGCGCTCTGCGTTCCAGGCACACAGGACTGCTGCAAAGCCAGGTTCCAAGGACGTGCCGTGAGCATGCAAGCCGTGGAACAAGGCCATCAGTTCCTGGCCGGGAAGTGGTGGGCTATGTGGGGGCAGGGTCGGAGGAAGGGGCATTGTACACTACTACACTTGGTACTTCTGAGAGAACTACCCAGCCATGCTTGTTGCACACTACGTGCAGGCGGTAAGTTACACCAAGCATCTTCCCTCCGGTTTTGAAGAAGCCATCTGCTACTGAAAGCCTGTGGACTTCTCCCCAAGGTGCATTGGTAGAGGTCGTTGTAAAATCAGATCTCGTGTGGGCAGCGCCGGAACTGTTTTGCTCTTGTTTCCGCTCAACTACACAAGGGAGGGACATCCCTAAATACCCAAGATGTTCGCACATGTAACACCTCCGCTCCAGCACTGCACATGTCCTCATGAGACTATGACTTTGCATGCAGGCGACACGCGATAACCACCCTTTACTGCGGAGGAGAAGCCATGGGTACCGGTAATTGAGGCATGCCTCCGTTGGTGCGCGGCGTGGACGGGTTTCACGCTGTCCTTCCATTTGGGTCAGAGACCATAGCAGGGAGCAGGACGTGGGATTCACCAGCGCGTGTTTGTGTTACATTGCACGGCGTCGTGCACGGGCAGCATAACTCGTACAGCCCGAGGCATGTCCAGCTCACCACCTCACACAAGGCCTACAGTGATTGAGGTCCGGAGGCACTGGCACGGCGGTACGCAGCCGGCATCTAACCCGGCAAGCAGCACAAGAGCAACCAGGGGTGCAGACTGGCTTGCAGGCTTGCAATGCTCAATACCCCGAGACTCAAACCAGAACCTGCTTTAAAGCCGTTCCTAATATGCGGGCCTGTGCGGGCCAGGAACCAAACCCTCTAGCCTAGTGCAAAGCGTCCAGCGCTTAAAATCCGAAACAGTAGCTGTTGTCCGAGAGCTAAGAAGCCGGTAGGCTGGGAAAACGCATGGTACCAGCGCCTGGCACCATGCCCAACCAGCCCACCAACTCTTGCGTTGTTAATCTTTGCCACGCGACTGGACCCACATGGTAACGACGCTAAAAAGTTCCGCAACCCATTGTACCATTCCGCCAAAGGGAGCACAGCGCCCACAACAGCTAATCCCGCTTGCATCCTGCATTTACCTACTGCTGCTCTATTCCAAATCTCCTCCCGCTTACTTCTTCCCTCGCATGCGTGGAATACCAGCTTACCATCCTCCAGACTCTTTCCAGCTCTTTCCAGCTCCCTAACTACACTTACTACCGGCCTCCCGCAAGCCCACATCCGCTCCCGCCTCAATCCCCTCGGAAGCCACCCCAGCTCTCACCCATCTCCCGCCCGTGCTGCTGCCAACTACCCACACTACCCTACTCCGCACTGTTAACTCCCCTTCACTTCTTCAGGGACACGCCCTTATCGTCCACCACAAACGTGTCCTTGTTGGCGCTGAGGTAGGCGGACAGCTTGCCGGCCACCGCCGCCGGCTTCTTCACGGCGGTGCCCAGGCTGCTCAGCGGCACCGGGCCCTTCTGCGAGCCCAGGAAGTCAACCAGCGCCGCGCGGAACTCGGACTCCGTGGCGGGGGTCTTCACGCCTGGGGGAGGAGGTGGAGGTGGAGGTAGGAAGGTGGAAGGGATAAGGCATGGCGCAGCAGGGAAGGCCCCGTCTTTGGGGCGGCATTGGGCATGCAGCAGAGGTACTGGCAAGCTGTGGTCACTCACCCTTCGGCTGTTCCTTCGGCTTCTCCTCCTTGCCCTTCGGCGCCTTCTCCTCCTTGACCTTAGCCTTCTCTCCCTTCTCCTCCTTGCCCTTGCCCTTCTGCGCCTTCTCCTCCGCCCCCGCCAGCGTCACCGGGATCTGCCGGGGCCCGCCCTGCTTGTCCTTCTGCTGCTGCTGCTGCAGCTGCTTGGGCGGCGCGGACTTGGGCGGCTCCTGCTTGGCCTGCTTGGGCGCCTTGCCCGGCTGGGGGGTTTGCGCGGCGCGCTTGCTGCCCACCTGCGGGTGATGAGCGGGCAGCGGGGGGCACCCGGGGGCCCGTTAGGGATGTTGCTAATATGTCTTATGGTCGTTATGGAGTGGTGGTACCGGTAGGGAGGAGGAGGAGGAGGAGGAGGAGGAGGAGGAAAGAAGCCTGGAAGTCGTGGAAATGACAGCGTGCAGACTGGTATAGGGGGTGAGGGGTGAGGGCAAACAGAGCGCGTGGCAGCAGGTTGGGGACCCGGCAGCGCTCCCAAACGGTCACTGAGGGGGTTTCAACCCATGCATTGCTTCCCACCTTGGCGGTTGGCTTGGCAGGCGTCTCCTCCTTCTCAGTCTCCTCCTCCTCCTCGCTCTCCTCGTCCTCCTCCTCCTCGTCTTCGTCCTCATCTGCGGGATGGCGGGGTAAGGGTAGCGGGCTCAGAACACCACCGTAACAGCGTGCTACATACCAGTAACAGAAGGACAGAACCGGCCAACAAGCCAGGACCAAGGCATGGACTGGTACGGCAGCAGCTCCGAAAACCTAACCATCCTATGGTACTTAGATGTCCACCCCTACGGAAAAGCCGGATCGGACGCAGCCCTTCCTCCGCCTGCCATCCCTGCTAACGTCCATCCCACGTACCTGCTTCAGCAACCATATCGTCCGATCCCAACTGGTCAATGTCGGGGATGCTCTCATCGTCCTCCTCGTCCTCCTCATCCTCATCCTCGTCTCCCTCCTCGCCTTCCTCGTCCTCCTCGTCCTCCTCGTCCTCTGCAAGCACGTGCATGGTGGGCGGAAAACCGCGTAAACTCTTAACCGCCAAGCAGGCACCGGTCAGCAGCAGCCGCGGCACCAGCCTCAAACCCCTTCAAGCACCCTTATCATCAAACCCCTCCCAAACCCGTACCCCTCCCGCACCTCAGGAGGTCCCCACAGGACACCGCTGCCACTCACCACTGTCGGTGTCCATCAGGTCACCATCGGGGCTGTCCACCGCCACCCGCCGCAGCCGCCGACCCTGCAGCCACACACACACACAGTTCAGTTCACAGTTCGTTCCTACTCGCGGCCAGTTTTCTTAACACACACGGTTCAATGCGTTACTAGTCTTACTACTCGAGACCAGTTTCCTCAACATACACACTCGGACAAAAGCAGTCAAAACAGCCGAACGGCAAGTCAACACAACAACGCAGGCAGTGCGAGTAGCCCCTCACCACCAAAACGCCATCGTAAAGAATGCCGTTGTCAAGGGGCCCAGGGCACCCCGGGACCCCACCCAGGTCAGAACACCCACCCGCAGCTTGAGCGCCTTGGGCGTCTCCTCATCGTCCTCGCTGTCCTCCTCGTCCTCATCCTCATCCTCCTCGTCTTCCTCTTCATCCTCGTCCTCGTCGCTGTGCTCGTCCGAGCGCACCTGGGTGGCCACCTGGAAGCCGTACGCGTGCACCTCCGAGTCACCCAGGTTGCGCAGCTTGTACGTCTGCAAGCGCGGGTGGTTAAGTTACAAGGAGTGGCTGTTAGGGTTGGGGCAGTTAGTGGGATGGCGAGCTATGAATGATGGAGGGTGGTCCGGAATTAGGGGGGCGCTCAGCGTTAGGCGGCGGGAGGGCAGAGGGGACGGCGCTAAAACACAGCGACAGGGGTGGTAGTACAATGTAATAGTGAGTAAAGGGGGTGAGTAATACCGCTGAGAGGAGGCGAAGGGTAGGAGAGTGCGTGCAGGTTGGAGCTGTCAAAAGCCCACAAAACGCACCTCGTCAAGTGCGATATCCAGGTGGAACTGGCGCGTGTGAGGCGCCTCCAGCGTGCCAAGCACCGTGATGTTTCCGTTGTACTCCAGCGTGATTGGGTGCGGGCCTGCCTTGGGGTTCACGCCCAGCGCAAGGCCCGTGAGGTGGATGCTGGACAGCACCGAATCGGTGCTCTCCACTTCCTGCTTCACCTCCTTGCCCTTAGCCGGTAGAATAACAGACCAGAAAGCCATTCCTTCAGACATATGCGGGGCGGCGCGAAAGATCGAGAAGGACCGGTAGCAAAGGCGCAGGAGCGGCCTTCGTGAGGTTCACTAACACAGTGTTGGCTAGATCACTAGGTATTGCTGGAAGGAGCGCACGCAAATTGTTTGGAGAGGCGGCAGGTGAGAATGCGAGTCGCGCTCTTGGCGCCGCAAAGGCTAAGCCGACAGTTATTTCGGCCCAGGAATATAGAGCGGCCAGGCTAACGACCAGTCATAATCACCTACTGTCGAATGGCAACTGAATAAAAATAGCGGAAAGCAACTGCCATGGCTCCGGAGCCTGTACGGGCTGCGCCCTGCAAAAGGTCCTGTATTCCCTTGCTTGCGGAGACGGCGAGAAACCCTCATACCAGTTAAGGCGATGGTAAAAGCGTGCCAGGCCGATGATGCTCTGGAAAAGCAGTTTGAGAGCCTGCTCAAACGGCAGGCGGGAGCAGAGGTGAATCCGCACTTTGTTGGAGAACAAACTTATATGACATGATCGAGGAATATAGATCCCGGCTTTTGCAACTGGAACTGCGTGCTTCGCGTAGGTTGGACTGTTAATTGGAAAGCATGCAGCTGGCGCAAAGGCCCTGCTGTATGGAACTATTAGGACCCCAGGCCAGGTATGTATGGACGGCATGAGTTGAATTATTGAAACGTTTCCCGTATGCGAGTCGTCGTGGACTGAATTAGGGCCATTGGATGCCGACCGTTACGTTGCCTCTTGTGCGCACAACCCTGAACGGCAACGTTAAACACCCTGGTCAGGAGGGTCTGGAACCCATCCTAGTTGCTGGAGCGGCAGTGCCTGCGTCAACAAAGGCGGGCAAGAAGTCTGCGGGCGCTGGCAGCGGCAGTGCTACGGTGACTTTGGAGGCTGAATGGATTGCGGAGCATGCCAGGCAGGTAGCCCGCATGCTACCCGGAGGTGCGTGCGGTGCTGGGAAGGGAGGTGGGGGCACGGATAACACGGCAGGTGGACTGGGAACAGATATGTAAGGGCCCCCAGCTGTTAGCCTCGCCATAGCCTCGCCCATGTTTTAGCTTTACCCCACTCTGCGGCCCTTAACTCCCCCACCGCCCATCCATGCAGGCGTGTCCGTGCTGGGCCTCTACGTCTTCTGTCCCGACTCCGCCCTGCCTTCCGCAACCCCGCAGCTATGCGGCCTGCTGGCCACCCTCGCACCCTTTTGCCTCCCGCCTTTCCTGCCTCCCGCCGGCCCAGCCACGTCAGCCACACATGCAGCCGGGCATGCAGACACCCCCTCGGACCTGCTGCTCCTGCACATCGACTCCACCTCCCGCAAGCAGTCCCTGCGAGCCTATCCCGCTGCCGCTGCTGCTGGGGGCGCTTGTAGCACCGCTGCTGCCGCGAGCACCTCGGGCCTGCGGCCCTGTGATCTGCGGTTCGGTCCCTGTCTGGGCGGCTTGGTGCTGCTGCGATGCTGGCACGGGGTCGACGTGGCGCTACCGGTGGCGGCGGCAGGCGGCAGCGGCGGTGCGGAGGGGGAGCGGAGTCAGATGCGGCGGCAGCTGGCGGCACTGGTGGCGGAGGAGGGAGAGCGCATCAGGTGTGGTGTGTTCACTGCTGCGGGCGGCTCACGGTTGCTTCCTGAGGGCGAACCGCTGGGTGAGGCGCTGGCGTCAGCTACGGCGACAGCAGCAGCGGGAGGCGGGGAAAGAGGGGGAGGGAGCTCCAGCGGTCCCGCTGAGGGCGGAATCCTGTCCCTCAACGTCCCCGTCTACGACCTCACTCTGCTGGCTCCGCCCCCCTGCCAGCAGCTGGCGGCAGGGGCAGGCGGAGGCGGGGGGCTGCAGCAGGGGCAGGGGCAGCAGGCGGCGGCGGGCGGCGGCGAGGGGCGCCGTGTGGCGGGTCAGGCGCGGCTGCGAGGGGCGCTGCGGGGGCTGGCGTTCGTGGGGCGGCGGGAGCTGGGCGGGCGGGCGGCGGCGGAGCTGAAGGTGGGGGTGGGGAGAGGCTGCGTTGGGTGATACCGGTACTAGATGCCTGCAGGGAAAGGGTTTGCGTAAGTAGCTAATCACTCACAGGTCGCCATCCAGGACACCCATCACACCGCAGTTCGCCGTTGTCCACCGTCCTCGGGCTCTTACATGGCCCCCGAGCCCCGCATGCCTCACCTCCCAATCTCCCGCCTGTCCCCCCTTGCACCCTGTCTTTCCTCGCCCTGCAGGCTGACCTGCTGTCCAGCCTGGCTGCCCGGCTGGAGCTGCTGGCGGAGGAGGCGGGGCGGGGGGCAGCAGAGGAGGAGGTGGAGGGGGAGAATGAGGCGGGGCGAGCGGGGGCGGCTGAGGTGCCGGCGCACCCGCTGATGTGCTCGGCGGCGCAGCTGGCGGGCGGCTGCCATGTGGCGCTGCCTCGGCGGGTGCTGATGCCATGGCTGGTGAGAGAAGGCCCGGAAGGGAGCGTGGTGCGAAGAAAGGGGCTTACCGGGGTGCCAGCTGGAGGGCAGGAGGGCCCACAGGGGGACTAGGGAGGTGACGGGGGTGCGTTGGTGTGACAGGTTGGGGCTGCGGTGTGCTGTGCACGCACTGCTATACTGACCTACAGGTACTCTACATGTCAGCTCCTACCCTGGATCTGTGCTAGGCAGCCTCCCACCCTGGTTTTAATGCCCTTGCTCCGCCCCCCCTCTTCCCCCTCCTGCTGCCAGGGTGGCGGTCTGGCGCTGTGTGACTACCTGGGTGAGGGGGAGCCGGCGGAGGCGGCGGCGGAGCGGGCAGGGGACTTGCTGGACATGCAGGGGGCGCAGGTGGGCTGGTCTGGGCGGGGATGGAACATGGAAGGAGACGGCGGATGGAAGGAGACGGCCAGAGACGAGCCCGGTTACCGGTACCTGGCCGCCACGGTTCGTCGGTGTTTGTTTTCCCATTGTTAAATGCTTAGTTTCCCCCCTCCCTGCTCCGTCTCTTCCAGGTACACGAGCTGGAGCAGGCGCCTGCTGCCCCCAGCGGTCCCGCCACCTGGCACCCCAATGCCGTCCCCGGCAGCAGCCAGGTGGGGCCGGCAGCAGCCAGAAGCAAGACCGCTGCCGCTGCTGCTGCTGGGGGCGGCGGCAGCAGCGGTTCGGCGGGGCGGATGTCGTGCAGCGGGACAGTGCTGGTGAGCATGGCGGTGGCAGCGCTGGCGGGCGCGGTGGGGCTGCTGTCGCTGGCGGGGCAGCAGGGTAGTAGCTAGGGGGGCCGCGGGGAGCTCGGGCTGAGGGCTCGGGTGAATTTAGCGGGGAGCTGGGCTGAGGGCGGTAGGGGTAAAGGTGAGGTGTGCTGGTGACAGGCGTGCAGTTAGATAAAAGGCAGATGTGCGGCGTTAGCAAAAGTAGCATCGGTTGCATTACTTTATTAACAGAGCACTATTGAGGTGCTGGCGCGACATGCATGGAGGACTATCGCTGGTGCTGTGTTGCACGGGGTATGGCCAGTTGGCCACTTTCGATGGTGGCAGCGATGTCATGGTTTACAATAGCCGGACAGTACCCGACATAGCGACAGGATAACACGCTGCCGGTTGAGGCAAATCCTGACACAACCCGTCTCCCTCCTGTTGAAAGTTTGGGTCGACGACTCAAATTGCTCGACTACTTACATGTTCCATCGCTTGGAGGAACTTTTACATCACCAGCCATGCTACGACGCAAACACGTACGTCTCAAACAGCTGTTTGTACTTCAGTACTCGGGTACCCTTGACATCCGTTACACTCTCTCGCTGGAAAACGGTTGGCTAGTGTCGAAAGCAACGCGTGCCGACTGCATATGCCCGCCAAGAAGGCTAGGACGCAGCGGAGCCTAACTTGGCAGCCTCCCCGTCTGCCCCTCACGACCTCTCTCATGCAAAGAAAAATACTGCCGCTCTCTGGTGTTGAATACCTGCAAACTCTCCTGCATATGAAAGCCTACTCACGTCATTCCTCTGTGCTATGTCGCTGCCTTTGCATGCCTACCTGGCAAACTATGGGTTCCATCCTGCCATGCAACCCATGCGTCTACCGCTGCCACTTCTTGCTGCCCTTACCACCCTTCCCCTCATCCTCCTCGTCAATGGACGTCCACTCCGCATCAATGATCGGCCCCTCCTGCTGCGTGTACCCTCGGCTGCGCCCTGCATCCCAGCTGCTGCCTCCTGCACTCCCGCCTGCCCCCCGGCCGCTTCCAGCAGCACTCCACACGTCGCGGAACATCTCCGCAAAGGGGTTGGCCGAGCGCCTGGCCCGCTCCGCCGCCGCCGCCTCCTGCTGCAGCCTCTCCGCCTGCTGCCTGCGCGCCACGTCTAGCAGCACCAGGCTGACCGGCAGGCTCAGCCACCACAGCAGCAGCAAGCCGTTCAGCAGCGACCAGAAGGCTTGCGTGCTGACCAGCACGCACAGTCCGGTGATCACGACAGCCTTGCCGTACCATGTGGACGAGAACTCGTTGAACTGCTGCTGCCAGATGGGCCGCATGCGGGTCACGTAGTCACGTGCGGAGCGCAGCCGGCGCCGTACGCCGTACGTTTGGTCAATGTCCCGCGCCACTTCTTCGGCCCTGTGGTTAAAGAGGTAGTCGACCAGGGCAGGGCGGGGTTAGCGGCATGCAGATGTGTTTACCACTTCAGAAAACGCGCCTTTGCCCAAATCGTGTGCGAATGCCTAGTCAAAGTCCATTCAGCAGCCTAGGAAGCGAGGATTACACTGGAGGACCAACCAGTAAGCAGCCTAGCCCTTGAACCCTGACCGTACGAATGCACACCCAAACCGACGAGCTGCTGGTGCTCAGACCCTAGAAGATGTTCGGCAACGACGGGATGCAACCAACCCTTTAAGAACACCCTTGAATGCCGCCGCAGGTTTGTGGTAGGAGTTCCCCCTAGAAGTTCCCGAAAAGGAACCTTGGGACAATTGTCTAAAAAATGTCGCGCTTGCTCCTTCCAGCTAGCGCTTCCTTACACCAACCTTTTCGCAGCCCGAGCAGTCTTGGAGGAAAGCTCGTATTCACTATCCAGCTCCGTAAACATGCGCCGCGCCTTGTCTTTGGCCTGGTCTGTCGCGTCGCGCAGGGCTGCGCCGGCATTCTTTAATGTGGCATTTGCTTTTCGTTCCAAGTCCTGTTCTTTCGCAAAGGTGTCCCATTTTTTCCGCGCCTGTTTAAAGGCACGCTCTGCAGCTGCTTGGGCATCCTTAGCGAAGGTATTTGACGGTCCTGACGACCCAGATGATGAAGCACAAGGAGCAACCCGTTGAGCGCGGCAGCAGCGCCCCTGACGACAACCTATCGTAAGCACACATAATTGCCGGAGTTGTCCACGCGCCGCTCCGCTGCTGCTTGCACCAGCCTGCTGTCGTGATGCTAAAAGTGACATATTTAAAGCAAAATCCTTTAGTAGCGACTGACTTTTTCTTCCCTCGTTGAGATTCAACAGCAGTCAGTCAAGATCGGGTATATGCTATCCAATCTGGGTATTACAGAAATGTGCAGTTATATATCGTCATCAGTATGTTAAGGCCAGACTTGCTGCGCAACGTAACAGCTTCCTGTACAGATGCCCGGAGGCCACATCTCAGGGACGTACACCCCTCAGAATACTTCCTCACAACTACACCAAATTGCATACTCAGACACCTGTCTACTTGGCCAACAACCGCGAAGGCGCAGGAAACTGCAGGCACGCGGTCCCCCGCCGAACCATCCCGCCACCCCGTACTATGGGCAGCAAGCGTGTGCGTGCCCCTGGCGCCGAATGAAGCAAGCCGGTCCGTGCTCGAGAACGGTTTAAGGAACACCATCCAGACCGGAGGCTTTTAACCGCTACCTCACGCGGCACATGCCTCAATGTGGCTTCTGAGGCCGTACTCCCCGTCCCAAACGCGCACGTCAGCGACAGTTCCATGCTGCGGCCGTGCGACCGGTGAGTCTGCTTAAAGCCTTGGCGCTTGAAGAACGTGACGGCGGGCGAGTTAGCCAGGGCGACATCCGTAACGATGGTCACCGGGGAGCCTTGCGTGCAGGCGCTCCTTAGAAGCTCCTCCAGCAGCTCTTTGCCAACGCCCTTTCCCCGATGGTCGCTCCTGACTACAAGCGTTAGCAGCACACACGTGCGTGTATCCTCCCACTCTGCTGTCAGGACCCCAACGACTTCCGATTCAGCCCCCGCCTCTCCGCCTGCCGCGCAAGCGATATGGCCGTGCACTCCAGCCTCTCCCGCAGCAGCCGAGTTTAGCAACTCAACAACGTTCTTCTGAGACTCGAGCGAAAAGATGTTGTGCCCGTCCAATTTGGCGAACTTGTGCAACCGCAACGCCGCGGGCACGTCGTGAAGAGTTAGAGGACGTAACGTGACTGTCATTAATGACTATATTTAACAGACGTAATTGGCTTTGCCTTTTTGCCGACGTGGCGTGTCGGCCGGAGAGGTACCGAGCGGTACTATCTCTAAAGCAATGGTCAAGCTATCTTGCGAATTGCATAGTATTTAGAAATGGGTAACAACTTAAGTAATTAACTGTGCAGAGAAATGCGCCTAGAGATAAAGTTGTACAGCGGAGTACACGTCGGCGGACGAAACTAGATCTGCAAGTACACAGGCTCCATGGCAGCAAACCACCAAGGGTTCATCCAATTCATACTTGTGATCAATCGCTGTCGCGAGTCGCCACGGCAGCGTTGTCGACGTGGACTTGATAGCAGTTAGTCCTTCGACACCTTGGCTAGTATGTGGCAACGATTATCGCAAATCCAGTATCACTACACTGTAGCAGCGCCAATAGGTCGAAGATACGTAAGCACTTCGCACTGCCGTCGCGTCAGGTGTCACAGTAGTCCCTAACCGCTCCAGTGCACTGCCACAGCTGCTCGGTACGGTACACTGCATGACACATGACACCGAACGGCGAAATGGTGGTCCCTATTACCGGTTGGATGCATCTGAGTTGGGTTATACGGTATGCCAGGAAGTAAGCCGGGTTTCAACACGGGGGACCCCAACATGCCACTGCAATGTACCTTAGTTACGCCGACGCAGATTGGGTGCGTGGACGGCTCGGCGCGCACGTGCACCCCATATCAGCGTGCTAGGTGTTGGCGTTACAAGATCAGCATAGGGCGTTGCGTCAATAGTTCGCGTTGCAATCCCATACTACATCAGCACGGGCAACTAGATATGGCGGCAACCGGGAACTGTGAATGGTTCGTTGCCGCTGCAGCCGCATCAGGACATACCAGGTAGTACCTTCTAACCCAGAAGGACCCATAACAGTTGCGTACCGTCTGCATCTTTGATTGTAGTCGCATGTAGTCGCATGCGTGCAGAGTGCTCAACTACTAGCTAGCATCACTACCCCACGCAATACACCTTGCGGCCCGTCGATGCCTGCACGTCCCAGTTATGTGACCCGTGGGTCACTTCCTGAACCGGCACAGCGCTTTATAGAGCGGGATACAGATATGAGGTCAGCCTATACACTGCCTATAAAAAGATAGCATGGCTTAGCCATTTCAGTCCTTAACATATTAAACAGCAGTACATATAACCACCACGGGAGGGAAACGGCGGTAGCACCAAGGAAATACACACTCGAACATGGTACATCAGAACACCTCCCCTGTGAGTACTGCCCCACACAACTGCAACACAGGTGGACGCTGCACTCCCTAGCTGGCCTAAAACCTGCACTGCAGCACGCGCCGGCAACTCACAAGCCAACAGCCCGGATGCAGCTTGACCTTCGAGCCATGAATCCGAGCAATAAGAAATGTACACAACAGCGAAGACATTAACCAGTGAAAGGCATTATGTGGCAGCTCGCCCCTGACCTTTCCCGGCTTCGCTTCTGGACTACAGGGAGGGTAAACAGACTACAGCACTTTCTATGACAACAATACCCGGTAATTTCCTTTTTGCCGTACCCGCAGCACCGCTTTTGCATGCAGGCAAGGATGCGTAACCAAGACGCCATACAGTGTGAGGTCGCGTGCGACGGCAAAGCGTATCAAGCCAGTCCACAGTAGCAGTCAGTCCTGGGCACAAGCGCGTCCACCCCCACAGCGTGCATGCTGCTACCCAGTCCCGTGATGCCGCGAATCACAGGAACAGGCTGTCCAGGAAGGCCCGCAGCTGCGACATGAGCTTGGGCAGCCCCCAATGGCCTTCACCACTATCGCCGCTTGGTGCCTGAACCTGCAAGGAGAAGACACAGACAGGCAACCGGAGCGGCATGGGTCAGCAGCCCAGCACACATGAAGCCTCCGCAAAGCATGCCGTATCACACGGTTTACTTAATTGTTTCCTCTTGACCCCTCCCAGACGTACCTGTGCCGGATCACTCCCGCTGACATGCTCATCCTCTTCCCTGCCGTAGCCCAGCCCGTCCCCTTCAGCCCCTCCGGCCTCGCTAGGGCCGGCGCTGACATGCACAGCAGCAGCCGCCGCCCCTTCAAGCGCCGCAGCCGATTGTGCAACATCCGCCGCTGTCGTAGCCAGCATTTCTGAAGGGGTCTCCAGGCGCTCCATTGCTGCTGCGGGATCAACTAGGAAGCTCGCGCTGTCAGAGACGCTGCTAGCACTGTAGCTGGAATGGTAGCTAGCGGGCTCAGCTGAATCCTCCATGCTCCGTGCCTCGATGGTAACAACAACGCTGGTGCTGCAGGCAGCAGAGCTAGTAGTTGCTGGTGTTCCAGCCACCACCCCCTCTTCCGGCAGCCGCCCATGTGCTGCTGCTGCAGGCGGCAACACCTCCTGCAACTCGCCACCCATCTGTGGGACCTGTACGGCATGCACACCAGCATCGCCAGCTTCTCCTTCTCTATCTTCTAACCCCAGCCGCCATCCACGCACTGCATCGGCCGCTTCTGCAGCCGCAGCCACCTCCTCAGCCTTGTCAGCCTCAGCCGCGTCAGACGCATCCTGGTGCCCCTCCACGGCAGCAGCCACACCCGCTCCGTTACCACCACCACCGCCGCCCCCCCCGCTTCCCGCCAGTGCGCTTCCCACGGAGGCCAGCCCCTGCAGCTGCGTGGCCGCCTGGCCAGCCCCCAGCGCCGCCATCACACCCGCCACCTGGCTCGCCTCCTCCGCCAGGTCAGCCCACTCCTGGGAGCTGGCAGCAGCGGAGGCGGAGGCGGAGGAAGCGGCAGTGGGAGAGCCCGGAGGGCCAGTGGCGGAGGCGGGAGTGGGAGAGGCGGAGGCGGGGGCGCCGTTCAGGGGCAGCTGCGAGGATGCCTGCGAGGGAGTTGGGGGTAGCGGCAAAGGATAGTTTGGTGATACATGTTGACTGGGTTGCGAGCCTTCCCTGCTACCCTCGTCGACAGTCCGCCGCCCACCCCTAGCCTGGTCGTTCTTCTCCATGGTAGTTCTTTTTTCCTTTCCCACCCACCCTCAGCAGCTCCCCCGCCGCGCTCATCAGCTCCTCCGCCCGGTTATCCAGCTCCCCCAGCAGGAAGGGGTTCAGGGCCGGGTTGGCGCCGGGCAGGGAGGCCGCCACACCCGCCTCCGCCTGCGCGTGGTCCCCGCTGCCGCCCGGACTCAATCCGGACTCTAGCGCGGGAGACCCTACGCGGGAGGAAGGAAGGAAAGGGGTAGGAAGCAGCAGGAGCGGGTTGCCGAGACAGATGGATGGTGACCCACACCACACCAGTCACCCCCTCCTCAGCCCGCCATGCGTCGTCCCTCATCACTCAACGCACTCACCCGTGCTGCTCCAAGACTGAACCACGTTCGCAAAGGAAATGCGGCGCAGGGGCGGCGGCAGCCGCACCGACTCAATCGCCAGCAGCAGCATCGCCTCATCCTCCTCCGCCTCCCCCTCTGCTGCCGCCTGGCCTCCATTGCCCCCATGCAACCTGCCCTGGCTGCTGCTGCTGCCGCCGCTGCTACCGCCGTTGCCGTTGCTGCCTCCTCCCTCCGCCAGCAGGTCCCCCAGCTGCAGTACGGTGCCCTGCTGCTCCACCACCGCCTCCGACAGCCGCAGCAGCTCAGCAGCCTGCCGCTGCCGCTCGGAAGCGCTGGCGGTCTGTACGGGGGAGGCGGATGCATGAAGAGGGTATATAGGGAACCAACTAACCGCATAGCATAGGGAGGGAGGCAGGAGGAGAGTGGGTAAAGAGGAAACATCTAACTGACCGTGTGCTAAGGCATCATCATGGAGGAGAGTGGGGGTATGTGGTGCTAGACAGCTGCTGGCGATTGTTTCGTGCGTCAAGGGACCGTAGCAGCGGGCAGCTGCTGCTGCAAGGGGCTACTGCCGAGCAGATGCTACGCGTAAAGGCACCGCACCGTCCCTCACAGCAACGCCCAGCAACCCCAACCCACCTGCTCCGAGTCCTGACCCATCTTGGCTTTGCGGCGCCTGAGGAACTCCAGGGTGGCCTTACCCGTCTCGTAGGCGTCTGCGGGGAAGAGGCAAAAGAAGAAGACCCAAGGGATTGAATGATAAAGGAAAACTAGATGACAAGCCCCTGGTGATATGCGGGGGGTGAACAAGCAGTAATGAGCATGAAACGATACGCACGTGGCTCCGACCAGCGCGCTCCATGTTACAGCAGGCCTTGATACAGCTAGACTGAGCATTTCGGGCCGCCAACACACCCACCTTCCACTTGTGCTCGCGGCACCGCTAGCTGCATCTGCGTGGCGGTGGTGGCGTTGAAGTGGCACGTCAGCCACACCACGATCTCCACCGGCACATCCCCGCCCTCGCCGCCCGCTAGTACCACCCGGTTGCTGCCGCTCTCCCAGCGCAAGCCGTGGCCCTCGAACACGATGATCTGAGGGCCGGGAGCCGGAGCCGGGGCCAACCGAAACGGTAGTAAGGGACAAGAGTCGCTCAGCTCGTCAACTGCTGTGGACAGGAAAGCAGACAACTTGCAAGCATAGCGGTATCCGGCGTAGCTGTAACGCAGTGGCCATTCATGATTTCCTGGTTGCTCCTTGTAACCGCTTTTTGCGCACCTTGAATTCGAAGGATTGCTGAGGCAGGGCGCAGTCCAGGGACCATTGGTGTCCATCGGACCAAGCCATAACAGGTGCGTGATGCGGATCCCAAGCCCCAAGTTCAGGCAGCGATCCCACAACTCGCAGCGATTGACCATACGTTGTAACGTATTGCGGCACAACGAAGCGATATCGAACTGAACCGACGCGACACACGGCTGTCTCGCGCGGCTCGACCACAGACAATTCCATTTTGCTAGCGAGCACCTGTTATGAAGGAGGATCCATGGTGTAAGGAAACGTTAGGGCGGTGGCCAGCTTGCAAGTAAACACGGCCCGAGACCAGAAAAGGCAAGTGTCAAGTAAAGCAGCCGTAAGGCTCGTGGAGCTGCCTGAATTCAGTACTTTCCTGCAACATAACTAAGTGCAGTGCGATTGACGCGCAGAGTGCTGGTGCTGTAAAGTGGAAGAAGCAAGGACAACGACGACAGGCGAAAGAAGGCCGCAATCCATGCGTCTTATAAATCCAGAACTCTGAACAGCATGCATTGACGCATGGGCATTGATGATCCAACCTGTAATTTAGGTTGAAGTCCATGGCACCGTGGTCCGCCAAGCGCTCCCATTGGCCTTGAAGTACTGCTTTCCAGCAATGTAACCGGACGAAGGAGCAGTGTGTGAGAAAATGGCCGTGGGGGAATGCTGCCACTGCCCTTCCTCGCGAGCGGTTGATGGCCAACACAAGTGGAGAGCGCCATGCTGTATAGTGGATAGCGATGAGAGGCCGCGATGAATGAAAGTCCCGTCGCTGATAGACCCGAGTAACTGATGCACCCCTGGTGCGCGACGTGACCCTGCCCACAAAGGTTTGAAATTGAACGCTACCTCATAGCTAAGCGCCAGCAACGTAGAGGCTCACGTATGTTACAGCTTATTATGTGAACTACATACGGGCAATCCTTAGGTTAATTCCTATTCTGTAGAAGACGTACGGACCTGCAGGCGACTTGTACGACACCGGGCTTGGTACGGCAAGCCGGGTGAGGCACGACCCTCCTTCCTGCTCGTGACACCGGGAGGCAAAGCATACCGGCACAAAACATAGCGCAATTCGTGCTTGCTTTGGGGTTTTCACCTCAGGGCACAAGGTGTACCAGAGCGACATGTGTGTCCAGCTGCCCACCCTCCTAAGGAACACGTTGTCAGGAAGACCATCTGTGACGGAACGCCGAAAGTGACCAGGATCTAAGAATGCACATAAGTAACCAGAGGGCTGTGGACCCTGCCACACGAAGTTACAGCTGGAAAGAGACGGGAAATAGTTGAATGGTAAGATGGAGGCCAGGCACATGCTTGACGGGTCGCAGTAAAATGTCACCAGCGTAACACACAAGCCGATGGCGCCCCGCGGAAGGAGGCCATGTTGCAGGAGGAAGCTTCCTGCTATCTTGTCTGCGATCTGTTGTGGTTCGTGTCTGGGCTGTCCCTGAGCGATTACCTCACATGGCGATCCTAACCTTTCAAATATGGCGACCATCCTCTAAGCGCGCAGCTTGACACAATTCCGCAGCCAGCGGACATATTATGGTGAACGTTGAGAAGTAGAATTCAATGGGTTGGGACATCATGGGCCCCTTTGCTGTGGAGTGGTGAGCTTCACACACCCAGGCGCAACTTGTCACTGGGTGCTCCTAAGGGCTTGGAGCTTGAAGCACCGTGAGCTATACTAGGGGTGACGTGTCATGCTGGCTGCACCGGAGCCAGGCTTGGTGGACGGGTGTCCGCCATGCCGGCCATGGCCTCATGGACGACCCAGGGGACAGTGAAGGCAGCGTTCCACATTTGCACAAGCCAGACGCCTGGTATTATAGTGCTTGTCATTACATTCCGTGCAATGGTGTAATCCTTTCACCTTTCACAGGACCTGGGGGCAACTGCTTTCTGGACACTACTTATACCAACACCACATGCTGCCATCTTCATTCGAGGAAGATAAGAAGCTGCTACTTAAACTGATTTAATAGTCCTATTCCAGTTATCAACTGCCGCCGCAGCGCTGATTTAGTCCGTACGCGTACATGTTTTAGACATCGTCGCCTCACTGCAGGCCTTGGTTCTCGTTTCCCGTATATAAGTAAGGTTATACAACGGTTGTGGGTTTTGCGATACGCATTTTCGCCCCATTTCCATAGGTTGCCGGAGGCCCGCACGTTACTGCCGTCTGGTTAGCCGTAGCTGCCTAGGACTGGTTCTGTTCCTTGTCTTAATCTGGAAGCTATAGGTCCTGAGGAGAGCATTGAAGAGGAGCGGGGCGGCCAAATGGGCATGGAGGAAAAGCAGGTGAATTAACTTGCACAGTATTGACTTTTAGGAATGCTCTTGTTGCACTTGATTATATAAGCTTTCCTTTTGGCGGTGCTCAGTCCAAGCAGGAGCTCTGACGACCGCTGATTCCTTTGGAGGGGGGAAGTCTGGCCGACCGGGCAGAACGCAGCCCTATAGTTAGATAGCAATGGACGCTGCAAAGGTGAGAGCTTTCGGCTGCCGCGCTACCTACGTGCCTGCTTGGGCCTTAATTGGCTCTTGGTTGTTACTTGGACTTCTCACTCCTTTTTGATGCTGGACCGCGTAGAAGTACGAGTACATCAAGACTCTTGGTGAAGGAAGGTGCGCTCAGCCCTGGGCTCCAGCATTGCGTCGCTGAGTTGCTAGGGTCGCTGACTGCAACGGCCACCTCCCTGCTGTGCCCTGTTCGCAGCTATGGACATGTGTGGCTCTGTCGTGATCGGGAGCGGGACTGCTTGGTGGCGATTAAAAAATTCAAGGATGCGAACAAAGACTCACAGGTTGGACTGGGCAACGCGCTTTACTGTTCAAGCTTCTAACGCAATGCTGTCGGTAGTGGGCATCCAGTATCATAGGGAATTGTACAGGGTCCATGCTTACATCGGCGCAACAACACATGGGGTTGCGTATTTAGGAAGGGGTGCGGCATACGGGGGCCAGCGCCCTCCCGACAAACCGGAGCCCATCTTGACGACTCCGGCACAGCTCGTACCGGGCTAGGATAGCGCCCCTAGCCATGATGCAGTTAACGCATCAGGCAGCCTGACGTTTACTTCATGGACAAACGTGCGTTTTCGGGCTCTTTAGACCCTTACTGCCGCCTTGCCCCCACCATCCGGCATGCCTGCCCCAGGCCTACCACCTGGCCATGCGGGAGATTAAGCTCTTGCGCGCCACCACGCATGAGCATGTGGTGTCCGTCATTGAGGCGTTTCGGAGCCAGTCCAGCGGTAACGTCTATCTGGTAGGTGCATGCAACCACACAGGGAGGTTGGGAAGGCTCGAACAAACAAGGTCCCAGGGGGGCATGTACAACACCAAAGGCGTTTACAGTTGGGTGGTCCATGCACGTCCCTCGCTGCATCACGCACATGGGCCCTTGCTTTCCTCTCCTCGTCTATTCCCCCCTGAGCGGCATGCGGACCTGCATGCGCCCTTCCCTGCAGGTCATGGAGTACGCCGACAGCTGCCTCAACCTGGAGCTGAAGCGGCACCGGACGGGGCTGCCCACAGCGGACGTGATGCGGATCACCTGGCAGCTGGCGTCCGCACTGCAGTACCTGCACAGCAAGAAGGTGCGCATGCGGGCGCGTCCCGGTACCCCTTGGACTTGGGGCAGAACGTGCACAGTGGCTACGTTGAGTGGCAAGTTTCGCTGGCGAGATCGTGTGTGAGACGCCCTAGGGCTGCATGCTGGGTGCCTTCCATGTCTATCAGCTTTTGCCAGCGTGTGAAAGTTCGCGATGAGCAACGTATCCCTGTTCCTGCCATATACCACGCATGCGGCCGTCAGATCATCCACCGCGACCTCAAGCCGGCCAACATCCTGCTGACTGCGGCGGGTGATCTGAAGCTGTGCGACTTTGGCTTTGCTCGCGACCTGCCGCCGGCGGGGCAGCAAGCGGACATGAGCAGCTACGTGACGACTCGGTGGTACCGCGCCCCAGGTGCGTAGGGGAACGGAGGGGAGCGGAGCGTCTGGTACAGCTCATGTGCCATGCCGCCATATGCACACATGATGCCTGCTCAGGATGCACCGAAGCATCAGATCTTGAGGCCGATGTAAACGCTGCACCATACACTCACATGGAGACTCTGCGTAACCCCTCGCATCCTCTTGATGCCCTTGCAGAGGTCGTCGTCGGCGCTGAGTACGGGGCCGCCGTGGATATCTGGGCGCTAGGTAAGTGGTCTCCCACTTGTGGCTTTGAACTCTTAGTCCCGCTCGGCTTCACCCGCCGTGCCCTCTTCTCAAACCCCACTCGGCTTCACCTCTCCTCCTTCCCTGCTCTGTTCCCTCGCTGCAGGGTGCCTGTTTGCTGAGCTGCTAAACGGACAGCCGCTCTTCCCGGGCGCCTCCAACATGGACCAGCTGGCCCTCATTGTTGCCTGTTTTGGCCACCTGCCCAACCGCCTGCTGGCCAAGGCGCTCACCAACCCGCACCTGGTGGGCGTGCAGCTGCGCACCGGCAACCCGCGCAACTGGGCGGTGGCACTACAGCAGCGGTAAGCGGATGGGATGCCACAACAAATCAATATGATACTCTCATACATTTGGCCGGGATCACACCTGGGGCGCAAGGTAAACTTGAAGCGTTAGGGCGAAATTGTGCTTGCGCATGACAGCTAACGAATGGGGTATACGGTATTCGCATGCAGGTTTGCTCCATATGGCGACGCCGCCGTAAACCTGCTGCTGTCGTGCCTCAACCCGGATCCGCTGAAGCGTGCCACTGCGGATGAGGTGCTCCGGTCGCTGTACTTTGAACCCATCCGGCTTAAGAAGGTACCGGCGCTGATCGGCCCGCCCTCAGTTGCTGCGGTGACTGTGACCGCGACAGCCTCACCGCCGCCCGCAGCAGCAGCAGCAGCTCCGGCGGCGGCGCCTGCGGCCACAGCAACCGTCCCTGCGCCGGTCCATCCCGCAACCGCGCATACTCCCGCGCCCGCAGCCGCGTCATCGGATTCCGCAGCTGCGGCGGTGGCAGCCAGCGCGGCAGCTGCCGCCAAGGTGACCAAGGAAACCCCTGCACAGCCCCAGCAGCAGCCCCAGCCGCACCAGCCGGAGGTTGTGGCGACGCCGCCCACGGAGGGCACCAGGCGGCCAGCGCATGAGGCTGCGGAGCCGCAGCCGGAGCGCCCTGCGCCTGCCGCGTCCGCACGCTCCGGGTCAAGTAGCAGCACTGAGGCGCCTGGGGTCAAGGCAGCACCCATGCACCCTGCCATTTCTGGCTTCGTTAAGCCAACACCCGCGCTCGCTGCTTCGGAGGCTAAGGAGGAGGCATCTGGGTCGGCAGCAGCCATGGAGGTGGACACGCCGCCTGCGCTGCCCGCACAGCCCAGCCTAGTACCCCAGCGGTCGCAGCAGGCGCATGTGCACTTCCAGGCGCAGACGCAGGAGGCCCATCACGGCCACCATCAGCAGGAGGACGCGGCGGTGGAGTCGCAGCAGCGCTCCAGCGCGCCGTCAACCGCTCTGGCAGCTGCTGTCAACGCAGCTGCGGCGGCGGCAGCGGCTGCTGGTCATGAGGGCTACAGCGGAGAGGGGGCACAGCACCCGCAGCAGCGCGACGCGCGGTTGCCAGGCAGCATGGCCCACATGCGGGCCTCGGTAGCGGCGATTCCCATGTCGACGTCCGCCTCTGGTGCTCGCCCCATAACGGATTCTGGGATGGGTGGTCAGGTGGGTTTCGTGGGGTGTCAAAAGGGTCAGGGAGGCTAGGGGCGTAGGTTCTACGACACTGTGTGTTCTGTAGGGGACGCTTCCATAATGCTTCACGGACAAAACGCTGACTTTCCGCGCCCCGCAGGCTGTTCCTCCGCCCGCACATGGCAAGGCGGGCGCAACCCTGGTCCAGCACAACAAGCGCGTGTCGGAGCACAACATCAGCCTCTACACGGCTCACCGCAGCGGCGCCGCCGCCGACATGCCCATGCGGCTGGCGCGTGTGAGCCTGGTGAACGGCATGGACGCATCGCAGCTGGGAGCTGCGGACCAAAACTCGACAGCCTCCTCTCCCTCCTCCACTCCCACCACCGCCACCACCGCCCCTGCCATCAGCAGCACCAACAGCACCGGTAACGCACATGCCCTCATTTCGCCCGCGGGCAGCTTGACCAGCACCATTGGCAGTGTGCCGTACGCTGCAGGCACCATCCGCCGGCGCTCCACTGCCACCGGCTCCCGCCTGACGCGCTCCTCCAACACGTGTGAGGCGCCCGATCAGCTGCTGCGAGAGGAGGACAGCGAGGACGACCGCAGCAACGAGCGGCTGTCCGGACCGAGTGGGACAGTCAGTGGAGCGCCGGTAGTGCCAGCGACGGTTAGCGGGGCGGCCGCAGGGTTGCAGTCGAGCCCCAGACGCCGGCATTCGCGCCTGGCATGCGTGACGGAGCCGGGCTCGCAGCATCCGCAGGGGAGTGCATCTACCGGCGGCGCTGCGATGGATAACAACAACACGGAGCACAGCAGTGGTGGTGCAGGCCGTGGGCCGCCGGCTCCACAGATGCTGAGCCCCCTGGGGCGCGCCGGGCACCAGTGGACCTACCACGGAGCCGGAGGGGCTGCTGCTGCACCCAGCGCAGCAGCGGGCGGTGCGGCTGCTGCCGCTGCTGCTGAAGCGGCACATGCCCACGCCGCGCCAGCCGCTCCGCACGGGCAGCTGCACTCCACCATGTCGTCCGCTTCCTTGAATGTGTATGGAACCATGCAGGCTCGGGATAGCACGGGGGATGGTGCTGCCGGCGGCACGCTGCGCTCGAACATGAGCATTCCCACCCCGGCCGCGCCCACGGCAGGCCAGATGCGCTCCTTCACCGCGCAGAATGTGGCGACCTCGGCCGCCGCAGCAGCCGCAGCCGGCCTCATGTCGCGCCCCGTGTCCAACCTGTACATCAACGTGGACAACGGCAAGGTGCTGGAAGCAGGTGACAGCCACAGTAACGACAGCAGCGCTGCCGTTTCCCCCCGCACTCCAACCGGGGCTGCCACCTCCGCGCAAGCAGCCTCCACGGGCCGCCGCAGCACCCTGGCCGAGGGCCCCAGCAGCATCCTGCGGAGCATGCTGCGCTCGCTGAGCACACGGCGGTCCGCTGCATCCCTCTCCGGCATCCCCGGCGAGCAGCAGCAGTCCTCCACCCCGACCGCCTCCGCCACGCTGCAGCTTGGCAGCTCGGTGGGTGGCGCGCCTACCGGGCCCACGGGAGGGGCGCACAACACGACTTGCGGTGGCGCCGCGCACGGGCAGTCGCCGGCTGGCATCTCGCCGTTTATCCCCTCACGTGCTTCCTCCCATAACTTCATCGCCGGAGGGCCCACAAACAGCGGTGACAGCGCCTCGAGCCTAACGGGCGGCCTGGGCGGACCTCACCAGTCAGACGACAGCGCGTCAACCGGCGGTGCAGCGGGCATGTTGCGCCGGCCCACAACCTCGGCAGGGTCGGGTGTGAATGCCATGGCAGCCGCCGCTGGGAACCCGCATGCGCGGATCGGCTTGCCGCAGCTGTCAGTGCGGGCGAATGACCTGGCGAGCGGCGTCGCACCGGGTACGGCAGCTGCGAGTGGCTATGGCTCTACGGTGGTGTCGCCCGCCAGCCGCCGGCGGTCACAACTGGCGGTGCAGCAGCTGCGGATGTCGGAAGCGGGTGCGGTGTCTGCTGCTGGGGTGAGGCAGCTGGCGGGTCCAGGTGCGGTGGTGGCAGGTGCAGCGGCGGCGCACCAGGGCTGCAAGGCCACCACGGTGCTGCATGGGGAGGGTGTCGGCGCGGCGGCGCTGCCCGTCATGCGGCCCACGCCGCCGGCGGAGGCGCCTCCTGCGCGGCATGCGCCGGGCAAGAGCGGTGGTCGAGAGGTGTCGTAGGACCTTGGTTTGTTGCCTGGAGGACCTGCGTGTTAAAGAAGGAAAGGTGAGGAGAGTCACGGCTTGCTCGCGCTTGTGGAAGGGAGATAGATAGGCTTGGTGAGCCGTTACGCCCAGGGGCCCTCGGCAGTGCCCGGCTGGAACGTGTATGGGCATTGGAAAGTGAGTTCAATGACAACCAGCCGTGTTCTTGTGTGCCTTTACTATGCTGTCCCCGTGATAAAAAATAATTCGCGCATGCTGCGACAGTTTATACCGGTATGCCTGCTGCAGTGATTGGGCACGGAAAAGCCCCTATTCAAGTTGTTGGTGCGATAAGACACTTGTGGCCAAGCACATATCAGGCTTCACGTGGGTTGGACAATCCGGTGTCCCATTGTGAGTCCATTGCTCATTACAACGCGTGACCATGCAAGCGTTGATGTTGGAAAAGGGCAGGAAACTGAACGGCTTCTTCACTTTCTAGCGCTGAAGCGAGGCGCGTGCAAGGCTGGTGCAGGCGATTATGCGTGGCTGTTGTATGCCCCCATTATATATAGCGATTGCCCGGCAGGTTCGCGTAAACCTGACGCAAGAGAAGGGCTATCGCTTCTAAACATGCGTTGCCCTGCTGCCGCCTGTGCCTAACGCCAGCGGGCCTTGTGCACGCGTTGGATTGCTTGCAGACAAGGATTGCATCTGGTGGCTATTTGATAGGGAATGGGCTGGATGTTTTGCTGTACGACGCTGCTCCTCCGTTGGGTACATGGGTGCGAGCTGCATTAAGGCTCTTGTATGGCGGGGCAGGGGCAGGGTATTAGTTATCTAACGGTCCCCTTGCAACCGGAGTCGACATGTGAACGCGGTTCGGGCTGCATGGTTGCTGCGTCAGGCGACGCAGCCGGAGTAGGCGCCGAAATGATAGGCGTATTATGGGGGAACTCGTGATCGATGAAGGCGCATACATGGATAATCGCACACGACCTACACCTGCCGGCTTTGAGCGACGGCGGGCCTTTGCTGACTGCGATGCCATACGCGGTGATGCCGTGAAAAACGGTGAGAGACGTGATGTCTTTGTGTGTGTATTTTGTTGCGGCTAGCAAGTTATTAAGGGCATATGGTGCAAAAAGGGTCGTGATATCAGGCACCGCGGTGGTGCCATCTGCTGGTCTCTGCCGGTATACTTCAAAAGGCAAAGGTGGGTTGTTAGGCAGAGTGTATGTTGAGGATTGTTGACAAATAGCACGCGGATGTGTCGTTGTGGATTACGGCGGTACTTGCTTGCTCCTGAATTTAGCATACTGGGCTAAGCACTGTGCCAGCGACCGCTGGGATCCTATACGAGTGCTCCTTCTTCTTGGATGCTTCTGGTGTCGCGACTTAACGCCCTGTAGTACGTCGGCCGGAGACAGGGGCGTCGATTTGTGATTGGATTGTGAACTTGTGCCATTTCAAGTGTGTCGTGATATGCTACATTCCGAAACAGCGTGCAGCTGCTATTGCGTGATGCGTGCTTCCCCCATCTTTGCTGTGGTAGCGGGCTGGGAGAGGCCCTTCTTATTTGCGATTGTTGCGGCAGACCTTACCACGACACGAGCTGCTCGGAGCAGGTGCGAGTCCCAATGTGCGGTTGGACCCCTCCGTCCGGCAGCTGCTTTTGCCGTACCCTTAAACTGGATCTGGTTGGTTGGCTATTAGTGCACTGAGAGGCGAAGTTGGCCAGGGCGCCTATGTAAGTGCTTCACAAGACGTTCACGGATATCTCTCATACACATTGGGGCATGAAATGGCCAGGTGGGTGGTGTTCTTGCACAGGTAGGTCGCAGCGCCATCAGGAGTTGACACCCGTGCAGTTTGAGGCAATGCACAATGTTAAGCGGCACCCTTGAATGCTGCCATCCCAATTTCGACATGCTAACTATAAACAGCCACTATAGCCGCCATCGTGAAGCTCCCAGATCTTAGGGTTTCCCTGGATGCTGGGGGTAAACACGCGCATCGGGCGCGTGTAATCGGATATTGAACAGCAATTTTACCTTGCTGTGGTTCGGTTAACTAACAGCTCGAGGACAAACACGCGTTCGTGTGCTAACCGCGAACCAGGGCATGCCCCGAAGGCAGCATGCATTTCGCGCGCTCTGCGGTACGGGCTCCAAAGCCGTAAAAGTCCACCTAGGAAGTCCAGATTCCCGCACAGGACTGTAATGCGTTGCACCGTTTTGCCATAGCCTTGCTTGCTAATGACGTAGGCAACGGGACGTGTTTACATCCTGAGCATGGCACCTCCTAAACGTTATCCGAAATCGAACAGGCGTAAGGACGGCCTGAGGCTTGTAGCACGAGAGCATGCAACGGTACTGCTCCGGAAGCCGGCTTCATACTATGACGACAGCTTAAATGTCAACTGGGGCAGCCAAGACCAGTATGAGGTCATTCGCCAGCTCGGCAAGGGCAAATATGGCGAGGTCTATGAGGGGATTAACCTGCGGCTGGGCGCTCGGGACAAGGACCGTATCTGCGTCATCAAGGTAATGCGGCCGGTCAAGGAGCACCGGCTGCGGCGTGAGGTCAAAATTCTTCAACATGTGTCTGGAGGCCCCAATATCGTGCGGTTGCTGGACGTCGTGCGGGACCCGGAGACTAAGACGCCCAGCTTTGTCTTCGACTTTGTTGACGCAATGCCCTTCAAGGAGCTGCAAGCAGCCGTAACGGACCTAGACGTTCGTTACTACATCTTCCAATTGCTTATAGCGCTAGATTACTGCCACTCGCGGGGCATTATGCACCGAGACGTCAAGGTGAGCACAAGGGAACTTGCGAGTGGTTACGGGCCATAGCTTCCATGCCCGATTTTCACCCTTCTATCGATGGGATATATTTAGCAACATCGTTGAAGCATTCGGATGGTTCATCTCCTTGCGGACCTAGCACCTACGTTCCCAACCATTTGCTTGCCACCGTCACCGTCACGGCATCTTAACACCTGCACTACCCCACCTCCGCCCCATCTCCTACAGCCCGGCAACGTGCTCATCGACCACACCAAGCGCGAGCTGAAGCTCATCGACTGGGGCCTCGCGGACTTTTACCAGCCCGGCAAGGAGTACCCGGTGCGCGTGGCCACGCGGTTCTACAAGGGCCCCGAGCTCCTGGTGGACATCAAGGACTACACCTACTCGCTGGACGTGTGGGGCGTGGGCTGCATGATGGCCGCGCTGGTGTTCAAGAAGCCCGTGTTCTTCCGCGGTGAGGACGAGTTCGACCAGCTGGTCAAGGTGGTGCGCGTGCTGGGCACGGAGGGGCTGGAGGCGTACTGCCAGAAGTACGGCGTGGAGCTGGACCCGCGGCTGGCGCAGCTCTGCGGCTTCAGGTGCGTCCCGTGGTTTGAGCGGGGGAGCGCAGAGGGAGAGGACAAGGCAAGCGAGGAATGGAAAGGGGTCGTGGAAGAGCAAAACATTAGCTTGGCATGACGGATCCGGCTTAGCATGGGTCTGTGATAAGTCTGGAGGCAGGCCATGGTTTGGGTGGCAGACAACGAGCTGTGATGGAAACTCCTTGCCTGTGATGGAAACCCCCTGCCCTCAGGCCGCGTGTCCCCTGGCGCAAGTTCGTCAACGCGGACAACACGCACCTCACCTCCCCGGAGGCATTTGACATGCTGGACCGGCTGCTCAAGTACGACCACCACGAGCGGCTCACGTGCCAGGAGGCGCTGCAGGTGGGGGAGGGGAGTGGGTGCTTGGCGGTGATGGGAAGGCTGGTGCGCGTGTTGTGGACTAGCTAGGTAGGGAAAGAGGCGGATGAAGGAGCCCGAGCTGAAATCGCATCCATCAGTTCCATACCTCGACTGCTCCAAGGAGGGGCGTACGCGTTCATGACTTAGGCTTGCACACACCTGCTGTCGACGTTCATGTGTCCGCCCTGCATGAAAAACACAGGCTTCCTTCTTGCCCCTTTCCTTCCCTTTGCCGTAGCACCCGTACTTTGACCCTGTGCGGGAGGGCCTGCCGGGCTTCAAGCCGCTGCCGGAGCCCATGGCTCAGATGCTAGCGCAGATGGAAGCCCGACGGCGGCAGCAGCAGCAGGAGCAGGGGGCGCAGGAATCCGAGGATGGGCCCAGCGAGGGAGGGCAGCGGGGTGGGCCGTCGGCAGCTGCGCCACGGGCGCCGCAGGAGGCTGTGGCGATGGCGTAGTTGGGGGCTCCGGGGAGGGGCCGCGTTGGGGTCCGGACTGTGATTCCTAGACCTACAGGTGATCCTGCAGTGTGTATAGGCTGCGGGCTGCATGCTTAGTTGCCCGTGCAGGGCAGGCTGCGGTCTCCGGTCCCCTGTGGCCTGGAACACAGCTATCAGCCCGGTGCTTGCTGCTCATCCTGTTTTTCGTCGTGGCGGGCGGTCCACGCGAAACTGCAAACGCACACAAATGCTACGAATGGATGTCACATGGTTTTGGGGTTGGGATGCTGACAGATCGTTAGGTTTAGAGGTGGGGCGCAAGGGCTGTAGTACATGCCGTACGCAGTGTTCGAAGAACACAGGGGCGTTCCGTGTGCGTCCGCGTTACAGCGTTGTGCATCATTTAGTTTCTGGTTTCAGGCACCGACCGCGTGCGGGGCCAAGCAACTCGCACAGTCCCATGTCCCGGGCTTGCTCCGGCTCATGCCTGCTGCTGTAGGGAAGAGCTAGGGGCCGGCTTCTGACCTCATGTCTGTGCGGCGCACTTTAGTATTTGTTCTGTTACATAGTTGTGGGACGTTCCGCAAGGCGCACCGAGGGGGCCTTCCCGGGGGCTTGGTGCGCGCAGCGCATCTGCATGGCTGCTACCCGTTGGCGCAACGCCACATCGCAGGAGGAGTTTGGCCCATGCTGTGGTTTTGTGACCGTTAGGGATGACTGACGGTTTGGTTAGAGTGGCGTGCTTGATGGTGTTTATACGGTCGACATGTCCTTGTACAGCACAAGACAATTCTTCATGTTGGTGTGGTTTGACGTCCTTTGTGCTTGTCGGTGTGGCGTTTCCTTTCTTACAAGTGACCCGCGGCCCTCCGATTTCCGCCTTGTCGGGGGCTGTCTCTCCCCGGCTTAGCCGGCTTCATCATCTGGCCTGCGAACGCGGTAGCATTGTCCTCATCTTTGGAAGGAGGCGGGATCTGGCATGGCGTAGCATGGGGGAAGCTTTGCTGTTGGCAACGGGGACGTTGCTGGCCTCTCCCCATTTCACTGTCCTGATGACGACGTTACCCAGACAGGACTAAAAGCACTGCTGACATCTTTCTGTCACACCAGTTTGACCTACAAAGGTTGTTTAGCGGGTTTCATGGCGGCATGCGCCTGCAACCTGCCGTGCCCTCCTGTTTTCTTCTTGGCTGTAAGACTTAATGAAGGGCCAAGTTGTACATCTGAGGCGGTGTGGGAGGACGTGTATGGCTCGAAAGATGTAGTACCCCGTTCGTGTGAGGAGGTATGTGAACTAGCGCCGTTACTGGTTGGGCAGGCACGGGCGCTGCCAAGTTGGGGAGCACTGCTGAAGCCCTTGGTGGAACACGGTCGCTGCCAAGTTGGGGAGCACTGCTGAAGCCCTTGGTGGAACACGGTCGCTGCCAAGTTGGGGAGCACTGCTGAAGCTCTTGGTGGAACAAGGAACACTTGTCATTTGTTGTTGCCTTCCTGTGTTTTTAAGCTCGGGAAAATCAACGTGCGAACATGGGTTGCAAGTGGAATGGTTTCCTGTGAGGTTTCTAGCCTCATGAGGCTGTGAGACACGAACGTCATGTTGACGCCGCCCATCCATTGTAGCAGGACACCATAGTATCCATCATATCAGGCGCCAACCACAACAGACCGCCACCGCCAAACCCAGCATGTGCGCCCATTCAATCGCATATCACCCTGTACTGCAAACCCAGCGCCGAACAACACTCCCGCAACGTCGCTCGAAAGCTCGCGCCCAGCCCCGCGCAACGCCGACAAGCAGCCCCCGACGAGCCACTAGCAGCGGCTGTCGTACCGCTGCGCTTGTACGGCAGCAGCATGAAGACCACTAGAGCCGACCGACCCAGGGTCACTTCCGTCCCGAGCAGCCGAGGCTGGCAACCGCACAAGGCAGGGGACACGCAATCCTCCTCCTCCTCCCCATTCTCACCACTGGCGAGGCACCTGTCTTCACCCCCGCCGCAACCCCCAGCCTCACTGCCGCTATCCTCGCAACTGCTGTCCTCCGCATCCGCCCCGCCGCGCTGCAGCCCGGCAGCCACCCGCTGCCGCACCCGCATCTGCATGGCCCGCAGCTCCGAATCCGCCCGGCTAGGCAGCTTCAGAGCCACCAAGCCAGCGGACCCACACACCAGCAGCTCCGAAACCAAGTCCGACAGGGGCACGTCACCCAGCCTGAAGGCCGCGTCAGCACCAGCACCAGGTGTGGCGGCGGAGGTGGCGCCGCCGCCGCTGCTGCTGCTGCTGTTGTTGCCGTACTGTGGTCCGCCCCAGGGAGGGTCCAGAAACACGATATCCTGCCGCAGCGAGGTCGCCAGGGCCGTATAGTCCCCGCACTGCACCTCCAGCTGACCCAGCGTGTAGCTCCCATGGGGGCCTCCTGCGCCCCCAGCACTGCTGCTTGGGGCCGCCTGTGGGCTGCAGCTGCCGGCGGAGGCGTCCCGACCACCCGTGCCATCTTCTGGTGGGTCGGGGAAGCGTGCAGAGCTAGACGGGTCGGGCTGCCGCGGTTGACGCTGTTGCTGCTGCCGGCGTTGCGAGCAGCTGAAGGTCGCCCAGGCACGTACTAGCGCCACGTTGTGCCTGCAGTGGGCCCCCATCGAGACGACCAGCGGGGGGACAGGCAGCCGGAGTGAAACACACATACCGGCAGAGTACCGGTATGTGGAGGGCGCTTCCCGGCAACATGGGACGACCTCCGTCTTCCTATAAGCAGGGGCGTTGTTCCCCCTACCAGCCGCCAGTCACAGCAGCCCCCAAGCCGCCTCAACCCCCAAGCCGCCTCAACCCCACCCCACCCAACCACCGCCCGCACCCCACCTCAGGTCCTCCGCCCTGTCTGCATCCAGCTCCACCGCATTCACCCGCTGAAACCTGGCAGCCAGAGACAGCGAGTTCCCGCCGCAGCAGGCGGTGCCGTCCGTCACTGTCAGCGGCAGCAGCCGCCCTGCTCCGCCTCCCCTTCCCTCCTCCTCCTCCTCCTTCTCTACCTTGTTCTCCTTCTCCTCGCCGCCCCCAGTCCCCGTCGGCCTGGGCAGTAGCAGCAATCGCTCCGACAGCGCCGCCAGCAGCCGGCTCATCTGGTCTGCGGTGGCCTGATCGGTGGCGGAGAAGGCGGCGGTGCTGTCCACACGCAGGGCGCATCGTACGACGTACGGTAGGTACGGGAAGATGGTGTCCAGGCGGCCGGAGGAGGGCGACACGCTGAGAGGAGCGCCGCCGAGACGCTGCAGAGGAAGGGAGGGAGACACGGGTTGGTGGGAGCCGTTTTTACCGTATGTGTACGACCCTGAAATAAAGCTCTGACTGGCACGTGCTACCTAGGCTTCCTTTCGCTGCTGTGAGGCATGTGAGTGCCGTAACGGTACGAGAGAAAAGGGAACACAAGTGCTGCAGGTTTCGCCAGTCGGCAAAAGAAGCAGCGTCGTACCAGTTTTCCGTCCAGCTCCCGTACGGCAGTTGCCAGCGCCTCCGAGGGGTCCGTACAGCCCAGCGTGAGTCGCGCCCAGCCATGAGTGCCGCCGTTGCGGGTGCGGGACACGGTGACTGCGCAGGGGCACAGCGGCACGAGGGACAGTAACACAACACGGCGCGTTCGCATTGCGAGAAGGGCCCCAATGAAGCCGCCTCTCCTCGCCTAGAAGCACGGAACGGGGCTAGGGTCTGCTCACGGCACTCTAGGGCCAGAGCTGAAAAGAGTGTTGAAAATATATCAGCGCCATGGAGCACAATGTGGACTGGAGATCCAGCCCTGGCCGCCACCCCCGCCGCCGCTTACCTCTCGTGCAGCCGTACGGCCCAAACGCCGCCGCCAGCTCCGCTTGTACGACGCTGGCCCGCACGCCCGCCGGGATGTTCCCAACCAGCAGCATCACACGCTCCCCGCCGCCACCTTCCTCCTCCTCCTCCTCCTCCTCTTCTGCGTCCTCCGCCGCCGCCGCATTCTCGCCTGCACCACCAGCAACCCCATGTCCCGACCGCCCCCGTCTCTCCTGCTGCCGCTGCTCCTGCTGCTTCTGTTCCCGCTGCTGCTCCTGCCTGCCAGACTGCTGCAGCTGCTGCGACCAGCCCACCACCCGCTGCCCGGTGGCCTCCCAATGCCGCGCCGCCACCTCCTCCTGCAGCTGCTGCATGCTGACGTGGCCGCGCCCGCAGTAGCAGGACCGACCCAGCTGTAGCAGGTGACGCAGGTGGGCTACACAGGGACGCGGCGGCGGCAGGGGTGGCGGCGGCGGCAGAGCAGGAGGCGCACCCTGGTAGGAAGGCGCAGCCGGCTCTTTCCCAACCTCACATGCCGCCGCAGCAGCCGCGGATGCCGCCAGCTCTGCGAGCAGCGCCGCAACTGCTGCTTCGGTGGTGCACCACGCCGCTACCTCCGCCGGCCAGAGGTGCAGCTTGCGACACCACGAATGCGCATGTGGAGCCGCTGTGGCGTGACTTCCGGTAGTAGCAGCTGAAACCGCAGAGGAGGAAGACGGCTGGGGCGGCGAGGAAGGCTTCAAGGGCTGGCCCCGAGGACCGGGTTCGATATGAGCGATCTGGGTCACGGCTGCTGCTGCTGCGGTGGCGGCGCCTGCAGTCCCCTGGCTGCCCTCTGCCGCCCTGGCTGCCTGGACTGCCTTGCATGCCGCCACCAGGGAATGCAGGCCCAGGCCCGCTAGCCGGGTGCTTGGCCTGCCCGCCACAGCCCTGCTGGTACCGGTAGTGGCATGGGCGCCACTGCTACCTCCGCTCCGTCCTGCGTCCCTGGCAGCACCTGCAGCGGAGGGAGCTTCCAGCGCGGCTGCTGCAGCAGCAGCTTGGGCCGCGATCGGCAGGAGGTGCGGCAGGCAGGGGTGGATGGCCAGACAGAAGGTGTTGGTGGCGACTTCGCAAGCGCCCACCTCCAACCGCATGCCCACGCCGCGGTTCTCCCAGGCGTTGTACTTGGCGCCGGGGGTCTGCTTGGGGCAGGCGTCTGTTATGACATGCAGCCCAGCTGCTTCCAGTGCGGTGTGCGCCTGACTACAGGCACGCAGCAAAGCCTCATGGCTGGTGTCAGGGCTGACATCGGCAGCGTCTGGTGTGGAAGAGGTTGCTTGAGAGGATTGAGCAGTTCCAGGGGGATTGCCGGCGGGGTTGCCGTGGTTGTGGCTTGCAACTGAGCCTTTCCGAGCACGCTTGATGCTGCCGCTACCCGAGGGCACCACAGGTATGATCACGACGTCAGTAGCATCTGCTTGCTGACGTTCCTGGGCTGTGCGGCAGGGTCGGCCCTCCAAGTGCCGCCAGCAAATGCAGTCGACACATTTCGCCGTCTGGCCGGTATCCGCCTGGAAGCATAGGCCCCGAAGCTCGTTGCTACGCATGATTAAGACGATCTGACGCCGATCTACATGCTCCGCGTATGCTGAGGGGTAACGGCTCTAGCTCGGCAATGAGCAGACAATATTACCAAGCAGCATGATTTTATGAATTCCGTGTATCGACTTGTTTAGCTTTCTGCATAAATGGTAGATCAAAAAGCAGCACAGGCTGATCCTCAGGGATCGCATTTTGTCCGATGCCGTATTGTCAAAGGTAGGCTTGCGCTGACTTCTTCTCGCTGTCCATTTCCTTGCGGAGTCTGATAAACAAAGCACGTTTCATAGTACCTTGATAAAGCCTTACCTAGCGTTTGTAGTTTCGACATAGTCGCCATGGCAGTAGCCAAACCCTTACAGACCAGCTTCTTACACATATAAAAGCATATAAAAAGCATCCCAGCCACAGGTGCCCTATTATAGTGTACGTTTTGGGATGGGCTTGCTTGCGGGCGCCTGGAGAGGACAATCGTGAGGTGCCCGTTGACGAGATGCCACGGCCAGACAGGGCCGCGGACGCTGCGGCCGTCTTTCAGGAAGGTAGGCCTAAATTATACCTCTCTCAAGCCTTCGAGTAACGTTTGGGCTACAGCTTCTGTCCTGCCCCTACTTGACATCCTGCCATGCGGACCTGTTCATCAACCAACTCTTGCAGCGAAGAAGTTGATCGAGGAAGGGCGTCGTTCAAGGCAGCGCTCGCCCCTCCGGTTGGCACCGGAAGACCGGAGCAGCAGCCTTCTAGAAAACTTCAGTCCCCAGAAGGCATCCTTCTTCACTTCAACCAACCCGCTGACGGCGCCCCACTTCCTCAGCAGCGCCTGGCCAACCACCACAACCTCCATAGCCTCTCTCGCGCCCAGCTGGCAGCTACCAGACGCGCCGGCAGTCGACGACCTGGGTCGGGAATGGCCTGCCCCGCACCCTCACCTCGCCGCCTCGCCCCTGAAGACGCCCCCTCCTGCCCCGCCACCCCAAGACGAAGACAGCGGTGACAACGATGCCGCGGACGCTGACGACGACCAGCCCAGCCGCTGGCAGGTGCTGGTGCGCCGAGCCAACACCAACGCAGCCAACAGCCCAGGCCTGACCGCCCTGTGCCCCTCCAGGCACTCCCCTCTCAGCCCGAGCCCGACCCGGGACAGACTGCTGCCTCCAGCTCCCAGGAGTGATGCAGCCGCCGGCCCCGGTGGGCTGGCGCCGCTAGGGTCGCTGTACGACGGAATGGGCGCAGGGAAGTCAGGGCTTTATGGTGAAGCTTGGTCGCAGGGGCCCTATGCAAGGGATCAGTACGACAAGACCGTGCGTATGTCGCCTCAGGCCGCCGGCCCGCAAGCCGTAGCAGGCTCGGTCTGGACGGGACAGCAGCAGCAACAACCGCTACCGCAGCGGCCGCTGTCACACCTGTTTCCCTCCTCGTTGCCGGCGCCCTCGCTGCTGATGCAGGCTGGCGGTCGGGGTGGCGAGGGGGTCCTGCTGGTGGGCCGGGTAGGGGCAGGGGTAGCGGCGGGGAAGGGCGGCTCCTCTTCCTCTTCCTCCTACGAGCGGGCCGTGGCGGCGCTGCAGCAGGCTGAACAACAGCTCCAGGAGCACAAGCAGGGCGGTCCGGGTGGCGCGGTGGGTGGTCGCGGTGGCGGAAGGGCTACGGGAGCGGCGGCATCCCCTGCGAGCGCGACGCTGGCGGCAGCTGAGCGCTTTCTGTCGGTTGGAAAGGGCGGGGGTGGCGGCGGCAGGGGCGGTGCTGCTGGAAGCCCCACATTGGGCGTCCGAACAGCAGCTGCAGCGGCAGCAGTGGCTGCTGCGCCGATGGCAGCCACAGCGGCGGATGGCAGCAGTTTTGAAGACGTGGCACTGGGCATGATTCACCGGCTCGCTTCCGCTACCTCACGGGTGCTCCCGCCCACAACAGGAACCGCATTCGCAGCGCTGGAGCCGCCGCCAGCGCAGCACGTAGCGGCGGCGGCCGCCTTGGCAGCCGCCTCCGCCGCAGCGGCGAAGCACCGGTCTGCTGGCGGCGGCGGCAGCAGCGGCGGCGCTGAGCTGGAACTGCAGGTCGCCATGCAGGGCCTTATGTCCGCCGCCCGACAGGCCACCAGTGAGGAGGCGATGCGGGCGGAGAGGGAGCGGCGGCGACAGGAGGCGCTAGCGGCGGCGGAGGCGGAGATCGCGGCATCGGAGGAGCGGGCGGTGCAGCTGGCGCGAGCTGTGTTGTACCTGCGGTTGTGGCGGATGGCGGCGGTGTGGGCGCGTAGGGAGGTGTGGGAGCTGCGGGCGGGGCTGGAGGCGGGGCGGCTGCGGAGGTGCCTAGCGGGCTGGGGTGCGGCGGCGCGGGGACTGCGGGCCGAGCGGCTGGCGGGGGAGGCGTTGCAGCTGGTGGAGGAGAGCAGGAAGGAGCAGGTGGGGGGCGATGCGGGTGGGGTCGTTGGGCTGCAATGCGTGGTATCCTCCTACCGGTGTATCCTCCTCTGCACACAGCGGTGTCGCCGATGTGCCGCACAGCCGCTACGGGGCGAGCGCCCTTCCAGGCGCTAGAAGCTAGGCTGCCTCAGGGAGTGCAAGTGCGCCCTGACCCACGCCTGCCCTGCCCTGCCCCGATCCGCCACCTCCCTCAGATTGCGCTGCAGTTCCGGCGGCTGTGGCTGCTGCACAGCTGCGTCAGGGGCTGGCGGCTGGCGGCGGGTGAGGGCGCGCAGCGGCAGCGGCAGGAGGCGCTGCAGGCGGAGGAGCTAGAGCGGGAGCAGCAGGTAGGTTGCGGAGGTGGCCGTTGGGTGGTTGCAAGGTGGGGCATGGGCAGCAGTGCTGGTCCCATGCACCAAGTGTATGCAGTACCGGTACTTTGGTGCGCACAAGACGATAGCAGGCGCCTGCAACAGCTTCAACACACACTGTCGCATCCCGTCGCCATTGTTGTCTTGCCTCCGGACGCGACAGTAGCTGAGCTCTTGCGACTTTTGCTGTTTCCTTGGGCGTGTTTCTTCCCATCCTCCCTCCCTGGTCCTTCCAGGCAGAAGCACTGCGATGTGCCGCAGCCGACCGCTTCCGGCGGCTTTGGCTGCTGCACGCCTCACTGCGCACCTGGAGAGCCAACGCACGCGCCCGGGCAGCAGCGCGCGCGGCGGCGGCAGCGGGCCCCCACGAGCCGCAGCGGCGCACCGCCGTGGCGGCGCTGCTGTCCCGGCTGCGGCAGCAGCGGGAGGCCTTCCAGCGGGTACCTGGGCAGGAGGGGCGTGTGGGAGGGTGCGGGGAGAGCGGCGCTGGCGCGGACGAGCAGGCATGGGGGCAGCAGGTAGGCGCTCCTGCTGCTGCCCCTTCTGCCGCAAGCCTCCGGTCGCCCCTGGGAAGCCATGACGAGTACCGCTCCAAGGTCCACGTGGGCCCCGCAGCCCCCAGTGGCCCCAGCACCACCAACAGCAGGGGTCCCGGTCCCAGTCCCAGCCCCTCCTCAGTAGAACCCGCTCGGACCGCAGCACGTCCTTTCCCCGGCCTCAACAAGTGGATTCGTCCTGACGTCGCCAAGCATGGCGTCTCTCCAGCAGGCAGCAGTGCTGCCAGTGCTGGCGGCGGCAGCGGTGGCGGTGGTCCTAGTCATGGCTCCGCTGCTGCTGCTGCTGCCGGTCGGCCGCCTCCCCGCACCACCCGCCCTGCGCCCTTTCAGCTCTCCACAGGCGCCCGCGCGCGTCACCGTCGTGATAAGGTGCTGTCGGCGTGTGAGGGCACCCGACACCTGGTGGAGGGGGAAGGGGGACAGGGGGCGGAGGCCTGGGCGCAGGAGGCGGGTGTGGAGGCCTGGGCCGGTACAGCGGGATCCGTACCGCAGTGGCAGGAGACATGGCCGCAAGGGACATCCCCAGGCGAGGAGGGAGGGGCAGATGGCGGCCTTGATGGGCCGCTGGGCGCTGCATGCCAGGCGGGCGGTGGTGCGAGCGGCGGAGGTGCCTACGGTGCTGGTGAGCCGCGGCTTGTGCCGACCTCACCGGGCGGGGATTGCAGTGTTAGCAACAGCTTTGACTCGGAATCCCTAGGCTCCGACGATGAAGAAGGGTGTGCGGTGACATGCTGGACGAACGCACGGCTAGCTACCGCGGCAGCCCCCGGGGTTGGGGAAGGTCCGGTTGGTGGCGCCGGCGCCACGCACTGCATGGGCGCGTCGGGCGGCAGCCTACATGAGGAAGCAGATGCAGCCCATGCAGCACACCAGGATGGCTGCCAGTCGCTAGGGACCCAGAGCCACATGTGCGATGCTGGACGCGCAGGTTGCATGCATGGAGCCCCGGAGGAGCCGCTGGAGGACCGCAGGTGCAGCCAAGCAGCCTCCACCGGGTTGCATCCGGCGGGGGCCAGGCGCTCCAGTGACAACACGGCGCCCAACACGGCTAAAGCGGCAAGCGGCGGCGGTGCAGGCTGCCACCGCCCGCCAGCCCCGACCCATAAACCCCTGCCCGCCTCCCTCAGGCCCCGGCGCCATGTCCCTGGAGCCTGGCCTCCTCCCCCTCCTCCGCCTCCTCCAACAGCACGCCGGGGTCCCTTGGGGCCCTCGTCCTCCTCCGCCGCCGCTGCTGCCTCCGCAGCTAAGCGCAGCCCCAGCGCAGTCGGCCGCCCCACTGGGACTGCTGCTGCGGAGGGAGGAGCAGTCCCCCATGCCACCAGCTGCAGCAGCGGTGGCGGCAGCGACGTCAGCCACACCACCACCACGCTCCACCGAACCGCCTCTTCCGCTGGCTCACCCGCCCTTGCACCCCAGCCCTCCTACCACCTGCATCCGCCACCGTCTACAGAGCCCAGTGCCTCAGCTCCCACAAACCCTCATCGCAACGGTGCTACTGCTGCAGCCACCCGTAATACTACCACTGCTGCTGCACCCCCCATGCTGGCCGCCAATGCGGTGGCTGTGGGGCCACCGGCAGGCCCCGGGCCGCTGTCCTTCAGCGCTGTGGATCTGGAGCGGCTGCGTGCGGCGGAGGTACGGCGGCGGCAGGCGGCTGACGAGGCGGCGCGGCGGCTGGCGGCGGAGCTGGCTCGCGAGCTGGAGCAGCTGGCGGGGGTGCACCGCAGGAGGGCGCTGCTCAAGTGGTGGGTGGGGGGGAAACACCGGGGGATACGGTGCCGGTGTATGTGGGGTAGGACCGGGGTAGGATTGTCTGCTGGAATGGGAGGGAATTCGTCTCAGCGTGACCGTCCCAGCGACCGTCTCAGCGTGCCCTTGTGTTCGTGTATGGCCGTATGCATGACGCCGCTGCTAGCGGGCTGGGCCCTAGGGTGTGCACCTCGCATGCCACCCTGCATGTCATCTGGCCCTAGCTCCATCATCGCTCGTCGCCGGGCCCCTGCCCACCCGCCCTCCGCTGATTACGATACTTTGACATCTGGGACGCCATCATCCCCCGGTACAATGCGGTCAGGGTCAGTACCGGTATTTGCCGCGGCTCAGTTTACCTACCGGTATTCCCCGCCACCCTGGTTGCAGGTGTGGGCTGCACCCCTGGCAGCAGTTGCTGGAGGCGGCGCGGCGGGACCTGCAGCAGGCGGCGCAGCACCACCGGGGGGCGCTGCTGCGGAGGGCGTTGCGGGTGGGCAGGGGTTGGGGCGCGGGAGGACGGATGGTGGATCTTCGCCATGCTACCATGCGGCATTGGGGCTGGGAAGAGGAAAAGGGGACTATGCCACTTGCCACAGCACATCAGACATCACGTTGCATTGCGATAGGGCGGTAGGACAAAGTCGGATAGAGGCATTCGTCCAGTCCAGCTACGCATCATAGCATGCGTACCGGTATGTGTGGGAGGCCTTACACAATCCCCTGCCTCCGCTCCCCTATCCTCCAGGGTCTGGCCATGGGTGTCGTACGAGGCCGCATGCGACCCATCTCCCGCATCGTCGCTGCGGTTGCACGGGGCCGTCTGGCTCGAAGGGTAAGTGCCGTGGTCGCGGCCTTGGGAACACTAGTCCAAGAATGCGGCATGATGCTTCCTGGGACGTGGTAACTGACAAGCCTATTCCGACGCGCTTCCTTCCCAACCAGTGTCTCAACCAAATGCACCAACACCACTCGCTTCAGCCCTCTCCAGACATACCGGTATCCGCTGCACTGCTCCTACCGGTATCCCCGCCCCCTCTCGCTCCCCGCAGGAGCGGCTGGCAAGGGCGGTTCTGGGTCGTCTGGTGGCGTGTCGCCGTGCAGCCGCCCTGCACCGCCGCCACCTAGCCCGGCGGGTTCTGGTGGGCCTGATGCGGGCCGCGGGGGCCGCATGGGCGGCCCGAGAGGAGGCGGAGGAGCACGCGTACCGGCGGCGGCTGTGGAGCTGCCTACTGGGCTGGAGGCAGGCTGCGGAGCAGCAGGTACGGTGGGGTGTGGTTAGACAGGAGGGAGGTAGGGCTTTCCCCCTGTAGTGCCTGACTTATAATGGCTTCTCTCTCACGATCGCTATATAAAATTCCCCGAGCATGTCCCCTACCTGGCTGCTTCGTATTGCTACGCACGGTAACCCCACTTCCTAGTCCCACACGCGTACGTCATGCATTGTCATTTTGTCGTATGCTACCCGTGTCGCAGGCCAGTCAGCGGCTGCTGTGGGAGCTGCAGCGGCAGCACCAGGCGGAGGCGGCGCTGGGCCGCAGCCGGGCGCGGCGGGTGCTGGGCGCGTGGCGGCGCGCGGCGGCGGAGGAGGCGGCGCAGCGGGCGGTGCTGCAGCAGCGCAGTCAGCAGTGGGCCAAGGTGCAGGGCTGGATGCGGGAGGTGCAGGTGGCCCGGGCGTCCAGCGGAGCGGGAGTGGCGGTGGCGGGTGCTGGGGTGGGGGCTGGGTCAGCTGTACGGCAGCCGTCGGGCGGCGGCCCCGGTATGGGGTTGAGCAGGACGGCATGGGGTGTGGCTCCTGCTGGTGAGGTCGGTGCTGGAGGAGTGGGGAGGGAGGGGAGGGAAGATCAGCGGACTCAGCAGCAGCACAGGCACCAGCACCAGCAACAGCATAAGGAGGAAGGCCAAGAGGAGGAGGAGGAGCAAGAGGAGTTGGGGGAGTTCCTTCGCGGCGGGTTCGAGAACGAGGAGTGTGGTGGTGCTACCAAGAAGCGCGTTGCTCCTAGCGGTGCTGCTGCTGCTGCTGCTTCTGACGATGACGACCCGCTGGGGTTGGGACCGCTCGAGGAGCACCTGCAGCAGTTCACGCTGGGACCGGGGGGACCGGCAGGGGGCGGCAGGGCTGGGGGCCGAGCCGCGGGGGCGGGTCCTCGCATCGCATGGGAGCGGGAGGAGGAGGGCAGGGAGCTGGGAGGGAAGGGGGGTGGTGCGGCGCTGCGGGGGTGGCCCATGGGTCCGCCGGTGCTGGCGAGTCGGCAAGACCGCCTGGCTCGGTACCTGGAGCGGCGGGCAGGAGGAGGCGATGATGCGGTGGGTTGAGAGCCGGTGTGCCGGTACGGCGCACGCGAGTGTGGGGAGATGCCGTACACAGGGGTCAGTACCTCGTGGTTCCGGAGTTCGGTGTTATTGGAGGCGGCGGGTGGGTGCTGCGCTGTGGCTTTCTGGGCGGTTATGATTGTATATAGATCAGGCGCACGATGACATGGAGCAGAAGACAGTGGGGGCGTCTTGTGGTTTGGGGTGTGTTTTAATTGTTAAGGTTTGCAGTATCCACGTGTTGATGCATAGCGAGCATGATCGCTCGTTAGCGCTGGTATGACCGAGTGCCCTAACTTGTTACCGAGCTGGGTGGTAGGCTTGCTTGCTTGCGTGAGTGGGTTTGCGGCACTTGCACCGTGTCCCGCTGGCTGGCTAGTACACCAGCCTGTGTGGCATTTGGGCAGCAGCAGGTGCGGAGAGGTACATCGACTGCTGCACTGTGTATGACAAGTACAGAACAAGGTGTTGAGGACATGCCCGTGGTTACGTGGGAACGTGGCTAGGAATTTCATAGCATCATATAGACAACAATTACATGTCCTGGTCAGGCCTTGCAGGCTTGCATGGCTTGCCCGGATCATAGCATAGCTTGCCGTACGTTAGTCAAGCTGGTGTTTACTCCAACGCTATCCAGACACTCACGCCATGCAGTAGCATGGCAACCGGTCTGCTCGAAAGGCCACAGAAGCAGTGTGTGCCCCGGCAAACCGTCAAACTAAAATTTCTAACCAGGCGAGTGCGTTCGACTGCTCCTGTTTCGCTCGCGTATGTGCATTGCCGCGCGCTGCTATACCCCTGTAAGCCCGCTCCTAGTAAAACTCAACCCCATGCAAGCGCACACAAACACGCTCATCCTCGCGCTTTCCGCCATGCCATGCCCTTTGATTCCAGCCCACAACGCACGCCTCTGCCGACCCCGCAATCCCCAATCACCCCGCGCCACCACCATCCCACACTCTTCTCCCAACCCAACACACACCCGCCTCTTCTCCCACACCTTCCCCCCCTCCCCCTTTCCCAGCCACCACCCTACTTCCCCTTTACCCTACTTGGCCTCCCACAAGATGGGAATGCCGTCATCCCGCCACGCTATCCGCCCGTCACACAGCGCCGCCACGCAGTGCGGGTACACCTGGTGCTCCTCCCGCAGCACCCGGGCCGCCAGCTGGTGCGGCGTGTCGGTGGGATACACCGGCACCACACGCTGAGCCAGGATAGGGCCCGTGTCGAACTCCTCATCCACGAAATGAACCGTGGGTCCGGAGAAGCGCGCGCCCGAGGCGATCACAGCCCGGTGCACCCGCTCGCCGTAGTAGCCCTTGCCGCCGAAGGAGGGCAGCAGGCCCGGGTGGATGTTGAGCATGGCGCGGGGGTAGGCACGGCAGAGCTCGGGCGGGATGAGCTTCAGGTAACCGGCGAGGATGACGTAGTCGACGGAGAAGGCGTTGCGCAGGCCGTCTACAAGCTGGGAGGCGGTGAGGCCCTGGCCTTGGAACTCGCCCTTCTTGACGACGGGGTAGGTGAGCGTGGGGATGCCGTGCTGGGCGGCGTAGGCGACGCCACCGCAGGTGGGGACGTCGCTGACGACGACGGCGATGGTGGCGTTGATGCGACCGTCCAGGCAGGCGGCGTGGATGGCTTTGAAGTTGGAGCCGCCGCCGGAGACAAAGACGGCTAGTCGCGCGGGCGGGTTTGTGGCTAGCTTGTAGTCTGGGAGGTTGCTGCCATGGGCGGCAGTGGCAACTGAAGCTCGCCGGGAAGGAATGTGGGCTTGGCTTTGCGCGCAGAGGGATGAGGGGATGCAACGAGAAGGCTGGGATTGAGCGCCTCCTGTAGATGCAGCTGTCGGGCGTGGTCGGGCGCTGCTAGAGCAAGCGGCGATGTTGTGGACGAGCGATGGAGCGGCTGTGACCCGCTTAGATGGCCGAGCTCGCACAATGGTATCGTTAATATGTAAGTTTAACATGCTGAAGAGCTTGCAAGCGGGTTAACCTGTAACCAAGAAATACGCTGAATGCGCCGACGGACCACTTTACAGCGATTGATCAGTCTGCTGTATGGATATATCTAAGTAATTAATCTAATATATTATCCAGGTAGCTGCAGAGCTTATCGGAGGGGAGTACAAGTGGGTGCGGCATGCTTCCGTACAGGACTGCCGGTTAACGCTGCAAGCAAGTAAGGAAAGGCAAAGCGCGATATGCTTTACACATAATGTGAGGCCCCCATTAGCATCATGAGCCGAAAGCAAGTAAGTGCCGCATGATTCTTATTAGACCTGCCTACGGAGCCTCCATTAGCACATGGCGAGTCCATTTGGTGATGCATCTATGCACCTCTTGTCCCAATCTCTCCTCGCAGATCTTTCTAGACAGACTGCTATGCTCCGGAACGCCCCATTGATATCATAAGAAGCAAATGAGCAGGGCAAAGCCCCAACCGTTCTGCAGCGGTACGTGGGGTATCAGCACTGGGGGCCACAACGACCCTTCCTCGCCAACATACCCTACTACTACTCTAGACACATCACCACTACGGTTAGGCAACCCGCTACCCCCCTTTGCTAACCAACAGACGCTCTCGAAGCCAGGCCACATTCGCAGACGTTGCTATTAGGAGCAGGCGCCGCCTACCTTCGTCCTCAAACACCCACCCCAACCTCCCAACCTCCCTGTATTCTGCACTCCATAGTAACTTGTTTAAGTGTTACCGCACGACATATGACAGCGCCCCTTGCACGCTTACCCCTCCATAACCAACTTCCATCCGTGTCTCTACTGCACACCCAAGCAGCTCCTCACCCGGGAGTCATCCCCTCAGCCATTCCTTTCCCTACGCTCGCCACAGCCGCTTAGAAGAGTCGCTTAGAGAGCGACTTCAGCTTTGCCCAGCGGGGCTTGTTGAACTCAAAGCTTAGGAGAGACTTGACGCGGTTGCCGATGGGCTGCCCCTTCTCGCTCAATAGCACAACCGAGTTACGCAAGTACTGGATGTGGCTTCCGTTCTGGCGTTGAATGGGGTACTTCTGCTCCACGATGACGGCCTTGCGCATCGCACCAGCGGCGACCTTCTCTCCACGCGCCTCTTTAACAACAACTTTTACAACATCACCGACGCTAGCATATCCACCTTGGTGTCCATAGAAGCCGATTACTTGAGCTAGCTTGGCACCGGAATTGTCTACAACCTTAAGGTACGCAAATTTTGGAATCATTGTATGTAGCTACTAGAGAGTATAGAATATTAGGTGCACAAAAAGTACGTAAGCACGCTGTCAAATATTGTCGATAATATCCAGGCCAAGTTGATACAGGCAGTCAGTACACCTAGATGTGCGTAACAGCTCGTCGAGAGGGGACGGTCTGCTCCTGGCGAGCCTGCCGCTAGCCGACTTCCGTTAAGAGGTTTCGGAACGGGCGTCGTACCTCGCTAACTGAAAAGGCTGTAACGCACCCGACGCACGCGTTTCCTGACACCCAAAGCATCAGTGCAATACTTGCGCAGGAATAACAAGATTTTACGCACACAATGCCTTCAGCTGTTCCAACGGGGAGCGGTAGCCCTGAATATCCTCAGGGTGGCATTTTGGGTCTTTGCTGGTCAAAGTACATCAAAGAGCTTCACAGGCGGCCCTTGCGCACAAAATGCATTACCTCAGCTTGCGTCGCAGGCCTCGGCGACGTCCTAGCCCAGCTCATAGCGTCAGGCAGTTACAGTAGCCTAAAGCGGACCCTGGCGCTCGCGTGCTTTGGCTTTCTGTACACCGGCCCCTCCGCTCACTACTGGCAGAAGTTTATGGAGCTTCTTTGCTCCGGCAAGACCGACGTCAAGACAGTCACGCTCAAGGTCCTGATCGACCAGCTCACCTACGGCCCCGTGTGCAACAGTAAGAGCTGTTGATTGGTGCTGAAGTTCCCCCGTCCTTTTCCAGCGCGCACTGCCGTTACCGGTATCTCACCCAAATCTACGCCTGATTTCCATCTCGGCTTCATTGCTTCCTTCACTTCGTTGCTACCTTGCTTCGAACACCTTGAGATACCGTAGTAGGTCCTGTTCGACACCTCTGCCCCTCTCACCCGCTTCCCCGCTTCCACACAACCACCAGTGCTCTTCATGCTCTTCGCCGCGGTGGCCATGGAGGGCCGGCCACTGGCTGCCGTACTGCGCAACATCCCGCACGAGTTCCCTGCCGTACAGCTCGACGGTTGGCAGTTGTGGCCGTTGGCGACGCTGATCAACTACCGCTTCGTGCCGCTTCAGTTCCGCGTGCTGTTCATGAACCTTGTGGCGCTGCTGTGGACGGTGTTCCTGTTGCTGCGCGCGCGGGGGTCGCAGGGGCGGGGCCGGGCGGGTGCGGGGGCAGCCGTGAAGGCCGGGAAGTAGCCAGGCTGTGGTTGTGCGGATGTACATTTGCTGTAGAGGATGAAGGGGATACATAGGAATAACTTGCCATGTGACAAGGACTCTTCCAGTATGGAAAGAGTGTGGGATGAATGCGCGGGAAGGAAAAGAAGGAAGAGGGTGTATGTCAGGGCGGTTACGGTACTATATGGCACTTGGGAGAGAGGTCCCACTTAGAGCGGGATGAAATGACGTCGTATCCCCGCATGTCGGCTGCCCCACACCCCGTAGGTCGATTCTACCGCAGCGGCCTCTCAAAGGCCACCATAATCGCATTGAGGCAGAAGTGGGGTTCCAACTCTCAACACTCATGCCCTTCAGCTGACCCTGGCTGCCGTGGACTGCAGGTGGCTGTCATGGTGTGTGCGGCAGTCATGAATGCTCTTAGATTGGAAGGAAGCATGCACCGCGGGGCCCAAGTATGGGTTACACACCCAGTACGTAGGATGGGCGGAAAAGCGTTATGCACGGGCAGCAGGCATTGGTTCGATGGCATGGTGCGGTGGTCATAATTTTAGCAGGCTTGATGTCAACAGCAGGCCTCTAAGTTGGGCATGTTTGTTGCGCTAGGTGCTATAAAGTAGTTGTTCAATTCTATAGCGGAGCGGAATGCTCCACGGCAAACAGCAGCTCCATTGTTGTGTCATGTTGCATGAACAGCATGAGGCGCGGATTCCTACGCTGCTTTTTGGAAGCAGAAAGGAGCAAAAGCAGCGCAGAGATTAAGTGGGGTACGTGGATACGGTACTCCACGCGCGTGTGTAGGCCGTGGCAGGCTGTGGCTTCATTGGGGGTGCATGTGGCGTGTGAGAGGGAGTGCTTGCAGGATGCATCAACTGTTTAGCTCGGTCTTGCATACGCACCGTGTCCTTATGCTGGACTGATGGCGTTTCACTAGTAAAGCGGACGTAGCGGGCCAGCAGGCCATGTGAGCTTGTGTGGGGTTACAAAGTAACTAGCCGCCGCCGCTGCTACGTCGCAGTCTGCGGTTAACACCACGGGCAGCTAACAGCAGCGTTGTGGGGCGGCGCTGCGTGTCCGTGGCGGCTTACAACCGGCACATTAGAGCGGCGTACGACAGGCACTTGACCAGGATTCTGAGACTCGTACGGCACCTCCTACTACCGTACGTTAAAACACCTGCAACTGAGCAACAGCAACTGAGCAATGAAGATCGACTCACAACGCCATAGAAAGCACTCAACCTTGCAACAAGGGGGGAAAACAGTGAGCAGTCTGCTTTTAACAGAAAAGCATTGACATCGCATTACGGCTACTCGGCTACCCCTCAACACCCCCGACCACTGCCCGGGCGTCCACAGACACAGCGGAAGATGTGGCCCCGCAACTTGCAACCAGAGGCTTTAACCTCACGACGCACAACTGGCCCTTGAACTACTACATAACTCCAGCTGCGACGCGTTTTTAAAAATGAAGGTACGGCGCAGAATAACACGTGTAACGTTGCGCTTCAATTCCCTTCTAAATAATGTGATCAAACAGTAAGGCAATACATTCCATGTCACCTCTCACATGTGGCCCTTCCAACAAAACCCCCGCGATGTTTCTTACGCGGAGGTCAATAACATAATCTGGGCTTTGCGCACGCACGCTTACGACCAGGCACCTCTGGGCCTTCATTGAGCGCAAAGCAATAGGACGCCCCTGCCACTGCCTTTCCACCTACCTCTCTGCAAAACATGCAAAACCTGCGATCATTCTCTAAAACATAAGCATCAAAAACCGTAAGGACGGCACAACCCAATAGTTGACGGTACCGCAAACCACAAACACCCTAACACACAAGCAGCCAATTTAAGCAGCAGGCAAACTAAGCAACAGAGACCTCAACGTCGCCACTGCCCCTCTAGGCCGGAGGACAGCCGCCAAATGTCCCCATAAACACCCACCCTGTGCAAAACTCCACAAACCCCACCTCCCATCCTCCCGGCCCGATCCAAAGGACCGCACCCATCCGCAAAACGCCCGCTCTGTCACTCCTCCTCCTCCTGAGCACACGGCACGCAACGCGCGGCCCGCGCCCCACCTCCCCCAGCCACCCCTCCCACCACCACCCCAACCCCCGCAGCGCTCTTCAACTGCTCCAACGGTCCCAACAGCATCACAGGTGGCGGCGACAGCGCCTGATCATCACAATGTACGGCTGCGTCGTCATCCGCCGTACAAACGGCCCCACCGCCGCCGCCGCCAGCGGCAATCTTGGAAGGGGTGCCGTAGCCGCTATTGATGCCGCTGCCGCCTCCGCCAGGCGCCATGGCTGAGGCGGGACGTGGCGGCGTGGCGGAGGCAGTCCTGCGAGCAGGAGTGGCGGCGGCGGTTGCCGGCGGCCGGCGTACGGCGGCCGCCGGTCGAGGAGGAGTGCTTACGAGAGCCCCCTCCGTCGCCGTCGTCGCCATCTTCGTCGCGGCAACAACTTCCTCCACATGCGCAGAAGGTGTCGACACGTCGGCAGCTAGCTCCGAGCCCACACCAAAGGAGGAGTGACGGCTGTGACTAGGGAGGCCTCGATGGCTCGGCGGCCCAGAGGAGAACAAGCCGCCGTCAGCACCAATACCGCCACCACCTCGGGCGCTGGGTGCCAGTCGAGTGGAGCCCAGGTTACACATCCCGTCGATGCTTTCGTACAAACCGTAGCCGTACGTTTCCGCGTCACGTGCCACCTGATGGCTGTCTATCCGCAGCTTGGAAACCCAGCTGCTGCTGCTGCCGCTGTTGTTGCGGTTTCCGCCCAGGTGGCTGCCACCGCCACCGCCACTGACGTTGACATTACTATTTTTGTCGTTCGCAACGTCGCCGTTATCCATAACAGCAACAGCAGGAGTAGTAGTAGAAGACGTACCCGTTGTCAACAGTACCTCTGGGCCGCCGCCCTGACATCCCTCATCGCTCTCCTCCTCCCGCGCCATTGCGTCGCTAGAAGCAGGGGGGACTCCACTGACCCGTGGGTCATCACCCTCATCAGCCGCCGCCGCCGCTGACATGGCCAGCGACAGCGTCGCAGCGCTGATGGAACGTGGCGGCGAAGGTGCTGGCGCCGCTGGCGAAAGAGATGGCGCCGCCGACAGTACGGCATCACAGCCCTGGTTGTCGTACAGTTGATTACCGGGTTGCTGCATCAGCATTTCGATGCCTGCTGACGTGGCGGCATCGTCGGCGGAAGTGCTGGTCTCCGCTACTAGCGCTGGCGGCGGAGAGGGCCCCCTGCTGCTGCTGCGGTGCTGCTGCTGCTGCCCCGCCGGCTTGTCCCCCGGCTCCGACCGACTGACGCTACCCCCCATCATCCCCGCCATCTTCACCCCTCCTCCGCTCATGCTGCCCCTAGCTCCGCCACCCATGCTGCCCGCCCCTGCTGCTCCTCCTCCTCCGATGCTCCTGCTGCGCCAGGGCAGGGAGCCCTGAATGCTCTCCTGCAGCAGCTGCAGCCGCCCGTGTTCCGCCTCCAGCTGCCGCATGCGCCGACGCAGGGAGTCCAGCGTGTGAGTGGCCTCGAGGCCGTACTCCAGGGGGGTCAGGCTGGCGCGCAGGCTGGGCAGGACGGCGGCGGTGGAGGTGGAGGAGGCAGCGGTCGGAGGTAGTGGTGGTGGTGGTGGCACTGGAAGGGGCGCATGAGCAAAGGGAGCGGTGGTGGTGGAGGTGGTGGCTGCCAGGGTGGTGTCAGGCGGGTTGGTGAGGGGGATGAGGCGGGGCTGGGCGGTGGCGGTGGCGGTGCGGCGGATTACAGCGCCTGCGCGGGGGGGGGGGGTCCGGCGGAGGCGGTGGCGGAGCGTTAGACGGGTTACTAGGAGGGCGCTATTAGTCGGGTTTCCTAAGGAAACCCGGCCATGGCGTGCCATGACCGAGAGGTAGCACCTAGCACAACGCGGTTCTCTCTGCCTTGTCTGCAAGCAACCGAAGCATACTTGCACCATCCGCTGCCGTGTAACGCCCATCCATGCGGCCCACTACACGCCAACACGAGCTTCCCCCCATCCGAGTGTCACTCATATCCGCAAGTGTCAGTCACCACTTTTGCTTTGTCTGTGATCCTAGCATCTCCCCTGCTAGCGCCTTACCCCCTGCAAGGCCGCCGGGGGCCGGCACGGCAGCAGCCCCCGCCGCCGCTCCCAGCCCGCCAGCCGGCTTCACCTGCGGCGCAAAGCCAGCCCCTCCAACTCCTCCTCCATCCGCCTCGCCACTCGCCTCGCCTCCTTCTCCGCCGCCGGAGGAAACCCCACGCAGGGCGGCTCCGCCGCCCCCCGCTGACGCAGACTTGGACGAGGAGGAGGTGGGGCAGCAACCAGCTGCTGACGATGACGCCGAGCCGCTCCGCTGCCGCATCCAAGGGGAGGTACTGCCCGCCGCCAGGGACAGCGACCCGGACATACGCACCGCAGCGCACACAAACTCCGGCTCCTCCTCCTCCTCGTCATTGTTGCTGTTAACGTTGCCGGCGGCGGCGGCGGCGGCGGAGGTGGTGGGCTGTACGGGAGCGCCGCCGCCGCTGCCCCAGCAGTCCCCGTCGGAAGCGCCGCTCCTCGCCGTCTCCAACAGCGCAACGTCGGCTGCTGCTCCTCCGCCTCCTCCTCCGCCCCCTCCACTGGTAACTCGGCTGCGCTGGGCTGTGTCAGGCTGCTGTTGTGGGGTCGGACTGTTGCTCGCAGAGCGGTCCAAACTGAACGCCGAGATCCAGGGACGAGGCGGGGCGCCGCTGCCGCCGCTGCCGCCGCTGCTGCCGATAACACCACCGCCGCCGGAGCCGCCGATAGACGATGCGGTTGTTGCGTCAACGGAAGACCGGGATGGCGGTCTCGGGGGCTGTGGCGGTCGAACAGCCGGGTGGTGGTGTTGCTGCTGGTCTTGGTGATACTGCTGCTGCTGGTGGGGCGGCAGTGGCTGTGGTGGTGCTAGGGCGCCTAGTCCCCGGTTGCTACTAGCAGACTCCCCAAAAGAAGTGCTGGCGGTGGCGGTGGTGGCGGTGGTGGCGGTGGCAGCAGCAATGGCGGGGGCGGCGGCCAGGGAGGGTGCAGCAGTTGGGGCAGCTAGCGGCGGCAGCGGGGCGAAGTCGCTGTGCGTGAAGCTGCGGCTGCGGCTGAGGGCCAGACTCTCCTGCGGTTGCGTGTGGAGAATGCAGAGGCGGGAAGGAAGGAAGAAAGGTGGAGGTGCAAGACGGGGCAAGGTATAAGACATTAAGAGAGCGGAGGGACCAACCGGGCCTTCCCGTCTCCATCTCATGTATGTCCGCATCCCTTCCGTCCCATCCCGCTCGCTCTCTCCCCGCCCCGCAAATAAACTGCTTCACTCTATCCCAATCGCTAGGCCCTAACCCGCGGTTCTGGTACATCTTTCACCCCACCCCCGCAGCAACCCCACCTTGAGCGCCGTGACGCTCATGTCCCCCGTCGCCCCCAGCAGCGACCGCCACAGCGGCTCCTCCTCCTCCAGCTGCTGCTGCAGGGGGGCCCCACCTTCACCTTCATCGTCAGGACTCCCTCCAGCAGCACCCACACCACCCGCAACACTTGCAGCAGCAGCAGCACCATTACCACTACCATTACCAGCAGCAGCAGCAGCAGCAGCAGCAGCGAAACCGTAGTCTAGCGAGGCAGAGCCAGCACGGGAGGCAGACAGGCTGCCACTGCCCCCGCTATTGCGGTAGAAGCCGTAGGACGCCATGGCTGCCGCTACTGCTGCCGCTGCTGCTGCAGCTGCTGCTGAGGAGGGAGAGGTAGCGGTAGCAGCGGCGGTAGCAGCAGCAGCGGTGGTGGTGGTGGTGGTGAGGTCAGGCGAGTCCAGGCGGGCCGTGAGGCGCCCGCTGCCGCTGCGACTGAGGGGCCGGCTGGTGCCGACTCGGGAGGCCGGCCCCACCCCCACACCCGCTGCTGCTGCTGCTGCTGCGGCGGTGGCTGCTGAGAGGTCTGCTGCGGCTGCTAGGTCGCTGCACCCCAGCTGCGCCTGAATGACCTGCGCGCGGCAGAGGAGGCATTGGAGGCATGGGGAGGCGCTGTGACCGTTAGGTTTACACATCAGCACCCTCACCCCTTACTCTTTCCTCCACCTTTCATTCGTGACCGCCTCCCGCCCCCCCCCACCTGTTTGTCAGTGTTTCTTTATTTTTACCCCCACCTGCAGCACGGTATCCATGCGGTCGTTGCGCTCCTCCAGCTCCAGGATGTGCGCATCCCGCAGCTCCAGGGCGCCCTGCAGCGCTAGCACCTGGCAGGGGGGCGGGGGGATGGTTGGGGAAGCAAGGGGTTAGAAAAGAATGGATTAAAGAGGTAATTAGGGGTGGAGACACTTACCCCAGGGGCTGGCCTGCCAGCCAGCCTGGGTGCCTTCCCCACCTGCTCCCATCCCCCGCCCTCCCTCATCCCCCCCCCACCTGCTCCCCCATGGCCCGCTTGAGCCCCTCGTTGCCCTCCCGCGCCAGCTGCAACTCGTACTGCAGCGTGCGCAACTCCCTTTGTGGGGGGGAAGGGCAGGGGAGGGAGAGGAGGTTGAATGAAATGAGGAGAGCGGGAGGAGGAGAACACGCACGTTAGGCGAGGGAAGAGAGACACGTGCACAGATGTAATGAGGGAAGCACTCGCCGGACAGCACAGGGGCTTGCCTCCCAGCCATCCACCCACCCACCCCACCCCCCGCTACTCACTCTGCATGGTCCGCCACCATGCCCTGCATCTGCTGCTGCTGCTGCCGTACCGCCGCAGCCAGCTGGGCGGCATCCGACTCAGCCTGGGCGGCTCGGGCCTCCGCAATCTGGGGCCGGGAGTGGTAGGTGGGGCGGGAGTGGTGGGTGGGGCGGGAGTGGTGGGTGGGGCGGGTCAGGTGGAGGCGAGAGGCTGTCGCTTGTAGCGGCAGACGGCAGGCAGACACCTCAAGAGAGTGAAGCAAGCCGTGCATGCCATGTCATGGGCTGTCAAGGCAGGTCACGCAGCCATCGGCTCCCTCTCCCCCCCTCACACCCCGCGCACCCCCTGCCCCGCACCTTGAGCCTGCCCCCCTCCTCCAGCCGCTGCCCCCTCAGCGCCGCTAGCTCCCGCTCCGCCGCTTGCCGCCCCCGCACCGCCGACTCCAACTGGGAGCGCAGCTCGGATACCTGGTGCGGAGTGGTGGGGGGTTGCGGTTGGAGAGGGCAGGAGCGGAGGGAACAGAGGTAAGCGCGGCAGGCGTCGCAGTGGGTGTTTGAGTTGAAGTTTTGGTGGAGGCGAAGACAGCGGCAGCGGACCCGAGAACACCGTCTGCCTGGCGCCAGCAGTCTCTTCTCAAAACCTCACTGCCTGCCCCCCCCCACCAAACACACGCACACGCACCTGCATGCCCGCTCCGTCCCGCAGCCTCCGCACCTCCCCCTCCAGCTGGGCGGCTCGGAACACAGCCGCCTCGCGCTCCCGCTCCTCCAGCTCCAACTGGCGGGGGTGGGGGAAATGGCGGGGTGGGAAGAGGGGGGGGAGATTGGCGGGGTGTGGGAGGGAAGGGCGGGTGGGGAGTGGCGGTGGCAGGGTGAGGTAGTGAGGGAGGAGGGGGTCGCCGTATCCCCGGGTGCTGGTGACAGCCCGACCGCACCAGACCGCGCATGAGTAGAGCAGCTACAAGCCACGCATCTCGAACCCTACTACCCCCTCCCTCCCCTCCCCCCTCCCCTCACCTTCCCTACCAGCTCCCCCAGCCTCCTGGCCCCCGCCGCCTTGATGACCCCCACCGCCCGCCCGTCCACCAGCTGCACCGGAACCACAGCCAGCGGGAGAACCTGGGGGGGGGGCCGGGGGCGGGGAGGGGAAGGGAGCGGTGGGAGAAGGGGAAGGCAAGCTGTCAGTCGTGTCATACACAACATGGCTCGTTGTGGGCTTTTGAGTCCAGCAGCCGCCCTACCCTTGTAACAACAGCCCGCCCCTCCAGCCTCCCAAAGCCCCCCCCCCACAGTCCCTCTTTACCCCCACCTCCCCCCGTCCCTCACGTGGTGCGGCCAGCGCTCGCTGCTGAGTCCCTGCGCCCCGATGCGCCAGCGGGCCCGCCGACCCACCGACCCGCACCCCGGCCCCCCGCCGCCGCCCAGCGCCACTCCGAGGGGCGCGGCGGGGTCGGCCTCCAACACATGGGGGTGGCGGCTGGGGCTGGGGAGGGGGGAGGAGGGAAGAGGGAGGAGGGAAGGGAAAAGGGGGTTGGAGTTGGGGTAAGTATCGAGGTAGGTATGGCCTGGAGGAGGGGAGTTGTTGGGAGACCCATGGGTCGGACAAGAAGCCCTGACAGGAGGAGACGGAGCCAACAATGCCACATCTCCACGCCTTTCCGTCACCGCCTCTCTCTCCCTGCTCGCCATGTGTGGCCCCTGACCTTCTCCATCCTGTTCCTTCTCCTCCTCCTACTCCTCCTCCGCAGCCCCGAGGATACGGACCCTGGTGCGCTCCACTTCCCTATTTCCGTACCTCCTTCCCCCCTGCCTCCCCTCATCTCCCTTCTCAGTACGTTTCCCCTCCTCCTCCCCAGCATTGTCATACAGCTAACCAGTTTCCTCGTCAGTTGCCTCAATTTTACCCCCTTTCCCCCCAGCCCCCTCCCCCTCCCCCTCACCCCAGCAGCTCGAACACCAGCTGCTGCCCGCTGCGCCGCACTCGCCACACGCTGAGCGGCTCCAGGGGGGAGGTGAGCACCGCGTCTTGGAGGGGAGAGAAGTGAGAGGGGGCCGGGAAGGCGGAAGGAATGGGAATGGAGCAGAAGGAAGAGGAAGAGAAGGTGAAGAGGTGGAGGGCAGGTTTAGGAAAGAGAGGGCAAGTGAGAAAAGCAGAGGATAGGTGATGAAAGGAAGCATCAGTGCGTGTCAGGAGACTCAATGCAACTTGAGAAGGAGAAAAGCTGTATCATGTTCTTCGTCGCAAGGGTTAGGGAAAAGATGAAGCAGCAGCAATGGGGCTGATACCGTCCCGTTCGGGAAAGCGCAACGACCGTTTGGTCGTTGAACGGGAGCTCGCTTGCAAGGGAGCTTGGCAAGACGTAAGAGCCTCTGGAGGCAAACGGCAACGTAACTCGACAGCGTAGATCTTACCAGGTTGGCCCTTTGCGAGCTGCAGTGGCTCCATGGATAGTCGCCGACCAGCGGGCAGCATGGCTGTCAGGACGTTGCCCGCCGAGCGAAGATACACGAATTCTCCGTCCGCCAGAAGCTCTATTTCAGAGTACGAGGATGATCGAGCCAATGCATTGTCGGTATGGGTCGGAGATGGCGCGGATGCGCGCTGGGGAGTGCTTCGAGCGAGCCACTGGGAAGCACGCCATTCTAGATCTTCTTCATGACTCCCATCCAAGACATTGTTACCGGGCTCAGATCCTTTGCAAGTGCTTTTCAGGGCGGGCTCATTCTTCTTCTCGCGCAGGCGAAGCAACCAGGATACCACGACTCCAAGCGAAGCCAAGTGAAGAGGAACGAGGGCATGCATCTTTTTAATCTAGATGCTATCTGCAAGGCTGGCCTGGGGGCAGGCCTGCAGTGGCTAGGTTCAAAATATCGTTGCTTGATACAAGCTCATTTTGCATGTAGGTAGGAAGAAATATTTGCACAATGTGCATAGATCACTGGTAACTATATACTTGCATTGTATGAAAGCCAATCCGGAGTTTGATGGGGTCGTATGGAAACGTTGGCCGACATGTATCTCATTCCCCCATCGTGGCCAAGACCATACTCGTTTCAGGAAATAACACTACCACAGGTATATTTCTTGTTACTCTTAGAACTGTAGGAAAGCGGCATTGGAGCATCGTTGTGACTTCGGCAGCAACACCCACCCGCCTTCCGTCCTCCCCGCTTCACCAAAATGCTCGCCAATATTTGCCGACAGCACTCTCGGTAAGTCACTTCACACTTGACCTGTCCCAATGCAAGTGTCGTCGGCCCCAGCATTACGTTGGATGTCTGGCATCTTGCCAAGAGCCAACTTGTGGCCACAGCTGTGTGCGATCAGTCGTCTTGCCGTCTTTAATCTTTGCTACGTCCAAAGCAACCGAGTGGACTTCGTGCCTAGTCCTATTTCGGCGTTATTTCTTCCCTTCCTGGCTTGGATGTGTTCAGCATCGATTTGTACTGTAATAAGTATACCGCTGTTTGGGCCTTTCCCCCACGCCTCACCCTTTAGGTTCGCTGTGCGGCAAAGTAACCGTGTGGCCATTCGCTTCGGCTCTTCGAGGCCCGTTAGCAACAGCCGCACAAGTATGGCGGCTCACGCAATTGCTGTCGGCCAGAAGCTGCCGGACGGCAAGTTCAAGTAAGCAGGGAAGGGCCATCTCATCTGGGTATTCGCCATACATGCCTGCTGCCGGTCCGGCTGCCGACCAACAATATGGGGAAAATGCAGATCCCAGACTCCTAATATCCATTAAACTTTTCTTATGGCACGGGAAGAGTGTCCCGGTTTGGCGCCCGCAGGCCTTGCTTGCGCACTTTCGCTGTACTGCTGCCACAGCTCGATCACGCTTGCGGCCCTGCGGCTGCCTGTGTATCCCAGTACGTACGTTTCCCGAAAAGATCTCCGCAGCACCCTCCGTGAAGCCTTGTTGAACGACCAAGCTGCCCTCCCAAACCTACTATATCCACTCACCCAACCCACCGGTCCCCTATCCGGCCCTAGCTATGTCCGGCGGCGCATGCCTCCTCCAACTCAATCCACGCCCCCTCCCACGCCCCCTGGTGATCCCTCCCCGTCCCCCAATTCCACGCTACTCCCGATACCAGTTTGGTCTTATCACACGACTGTAATTTCTTTTACCCGTAATCCACACACTGCCCTGCCCTGCACCCTCCCCTTCCCCCCCTCCAAAGGGTTATGGGTCTGGGACTCTAGTTGTTTGCATTTATTATATAATTTCCCCCCTCCAAATAGGTACTTTGACGGTGAGGGTCAGATGCGCGACATGAGCACCGAGGAGCTGTGCAAGGGCAAGCGGGTGGTGCTGTTCGCGGTGCCGGGCGCCTTCACACCCACCTGCTCCCTCAAGCATGTGCCGGGGTTCGTGGAGAAGGCGGACGAGTTCAAGCAGAAGGTAAGCTCTCCATGTCTCCTGCGCCGTGTCTTGTGTGCCTTTCCTTACCATTCCTCCCTTGTGTTCATGTGTCCCCTTCGTATCCCCACCTTCCCCTTGTTTTCAACGTTCCCTGCACCGCACTCTCCTGCTTCTCCAACCTCTTTCTCCAACCCCACGCAGGGTGTGGACACCATCGCCTGCGTGTCTGTTAACGACGCGTTCGTGATGTCCGCCTGGGGCAAGGAGCAGCGCACCGGCGACAAGGTGCTGCTGCTGGCGGACGGCAACGGCGACTTCACGCGCGCGATGGGAGTGGAGCTGGACCTGGCCGACAAGGGGCTGGGCATCCGGTCGAGGAGGTACTCCATGCTGGTGGAGGATGGAGTGGTCAAGGTGGGGAGGGGGGAGGGAGGGGGGAAGGAAGGGAGGAAGGGAGGGAGGGAGGGAGCCGTACTGGAGGCCATGGAGCTCTCCTTTCACGAGCCCGTCATGGCTTGGGGCTGTACCCAAGCGCGTCCTTGTCAGCCCAACTGCCATGAGCACTGCTTGCTCCGGTCACCGCTCTTTCCCCCTGCTCCTCCCCCCGCCCGTCCCCCCCCCTCCCTCCCAGACTCTGAACCTGGAGGAGGGCGGCGCCTTCACGGTGTCATCTGCGGAGGACATGCTGGCCGCCATTCCGTGAGATGAGAGGGGGGGTGATGAGGGGAAGCTATTGAGGAGTGGAGCAGGTGGGGGGTGGAGCAGGTGGGTGTGCAGGGTGGCACGGCAGGAGGCAGTGTAGGAGGAGGGTGGGAGAGGGGAAGGAGCGGGAAGGAGGCGCGGCCGCAGCAGGAGGAGGAGGAGGAGCAGCATCAGCGACTTCCCATGCGGTGCGCTGCGGAAGGTTGCTAGCTCCCGCGCATGAGGGTGGTGTAGGGTAGGTTGCAGGGGGGGTTGCAGCAGCGGGAGGCACGCAGGAGGCATGGGGAGCCGCAGGCTGGTACGGGTATGTAGCTGTTGAAGGACTTGTGGGTGGGGACGCCGAGGGCTTCCGTTGAGGGAAGTTGGAGGGCGCTACCCAAGACGGGTAGGTCACTGTTGAAGGCCTCTTGAAGGCTTGTTGAGAAGGTTGGAGCAGGGGAGGATGTCTGTGTGCGCCAATGCCGTGTTCATGGATGGGATGTAGGATGGCATGCATGTTCGTTAGCTAGCAAGGATGGATGTGCAAGACCTGCCGATACGACGCAGCAGTATTATGCACACCCATGGGTCATGTCCCCACCTTTGTTGCTGGAAGTGGTTCCTTGTTGAGACATGGGCACCCGCTGCGATTTGGCTGCGGTGTACGTTGTTGTGCGCGTATGTTGCTGGCTTTGCATCATCATGAGGAATGCTGGAGATGTGTTTGCGTACAGGCCCCTCCTACCGCACCCCACCACACAGCACGGAGAGGGTTCATCGCACATCAGCAGGGAAGGCACTCGTGGTCGGTTGTGCTGTGCCCGTGTTGTCGTGTCCCCCGTGGGAGCAGCATGTGCCGGTAAAGCGGCCCCCAGGTATGCCCTTTCTCTCGCTCAATCTTGATTCTCCGGCTACCGTATTGATCTTGCGAGACAGCTCGCTTTTCCTCGGCTGTGCTGCTGTCCCAAGTTTCCCCCTCCTGGCAGTGCTGCTGTCCGGCAGCAGAGAACACAGCAGTTGCAGAAGGGTAACGGTACAGGCTTAACGGATGGCCGTGGACAGGCAGGTGCTTAGCATGCCGCAAGCAGCAAGTAGAAGCATAAGGTACCCGGCAGACTCCGGCGTCCGCCGCGACAAGCCCAATTGTCTCCCTTTGCGGCAAAAGCAACGAAATCAGTGTATATATGCTCTCTTTCCAACAGATTGATAGAACCCTTTGCATACGAACTTCGATTCGGTAATGGAAGCAGTTCCTTTGGGTCACATGGCGTTAGTCATCTATCCATGGCGCCCGGCAAACGAGTCCAACCAAACGTATGTATCTTTAATTCGAAACAAAAGTCTCGTTCGCTGGATCTGAGCCCAGGGTCGCGTGGACTCTGAGTCATGCGTCGTACCCGCGAATGAAAGCGGACCAAAAGCCATGAATGAAGCCTTCGGAGAACAACACTGAACAGGTTTTGCCTACCATCTACGCTACCTATACATAAGTTTGCTTCGCGACGAAATAACCGTTGGGGCATTCTTCTCAGCTCTTCTTTCAGCTCCGTCAGCAACAGCCGCACAAGCATGGCTGCTCAATCGATTGCTGTCGGCCAGAAGCTGCCGGACGCCAAGTTCAAGTAGGAGGGAAGGGCAGTCTTTCGGGGTCACTGCTTAGCATCCCTGCTCAAACACAAGGACCGGCTGCCGATTACACTCGGGAAAGGCAGATCTCTAATATAATACATATTGCGTCCGTCATTTTGCTTCCTAGGAAGAGGAAAGTTAGTTCCGCGGAAGCGCGTGCCTTAACTCCTGTTACCAATTCGGTCTTCTACTTCTACCCCCACACCCTTTCCCCCGCATTACCCTATCCTTTGCCCCCCGACAGGTACTTTGACGGCGAGGGCCAGATGCGCGACATGAGCACCGAGGAGCTGTGCAAGGGCAAGCGGGTGGTGCTGTTCGCGGTGCCGGGCGCCTTTACACCCACCTGCTCAACCAAGCACGTTCCGGGATTCGTGGACAAGGCGGACGAGTTCAAGCAAAAGGTAAGGATGAGGAAGATTAGGCATTAGGAAGGGCTTTGCGGTTGGTTGGTTGGAAGCGGTTGGTTGAAACAGAGGGGCGGCTTTGTCTGCGGCCTCTGCGGTGTAGGCTGCACGGCGTAAATGGTCTAATGCCAACCGGTCCCCCTTGTAACTTTCGCATTCTAATGCCAACCACCCAACCCCGCAGGGTATTGACACTATCGCCTGCGTGTCTGTGAACGACGCGTTCGTGATGTCTGCCTGGGGCAAGGAGCAGCGCACCGGCGACAAGGTGCTGCTGCTGGCGGACGGCAATGGCGATTTCACTCGCGCGCTGGGGCTGGAGCTGGACCTGTCGGACAAGGGGCTGGGCACCCGCTCCAAGAGGTACTCCATGTTGGTGGAGGATGGCATGGTCAAGGTGAGACCGTCGACCGTGGTTGCGTTTGGGGCGGGCGGACGGACTTGACTGTTATTGACTGTTCAGCATCAGCGACCGCTCAACGAAATGGTGCCGCTAGAATACTTCAGCGCTTGTTCCTTATGCTATAAATAGGAAAATGACTTTACCCGTGTAAAACGACCTTTGCCCTTGCCGGCATTTCCCATTTGTACCACAGCTTTATACAGATAGAACAATGTGAGGAGTAATAACTTTGACGTGACATACTATGGAATACGCATTTGCATTTAACAGAATTAAGTACCGCGTCAGGCGCCTCGGTCCTTTCGTTGGTCCGCGTGTACGACAGCTTCGCGGTTAAGGGCAATTTCCCGTGCCCTTAGCCGCAAAGAATTTATACAAGCAGTACTCGAAGAATCATTACGTTGGATGGTCTACAATTTTACAGCCATCTGTTCACCATTGCCGCCCCTTTTTCACATCCTTCCCGCCTTCAGTTGTGTCTCCTCCCCGCTCTCCCCTTCTTCTCCCCTTCCCCGCCTCTCACAGATTCTGAACCTGGAGGAGGTTGGCGCTTTCGCCGTGTCATCTGCTGAGGACATGTTGGCAGCCATAAATTGAGATGAGGGGGATGAGATGAAGCGCGTGGGAAGCAGCGGTGTGAAACAACGAGTTCTCAGACGGTATACGCGTTGTTCTATTGACAATTGCAGGGTCAATAGCTTGCTTTTACATTACGTTGCATTATAGGTTGCAGGAGGTATCGTGCAGACCCATGGGCCGTGTCTAAACCTTGTTGTCGTGGGCGTACTGCACTTCGAATGCTCTCGGTGTGAATTGTATGTGTTAAGATAATTGGCTGCGAGAAGTTTATGTGTGGCACGAGGAATGCCGGGGATGTGTTTGCATACACGTGCAACGTACCGCACCACACCATACCGCACGGAGGATCGTCAGATTGTGCTCTGGGCGGCTGTGTCCCAGTCAGGTCTCCCCCAGCAACATGTATCGATAGCTCAGTTGGCGCAAAGCTTGCCGCAGACGCCTTCCTTCTCATGCGCAATCTTCGTTCTCCGGCTCATTTGCGTCGGCAAGAGCCGGGCCGCTTACCTCAGCCTTGCTTGTCCGCAACCTGGTAAACAACCTGGTCCCAACACAGCAGCAGCAGCACAGCAGCAGCACAGGAGCTAGAAGAGGCAAAAAACGACCAGAAAGTCTGCAATGGGGCGCGACATGCCTGGAGCCAAACGGGCGCGGCCGTTTGCAGCAGATGCCAAGTTAACCGAAACCATATGCGTGATAGCGTGTTACATTTATTGCGATACAGTGCCTAGAGCTTTGCGTAAAAAGCTGCGAGTTTGGCTTTGCTTGCATGGTGCTAGTCTTCCAATAAGGTCCTACCAACATCAGTAAACGTGTTTTGAGTTCCATCGTTTATGGCCTTCACATCCGTTGATGTCTGCTAGCAAGGGGTGCTGAACTCGGTTGATTCGTCGTACCTGCGAGCGTGAACGACCGAAAGCCATCAACGTAGCCTTCAAGTTGGTAAGCAGCAGCATCTGTAACACTATTTCCTTTTTATTTACTGCCCGCACGGTTATCAACAATGAGCTCCGTCTTGTTACAGCGAAAAGCAACATCTGACTACGAAAAGTCACCAAAGCCGCAGCAAAAAGCCAATTCAAATGAGCTTGCTACACCACCATCACAGCAACAGCAACCAGCGTCACCATCACCCCAGTCGTCAGCTCCATCACAACCCTCATCCGAGCTGCCTCCTCCGTGGCGACTGCCCGCTGCGGTGTACGGCCTAGGCTACCTGGCCACCGGCACCTCCCTAGCTCTCATGGGGCAGCTGGTGACCGACCAGGTGAGGCGGCCTCCTGCCAGCTCCTACCTACTGCCCTGCCAACCCCTCCCCTTCAACTCCTTCCTTTCGTAAGATCGCAACCCTTCCTAGTACCAATCTCCGTTACCCATCCGTGCACCTACCGCTCCCCTAGGGCGCCTTCCACCCCTCCACTCAGCTAATAGCCTGGACCAAGTATGCCGTCACACTCACACTCGCCCTCGCGCTACAGCTGATCTCGCGCCTGCCTGCAGCGCTGCGGAGGCTGCGGGGCCGCACCGACCGGACCCCGGGGGAGGCGTGTTACGCCGGAGATGGCAGCAGCGGCGGTAGCCGCATCTGCACTGGCAGCAGCAGTAGCAGTGGCCCTGCTCAGGCACTTGACACAAGCAGCAGTAGCATTAAGGCCAATGATAGCAGTGGCAGCAGCAGCAGTAGTAGGAACTCCCGCAAGGCTGCTTGGTTGACAGCGGCTGTGGGGTAAGGAGTGAGAGAGGCGTGAAACAGACCCGTGGGACTGACCTGTGGCGGTGTACGCATCGCACTGCATCTGCTATTGCGCCTTGTGTTTGCCGTACCGAGTCGTACATTATCATGGTGCTGGCGATTTAGCGAGAGATGTTCCCAACCGGTGTCCACCAAGCTGCTTTCGCTGCAGCTCTGGATCTGGATCTCTTTAACCAGCGTCCTTCCACCCCATCGTACCCGCCGTACATTTCCTGCCGTACGTACAGGCTGCTGGACACTTTGTCGTACGGTCTCAACTGCCTGGGCTTCGCCTTATGCGGATCTTCGCTCAGCATGTGAGAAGAGGGTGACCCGTGGGTCGCGAGGCCGGTGACTTGCGAATTATATGCATGGCTCTCGCTCCATTTAGGAGGCCTGTAGGATAGCCTTTCACGACGTATCCTATCAGGCCCACCGATGCCACAACCTAAACCCTGAAATACCGGTACTCTTGAGCCCCCAGGGTCGTGTTTGCGGCGAGTGGGCAGCTGTTCACCGCTGTGACACGACGACTGCTGCTGCGGAAGGGCATGACGACGGGGCAAACGCTGGGGGTAAGAAGAACACGGCAGCGACCCGCGGGTCGTCGGGGGCCCTTCTTGGCCCCGTACAGCTCTGCCCTGCTGAATGCCACCTGCCATGATGTATCAGGCCAAGCCTGCCAAGCCTAGAATGACGATGTGGTTTCTGCCCCAAACGGCCCAATCCTCAGCCACGCTCCCCTCCATCCACCACCCCAGCTATCCTGTCCTGACCTGACCTGGCCTGGCCTGCCGCGCAGGTCTGTCTGGTTGCCTTGGGCCTGGTGGTTCGGTCCGCTGGCAACATACCAGCCGCCGCCCTCCTCGTCAGGTGGCCCCTGGCGGGGGTACCTGCAGGGGCGTCCTCATCCGCTTCAACAGCTGCAGCCATGACTGCCGCACACACCGGCATCATGCATAACAGCAGCAACAGCAGCAACATGAGTAGCAACAGCAGCCACCCGGCAGCCCTAGCGACAGCCCAAGCCTCGGCCCCCTTCCAGTCGGACCTAGCGCTGGGGGTGCTGCTGGTGGTGCTGTCCTCGCTGGGCTACAGCCTGCTGGGCTGCTTGTACGAGTGGCTGAGTGCCGTACGGGGGCCGCACATGTCGCATGCGCAGGTGGGGGCTAGGGGGGAAAATAAGTGAAGAGTGAAGCAACGGAGTCCCAATCCCATTATCCCATATCCCAAGCCATGCAGGGCTAGGGGGGCGGGACGATGGGTAGGAGGAGGTGCATGCTCGCAGTGTGGGGTATGTACCGCTAGCTAACCCCTCACATGTACTCTCCCTCCCCCCCATTGTCTTGCCCCAACCTGTGGTTTCCTATGGTTCGGTACCTGGTCTTTGACACCCCCCGCCACCCACCACCAGGTGGCTACCAGCACCTCCCTGATCGGCCTAGCTGCCACCTCCGCCTACCAGCTGGGCTTCACACGGCGGCGCTGGGGGCAGCTGGTGGCGGAGCGCATGGAGGCGCGGGGACTGGGCTGGGGGCAGGTGCTGCCGCTGTACGGCTGCTTCGGAGGTACGGTCGTACGGCAGCAGAGGAGGAGGGGGGGCTGGGCTCTAGGGTTTTGGAGCTGGGGGGTCCCCCTGTTGGGTGTGCGAGGTGGAGACTCGAGAGACGTAAGGGAGAGGAGTGGGGACAGTGTCGCAGGGCCACCAAGCACCACTATCCGAGAGTTAGCTAGCTGGCTTCCCATCACCCTCGTCCTCTCTACATAGTGCACACAACCTTCCCAGCCCTCCCTCCCTCCGGCCCCCACCTCACACTGCATGTGGCGGGATACGAGATTGGGACTTGCTGGGATTGGGAGTTGCTGCACTTCTAAATTTACCTATCCCCACCACCTCCCCTGCCCTGCCAGCCCTCTTCACGGTGCACAGCCTGGTCCAGGGCGCAGTGCTGCAGCGCTCCGGCGCCACCGCGGTGGGGGTCATCAGCGCGGTGCGGGCGGCGGCGGTGGCGGCGGCCAGCGGCGCGCTGTTCTGTGACCCCGTGACGGCGCCGCAGCAGTGCCTCACGCCACCTGCTGCGGCCTCCGCGGGCATTGTGACGGCGGGGGCGCTGCTGTGGACGCTGGCGGGTGAGGAGGAGGGGGTGGTGAGGGAGGGGGAAGAGGGGACAGCGGGGAAGCATCATTTGACGTTCTGAAAGTGACCTGGGTGTGGGCAAGGTAATAGGAGTGGGTGTGGTGGTTGGATGAACCGTTAGGATGGGGGTTGGGGAATGGAGGATGGAGGGAGGGGAGCAGGCAGGGGGTTGATTCATGGTACGGTGGGTGGGTCTCTGCCCTTTTTAGGGGTGCGAAGTTACATCACCAACGGGGATGACATTGGGGATGACCTGTTGACTCGTTCTGCTCTCCGAGTCGCTGCCGCTGCATTCTGATACCACTGGCTACCCCCACCCGCGATACATGCAGGGCCCCGCAAGCAGCCTGCTGTTGCTGCTGCCGTCACCGGGACACCTGGCTCCCAGCCTTCAGCGGGTGGGCTGGGTTCGCAAACAGCTGAGATTAAGACGCAGGAGGTTCTTCTTCAGGATAAGCACGGGAAGGCGAACTAGGAAGCCAGACGGAGGAGGACGACAGCGAGGAGGGTGGAGGGCATGCCTCGCCGCGCATCCTGCCTGGGTGCAGTTTTGCCATTGACAACCTGCGAGGATTGGAGGTGACGCTAATGCTGAATTAACTTGTAAAGGAGAACTTTATTTAAAGGCTTTGCCTTGCAACATTGGAACTAGAAGTGTGTACAATCGCGGCCCCACGATGGCCCAAACATATATGCTAAAAAAAGCAAGTTAAGGCTTGCAAATAATGCTCAAGGTTTTCCGATAGTTGCCACTGCCGTTCGGGTTGGCATATCCAAGGCGTAAGGTTACAACACGAGGCGTTGTCCGACGTTAGGTGCTGCTGGCAATATGTCGACGAGGCAGTGATATCGACTTTGACGATAATAACTCATGAAATTCTATAAAAGGCGACGTACAATTTAGGCTTTACAATATAGCTCGGATGCAGGTCAAATCGGCCTGGATCCTACTTCTTACACCAGAGAACCAGTTCAGACGCGCTTTTGCCCTTTTTATAGTTACTAAGTTTTTGAGTCACTGGTATTCAACTGATTGTAAGGACGGCAGCGCGGCTGTGTAACCCTAAAACTCTACCAAACGCCGATTCGTTTTCGGGGAAGACGGCGAGCTCTGTCGTGCGCAATCTTTAAAGCATGTTGTTACTGGACGCATTAGCGCTTAGGGTTGACGAATGCGAGCTCTAGAAGCTAATCCGACCTGGAAACTGTTGTTCGGCACCGGGCCGGGCTGCTGAGGAGTGCTATGCAACTGATTCGAATGGGTCGCTTTGATGATGCCAGCACTTATGCAGAGTACTATGGCTACGGGACGGAAAAGGTACGCGGCTGCAAGAGTGCCGAATGATGCCTGCCGTCGAGGCAAGGCGAAACCTCAAGACACTCCTAGCGCCGCGCGTGGTCCGAGCCATCAATCTTATGCATAGGATTTTGCTCTGGGCTCGCCTTTTGCTCGCATATGTTTGTATGCCTGGGGTCATGTCTTAACCGCCGTGATGGCATAATCGCCATCCCCTGCTCCCTAAACCTTCCTACCAGGCACCCCAACGCGGTGGGGGAGCATGGAAGAAACTTCGTAAGCTTTTCTCAAAATTCACAGCTGCACCTGAAACTTCGTCAACCGAAGAGCCACCTATGGATAGGCATGCCAGCTCCAATTTCAGGCTGTATTGGAGGAGCAGGCCCGCCGACGTTCTTCGCGTGGACCAAGGACCTCTTACTGCAAGCGTGACAGCGTTGCGGATGGACCAGTGCTTGGCGGCTTTATCTGCTGCCGGCTATCCTCATCGCGATGCAAATGCAGCAGCAGAGCCATCTCCAGCGCCGGCGCGGCCTCGGCAACAAATTCCGCACCAGCCGTCCGTCATGTTTGGCGAGATTAATGAGGAACAATCTTACCAACAACAGCAACCAACAGAGCGGGAGGATCAGGAACGGCGAGCGCTGCGGATGCAGCAGCTGCAAGAGCTCAAGCAACAAGCTCCCACCGGCCCGGAGCACAAGGTTCAGCGACTGGATTACCAACCTGAGCCCAAGCCGCCCCTTCAGCCCCGGCCACAGTTCTCTCGACAATCCCTGCTGAACCAACCGCTCCAGCTGCAGCAGGCGCAAGGCACTGCGCCAAGCATCTGCAGCGGCAGCAGCAGGAACAGCAGCAGAGCTTTGCACCAGCAGCAGCACTCTTTACTCGTTCGGTCGTCTGAACCGGGAGGTCATCAACAACAGCAGCAGCTGCAGCGGCAGCAGCAGCAGCACCAACCAGAGGAGCCGCAGCACATGCAGCAGGAGTTGCTTCCTGAGGCACCACAGCAGGAGATGTTCGCGCAACAGCCGAGTTACGACTACTACAACCATTTGGAACAGGAGCTCCTGCTGCGGCAACAGCAGCAGCAGGCAGGGCAGCCAGAGCCCGAGCAGGCGCAGGAGCAACAACCGAGTAGTTATCATTATCAGCAACCGAATCATTATCAGCAGCATGACCAGCAGCAACAACTGCAACTGTTTCAGGAGCAGCAGCAGCAGCAGCAGCAGCCCGGCTATCCGCACCAGTACGACCAGCAGCAGTTGGACGTTACGAACATCTGTACGCTGTACGGCTGGCCTGCTGCTGACATGGCCACCGCTAACACCAACACCCGTCATCGCCATCATCCCCAGCTGCCTCGAACCCCGCCGCTCCCCACCATGCTCCGCACCCTTCATCAAGCAACCGATCCCATCGTCTGCCACCAGCCACCAGCAGCAACCCCGCTCCCGCAACCCGAACCCCGCCCGCCTCCTCACCCTCACCCGCCGCCTCGCCCCCAGCCCCACCCGCCAGACGCCGAGGGGACTGCTGGCATGGACAGGGCCCTGTGGCAGGGCCCCATGCTTCTCATGCAGGCGGCCCAGATGCTGAGCGAGCTGGACCCTGAGGGAGACGGCATGAGCCAACGGGTGGAGTCCGAGAGGCAGACGGAGGCGGGCGGGGAGGAAGGGGAAGCGGCAGCACAGGCAAGGCTGGCGGTCGAGGCTTGGCGGGCCTTCACACCAGCGGCCTCCAGCACTACGGAGGCTGGGACGGAGGAGGCGCAGCGGGTGTACCCGCGGCCGCCGTCTTCCAGCACCCTGCCGCCGCCTAGTTACATGCGCTGTTTCGCGCCCAGACCGCCGCCTCCGGCTGCTGCTGCCGTGGGAACGCCTGCACCTCTAAGCAGCCGTCTGCCGCCGCGGCCCACTCACTCCCATCGCCAGCTGATCAGCCTCAGTCCTCAGACCCCAGCGCCTGCCGAGCGGCCTCCGCCCTCCTCTTCGGGATCGCTCCCTAACAGCGCCGCAGGGGTTCCAGGTGGCACCGCCTCAGACCCCGGCCCCTCGACTGGGGAGCAGCTGATGGTACGGCAGGACAGCTATCTTCGCCGGCGTACGGCTCAGACGTGCGGGGGGTACGGCGGGTACGGCTCATCGTCGTCGACGTACCCTCCAGCCGGCGGCGGCGCTGCCGCCACAAGCCGTCGTGCGTTGCTGCTGGCGGCGGCTACTGACGGTGCCGCCGGCTTGCGCACGACTGTACGGCAGCTTCGCAACTCCGGGTACGGTAAGGAGGTCATTGACGGCGTTGACGGCGGCGGCGCCGTCGCCATGCGGGGGAGCTTCTTAACCGGCGGCGGCGCTGAAGGCAGCGGCGGCGGCGGCGGCGTTGCTATTCGCCCCCAGCGGCATACCGTCGACGGCGATGTTACCTACCAACGTACGGCGTTCACCGACGGCGGCAACAAGAACAACAACAACAACAACTCCCGCCAGGCCTCCGGCAACTACCGGTTTGAAGGAGCCGCAGCTCAGGATCGGAGCTCGCCCCAACCCCACTACCCTGGAGCCCCCTCCGTCAGCCCCGTCCGGGCTTGCGGTAGTACGCGGGGGAGCTCGGGGGTCTCCGTAGTTTCATCCGGCCTGGCAAACAGGGTGCGATACGACATGGAGGCACGAGCGGCGGCGGAGCATGCAGCGGCGGCGGCGACGGCGGTACGCAGCGGGGGGCCGCTGGCGGCTAGGCCCTCCGACTCCTCCATTCAGCCTTGCTGGCGGGACTTGATGGCAGAGGCCGCGGCTGTGATGGATGACGCGAACGCTCCCGCCGTCGCCGCCAGCAGCGGCGGAGGCGGTGGCGGTGCTGATGACACGGCAGGCGCCGGTGTCGGCGACGGTGGCAGCTTGTGGCGTCGGCGCTCGAACCGCAACCTGATTGACGTCACGACGGCGCCCCGACGGGCGACTACCCTCGCTGCTACGGCAGCTGAGGAATGTACGGACGACGCACAGCTGGTTCAACGGTCGTTGCAACGGTCCTTCACACAGCCTCCGGAACGTACGGCGGGGGCATGCGACGGCGGCACCGCTGGATGCGAGGAATGTACGGCGGCGCCTTCCGTAAGGACCGTAACGCATCTTCCAGGGGTGCCGCTGAGTGCGACGCCACGCGGCGGGGCGACGGCGCGGCGGATGCGCTTCAGCGACAGCAGTAGCCTTGCTGTGAAGGCTACTCCTGCTGCTGACGGTGGCGGCGGCGGCGGGCCTGGTACGGCATCATTGGCGCCCCGTGCGTCGTACGCCGGGCTGAGTGCGCGAGACATGTACGACAGCAGCCCACTGAGCCGTCTTGGGGCGGCGGCGGCGGCGCCGCCGACGTCAACAGCTGGACACTCGCGACCGTTGGCGGCGTCACCGCTGCAACCGTCACCGTTGGGAGTTGCGTCGCCGTCAGTGTACGGCACAGCGGCGGCCTTCGGCGGATCTGGTAATGAGGGTCTCCGACCGCCGGGGTACGGCAGTCAGTCGGCCGGCCGTACGTCCGTAACTGGCACGGGTCGGGCATCCAGTGGTGTGATGCTTGGCAACGTAAGGTGTTGATCCACGCGAATGATGATGATAATGCAGATCTTCAATCCGGTTAGTTGTCGTAGGTGTGCTGGATCGGCCCCGCATGGAAGTTGCAATGGTGTTGTACCCGATCCGGAGGAAATGGAAATGTCATGTACTTGTGAACGTGTGAAGCACAGCGCAAGCAAGGCAGGCTCCAAGGAGTGGCATGGCGAGGCGAGTGATGCGTGCCAAGTGATTGGTATGTGCTCTTGGCAAAACGTATCGCTTTGAATACCTGGTATTTGGATGTCATACGGCATCGACGTGCATGACATGAGCTTGTGTGCTACGGTAATTATGGTTGTCGGTTGCAGGCTAGCGCGGTACGCGGAGGCTGGTGTTACGTATGTCTCTTTTCTTCATACCTTTGTCTTTTGCATTACCTCTCACCGGTCGCTAGCGAGGCGAGCTGACAGGCTGCCGCTGCTGCGTTGTGTTGGACTTCTCCGTGATAGCCGTGAATAGGACAGCCAAACGCTGTGATTGAAGCATTGCAGCGGGCGCTTTGCTGAAGATGACCCTTGCTAGGGTTACTACGAACACAACTCGCCACTTTCTCTCGACAACCCATGTCGCTGTTGAAAACATGTGCAGTGAGGGGTCGTGACGTGTGGTTGCTCCGGTCTTCTGTCTGTCGTACTATGAGGTGTTGGCTCCGGGTCGCTTTCCGCCTGGCTGTGAAGTCTCAAAGCCTCTTTATTCACGCCCATGGGGGCAACTGCATGCTGTGTCAGGCCCAAATGTTGACCCCTTGTGCCACGATACTCCTGATTGGCTGGACGGATGGGTTAGGACAGGTTGGGGGCTGTCGCCTTGTTCCTGAGCCACAGCTTCCTGAACATGGTAGCGGTTTTGAGAGATCGCGTGTCAGATGGAGGTGTTTGGGTTTCCGTTATTTATTGTCAGTGATGGTCGTTGCATGATGTCGCATGGGCACAGCACGACCACGGACCCATGGGTCAGAACGCATGAATGCCGCGCTATGCAAATCGGATTCAGGAGGAATGACATAGGCCTTAAGTGAGCCGAAGGCACGACAGGAGAAACTGCATCGACCTCTCCTCGCTCACCTCAGCATGGGAGCTATGTTTGGGGAATCCGCTGCCGCTGTGCGGCAGGCGGGATAGACCGCTAGGACTTGTGTATTAAGACAACTGGCCGTGAGGATTTGTGTGTGCATGGATGCAAGTCGGCTAATGCGGCTGACTGTTCTATATCCGTGATGAGCTACAGCTTGTGTTCCTTCTTTGCTAGTATGGTCGTACCACTGATGTGTGTGCCTGCACATGCGAGCCCCATGCGAGCCCCATGCTGCTGCAACAATGTGGTTGCCGTAGCAGCTTTGTGCGCTTCCTTGGTTGTGTGCTTCACCCCCGTCGTTATGTGTTTATTTCCTTGCTATGCTAATCCGCTAATGCTACAGTATGGAATACGAACACTCCTTAGCTTGCGGCTTTCTTTATGTGTGGTATGTTATTCGCTGGTGTTGTGAAGCGACGTCCGGGTCCGCAATTATACCGCGCAGCATTGTTGCTCCGTACTGCCCATAAGTGTCAAAAATGGAGCGGGCATTACCACATGTGTGTGTTTTGGACAGCTTCCCCTGCGTTTCCCGGACATACTTGGTTATGCTGTAGGCGACTACTGGATGTGCAGTGTCACCCACGGACTGCCCTCAAGAAGAACCCGCGATCCCAGGAAGCGTGACTGCGCAACCTCACCGCCGTCCGTATGTGTTCTGGTGTTTTGTCTTTGTCACCGTGAACTCCGCCGGGTTATAAGCTGGCGAAGGAAGGTGTAATCCCAAGGTGGCTAGGGGCGCTTAACACCGGTTTAGAGCGCTTTTTGTCTTGTCCGGTTGTTCGCGCCTTGGTGAAGGTGAGGGATCTTGTGTAGCGATTGAGTGGGGTGTCTTGCTTACCCCGTGCTTGCCTGTTCTGGGCCTTCCCCAATGTCAGTATATGGTTAGACGACAGTGTGTCGCAGTTGGGTATCCAGAGTGGATTGGTGTTCTCCTTTGCAAACCAGACTTACTGTTGCAATACCCCAGAGAAGGGGTACGGTAGATGGGCCGTACCTTCACCCACCCCTCTCAGCACCGTTCAATGCATTTATTTACATTACATCAGCAACACGACCTCATGTAACATCGCTTTTCATCCAAGGGACACACATGCGATGCCCATTACTGCCAAGGGCGTCAGACCTCTATGTCGGACGTCCCTGCTTGCCCCTCTTTCTTTGCCGGCCTGTGGAGCCCTGTGACAGCGCACAGCGCACAAACGCACACAAGGGCATGCAAGGGCTGTCACGGGCCGGAGGCGGGCGCAGAGGAGCGCGGGTACTCACGCACACACAGGCGAAACAGCCATGAGCAAAAGGCAAACAAGAGCAAAAAAACACTCTAACAACCTGTGGATGCATACATGGCGGAAAGGCTCCTGCCGCCGGCGATGTGAAGTGCTACAGTCCGGTCTAAAGATTCCAACACCTTGCAAACTATGTATACTTACCAGCGGCGGTACCCCAAGGCCGCCTTTTGGCACACCTTAAGGGTGCTTAAAAATGGTAATTAAAAAAGGGTGCAAGTGGAAAGGGTGCGTGATACCCGCTCCACACAGCACCGTCACACCCGCCCCTCACCTGCCAGCGCCCTCGCATGTCGCGTCCTGCGGGCCTTCGCTTGCTGGCTTCGGCTCCGGCCGTCCCTGGCGCCCCCCCATCCTCCAGCACCCGTCGCTACAGCTCTCATCTTTAGCGTTGTAGAGTTGCGTTAAGAAAACTGGCCGCGAGGCGGAACGCACTGTGAGTTGCGCGTGTGCGGGGCACTTGCGTGCATTGGCCAGGCAAGGGCCGCACGCGGATGTGCTATCGAGCGACTTGTCGGGAGCCGGCGGGGCGGAAGGGGAGGCTGCCACCCGCCGCCGCTGTGGCGACACTGTCTGCCATACTTTGCTTACTCTGCATCATTATATTCATCATCATAGTCAACATTTATTATGAACGTTGGCGTTAGCACTCTTGCTGAGTCCGCTGCCCCTGGAGTTAGTTGCGGCTCGCGCTCTTGTACACTCCGCCGGTGGCGGTTGCGGTTCCTAAAGAGGCGGCATGAAGGTCTTGGGAGCCGCCTCGCTCCTTAGGCTCCTTCCCCACTTGCCGCAGCAGGGACGTGCTGAGGTCGTCAGGGGGCACAGCGGCGCTGCGCTGCGTCCTGCGCTTGGCCTTTCCCCTGCCGCTGCCCGCTTGCTGCTCCTCCTTCTCAGCGGCGGCATCTTGGGACTCCGCGAACTTGGCTAGGAGCCTGCGGGAGCGAGGAAGGTGGCGGCGTGGGAAGGTTGCCGTGTTAGGAAGGCGGCGACGTGGGCTTGGTTGGAAGGTGGGGCCGTGGGAAGGTTATACTGCAGGATTCACCCCCACACATACAGACACGCACACTGTGTTTTTCTCCCCCAGTTTCCCCCCACCTGCTCCAGTCCTCCTCGTACTTGTCGTACTGCGCCACCTCCCGCTCCGCCTGCCGCCGCCGCTCCTCCCGCTCGCTGAACAGCCGTGGCCGCAGCAGCAGCAGGTACACCGCACCGCACGCGATCAGCCACACCTGGCAGCAGGAAGCGGGAAGGAAGGAAGAAAAAGTCAGGGAAGGGGCCGGAATGGCGGCTGCTGGCGGGTGCGATGGGTCCCTCCACGCCCCTCGGCCCATTACGAAGCAGCAGCTAGCCGCCGCTTGGAAGCCCTTACACGCAGGCAGGCAGGCAGGGGCTCATGTAGGGGCTCAGGCAGCGTTAGGCGTGCTGCTGCTGCCGTACGACACTCACCCGGAGCCAGAGGGGGTACTGCGGCAGAGGCGGAGAGTCGCCTGGCCCTCCGGAACCACCTGGCCCCCTCATGTCACCTCGCCCGTCGCCACCGCTGCCTCCTGCGTCTCCACCGTCACCGCCTGCGTCGTCAAGCCTGCTGCTGTACTCGCTTACGTCGCCGGCTGCATGGCTGGTCGCGGTGGATTCTATTGCTTTGCTAGGGGTGTGGCTTACGTCGGAAGGGGAGGCGCCGCTGACATGGTCGGGACCGCTTAAGAGGCTTCCGTTGGCTTCGCGGCTGGAGGGAATTGCCCCGGTCTTTATGGAATGCGTTTGTGCGGGTGGGAGATGGAATGGAGGGTAGGAGCAGCAGCAACCCCGCTGGTAAGTGGGCTTGGATACAGCCCGGAAAGGGCAAGCAAGCGGGCGCATTTCAAATGCACAATCGAAGCAAACGTAAGCAATCATGTGCAGTTGAGCTTGGGTTAGAAGATATCGCAAGGACTAGCATGGACTAGGGATGCAAGTGCGTCGTACAGTGGGCGCAAAATATTGTGCGCCGAAACATGATTGACTTTTTGCTGTCAGATAGCCCGTAATAATGAGCACTCTGTAAGGCGTGAGATAACCTACCAAAGCGGGGGGAGCACCGAGCGCATTGTTTGTCACTGGTTGATGCAATAGCTTGACAGTGCCTTTACATTGGCAAAGGGGCATGTTAGGCAGGCTTGTCCGCGGTGCCGTCTCGGCAGCCGCCCAGCAAAGCCAGCGATATGAACATCTGATTGCCGGCAGGCTTATGGTGGCGGACCTCGGTAATTCGGCTGTCTTCAGTGAAGATCGGTCTTCAGGGCGGCCAGAGTCAGTATCTTGTGATTCGGGGAACCCATGCAGCAGCAGTTCTGACTCTGGCCGCGCTGTCAGCCATGCATACGCTAGCACGTCGCTTCGCTGCCATGGGGACAGCTTGAGCACGTCTCAAGCACTGCCATCAGAAAGCCTTGGCAGCAGTATGCAGCTGCAGCAGCTCAGAGCGTTCGGCTTCCGCCCGCCCAAGCCCCGGTTCCAACTCCCGGAGCGTATCGCAGCCATCGTGCAGGAGAAAATCCGCGCGCAGCGGGAAAGCGCACCGCAGGCGCCCCCTGCTCCCAAGCTGGAGCCACGGCCACTAACGGAAACGTCATTGCGCGTTGGTTGCATTGCCACCAAGGCGGGCATGACACAGGAGTGGGACGAGCATGGAGTGCGAATCCCGTTGACCGTGCTCTGGATCGATGAGTGCCAGGTGGGACTCCCGTGGGAAGGATCAGAACTGGTTGAAGTTTTGCTGTACGTGATATGGCCCTGTTTTACTGAGCACAAAACAAGGCGGCAAAAGCCCGGTAGGCGGTAGGCATTCCCCTGCACTCTCACCCTTCCTTCCTCCTCTCCTTCCTTCCCCCTCCTCTCACCCTTCCCTTCTCCACCCTTCCTTTTCTTCCTCCTCCTCCTGCTGCCCCAGGTTGTGTCCGTAAAGACGCCTGAGGTGCACGGCTACAACGCACTGGTGCTGGGGGCGGGCTTCAAGCGGCAGAAGTGCATGTCGCCCTCGCAGGCGGGGCTCTTCCTCAAGGTACGGGGCCGGGGCGCCAAGCAGGCGACGAGGGGGTAACCCTCGGTGTGATCCTCTGGGCAGGCCGCCGCCCTGTAGCTTGTACTTCCCTCAACCATTAACCCTCCGCCGCCCCTTTCTCCCCCTCCCTCCTTCCCTCACCTCCGACTCCCTCCCTGCTACCCCCCAGGCGGGTGTTCCCTTCAAGAAGATGCTGGCGGAGTGGCCGGTCAGCGGCGACGCGCTGCTGCCTGTTGGCACCCACATCGGCGGGGGGCACTGGGTGGCGGGGCAGAAGGTGGACGTCACGGGCTGGACCAAGTGGAAGGGATTCCAGGTGGGGGGGCGGGAGTCATGGGAGGCGGCACTGAGGGACAGAAGGCGGGGAAAGAGATGCATGGTGAAGGGCGGCGGCAGCGTCTGGTGTCGTGCGTTGGCTGCTTACAGTGGCTTTGGATGCTTCCTGTTCCCTTCATCCCTCTTCACCCTTTCCTCCTTTCCCCCTCAACCCCAACCTCCCTACCCCCCCAGGGTGTGATGCGGCGCTGGGGCTTCAAGGGTCAGCCCGCCTCGCACGGTGTGTCGCTGTCGCACCGCGCACCCGGTGCTATCGGCAACCGGCAGGACCCCGGCCGGGTGTGGAAGGGCAAGAAGCTGCCCGGCTGCATGGGCAACGAGCGGCGCACCGTACACAACTGCCTGGTCTACAAGGTAGGGCAGGGAGGCGGGGGCAGGTAGGGAGGCGGGAAGGGGCAGCAGCAGGGGGACATGTGGTGAGGCAGGACATGCTGGGCGGTGTTTGGCGGCGGCGTTGGGATGGGCGGCTAGCCCACCGTTTCGTTCTTTACTCCATGTTCCTTCTTACTTTAGCCGTACTAAGCCGTATAAACACTTGCTAACAACCCCGCACCCCTACCTACCTACCTGTGCCCAGGTCGACGCGGCACGCAACCTGGTCTACGTCCGCGGGCAGGTCCCCGGACCCGTGGGTCGCTCCGTGCTACTGCGCGACTCCCGCCTCGCCCCCGCCCGCCAGCGCGCCACCTGGGGGCTGCCCTTCCCCACTCACATCCCCACCGCCGAGCAGCTGGCGGCGGCGCCCGCGCCCGGCGACGTAACGGCTACACTGCCCGAGCCGGCTGCGGTGGCGGTGTGGCGCAACCCGTCCGACCCCTACCTGATGTATCGCCAGGAGACGGATTACTTCCCCATTTCGTGGAAGAAGGGAGATTGAGCGGGGATGGGAGATTGAGCGAGGGATGCGGGGAGAGGAGGAGGGTAGGAAGGGATGTGTGGGATGGGGATAAAAGGCGGCCGGTATGAGTGGATTAGGAGGTGGAGGAGCCGGGAAGCAAAGGTTGTAAGCCGGGATTGGTACGGGACATGGGTTAATGAGAAGTCGTATGTCGCTGTGGCAGCCTTGGTAGCATATACATAAGTGAGCGTGGCTGTGTAGGGAGAAGGGCCTGATCATGTGACATGCACCTCCCATGGTAAGGGCCGGTGTGGTGAGGGGTAATGTCTTAATAGGGTTACTCGGAACGGGCTGTAAATGTGGTGAGGGGGGGGGGCCGGACATCTAGTACGGTATGTGAGGGCAGGCCTGCCAAAGTGTGTGCGGATGAGGGTGGACCGAACCGGGGCAGGCTGGGGACACCTGCTACGGACGCCAACACTTGTGCAGGCGGTGGCGTCAAGAGATGGGACAGCAGGGGGTCTCTCAGTGGGTTCAGACACACCCTGGCGGTTAGTCACGTCCTAGAACCGCGTGGTGTTGTGCGTCATGAGCGGTGTATGGTACCGCTCGCTGCCTTTCTTAAGTGCGGGCCTGGTTACCGTACCGTTTTTAATCATCATGATAATTGCCAGGGACGATTTTGCTTTGTAACAGCGCTACACGGCGTAACAGCCCTCCCGGCGGAGTGCCTTCTGCGGTGGGGGAGCGTATACCTTACACGCTCCCAACAACGAGACTCGGAGCACCTCATCGGCTGGCACGCCCTGAACAATAATGCAGCGTCAGCCCCCCAGTTGAGCCCCCGTACCCTCTGGAACACAGTCACGCAAAACATGCAGCCACCATGCGCCAGCTCCCAACACAGTAGAGGAGTGCCACCGGTAATGTGCAAACCTGAAAACGCAACATAACACTGCACTGCAGGACGGCAGCACCGTAACAACAGCTGCTGGGGAGCAGGAGCACCACACCCCGCTGAGGCAGGTGCAGCCGAATGCCGACTGCCCTGCACGGGGACACCCTGCAAGCACCCTTCTCCCTGATGGACACCCTCCCATCGGGGCTCTCCGCCCCCCCCCCCCTGGTTCTACGTGTGCTGTGTGCATGATGGGCTGAAAGCGGAAAGCCCAGCATCAGCTAGGTATTGCCGGGACTAACACACCCGTTGTAGCATAGAGCCCGACAGCAGCAGCGTTGCAGCCGATTGGAGCAGGTCGGGGCCTCAGTCTTGGGACCCGCCCCTTCTTAACAACATGCAGGCTATAAGAAACAATGAGGATCACGCTGTGGACAACGTACGGTACATCACTCGCAAAAAAACCATGGTAAAACATAGAGACGTCAGCCGCTGCGATTCAAGCAGCAGCTATGACCTCGCACAGGTGTACTTGCGCAGTGTTGCACTCCACAGCTTGGCACTTGGTAACTCTCCCCTCGAGGGGAGTACCGGTAACTCCTGCCCCCCACCCACCATGATACAGATACATACATGTCCCCCGCTCTTCCCAACCACCTAGCCACCAAACAGACCCAAGGCATTCCTTAATCGAGTCTTCCTGCCACCCCATCCTTCCCCCCCCTACCCTTGTCAGCAGACCTTCCCCTCCCTCTCTTTTTTCTTTCCCCCGCCCCCCTCAAGCCAGCAGCAGGGCATCCAGGTCGTCCTCCTCCTGCTGCTTCTTAGCGGCCTCCGCCTCCTCAGCGGCCTTGGCGGCAGTGACGGCGGCCTGGGGGAGGGAGGGCCGGGTGGGAGAAAAGGTATGGCGAAGTTGGTGAAGGTGTCAACGCGTGGGGGCAGTGGGGCAGGTTAGGAGGATGAAAGAGGAGCTACGGCTGCTGCTGAGGACAGGCGTGCGAAGGGAGAGGTGCAACAGGGGGCCCAGCACGCATGCACGCATGCTCGTCAGCAACCCCACATCCCGGAAGGCCTCACCCGCCTCCCTCACGCCCCCACTGCACACCCGCATCCTTCCCTCCCTCACCCCTCACCCCACCGGTTACCAGTGGTGTTAGTTTCGTCCTCTTTACCCCACCTTTCCCAACTGCTTTGCCCTAACTACTTGTGGTTTCCTCTAATGAGGTCCCTCCCTGAGACTCAGACACCCCCCCCACACACACACACACCGCACCTGCTTAGCTGCCGCGTCCGACGCCTTCTTGCGTCCGTACACGTCGATGCTCATGTCCTGTTTCACATTGTCTGCATCGTTCACCACATTCTCCATGTTCTGGGGGGAGGTAGGTAGGCGGGGAGGTGGGGGTGAGGAGACGGTGAGGAAAGGAGAGGGTCCAAAGAGGGGAGAGGTGCGAGCAGAGGCCCCAGGACGGTCCGTGAGTTTTCCATGTCGTCAGCTCATTGCCCTTCCCACCTCCCTGGCGCTCCTAGCGTGCCACCGGCGCCCCACCCTCCTGCAGCTCTAGGCCGCAACACCTCCCGCCTCTAACTCCCAATTCCTCTCCTGCCTGCCCTGCCTCCTACCCGCCCCCCCCCCCCGCCCGCCACCCACCAGCACTCGCTTGTCCTCCAGACTGAAGTTGAAGTTGCTGCGGACCTTGCCCAGGGGCACGATGTCCCTGAAGGGGGGAGGGAAGGGTGAGGGGGGAAAACTTCCAATGTGTGAAGGGTGAGGGGGTGAAGGGTGAGGGAGAGGTGCACCCACAGGGGGTGGGAGATGGAGTTATGATGGGTGGTTTCACCACAAACCTGAGGTCTAGGCCCTTCGCGAAATGCTATAATGGACCGCTGGGTCCTCCTCCCTGCCCCTCCCAAAACCCTGTCTCCCCTCCGGGCCCCCGCCAGCTCTCTCCCCTCCCCTCCCCCCCCCCCCCAGCGACCGCCCACCCACATGAGGTTGTCCTGCGCGTGCGGCCGCTGCCAGGTGCGCGCAGCTGCCTCACAGCGGAACTCGAAGTTCTCACAGAAGTGGGCATCCCTGGAGTGGAGGGGCAGAGATGGGTGTCAGTAGAGGGGCGGGATGTAATGAAACGACCGATACCATGTTCTTCGGAGCGTTTGGCAACCGGGGGCTTGGTGTAGGCAGGCGGAAGTTGGGAATTGAGAGGATGGATAGCGATATTTTTGGAGTGGCCAGAAGGTGGAGGGCAACTGTGGACAGCCCACGAGCGGAAAGGAGGTGGGCCCACCTGAAAGCCTCGGGCAGCGCATCGATGTGGCGTTGGAATGCTTCGCCAAAGCTGACGCCTGTGACCATTTTATAGGAGGTGCGGGCTCCTGCGGAAGTAGAAAGGCAAAAAATATTATGCTCTGTATCCAATGCGGCACTGGTTGTGCCCGCGACAGCATAAGTGAGCCCTGGTTATTCACCGTTTGCAAGGCATTCCAGCGACGAGGCAGACATCGGCTCAATAACGAGAACTGGCGCCAGGCTTCCATCAATCTTTGCAAAGCATTGTGCCAAACCCTGCGAGAATCGAAGGACGCCGTGGGGCAAAATGGAATTTGCTTGTTTCGGAGGTTGAATTGGCATTCTGCTTGGGGCAGAGCATCGCTGGATCTTAAGCAGCCAAGACGGAATTGTATTATTGGTCTCACCAAGCAAACGTAAGCCTCCCCTGATATCTCAGAGTGGAAAGCCAAGACTCGCACGGCGCCGCGGACGGAGCGGGCCGTGCTGCGAGCTGGACATATCCGCGGAGCCTGCATGAAACTGCTCCTTGTGTAGGATGCTGAACAGCTTACGAAGGGCACACGCCTCCTGCAGCTTGGTGTCGCGCAACGCGGAAGAAGGGCATTGTCCGTTCGGAGTAGCGCGGCCGACATTGTTGCAGAAAGGCAACTTATAGCGTAAATTAGATAATGTTATTCACAAGGCTTTGTCCTTGTATGTTGCGCGGTGTCTCGAAAAAGTGCATCCTGCTTAACCGAAAGGGAGATCGTGTTTGATCCTACTGGCCGAAATCCACTGAAACCACGCATCCTCCCTCATCCCGTATTTTTTGTCTTATAATAAGTTATCCATTGTGTTCTCAATTTGAATCATGCCACCTTAATCCGGCTTATGACTGCTTCGATGCCCCAAGGGTCCTCCGATAGAAGGCTTAGATTACTTGCTGACCGTAACCAATAAGAATGTCTTCACGATTAAAAGGTGTAGGCGCCGTCGGGAAGGTGTTTAGGAGCGCTTCTGTCGTAAACAGCGTTATTGGAGTGACATGCCACGATGCCAGCCAACCCGAACTCCGATACCCAGCCAGCCATGCTTACGTAAGCTCATCCAAGCCAAGCATGTTCGGCCACCCAGCATCCCATGTGTCCCCCTCGCTGCCGGGCTTCTCTTCTCCGCTGGCGCTACCTTACACCACCACCTGCATCACCTCTACCACCTGCCCCTTCCACCAGTTCCCTCTTACCCCCCATCTCCGCTCCCCCAACCTCCCCTTCCTGCCCTCCTACTTCTGGCCCATTCGCCTTAGCTGCCACATGCCCCTCTTCCCCTCTCCCTGTCCCGTTCCCTTTCCCTGTCCCCCTCCCCGCTCCTTTCCCTCTTCCGCTGCCCTTCCCTCGCTCACGCCACCACTTGCGCAGCTCTGAACTCAGCGCCTGCAGGACATCCAGCAGGGGCCGTCGTAACCAGGAGGCATTCACATTGGGGCTTTCAGTCCCCAACGGTTTCAATTCCAAAGCACACCACCGGGCGGCCCCCCCTCGCACCCCAGCTCACCTGCAGGATGGGCACTGCAGCGGGCAGGCAGAAGGGCAGGTACACGCCCACTGCGTGCGTGTCGGGCACATTGAGCCGCGGCGACAGCGAGGGGTCGGAGAAGGCCGCCTCGGACCAGGCGCGTGCTTCCTGGGCGGCTCTGGAAGGCCACGGGAGCGGCGGGGGAGGGGGGTGTCGAGGAGGGATGATGGGGACGGGGTTGGGGTGCCAAGCGGTCGAGTTGATGGCAGGGTACGAAGGTGCACAGCTGCACTTGAAAGGAAGCCGGGACCGGAATGCGCCTCTTCTCACTTACTATCGAAATCCTTTCGATCTGCCTACCTATGTTCTCCAATTAATCTATCTCGTTTTCAATCTCTCTCCGCCACTCACCGTGACGTCTCCTGGTACCGTCCCTCCGCCGCCAGCCGCATCGCTCGCTGCAGCGCCGCCGCCGCGCCGCGCACTCGCGACCCCACATGCTGCGGAACCGCCAGTGTAGGCATCTGCCGCAGCAGCCGCGCGAGTGACCCAAGGGTCGCTCCGGCCGCTCGCACGTCCTCCGCCACCCTCCGCCGCACCAGCGCGTCCACCTCCCAGGGAGCCAGACCGGTACGCAACGCGGAGAGCAGCGTGACAGGACCCACTGCTTCCGAATGACTACTGCTAGTGCTGCTGTTGTTGTTGCTGCTGCTGTTGCTGTTGTCATTGTTGTTGTTATCGCGGTTGGTGGCTGAGATTGCCGTCTTGTCGCCGCTGCTGCTGCTGCTGCCAGCTGCCGCCGCCGCTGTGTTGCCGAGTGCTAGCAAGCGGCTGCGGGCGGCTGCCAGGCCCAGCAGTGACCGCAGTTGGGTCAGGAACTCCACTGCGAATTCCTGGGGGGCGTGACATGATGTCCTTGATGTGACGTGGTGTGACATGACATGGTACGACAAGGCATGACAGGACGTGACCATGAAATGACGTGACGTGATGTGACGTTGGGGATGCAGACGAACCCGCACACAGCGGAGTCAAAGGGGCGGCATGCGCGTGTGATAGTGAACGTGCACTGGGGAGGGGGCACACCCGGGTTGCGTAGCCAATGAGGCAGGCAATGCGATGCTCACAGCAAAGACAGCCCCTGAGCTGTCCCCATGCCCTCCATGTCCCACGCCTCCTCTTCCCCTCTCTAGCCCTATCCTCCTTCCAGCCGTACCTACCTCCATGGCTTGCTGGCCCACGGGAGCCACCAGTGCGTCCGCTGGGGGTACCTGGTTCAAGACCTGTGGGGGGCGGCAATGCGAAAGCCCAGAATCCTTGCTGACATCAGCGGATGGCTGGGCGCCATAACTGTGGGCGAAAAGCGCGACATTGAGCAGCCCCCAAACAACACCGCTACGCTGCGTGCTGCTTGACGGCGTTTGCACCGGTATTCCTGGTCTATTCCTCGGCTCCCCAGCCCTCCCCCACCTGCAACATGCCCCAACCCGGCACCCAAAGAGAGTTGGCGGGCGCCCGCTCCCCCTCAGGCCCCAGTAGCAACAGCGGCCGCTGCCAAGGCTGCGGCGCGTACAGCACAAAGTGAAGCACCGATGGCGGAAGCGACTCCGCCGCCGACGGCGGCAACAAGTACGGCAGCGCAGCTGCCGCCGCCGCGGCGGCGGCGGCGGCGCCGCCGCCACCACGCCCTCCGACGCGGGCCTGCAACGGCGGTGTCAGCAGCACCATGGCTTCGCCGATGGAGATGACGCGGGATCCGGCGGGGGTGGCGGCGGCAGCGACGTCGTACGGCACTTCGCCTCCGCCGGCGGCTGAGGCGGGCAGCCCTGTACGACCTGGATCCAGAGGCCAGGCGCTGTCGATGAAGGAAGGAAGCTGGTGGTACGGCAGTACGAAGGAGAGGCGGTGCTCGTCCCATGTGGCGTTGACTCGGCCGGGGGTGAAGTACAGCACCTGAGCGGGCGGCAGCGGAGTCGGATGTGACATGTGAGGATACTGCTACGTAGAGGTATGGAGGTAGCAGGGGTAGGTGTAGGGTTTCGCGGGGTCCTTTGACGTTCAATCGAACATCACCTCACTCCGCCGGACACCTTAGCCGCACCGGTATCTTCTTCGCATTTCTTCTTTGCATGCTCCATCTGTCTTGCCCTATACCTTATTCCAGCTTTTTCTTCCCCCACCCCACCTGGCTAGACACGGTGAGCCGGGCTGCGGGCGACAACAGCTGCTTGACCGGGGCTATGTACTGAGCCTCAAACGTCGCAAACGACCAAACAAACGCCGCAGCAGCAGCAGCGCCGCCACCCCTCTCTCCACTCCTGCTGCCGGATGCTGCTGCTGCTGCCGGTGCTGCCTTAGAGGCGACGTCTGGAGCGGTGCTGTCATGCTGGGAAGTGGGAGCGGGGTGTGCGTTGCAGAGGCTGAAGGAGAGGTGCAGCTGAGCAGCTGGGTTGAGGGGCAGCGGAGGCGGAGGCGGAGTGGAGGAGCCATCGGAGGAGCCCGGTCCGCCGAAGGGCAGAGAACCTCCTGATGTGGAGGCGGACGTGCAGCAAGGAGTTATCATTAGCATGACAGGGTATGGAGGCGGCAAGGGCAGGGGTGGGTAACACTTTCCATGCGCAACTTAGCAAACCCCTTTCCAACAGCTTTAGCCCCTCGGATCCTAACTATCTCACTTTGTTCCTGTAACACCCTTTCTGTTGTTGCTTACCCAGGTAGGATGCAAAGGCAGGCGCCGCCAGCAGCGCCGCAAGTCGGATCACTGACCCATGGGTCGCTTTCAGGCCCGAAGGGTGACGAACCAGCGCGGTACGGCGCCGACCCATCACACCGTACGGCAGACCGTTTGGCGACATCCAGGGATCCGGACTAATGAACAGGTGGTAGTTGCCAGGCCTGGGCGATTTGTATACGGCAAGCAAGATCAGGGATCTTCTCCTTCATGGCTCCATCATTGAAGGTGCTGTATGCAATGCGTCATGCATGGGTCATCGGGCATCGGGGATGCATACCGGTATTCATCTGCCTCACTGCCTCCCTCCCTGTCCCGCCCACCTGTCCTGCCCCTGCCTGCCTCACTGCCTCCCTCCCGGCCCCGCCCACCTGTCTTGCCCCGCCAGCTGCCCCGCCGCCCAGTCGTCGAACTCCCGCGCCTCCGCCCCCATCACCACCCGCAGCGCCGCCGCGGAGGCAGGTGCGGCCAGGTCCAGACAGCCCACCCCGCCTCCCGCCAGCCTAGCCTGCTGGGGGGGCTGGGGCGGCTGCTGGGTAGCGGGTTGCTGCCGCTGCCGCTGACTCCCGGCTGCCTGGGGCCCTCCTCCCTCTCCTCCTCCTGCTCCTCCTGCTGCATCTGCTGCTTCCCGGCTCGGGGCGCTCCATGAGGAGGCGGAGCAGCGGCCCGGGGCGTCCAACATCACCCGCACGTGTAGGGGGACCTGGCGAGGTGTGAGCGGCGAAGGCAGACCGAAACCGTTCCATTATACGCTATTCCATAATGGGCTATGACGAACATCCTGCACTGCCAGTAGCTCCACGGGTCCCACCGCCTCACCTGCTCCCGTCCCGGCCCCCCCAGCCCCGCCTCCCGCAGCACTGCGGCCCCCAGCAGCTCCGCCAGCAGGGGCAGCTCGGAGGGCGCGGGGCAGCCGCCGGGGCTGGAGGCTGAGACGGTGGGGAGGGGGGCAAAGGGGCGGAAGGAGGAGAAGGAGAGGCGAGCTGGGTGTGCGGATGAGGGAATCAACTGACATGTAAGCAAAGTGCTTTATTGCAAAAGCAGGAAAGGCCGAGCGTATCGGGGAATGTAAAGTGCGCGTGTGCGTGTGTCATTGTGAGCAGTATATTGACACTTGTCTTTTGACAGCTGTGTTGTTGGGTGCCTTCTCGTCGTCGTACATAACCCGGTGAATCTATTTGCGAGTGTTACCGGGTCCTAGCAGCTAGCACCCCGCCTACCTGGGCACACCACGTAGGCGGTGACGGTGACGGGCAGCAGCACCGCGGCCCCGGTCCTACCACCCGGTGGAGCAGCGGCGGCGGTGGCCGCCTCCAGCTGCTCCAGGAGGGGCAGCGGCAGGGGGGCGCGGGGAAGCCGCACGCTGCGGTACCACACCGGCAGGGCTGTGGAGGGTTGAGGAAAGGTTGGGCAGCAGGTGGAACACACCGGTTGTCGGGGGGCAGGAGAGTGGTTTGGGCTGGGTTTGGGTCAGTGTGATGTGTGTTGCGTAGTTAGGGGTTGAGGGTAGGTGACAGGTGCAGGCGGCAGGTGGTCATGGGTATTGGAAATGGGTCCGGATGTCTGATAGCGCATGGACTAATTCGGATGCAAGCTTACCTATTATGACATAAAAAGCTACGAATATTGATGCCCACAGGCGCCGCCTAGAGGGCGGCGCCTGAGAAGAGACCATGGAGACGAGCCCCACTCGGTGGAAATGTATCTTACAGAAGCGAGCCTAAGCAAATAAGGAGGGCTAGGGCATTGCAATTGCTCTGTAAAGGAGCGCCTCGTCGTCTTCCTGAACGCGTTTTCTTTACAAGCAGTACCGAAGCGGTTAGCAACGACTATTTGGAGCGAGGAAATTTTGTCAAATGGGCATTGATCTGTCAAAGTATTACTGCAGCTCACGCATGTGCTTCCGAACAAACATACAACTATCTGGGCAAACGAACTTCAATGTTACCAACGACGACTAGATCATCGCCTTGTAACACGTCGGTCAAACACCGGTGTAGTTACCGGTAGTTGTGTAGTCAGTCTGTCAGGGCGTTCCTGTCCCCGGCTGAGCAAAAGGGTGCAAGCTAACGGAGCGAATCATCAGAGGCCAACCTCCTATCCTTGCTTGTGATTAGGGAAGCGAGTCTCGGCTGTCCCTTAGGACGTATCCAAGGACATGCTCTTATCGTGTCTTCTTGACAGCACCGACATTCCTTGTAATAATACGTCGTCACGTGCCCATACCGGTACAGATTTCCTAATCATATTTCTACAGTTGGGGGGTGGAGGAGGACGACCGGATGCTGGCTCAGTGGAGCTTTGGTGAAGAGGAATGGAGGAAGAGCCAGGCATGAAGGGCATGCTCGGAGAGGCACCCCCAGCAAGAGCATTGCTTGCTTAGCTGCATTCCCTGGACTTGCCATAAACCCCTCCGCAACACCCCGTCCGTGGAAAACTCTCTGGTAAGATGATGAATTCTCACTCCCGGGGGTGTACCTCGCACGTTACGGTATGCTGTCGCTGTGCAGGTACTACGCAGCGAGGGTTTGATCGCTGGGCCGTGCAGCATATAACCATGTCATGACGTATTACGTGCTGTTGCGACGGAGGCCCGACAGTACAACTGTCACGCTGTCTCGCTGTGTCATGACAACCATGTAAAGGCTCTGCAAAGGGATAGAGGGAACTTAAATGACCTAACGGCGCAACGAACACAGCTGATTCCATGCTGGGGTTCCCGTCGGAGTTCAGGGTCTGCACTAATCAGGCTATCCAGGTGGCTACTGGACTCAACCCAATCGCCAAGCAAGCACCTTGCCGCTGGCGGTTTCTCGCCTTACGTTACGCCTATTTAAGCCGGCCTCTTGTGATATTCAAGATGCAAAAGGGCGCTGCCGGGTCATGTCCTTTGACTCGTTATAGTCGTATCCTCGCGACGCCGCTTCAATATGTCGCTTTTTACTTGCTACATCATACTTTTCTGCTAGACCACCACAGAACGCAATAGGAATTGGACCTTACAATGTCAGTGTACCCCGTGCGGGCAGTCGTCTCAGATGAGGTTGAGCGACAGCCATCGCCTGCCTTTGTTAAAATTAAACCGGTTATTGCAGCGGGCATAACATTCGAAGCCATATCGCTAGTAGACGCCCTGAAAACTATGCACATGGGTGGGGAAGAATTCGACAAGCTCATGGGGCCATCGGTTGCATGGCCGTTTCCTGCAGCGGAGGACGGTGAGTGGAGGCTCGACGGATTTCGGTTTCAGGCCCTTTCTTATATCCTTGGGCATCTGGAAGAGTGTCCTGGGCGCCGACCGCCGTTGCTGATAACTTGTATCTTGTCGTGTTTAGTTGGACACACTCTGCGCACGTGCGCAGTAGACGGTAGCGCGCTAGCCGACATTCAGATATTTCAAGTATCAATTTTTGACTTGGTTTCACTCCTTAGAGGCTTAATGAAATGCAAAAATATACAGGACTGTTCTCCTTCCAACCAACCGCCGCTCGCGAATTCTTAGCGGAAGCCGTCAATCGGCTTACGCGTCATCTGTATTCTAATATGCATAATTATGTCTTGTCCAAACATACCGGTGAAGGATGGAAGCTCAGCCACGACGCCATCCGCGGCGACATGGAGGCTTTCATTGCGTCGCTCGATGGCGTCAAGTCGCTGGTAAGCCGGCATGGCAGACTGCGGTCTTCCTAGTTAGACTATGTTTATTCTTCCGTCTGTCGTAAAGTGCATTTACTCCTGGGCCGCCTGTTCCCCGTACAAATGCAGTTGGATGGCGGTTCGGCTTTGTCCCAATGGCATGTTGACGCCCTGCAGCTGATGGTTGGGGACTTCATTCACAATGTGCGCGAGCACCACTCACATGAGGAGGGTAAGCAAGGGCGACCGGCTAGGCAGGAACCATAAAACCATTACTGGGCAGATGGAAGGGAGGACGAATGTGCCCAAAGGGAAAAGGAAGGAGAGCGACAATTCACTGCTAGCTAGCCCAGGATTTGGGCACATAGTCAACCATTCCATGACCGAATTTCTCCGCCATGGCATACCGTCAAGCGGCTCAAGCGGCTCCACTGTCGGCATTTCTCACAAGCACCGCACCACACACCCAGTAACTTCACACACCGCCACCAATCCCTGCTGCCCCCACGTACCCCAGACATCTTCTTCCCCTGGATCCAATCGCGCGTGTCGCTGCCACCCAAGCTCAGCACCGACCACCGACAGCTCATTTCGCTTCTCACGCGGGTGCGAGTCCTCTGCAACACCCTGCAGCCGGGAGACCGTGCCGCCTGCCAGGTATGTACCGGTAGCGGTGATGGGAGGCGGCAGATGAGGGAAGGGCCTAGGTGTACCGGTATGTGCGACTGAGGCTGCTGTCGCCCTGCATGTGCATGTGCGTGAAAGTGGCGTGTTGTGATGGCAGCATCGGGATCGACGCACACGCCACAATCCTGGTACGGTACGGTATCGTATGTGTCTGCTAGATGCGATGAATGTACGGCAAGCCTGATCCACGTGCTCGTACAACTCTTGTAACCTGCGATCTCAGGTAAGGTACGCCGGTCCACACCTGCCTGTATGCGTGCCCCGCTGTGCCGCAGCGATCTGTGTTTGCTTGACTCCTGCGCGATCCGCCCGGTTCATTCCTGCAATCATTCCTTCCTTCTTGCCCTCATGCAGCCGGTTGTTGCTGATCTGGCCGGCACCTTCACGCAGCTTCGGTCGCTGATGCGTCGGCACCTGGAGGAGGAGGAGGTGTGGGCGATTCCTCTCATGCGCAAGCACTTCACGGCGGCCGAGGCGGCGGCGCCGGCGAAGGCGGTGCACCGAGGCATGAAGCCGTCTGACGTGGCGTGGTTCCTAAGACCGCTGGTGGGTGGGCCTCCGACTCCTCCCTCGAGAGGGAGGCGCGTAGCTTGTTCGTGCTTCATTCGTGTTCCATTCGTGCTGCTGCAATCTTTCGAAGCAGATTAGATGTCTGCTGTCTGCTGCCGCACTTGTCCGTCGGTGGTTGATGATGAGTTGATGACTGCCATCTGATGCCGGGTTGCATCGTTGCGCAACCCCTGTAGCAGGGCACACCCGCCCCAGCGCCAGAATACCCACGACTACATCCAAGACCTAGGGGGTTCCTGCCATCTCGAGTAAGCCTTTTCGCGCTGCTACAACCCCACAACCCCCGCATCCACCCACCCACCCGGCAGCAGGATGACGCCCACAAGCGGCAGTGGATGAGCCGACTGGGCTACTCGGGGCTGTCTCAGCGGCTGGTGCTGCTGCCGGCTGTTCGGCGGGACCAGCGGACCGTGCTGCGAGCGTACCGGCAGCTGGCGGCGCTTGGAGTCGGAGGCGGCGGCAGCAGCGGGAGGCAGCAGCCGCAGCAGCAGGGGGCGGGAGGCAGGGAGGAAGGGGTGGAGGAGGGGGAGGAAAGGGGCTGCTGGCTTGGGTGCTTTGCGGCGTGAGGAGGAAGGATGGGAGGTGAGTGCGGGGCAGGGATACTGCAGAAGGCTGCGTTGAGGGAGGCCCTTGCCCTGTAGCCTACCCTGATAGTGAGGTTAGGGTGGAAGGAGGAGAGCGAGTATTGGGGGAGCTCGCTGGGGGTCAGGGCGTAGCGTAGGGCCCGTAGCGTAGGGATAATGGGGGCATGTATGTGCTTGCGTGTGTCGGCTCATGTGTCAATGTGTGCCAGGCAGATGACAAACAAGTGGAGTCATGGTGGCGGTGCTTTGGTGTAGGGGTCCAAGGAGATGGGCAATAGGACGAAGAAGCAACCGAATGCGAAGTGCATGCAAGTAGAAACTGAATGAAACGTGCATGCAAAGAAACATTGACGGTCGGTACGTGAGAGACGGAGGGAAGTGGTGGCACGGTGGAATGTGTTACTGTGCATGTATGTGTATTTCTATCCGATCCCCGCGGTGTTGGTGACACAGATGCATGTGAAACCGTCTGTTCGCCAGTCACTGCCTTGCATGGAATGGTATGACGGCATTACTGCTTTTCAGTACGTTAGTGGTAAAGCGGGATGGGATGGAGGCGGGCTCCGGGCTGGCTGAAATGGTTGTGGATGGCGAGGTATCGTCGCTAGCTTGGTTACGGCTTATGCATGGTGAAGGGTGAGGTGTCAATGGCTTGGAAGTTTGCGCCTAATGATGACGGTACGAAGAAGTACGAGCATTGTATTACACCGTGGCATTCATCATTCGTTGTTGATGTGTCCATCCAACCTAAGGGAGTATTTTTTGCGCATGCGGGGCATTCCATATATTGAAGTAGCTTAATGAGGACCCATGCAAGCACAACTGTCTGTGCTAGGATATCAAAGCAGAAAGCAAGGAAATTATGCTGAACGGCAATACATTTGGTTTCAATGCGTCGTTATTGTCGGCGCGTATATGTATGCACGATTGCCGTACGTTCATGGGGCATGGCTTCGTCTGGGTGCTTGTCGGCACTGCTGTTGGCATTGTTCATGTACGGTATCTGGGGACATTGGCTGCGGGAGCTTATTTTCGCTGGAACCTCCCGCCGTGTGTATTTAGAAAACTGGCCGCGAGTGTGTGTGTGGTGAACACCACATGCGCATGCACGAGGAGGAGGAGGAGATCGATGCACGGAGGTTACACGGTTTATCCTAGCATCACAGTTCCGGCCCCAGCACGGGCAGTGTGTTGACCTGGCTTCTTGAGTGACCCATGGGTCAGTCAGCCCTCTTACCTGAATCCCGTCCGCGGGACAGAAATGTGAGATGCATGCAAGCCTGAAAGGGTGAATGGTCTTCGCATTGAGGCAAATGCTTTGAAGGTTTGTCTTTAAGTTCCAGTTTGCCGGGGTTGGTTTGGGAAACCATGATAGGCGTGATAGAGTTGTATTCAGGAACCCAGTACCCAATCATTGTGAGCCCGGATGGCCCGCCGTTGCAACCTGGACTCGTCGACTGGATCTGTGTGGCCCTTCCAACCTTTGGTGATGGTTGCGGGCGTGTACTGACGCGTCCTATAGGGAGGCGACCAAGGTTCACTGCACCCTTGTACACTAATGTGTAAATGCGGTTGGAGCTCGATGGCGAATAGAGAAAGAGCGTGAAGCGGTGAGAGGCCGGATAACGTGGGTATGTGGAAGTCTGCGAGGTCTGTTTGTGCGCAGACGGGCTTACTACACGCGCTATGCGGATGGTAAACCCCGGATTCCACCCAAACGAGGGCAGCAAAGGCCTCCTGAGTTACATGCTATCATTCTCCAGCATGTAAGCGCGGAGTTGGTTTTTCTGAGTCTCCTCCACTAATCATGGCACAAGGGACATGCCGTACACCGAACAACAGCTAATTTCCATCTTACCCAGAGACTAATGGGCTCCGTTCGTCGCTTGAGGCCCCGAAAAACACCTGCCTGGTCCGGCGTATAGCGTCCTAACTTCTCTGTCTATCCAGCACCCCATTGTCCCCAAGCACTAAGGGGGACCTGTCTGGCGCATTCTGCGCAATACAGATGTGCACATCCGGGGGCTTTCCTAGCTACCACACGGCTTCATCGCTACCGTACCGCACCGTACCGCACCTCCCATCATGGCACCTTGTTTGCACCGAGAAGTGCCGTACATAACCATGACTGGTCCGTACACACAACTGCCGTCCATGCAACAGCAATCCACTCAGAACCGCCACGTCCCCTCTTTCAGGCCGCAATAACCGCATGCCAGACCCAGCCAATCAACTACTGGTAACTACTAACTACCTAAACATAACTGCCTAACTGAACATCACCGACGACACTGCTGACTGGTGGTTGTAAAGCTCCAACGAACGCACCCCAAACTCCACTGCCCCCACCAGCACCTCTGCCACCCGCTTCCGCACCCCGCCAGCCTCCCTCGTACACACCGTGCTGTTATCGCCCTCCCCTCCGCTATCGCTCCCACCTCCGCCTCCGCCCCCATTGCCATTGCCGTGCTGCTGCTGCGGCGCTGCTGCTACTGCTGACCGAGCTATCGCGCCGCCGTCGGCAGCAGCCAGCCGCACCACTGGAGGTAACCCCTCCCCGACCCCACCACTGGGGCCATCCCCCTCTTCCTCGACTGCAACCCCAACCCCACGCATCACACCCATCCTGCCTCGTGATGACATCAATCCCAACACTCCAAACCCCGTCGCATCCGCCGCTGGCGGCGGCGGCGGCGGCAGCCCCGCCTCCATCCTCAACGCGACGCACTCCTCCATCATCCTCGTCAGCTCTCCAAGCGCTGTCCAGCGTCGCGGCGCGTCCTCCTCCCGCCCGCTCCACAGCAGCGCCGCACAGCCTCGCAACTGCGATTGGCAGCGACTCACACGCCCCGCCAGCCGGTCTATCGCCGCCAGCTGAGCACGCAGCCGCTCCAGCTGCGCTGCCAGCCGCCGATTGCGGCCCTCCGCCGCCTCCGCCGTCGCCGTGGCGGCGGCGGCCTGGGCGGCGGCGGACGCCGCCGCCGCTGCCGCGGCGGCGGCTGCAGCGTCGCCGTCGCCGCCATCCTCCGATGCGGATGTTGAGCTGGCGGCGGCGGTGGAGCCTGAAGCGGCGGCGGCGGGGGCAGTGAGGGTGACGGGAGCGCCGGCAGGCTCCGCGGCCGGGGCAGCGGCGGCGGCGGCGGAAGGTGTGCCGTACCAGCCGGCGACTCCGCCGCCGATCCATGAGCTCCAGAGGCCTCTGGCGGCGGATGTGCTGGGTGACGAGGAGGGCGCGGAGTTGGCGGGGAAGAGGGAGGAGGCGGTGCCTGAGGGTGGGGGGCCGGCGGACAGGGCGCGCGAGGGGCAGGAGAGGAAAACGTTAGGTGTTTACCTTGGATGGAATAGACAAGCTGGTGCTCACATCACATCACATCACATCACAGCACAGCACAGCACGTCGTAACACAGCTCGCGTCACAGAGGCGACCCCAACCCACCTGGACTGCGACTCAGAAGTGTGTCCCGACTTGACCGCCGAGAATTTGCCGCATTCGCCCCTGCTCCACCCGCACCCGCACCCGCACCCGTTGGCGGCCGTTGAGGCACCGCCCTGGGGCCCGAGCCGGCACCCGTACCCGTACCCGCGCCTGAAGCCGAGCCGGGTCCCAGGCCTCCCGGAGACGGTTGCTGTTGCTGCTGCGGCGGCGGTTGTGACGGTTGAGAGGGCTCGGCTGGCGGTTGCGCGGTGAGCTGGGCTGCACGCAGCAGTGCCTGAACCTTCTCCTGGGTGGCCTGGGCTAGCTTGATTTTGAAATCATGGACCATGGTTCGAAGAACCTTCGGCGGGTGGGGAGTGTGAGGGAGTCAACGCGTGTCTTGTGGGAAGCCCATGTCGAATGGAAAGTCGAAATACAGCAATGCAGTACCGTTAGTAAGCAACGTGAGCCGATGGGCAAGCCGGACAACGTATCAGGCAATTCCCACCCCATTCACGACAAATACGCATCATGGTTTAACATGCATGACCATTATCTTGCCTGCTGTACCAGGCTAACACAACAGACCCATGGGTCTCACATGCAGCTGCTCCCGCTCCTCCTCGTGTACGGCTCGCTCCCGTACCAGCTCCTCCTGCGCTTGACTTAGCTCGGCCTCAAGCTCCCGTAGCCGCGCGGCGGCTGCAGCAGCAGCCGCTGCAGCCGCCGCCGCCGTCGCTGCTGCTGCTGCTTCACTTCCGGAGGCAGCATTGGAAGCTACGACATCTGCCGAGGGAGCGCTAGCGGGGCCTCTTTCTTCTCGTTCCCTTGCCTCTCCCTTCCCCACTGCGCTTCCGCCTTCTCCTCCTGAGTTGCCTGCGACCGATGCCTCAGCCGCCGTTACTGTCACCTCGGCTGCAAAGGCGGAACGCAGCACTCGTACGGCGCCGCCACCGCTGCTGCTGCTGCTGACGCCGTTGCCGGTGCTGCTGTCGTCGCCATCGTCGCCGCGTGGAGTGGACGCTAATGACCCGCGGGTCGGTTCCTCCGCCGCCGCTGCACCGGCTGTCTCGGGGCAACCGTCACCGCCGCTACGCTGATCAGCGGGTTCGCTGCCCGATGCAGCAGCGAGGACATGCTTGGAGCCGCTCGGAGCCGCGCTTGCCTGCAGGCAAAGGAAAGCCCGTCCATCTTTTAACCGCCTGGAATCATGGAGGCCTTGACCGCAGGGGAATGGGAACTTCGCCAGGTCAGGAGTAGGGTAGACCTCTTGTGCCTGGGGAACAGCGGACAGGACCCCAAAGAAGAAAGCAATCGCCGCAAAGCCCCACCTGCGGCTGCCGCTGGCTCAGCTGCTGCCGTTTCAACTCCGCCAGGGTCGCCTGCAAGGTTAGGTGGATAGAGCACACAGGAAGGGTCGCCGCCATGTATGCGAACCTGGGTTTGAGCTATCCGTAGCGTAACAGGGTACGACAGATCACCCCGCCGTGCATCACCCCGTCATGCAGCCCGTACGCTGCACGTCGTGTTACGCCGCCTTGTGATTAGCCGTGGTTAGCTGCCAGCACCTCACCTTGGCCCCCTGCCCTGCCCCTACCTGCAGCTCTTGCACCTGTCCGCTCAGCTGGTCCTCAATCTTGTGCGCCTGCTTCAGCAGCTTGTGCGTGTGGGCTGCGTCCGCCTGAGCCTCCTCCAGCTGGCTCTGAAACCAGGAGCGGGAAGGGAAAGACAAGTTGGCTGAAGTGGAGCAGCAATGGCAGCGGGCAACGGCCGTTGTGAGCAACGCCGTTAAATATGGTTGATAGGTAACGTTTTAACTTTTGACGTTGGATTCTGCAATGCGTGATCGTCTTGGCCTCCCAACGCACCCTCAACTGCTGTATGGTGTCCTGCAGCTGCCCGACCTCCAGCCTGGCCTGCGCTTCTGCGGCATCCTCGCGCTCGCGGCGCTGCCGCAGAGCCACAAGCTCCGCTTGCAGCTCGCTGACGCTGGACCGCAGCTCGCCATTTGCAGCCTGACTCAGCTCTAGGGCTCGGGACAGGTCACGCAGCTGCGTTTCTACTTGCAGAGCAGAAGCCTGAGCCTGTTGTATGGCCTCATCGCGATCGGCAATTGCCTTGTCAGCGCGATCACTTTGAAGGGCAACGTCATTCTCCAGGGCTGAGCATTGTGCGAGCAGCTCCTCTACGCGACGCTCGCTTTCTAGCTTAGATCCTCGCACCACATTGAATTCCTCACGCAGTTTGTTGCGCTCCGTCTCAACTGCAGATAGCTGAACCCGAACTGCCCGCAAATCCGATTCTGCGTTTCGCATCCTTTCGGCCAAAAGTTTACTTGGATCAAACTTGCTGGAGCCACTTTGGAGGCACAATCGTTCGACGTCTGCTGCCAACTCATCGCGCTCCTTTTCCACCATGCGTAGCGTCCGCTCAAGCTCTTCAACGCGGGACGCCATGTCAGCCGTCATCTTTACTATCCAAGAAACATTGTATAAATCTCCTTAGCAGATCTTCTGTCCATAGCTTGAGGCATACAGAACTTTACGTAACACCTGTACGGCAAGCAACTTGTCCTGCTGAAACACTGTTATTGAGGGGGGCGTAACCCCTGTAACCCCGTGGGTGTACGATGCCTGGAACCCCTAGGTCCTGCAGCAAAACGATTGCTAGGTGAAAACATGCATAATATCAATGTTTTGGGCCATTTGGGGAGGGTTACGGAGAGCTTGGGCCGGCGGGAACTTTAAGACGCAGAACATAAGCTAACAATTAAGGAAAGTAGTTGTTTAGTTATTACTCTAATGTTAGATGCGTACATAATGCTGTAAGCTTTGGTTTATGGTCGACTCGTCGCCATTGCCATAGAAAAAAGCGCCCAAAAGGCAACGTTCCCTACGAAGCCCAATTAAAATTATATAAGAACGTAGTCCTACATTGCTGAAAAGAACAGCTGTCACTGTTTTCACCTACAATATCTGGCCCGGAACCCCGACGACCCCGACGACCGTACAGTCGTCGGGGTCCCGGGCCGTACTCGTCGGGGTTCCGGGGGGTTCCGACAGCCGACATATGTTCCTGATAGGCGTTTGGCTCCCCTGTAATACGCACATTCCCAAGGGTGGCAACATGGCAGGCTTCAGTGGATGAAGATTCCGTCGATGGAAGGCGCTCCTACCTGTCTTAGGATTTGGACCAGGAACGGCATGAGATCAATCCTTACATGCACCGACGGGATATGTTTCTTGCCGAGGTCCACGTCTCCATATGGCTGCACCTCCTGTGCGCAATAGTCCACTTATCAAATAGCGCAGGGAAAGCCCATGTGCCGCACCACCAACTGTCCACACACCTGTTCCTGGAACACCCTGCGCGCAGCTGGGTATGCTTGCCCGTACATGTGTGCTCGGGCCTCCGCTTTGCCTCCATACACTTAGCACCTAGCGCCTCATTCCACTGCGACATACAGAAACACCAGAACACAAGCCATGTGGGGTCCGACTTGCCATAACCCAAGCGCAGCACGATTTCAAATGAAAGACCACATAAATCCTTCTAGGGCCTGGGCCTGACCGCTAGGTCCTCCTCGGGCCCATGCATGCCCAAAGTAGAGCAGCCAGCATTGCCTCGGCACCTTTCACAACCACCTGCGGCTCTGGGCATTTTGTAGGGTTTCCTGGCACTTTCCCTCCACCTTTTCCCTCCGAGCCGCTTGTTGCATGGCTGCGAGCACAGCAATTTTGTATTGTAGGCGCACAGGCAAATACCTGAACCTCAAACGCGCCTCTTCCTGAAAAATCATCAGCAACATCCGCCCCTTCCTTTCCTCCAACTCCGTTTGCAAGTAACCGCCCTTTCATCTTCACCGTCTCCGTTTGCATCAGGAGGACAAACGCCCTCCACGAAGGTGCTCGGGTGGATTGAGCCAGCCCTTCACACCGTTGCGGGGAATCAGCCCACATCCTCATCATCCAAACTGCGTCATTACGCGATCTCGACGTCTCCGTCTCCTTCTCAATTTGCAGACGCGCGATAGCGTGCCTCCATACGACGCAGCCTCACAGCATCCTCTTTGAAAGCTCCTATGGCAAGCAAGCTCGGAGCTATCGCATCTTCCTCCATTGACTTCGTACAGCCCAGCGGGTCTAGACGACAAAAGGCCGGCAGTTGCGGGCAATGTATCTCCTCCATGTCCAAGCAGGGCAACCCTCCTCATAAACGACCCACCTCATAGACTCAACTTAAGAAGGATAAACGATATCCACGCCGCCCCATGCGCGGCCTCTTCACGCACACATAGCATGTACCAGTGGGCTTCCATGCAGTGCGGACCTCACTGCGCCGACCGCATGCCAACTCTGGGCACATTTGCGACGTGTACGGACACCTGGGTGAACCCCGCGCGTGCGCCTCAACACCCTCTAGGCTATACACACGCAACCCGTGCGTCAAAAGCCCTCAAAAACAGCAAAAAGCCAGCATGTACGATCTTCTGGTTCTCAGACCCAATTTGCGTTTCTCTCAGCTCTTATCCGCATCTACAGGGCCCCCAGGGCCACCCCTGCCGCCCCTCCCGCCGCGGCCACCTCCAAGCGGGCCGTCGCCCCTGCCGCCGCGACCCCTGCCAACCCCGCCGCGGCCCCTGCCGCCGCGGCCGCCCTCACCCCTGCCGCCCGGAGCCCCCGCGTGCTGATGCGCCGGCGCAGGCACGCCCTGCGGTCCGCTGCCAGCCATGTGGACCGCCTGAGGCTGGGGTGGCTGAGCGGCGACCGGCCCTGCTGCTGCGTGCCCAGGACCAGCAACCTGAACCGGTGAGATGGAGGCAGACTGACCCGCCGCATCTCCATCAGGCCTAGCGCCGCCCCGGCCGCCGCGACCCGCGAAGCCGCGCCCTCGCCCGCCCTCAACCGTTGTGGCCCGCGCGCCGCCACGACCCTCACCGCGTCCACGACCGCCGCGGCCGCTCCCAATAGGGCCCGGTCCCGGCGCGGGGCCGGCCGGCTGGGGTCCGGGAGCTGCGGGTGGCGGCCCCTGGGCATGGATGGGCTTTACGGGGCCGCCGATCACACCGGCGTTAGCTCCCTGGGCCATGTTTATTGTGGGGGCAGGTCCCATGGACGGAACTGGCAGTCCCGCGGTGGCGCCATGGCCTAGGCGCGCCGGACCGGACGCCGCAGGCACTGGCGGAGGCATGGGGCCCCCCGGAAGGCGTCCCGGCGCCTGCTGATGCTGGTGCGGGTGGTGCTGGACTTGCTGGGGTGGCTGAGGCATCTGGGGCATCATGGGCTGCTGAGGTTGTTGCTGCAGCTGGCCCGGCGGCTTGACGTCAAAGATGTCGTCCGGTAGGCTGGCCTTCAGCTGCTCCTTGCTGCCTGGCATCATGGGCTGCTGCAGCTGGCTAGCCTGCTGGGGAGGCGGACCGTAGCCTCCCGGCATGCCAGGCTTCATGCCCGGGTGCCCGATCGCACCAGGCTGCTTCGGCCCGCTGTTGAAGCCGCCTCCTGGCGAAAGTGACGACAAACCGGGTCCCAGCAGCGTGTTGGGCAACCCGGCGAAGCTTCCTGCGCCTCCTGCTACGCCATCCGATGCGTTGTTGGCGTTTCCAGACCCGCCCGGTGCAGCCTGGCCAGCTGCGTTGGAGTTGGAGGGCTGCACCATGAACTGTGGGGGCATCCCCAGGTCAACCGGGCGCGACAGCGCCGGTGGCGCAAGGTTGGCGTTCTGACCTCCAAGGCCGATGGACCAGTCGGGCTGCTTGTTGGTGGGGACGAAAGGCTGCTGCATCAGGAAGTTAGCGCCCAGACCGCCAAACTGGTTGCCAGGGGGCATGCCGAACGGGCGGATGCCACTAGGCGGACCAAACGGCGCGCCAAAGGGGCCCTGGCCAAACGGCCCTTGCCCAATGTTGAGCATGAGCTGATGCTGGGGCTGGCCCGTGCCGGCATTGTTAGCATTGCTCGCAGCGGGGCTCGTACCCATGCCGCCGCTGTTCTGGAACACCGAGTTGGGAGCCGAGTAGAACGCCTGCATGGCCGCAGTCAGGCCCGCAGGTCCAGCCTGGTGCGGCTGCAGGGTGCTGCTGGCAGGCCCAAAGCCGCCCAGCGTGTTGGGCTGGCTCCACATGGAGATGCCCCCAGGTGCGCCACCCTGGCCGCCGGCACTGGCTCCCGCACCGTGCTCCCCTGACGGAGCGCCAAATCCGCCATAGCCACCGCCCAGCGGCCCGCGTGCATCCTGAGCCTGCATGCCACCAGAGGCCGCCGCCAAGCCGCCCAGGCCCGAGGACAGGCCAGCAGGCTTGGGCTGCAGCAGGTCCAGGTTCAGGTCCGCGGGCAGAGCCGGCATGCCGCTGTCCAGCACCTCCACGCTCTTGCTGATGACATCCTGCTGGTGCTGAACGTGCTGCACATGCGGGGACTGCGGGTGCGGGTGCTGCACAGCCGTGACGGTCGGGTGCGCCTGCTGCACCTGGCCCGGAGCCTTGCCCATGACCACGGCCTGCGCCCCCTGGTGTTGCTGCGGTGGCTGCGGCGCCTTGGGACCGATTGACCGGTCGAATGTTTGGGGTCCAAGGCCGACCAGGGAGCCAGGAGCCTTAATGGCAGGAGCGGGGTCCAGGGACGCAGGCAGGTTCACCATGGACGTATCCGCAACCACTGGGTCCTCCAGCGTCCGCGCCGCCACATCCGTAGCAATCTTGCTGCCCCACGCTAGGGAGCTGCTGCTGTTCGGGTCCACCGCTGAGGAAGCAGCAGCAGCGGCCGCGGCCGCAGCGGCGGCGAAGCTCGCAGCCGCGGTGGCTGAAGAGGGAACTTGCTGCTGTGCCTGGCTCTGCTGCATCTGCGCGGAGAGGACAGGCTGGTATGCCTGCTGGGGCTGCGAAGCCGCCGACGGACCAGACTGCTGGGGGCCGCTACGCATGGGCACGGTAGCAATCCGATCTTGGACAGGGCCGCGGACTTCGCCCGTCGCGCCCGCGGCGGACGGCTGCGGAGCAGTCGCCTGCTGCGACTGCGGGGCTGCCTCGGGGGCAGCCGCTGCGGCTCCGACGGCGCCGCCAGCTCCCCGGTTGCCACGGGGGTCACGCCGCGGCCCCTGTCCGCGCCCACTGGAAGGGCGCTCGGGGCCAGGGCCGCGCCTGCCAAGCTGCTCGCCCTCGCCCGACTCAGCTGGTGCGGCTCCGCTGGCATCCTCCTCAGCACCCGAGTCCTCACCCCGGCCACGTCCACGGCCTCCACGACCCCCGCGCCCGCCGCGGCCACGCTCGCTGCCGCCACCCCTGCCCCTGCCCCGTCCTCGGCCACCCTCGGACACTGGTTCCACATCGAAGGCCTCCGCCGGGCTATCGAAGCCGCTCGCGCCTCCCCTTCCCCGGCCGCGACCCCCGTCGCCCCGGCCACGGCCCCGGCCGCTTGGCGGCAGGGCCCGGCGATCGTAGCTGTAAAGCATAGGCGGGCAAGGGCAGGGACAATTTGTGAGTTTACAGGCGGCAACGCAACTAGCCATAACGTCCGCTGCCTAGGCGCGTACCTGTTGGGGTCGTAGACCGGCGCCGACTGCGCGTCCTTCGGAGCCTGCTGACCAGTCGCGCCTGGTGCGTTTGCGTGGGTGAGTAGGACCGGGGTGGTGCCTTCGACTGCAACAGGGGGAGAGCAAGGCCGCGATTAAGATTACACCCGTGCTTGCGATCATGCATGCACTACACTATTCGAGAAACACGTTGCGACGCACCAAGCTCTTTCAAAAGGGCCGTCAACAGGGAAAAGTGAGGGAAGCGCAAACAGCAAACCCAGTTGCGCACCTGGCCGCCAAGGCTTTGACCTCTGGTCCTCCGGAGGCCGCTGAGGTGCCTGCTGGGCTGCCGGCTGCTGCGGCTGTGCGAACGGAAGCTGCTGCTGTCCGTAAGCGTGCAGCTGCGGTGGCGGCGGCGGAGGCTGCGAAACCGCCGGAGGCGCCGGCGGCATCTGGTAATGCTGCACGTACTGCTGCTGCTGCTGTAACAGCTGCTGCTGCTGCTGCGCCGACGGGCCCATGTGCGGAGGTTGGTGCTGGACTTGCGGCGCCGGCGTACGGTGCAGCTCCTCAAGCAAGTTCTCGTCGAAGGAGCCAAACATCGCCGTGGCGGGCGGCTTGGGAGCGACGCCCCATGCGTTGGGCCGTGGCGGCTCTGCTATGTCGATGGCCTTCGTGGCTTGGCGTGTGTCGCCCTCCCCTGGAATCCAGTAAGGGTGGGGCCAAACTGATAAACAAAAGACACAAGACATCCTGGCAGTACAATAGACAACTGAAGGCCCAACATCCGTACACCATGAATACCTCACTTTCACCATTCTTACCTGCAGCCTTTGTTGGCTCAGCAGCCTCCCCAGCTGCAGGAGCCTCCGCCTGCTTGGGCGCCTGCACTGGCGCAGCAGGTGCTGGCGCCTGTGCGACGGCCTGGGAGGGCCCCGGTGCCTGTGCTGAAGGCTGAGCGGCAGCCTATGCGAGGAAAAACAAGTTTTCTTAACTCGGTGTATATGGCTAAGGACATTAGCTCGAGGGACAAACCCGCGGCCACACCCACCTCTTTGCTTTTAGCGGCAGCAGCGTCCCGAGCAGCAATGCTTTCTTCTAAAGCTCGTAGCTTCTCAGCAGCGGCCTGCTTGCGTCGGCGCTCCTCCTCCTCGGCCTCGCGAAGCGCCAATTTTGCAGCAAGAGCTTGTGCCTTCGCCGCAACAGAAACCTGGTTAGAGTAAAGTGATATTGAAGCGGTCTTGTATAACAATTTATTTGTTTCGCAGGGGAAGGGTCACAGCAAAGGAAGATCAGGTTGGATCAAACAATGTCAGCGGCGAGCAAAGTACCGCTTACCGCTTCGCTTTGTTTAACGCTAGCATCATCCGTATTTCCGCTTGGCTCCTCCGATGGCTGCGGTGGTTCCACAGCAGGCTGAGCCGGGCGCGAAGAACTGACATCCCGCTGCTCAGCCTTCTTCTGCACTCAAAGAGATAGCAAACATATTAGTATCGAAAACAAGAGAAAGAGGTATTACATGTGCGCAGATCACGCACCTTTCCAATCTCCGCCTGAAGGTTGCGCAGCTCAGCTTCAAAAGCAGCGCGCTCAGGGTCCTCCTCTTCCTCCTCCTCCGCGACCACAGGGGGTGGGGGCGGTGGAGGCGGCACGTCCCGCGTTGGTGGCCGTGGAGGGGGCGGAGGGGGAATGAGGCTGTCGTCGTAGTCGGTGAACCTGCTGGCATACACAGGCCGCTCATACCGCTCCGCGGGCCGCTCATACCGCTCTGCAGGCCGCTCGTACCGCTCCGCCGGCCGCTCATACCGCTCGTAGGTATCGCGTTCATAGCCAGGGCGGCGAGGAGGAGGAGGGGGATAATCGTACATGCCCCGAGGGGCACCATACGCGTCGTACGGACGACCTCCACGCGGGTGCTCGTCATAGTCATCAAAGTGACCAGGCCGCTGTGGCCCGTAAGGATCAAAGCGCACATCTCGACCTCCACGTTCCCAGTCCCGCCGATCATCGTCCCTACATCGAAGCAAAGACGATGCATATCGCGAAAACAGTGCAATCAAAGCAAGCAGCATAAAATCTTACCAGTCGACATGTCGAAAGCCTCCTGCTGGTGCACGTTCATCGTCGGCCCAGCCCCTCGGGTCCTGCGCAAATGGCCATACAGTACTTACATGCTAAAAATGATATTGTGCATAATTGTAACCGCACCTGTGGCTGTTCATAAGGAACTGGCCGTTGTTTCTGCGGCTGCGAGCTGCTGCGCGCCGTTGCTGCAAGGCTGGGGTACTCATCGGGATTCAGGTGGCGGTCTACCGGGAAGGACGGTCCCCGTCCGTGGGCAGGCGAAGATGTGCCAGTAGACGCCCAAGCTCCAGAGCCCAAACGCGGCTGCGATGCCCAATTGCTACCAGCTGTAAGCGCTGACCTGACCTCCTGGGGCTGCGGGGGCGGTGCCTGCTCCTCGGGCTTTGCCCAGCCGGCGCTCACGCCAGCGGGTACCAGCTGTGTCGTTGGGTCATTCCCAGCATGTTCCTAGGTATATGCAAATTTTGATTTAGTTAACTTCCGGCTAAACACTGGACTTCAAAGGAACGCGGGCCCATTTCTGTAAGCAGGCACAAACGTACCTTTTTCAGCGATGGCAGGTTAACAGGCTTAGGGACAACGACCTTTGCGCCAGAGACTGCGCGGGTTGTGCGCTGCGTGCAGGGAAATGGGAGGCGGCGTCAACGTGGCCGAGTATGATCTGAAAGCTTGAACACAAGCCGCCCTGGTACAGTCCAGCAATCAATATATATTTATTTTAAACAGGAGAAACGCAAGCCGCTTCCGCTGCAAGCCCCAAGGTATGGACGGCCTTTAAGCACCTTTGAGAGCACAAGCATGCCATTTCTGTTGATAGTGCCGCTCGTTGACGACTGGGCTGCAGCAGGCGCCGAGGGCTTTGCAAACACTGCATTGAGGTTGCTGTTGGCGTACTTGGCCTGAGTTTGGTTCTTGTTGCTAGAGGATGAAGACATGGTGCGCGAAAGTCATTGGCAAATTATAGCCCTAGCTGCTGCCTAGATTATTTCTAATTAGGGAGGTCCAGCCACACTCGAGAGCAGAGGGCGAAGCAAGCACATTTGCGCCAGTGGAGGAGGTACGGCATACGGCCAACATGTAACTCTATAATAGACACCTTGAGCCCTTTTGCTTACCTTTGCAAGGATCTATCGCATGTGGAAGTGATGCTAGCTTCACAGCCGCGCGTCAGTCGTTCAAATCCTTTGGCGAAGGACTAGGACCTACCTCCTACCGTCCTACGGATCACTTAAACAGGCCTTACCGCTAGAGGGCGTACTTACATGTCCAACATGTCTATAGGCGGCCTAGACGGCTAGTTGTGGGCCTCCAAACCAGTTTCGCAAGCTAGACCGACCTGGCGGCCATGAATCGGCAGAATAATGCGTTGCGGACATATTTCGCTTCGGTGCTTGTGAGCTGTTCAATATTTCTCTTTTGGGTCGAAGGGTGAGGGGTTGAAGGGCGACAGTCGGGTCCCCCTTGTGTGGCGGCCAAAATATGGACCGGCACAGGTGCTGACGTGTGACTCGGCAGGAATGCGAGACCATCTGCTGCATGACACACATGGAGGGGGAAGGAAGTGGGCAGTCATGGGACAGCAAAGAGCGCTTACCCTCCGCAAGCCTATCCTACTGCACACCCGCTCCTCTACTCGCATCGAAGAAGAGGGACGAGGCGCCGGCAGGCACCCTCTTTTTAGAGGTGTTATGGGTTGTACCCAGGAGGCGGGCACTTGGCAGGTCAAGCGACAGCTAGGTCGCAAAGCAGTGATGCACAGGGGGGCATCCACAACGACACCCTGGAGAACCGTGTGTGCAGCGCGTGTAGCGTGCCATGTCAACGTTTTGTTGCTTCCCTCGCCTGCAGCCACTTCTGTGTTGTTGCAGGCAGGCACGGAACACAGCTGCGGCGCAGCCCTCGGATATTGGGAGCAAGGCAAATCCCTTGGCAGCCCAAATGAGTAACGAAGTGTATGTTATTGTCCTTGTAACTTGCCGCATACAGCAAGGCTGCATGCCGAAGTGGGTCAGTATCCGTATTTTAGGCAGTTGGCTTTGACCAACCAGCAGCGACTCGCGTAAAACGAGGTCGGGCAAAGTGCACTCGGCGCGGATACCTGACTCCTGCACAGGCTATTTTATCATGTATTGTGCAATAGCCTAGCCTTAGCTATCATGTCGAGTAAAAGGCCGAAGCGACGCTTGGACAAACAACCGGCTGGGTCTCAAGAAAAAAGTGAGAATAATATTGTGTCAAGGGATGCCGATGACCGCAATGATAGCGCTAGCTCGTGTTCAAACTCTAGCAACTCGTCGTCATCGGGCAGCGATGGTTCGGACAATAACGTCAGACAAGCCAGCAGTAATCAGGATGTAAGCTTACGGTCTCCAGAGGCTTCCGAGGATGAGGTCGAGCAGCCGCAGACCGAGGAGGAGGCAACGGAGGCGCTCCGGAGCGCCTGGCAATTCGCTTGCACCGTGCAGTTCGCACGTTTGTTCGCAAAGCCTTTGCAGTTGCGAAGCTTCTCCTCTGACCTACTGGAGGAAGCCCTGCTGCGACCAGCTGAACACCAGGCCTTCCTAGCTGAGCTGGTCTTCAAGGTGACCCCAGGGGCGAGAAGCCGTCGGGGCTTCCCTTACCACAACGCGCACAAGGCTAGGGGTCATCAGGCACCCTCGGTCAACATGGGCGTAGCGCGTATCCCCCTTGAGCCACGGCCACGGCCTTGTCACTGCCTGTTGCCTAGACCTACACACCTGCATCCCTTGCATCCATGCACGCTTCCCCTTCCTCCTGTCCGCCCGCAGCTTGCTCGCCCCGACGCCTCCGCGCCCTACCTGGAGCGGGATGCGGAGGCGCAGTGGGAGGCGCTGCTGCGCGGCTGGGCGGCGCGGCACTGGCGGAGCAGCGGGCTGTTCGAGCGCAACCCGCTGACACGGAGGAGCTTTGGGGAGGTGTCAGCGCTGCGGAGGGTAGGAGGGCGGCAGGCGGCTTCTTGGGGGAGGAGGGCGGGGAACGCAGGAGGGGTGACGGCTGGGATGCTGTGTGTGGGTGGCGAGGGTGGAGGCAGGTTGGGGGTTCGGCCTGTGATGCGCCTTGCGCGCTCTGTGCTGCTGCCTGTCCCGCCCCGCCCTGCTCCTGCTGGCTGCACAGGTCACATTTCCTCCCCCAAGCCTGCTTTCCTCCTCCCTGGTTGGGTCTATTTTTAACCCCCCCCTTCCGTTGCTGCACTTCTGTCTTCGTCCCCCCTCCCTCCCGCAGGTGCACCTGCTGTACGCGCTGTGCGAGTGGCGGTCGCAGGAGTGCACGGCGGTGCGGGAGGCCGTACGAACCATGGTGGGTGGGTGGGTGGGTGACTTACAGTACGACAACAGGGGAACTGCCGGCTTGACGAGGAAACGAGTACATGAGTACGGCTGGCAAAGGAAAACTACAACCGTTTAAAAGTCCCCCTTGCGAGTAGCCCCCTCAACACCACCCCCTGGACATTAGCACATTTACCCCCCGCGCCTCACCTCACCGCACCCCACACCGCCAGGCGGAGTCTGCCGACTCGGACGGCGCCGCTGAGGCCCTGCGGCCGCAGCCCCTGGGCGAGGACAGCCGCGGGGGGCGCTACCACTACTTTGGCGGAGCAGCCTTCGAGGACTGCTACCTGTTCAGGTGGGGGCGGGGTCACGTGGGGAGGTGATTAGTCAAGAAGTCAACCCAACAGCCAGGTTGCGGCGTTCCGGGTGTACTGAACGCCGCACCCCGCGCGGCAGAGGAGAAGCTGGCGAACAAACAGCAGCTCCTTTCCACCCTCTCTTTCTCAACCCCACCTCCTCCTCCCCTCTGCCACATGCCGGACGACCCGCACAGGGAAGACCCGCCCCGCAGGCAGCAAAACAAGCGGAAGAGTGCCGCCGCCGGCACCGCCAGCAGAGCCGACGGCGGCAATGGCACCAGCGGTGCCAACGAGGGTGATGCGGGTTGGTGCACAGAATGTACGACACTGGAGGAGATTCAGGAGTTGTCTAGCCGGCTGTGTGGCTCACGCAGCCGGACGGATAAGGCCCTGCATGAAACGCTGGAGGAGCAGGTGGGTGGAGGGGCGCGGGTTGGGGTGTGGGTTGTGTGGCAGAACAACAGCAGGACTTGACCCTTGAACCCAGGGCACATCAAGACGGCATGCGCACACAGGTTGCGTTCGCTATGTTCCCACACGCTTCCGAACTGCTCGAACTCAGGTGACCGGTACCCCTTGTTCAGCCCGTCCTCTCGAGCCCCTCCTCCTGCCGTGTCCCGCCTCCCGCGCTCCCGACCGCCCTCCCCATGTCTCACCCTCCCTCCCGCGTCACAACACCCCCACCAGATCCTGCCCAAGCTAGCGGCTGCCGAGGCGGCCCGCAGACGTGCACAGGAGCGCGCAGCGATGATCAAGAAGCGCTCGGGGCGCCTGCAGTCCCTGCAGCGGCGCAAAGAAGAGGAGGAGGAGGCCAAAAAGGTGGGAAAAGGGACCCATGGGTCGGCAGGTGTTGTGAAAAGTGGTAGAAAAGGCAGGGGAAAGAGCGTGTTGCAGTAAATTAAGACGGGAAACCACACGACACGTGCATATGCTGGATTTCACGATTGAGACTGTTTGGGAGCAGACATTCCGTTGCTGGACAAAACGTGTGCCTCCCCTTGATGGCGTGCATGCCCCCAACACCTGACGGCCTTGCAGGCTAAGGCAGAAGAGGAGCAGAGGCAGAAGGAGGAGGAGGCGCGGGAGAAGGAGCGGCTGCGCAGGGAACAAGAGCGGGAGCAGCGGGTAAGGGGTCTGCTGGAAGAAAAAGCACACACACACAGCAGTGTTTTCTTAACACAGCAGTTTTCTAACACACGGGGAACGTGTGCCGGTGCGGGTCAGTCGGAAGGAAACCCCCAACACCCCCCCTCCCGCCCTCTCCCCTGTCCCACCTCCCTCCTCACGGTCAGCACCTATCGCGGCTCACCCTGTTTCCTCCCTCCTCCTCCTTCTCCTCCTCCGCTCAGATCAAAGAGATGGAGGAGGCTCGCCGCAAGTTCCTGGGCTCCATTGCAGCCGTGCCCTCGGGCCCCACGCGCGAGGAGCGCATGCGTATGCGGGAGGGGCGGCGAGGAGCCGGGGAGGAGCGGCGGGTGGGTTTGTGTGGATGGGTGGGTTACCGGTAGTGGCGGACCGCCACCGCCGAGCTGCATGCGCGGGGTCCCGCTGCCTCGGGGTGCCCTGCTGCTCCCCGCTGTACTTGAGCACCGTGCCGTACACCGCTTGCTGCCGTGTTACGTTACGTGTTGCATGTTGCGTTGCATTGTGTTGATGTCTTGTGTGGGTGGTATCGGGGTATCGGGGTAGCCTGCAAGTCCTGGGATATCCTGGGGTGGCCTGCTGCCTTGCGTGTTACCGGTATACACAGTAAGGGTGTCTTGCGTTGAGGCGGCCGCCGCTTGTCAGGGCCCTTTGGGTGTTGGGCTGTTAGCGTCATGCACCTGATTGGAATCTGTGCCGTACATACGTTCGTACATTCATGCGTGTTTCTGTACCCTTTTCGCCCCACAGTCGGCTTCACTCGAGCCCACTCCCTCCAAGGAGAACACCCCGCAACAGCAGCAGCAGGGCCCATCGACTTCAGCTGCTGCTGCTGGCGCCACTGCAGCAGCAGCAGCTGCCGCCCAGGCCAGCCCCCCCGCTCCCACCCGCGTCTCAGCACGCATCAAGCAAGCGCATCAAGCAGCTCAAGCGGCGGCGGCAGCAGCTGCTGCTGCTGCCGAGGCTGAGGCTGATGACTCTGAAACCGAGGCTGAGGCTGATGCTGATGCTGCTGCAACCGAGGAGTCCGTTCCGAAGGGAGCCCGAGGAGCTGCCGCCGCCGCCACCGGTGCCTCGAAACCCGCAGCACTGGGCGGCAACAGGTCCGATACAAGGCCCCACCGCCAGACAGGGAGCAACACTAGCGGTGGAGGTCGGCAAGCCGGCTCGGACTCCGAATCCGGATTCGAATCTGCAGAATCGGAGTTTGAATCGGAGCGGGGGACGCCGGCCCGGCAGGGGAGTCCGCAGCAGTCGCCACCACGCAAGCGGGCGCGGACTCATGCAGGGGAGCATGCGGCGGGCTGGTCGCCGTTGGAGGGGGTGGCTGTTCCGAGGGGCGAGCGGACCTCGGATGCGGAGTTTTACCGGCCGCGTGGCAACACCACGCTGCTGCTGCAGGTGCGTGTGTGTGTGTGTCAAGGAAACTGGCAGCGAGTAGGAACGTACTGGATTGTCGGAGGGTGTGTGTACAATGCGCGCAATGTTGTTTGTCCTCGGCATGCACGCCTGAAACGCTCGTGTACGGCACGTGCCCCCCCCCGGCCCATTTGCATGCTATGTTGTACGACAGGTGGCTTGCGGCAACACGGCGGATCTGCCGTACCGAGTCTCAGCGGCCGCGCGAAAGATGGCGGATCAGGATCGGCGTGCAGCGGCTCGGATGCGTGTACGAGGCGAGGAGCAACCGGAGGAGGAGTCGGTTATCCCGCAACAACACCCACCGCTGCCGCTGCCGCAGTCGTCACTGCCGGCATCATTACCGCAGCAAATGCAGTGGCTGCAACAGGTTCAATCGCAGCACCCGCTGCAACAGCTGTCGCAAGCCTCGCTGCTGCCGTCGCTGCCGCCACTGCAGCAAGCCAAGACGAGTCCACGTTCGCAGGCATCTCAACACCAGCAACAGCAGCAACAAGCGCTGCAGTACCAGCAGCTACAGCAGTGGCAGTTGCAGCAGCAACAGCTTCAACTGCAACAGCTGCTGCTGCTGCAGCAACAGTACCAGCAAGCAGGGCCTCAGGTTGCGGGGTTAGCCACTGGGGCAGCAGCGATGGCCGCGCTTCAGACCGGGCCGGGCATGTCTCCCATGCTGCTCTCCCTGGGAACAGCACCGGCGGCGGCGGCGGTAGCGGCAGGAGGAGGAGGAGGAGATGCACCGGCGGCTACATCGCTAGCAGCGGCGGCAGCGGGACCGGTGACGGAAGCGGCGACGGCGGCAGCGGCGAGGGGTCGAAGAGTTACGTCAGGCGCCGCTTCCTCGCCGCCTGGCAGGCCTCAGAGGCAGCGTCGGCCGCCCCGCCGCATGGCGTCTTTCTCCGACGATGGCCACGATGAGCATGATGCGGGTGCCCATGCTCAGGCGGCCGGCGGCGGCAGCGGCAGTGCGGACGAGGGCGCTGACATGGCAGGAGAGGAGGAGGAAGAGGAGGAGCAGGCACGTGGAAGGCCCCGTAGTCGTCGAAGCAGCGGGAGGAGCGCTGCCAAGGGGGGTCGAAGGCATGTCGGCGGCGCGGGTGCTGGTAGCGTTGGCTCTCCGCGTGCTAAGCAGGGGCGGCAGGTGGCATCCGCTGGCAGCGGTGGGGCTGGAGGGGTTTTAGGAGCAGGCGAGCGTGGCAGCGGCGGCGGCAGGGCAGGGCACCTGCAAGAGAGTGTAAGTTGTTCTTTGCAGCGATGTGTTGGCAGAACGGGAGGGGCGATGCCGTAACATAGCTGCTGGGCGCGTTACTCATTACGCACTTGTATGCATTCGTAAATTCCTGTGCACCGCTTAATTTGGAAACATGTTACCGCTGTATTCGCAGGTGCTAGCGGCGGCGGCACAACAACCTCCGCCGCAGCATCTGGAGCCCAACACAGCCCAGCAGCAGCAGCAGCCACAGCCGCTGCTACAGCCACAGCCGCAGCAGGCAGGGGCACCGGCCGAGGTGGCGGCACCGCTGCCCAGCCAGGCACCGGCTCTAATCCCTGTACCCGGGCTTCCTGAGGGACAGGGGCCTCAGGGACAGCAGGAACCGCAACAGAACCCGGGGGAGCAGCAGCAGCAGCAAGAGCAGCTGACAGAGCAGCAAGCACCGCAACAGCAGCGGCTGCAGCAGCAGCACCACGTGAAGGAGCCCACCCCACAGCTACCCCTCGGCCAGCAAGAGCAGCAGCAGCAGCAGGCGCAGGCGCCTCTGCAGCCACCGGAGGAGGAGGAGCCGCAGCGGCAACCCCAGCCCTCACCACCGCCCCCAGACCAGCCGCCATTAGACCAGCAGGCAGAGCAGCAGCAGCAGCAGCAACAAGCGTCCGCCGCTGCTGCGGCTGCTGTTCCGGCCTCAGTGTCCCCGGCCCCAACCCCACCAACAAGCGACGGACTCCCGTCAACAGCCGGTGCTGTTCAGGACGTTGCTTCTTTCCCTGCTGCGAACGCAGTGATGCCCGGCGTTGCTCCCATCGCTCCACAGCTCCTGCAGCAGCAGCAAGTGCAGCAGCCAGTGCCTCAGGAGCAGGAGCTAAAGCACGAGCAGGATCCAAGTGAGGAGCAGCAGCAGCAGACAGAGGAGCCACCAGTGCCAGATGTACCCCAACAGGTACAGCAGCCCGCAGCAGCAACACCGGCGCAGCCCTCGTCCCAGGAGCAGCAACAACAACAACTGCATGCGCCAATCCCTTCGGCAAAGCAACAGCCAACTGCCGCTGCAGAAGAGCCTGTTAAACAGGAGTCGCAGCAGCAGCAGCAGCAACCGGCACTGCTCCGTACAACACAGCGCGGTAAAGACGCTCCACATGAGCCGCCGACAGCGCCATCCGAGCAGAAGGAGGGCGCATCCTCCTTGCCGCCGCCGCAGCAATCCATCGCCTCAGCAGCAGCGCAAGTGTGCCAGGAGGAGCCGCATCAGCCGCTGCTCTCTCCCATGGCCCAGGCACAGCAACAAGAAGAGACGTCAGCTTTGCTGCAGCCACAACAGGAGCAGCAGCAGCAGCCGGCTGTTGTGCCCCTGCCTGGACAGGCGGTGCCGGCGCCCGTCGCACCCCAGCCGCAGCAGCCGCAGCAGTCTGCTACGCTGCCGCAGCATCCACTGCCTCAACCTTCCGAGTCGCAGCAATCTCCGCAGCTGATCCAGCCGCCTGCAGTGCCTGAGATTCCAGCGCCCCAGCAGCTGCCCCAGCTGCCTGCGTTGCCGCAGCCAGCGGCACCGCAGCAGCAGCAGCTTGCGGTTCCATCGCCGCCGCAACCCTCCCAACCGCAATTACCGCAACCACAATTACCCCAACCGCAGCCGCAGCATACAGTGCCTGGAGAGCCTCAAGCGCCCCAACTTACTCAATCCCCTCAGCAGCAGCAGCCGCAGCAGTTGCCGACACCTCTGCCGCCGCCGCCGCAGCAGCAGCAGTTGCCGACACCTCTGCCGCCGCAGCAGCAGCAGTTGCCGACACCTCTGCCGCCGCCGCAGCAGCAGTTGCCGACACCTCTGCCGCCGCAGCCGCCGCAGCAGCAGCAGTTGTCGACACCTCTGCCGCCGCAGCCGCAGCAGCAGCAGCAGTTGTCGACACCTCTGCCGCCGCCGCAGCAGCAGCAGCAGTTGTCGACACCTCTGCCGCCGCAGCAGCAGCAGCAGCAGCAGTTGTCGACACCTCTGCCGCCGCCGCCGCAGCAGCAGCAGCAGTTGTCGACACCTCTGCCGCCGCAGCAGCAGCAGCAGCAGCAGTTGTCGACACCTCTGCCGCCGCAGCCACAGCAACAGACGGTGTCCCCAGCATCGCTGCAGCAAACCCCGGCCCAACTGCTCCCGCAGCAGCAGCAACCCTCTGCTGCCAAGTCGCCTGCGGCGGCAAAGGCGCTACTAGACAAGGTAAGTAAAGATAAGTCGGTGATAGCAATGTCGAAGCAGCGTCCGGACATGCAAGCCGTCCCGTGCCTGGGTGACCAAAAGGGAGTGTATCACGCTGTTCGGAGGCCTTGCCATTCGACACCCACACAATGACCGTACTGTGTTACGTGACTATACGGTCCCGTAGCACATATGACTACTACTGTTTTCCTGAGCTTGTACCTCCTCTTCGTTCTTCCTTTTCTCCCCTCGCAGGTTCTGGCCCAGATGACCCCTGACCAGAGGCGCCAAGTCATGAGCCTGCCCCTTCCGCAGCGGCAGCAGGTCCTGCTGGGCCTCCTGCACCATGCCCAACAGCAGCAGCAACAACAACAACAGCTGCAAGCGTCGCAACAGCAACAACAGCAGCTGCATGCACCGCAACCTCAGCAGCAGCAACAGTTGCAGGTGTCGCAACAACAACAACAACAACAACAACAGCAGTTACCGCAACCGCCGCCGCCGTCGCAGCAGCAGCAGGCACCGCAACCGCCGCCGCAGCAGCAGCAGCAGGCGCTACAACCGCAACCTCAGCAGCAGCTGCTGCTGCAGGTGCCGCAACCATCGCAGCACCAACAACCACGACTCGATACACCCGCCGCTGCACTGTTGCCTACCCGGGCGACCGTTACGGACATTGTCCCCGCACCAGCTCAAGCCTCTGAAAGCATGCAGAAGCCACCGGCAGCAATGCCGGATTCGGCAGCACCATCACCACCACCACCGGCAGCTGCAGCAGCTGGAGCTGCAGCAGCTGTAGCAGCCCCAGCCCTAGCGGCACCAACGCAACCACCGTCGCTCGCTTCCGTGCATGAGGTAGGCCCCGTGCTGGCTGCTACCACCACCGCACCTGCAGCTGCACTTGGGATGGAACAGGCACAAATGCAGCAAATGGCAGCAGACCCTCAAATCCCGCAAGCCATTTCTCCAACGACCCAGGCAGCAGCGCCGGCAGTTTCAGCGGACGCGACCCTCCAGTCAGTAGAAGCAGTAGATCCTCATACTGCCACCGCAGCCATTGCCATGACACCAGTCGCAGTTCAAAGCTTCGATGCAACCATGCAAGACGGAGATGCACAGGCCCTAGCCCAAGCGCAGGCCGAGGCGGCAGCTGCACAACTGCAGGCAGCAGCGGAGGCGCAAGCGGCTGCTGAGGCGCAGCTTGCAGCGGCAGCAGCGCAGTTGCAGGCGGCCATGCAAGCGCAAGCGCACTTGGACCCCGCGCTCCTTGCAAGCGACCCGCAAGCGGCCTATGCACAGTACTTCCTCATGCAGCAACAGCTGCTGCAACAGCAGCAGCTACTGCAACAGCAGCAGCAACAACAACAGCAGTTCATGCCTCAGCATGCAGGGTATGAACCGCAAGCGGTGGCCGCAACAACATCAGCAGCAATGCTCCCCGCCGCCGCCGTCCCGGCCCCAATGGGTTTCGCTGCTCTCGATGCTACCTCTGCGACGGAATCTGCAACAGCCGCAGCAGCCAACGCCAACGTAACCGCCGTCGGTGACCCGTGGGTCAGCGCTGCTGCTTGGCAGCCCGCTCTGCTCACCTCCGACCCCTCAGCTGCTGCAGCTGCTGCTGTCTGGGACCCTCTGGCTCTGCAGCAACCTGCCTTCCCCTTCCAATTGCCATTGGGGGCGTACGCGGGTGCGGTTGGTGTCGGCATGGGTGTGGGTCTGTCGCAACCGCCTGCAGTGGAACCAGGGTTGGCGGCGGCTGCGAGCGGCAGCTTGACGGCAGGGGCCGTTGGGGGAAGCGAAGACTTGGCAGCTGCAATGTTGGTCGCAGACCCGACTGCTGATATGTAGTGTGGCAGGATGGGCTGGTTACCGGTGTTCAGGTGTTGGGGTGGGGGATGTGGGGGGATGGGTTACCGGTGCTGGGTCTGGGTGGTGTTTGACATAGGGCCCGCGGATGTTGGGAGATACCGCCCGGATGCAGGGACATGCACGCATCAATGGGGAATTTGGAAATACATGAGTGAGTTAGGCCTTGCTCAGACACGTAGAAATGAGAACATGTGTTTATGTCTTGATGCATGCGCAGCCCTTGTAGGTCGAACGTCGGTGGCGAGGTCGCGGCGGGTTAGGATTGGGTTGGGCACTCCCGGGGCACGCATTTTATGATTTTTGTTGCACAGGCGCGGCAACGCGCGGCCGTTGCTGTCACTAGTGAGTTGGTTAGTAACACCCACGTTGTTCCTGTTGCGTTTCGAGTGCTACCGAGGTACGGTATGTGCGACCGAGCTAAGGGGATGGCTTGGGACGGTTGGGAGTCAACGGTAATACCGGAACCCGTTGGACCCGTTGTTGTCCGCCCTGCTTGGCGTGGTTGTAACCCCCGTTTGGTTCCTTTTGTTTGGACTGTGCACATGCCTGGGCACGTCAGATGTCAACTTATGATTCGATAATGGGGATTGGGCTGGGACACCGCCCAACCTGGGATTGCAAGACGTGCAAATGCAAAGTGGAAACATGGGGCTTCGAGGTAGTCCGGTAAGTCCGCGGAACCGTCGCCTAGTTAGGATTGCGCCGGAGTCATTTCTGTTGGAGACTAACCTGGAGAAGCAACACACCTGCAGCACGGCTGAGAATGGGCCGTCAAAGGACCTTGCGGTGGCACATGGGTTGTTGACGGACGGCTGCAAGGTGTTGCGGATGCCTCCATCGCGGCAGAGGTTACGCCTGCGTGGCGTGCCAGGCTTGGGAAGGATGAGCGCAGCGTGGACGTTTGCGGAGCATAGATGCAGCCACGAAGCGTCTCCCGAATTTCTCCTTTTCCAGTGCAACAGATTACTATAGCTTTTAAGATAATGCGCTCTTTTGATTAAAAAGTTGGTGCGCGTTTAGGCTTTGGAGGTTTGCCACTCTTGTCGCTTGAAGGCCTCCGGGTTCGCGCGTCAAACATGACATGGACATGACTAGGTTGGCTATTCATTTGATGAAAGGACATGCTGAAACCGTGTAGAGGAGAGGTCAAACTGGCCTTAACGTCTTTCAACGGTCCCGTGGGACTGCAGGTTATTTCCGTGCAAACGTGGACCGCCTTTAAGATGATATAAAAGGAACTAAAATGTTATGCAGATAATGCTTGGCAAGTACGCACAAAAGGCGCATATTCGAAATGGCCAGTCGCGCCTTCAGAGACAGCCTTACAGCTTCGCGAAGTCATTTGAAAGCCGGCAATTGTAACACAGTAGTAAAGCCTTCAATTTGGAAACGGATCACCGTAACATCGCTAGGCTAGCGGGCATCGGTGTCCGTCGCGTCCATCGTCAGATGCCGTGCGTCAGCATCAACAAAATGACTCTTTAAGTTCCTCCTGCGCCTACTTCGACGTCAGGGCATATTACAAGTATACTTTGTCTTTATACATTTTTAAGTTCCTGATCACTCAGTAACAATGCCCGCCGTCTCGTTTGCCGACATTGGGAAGCGCGCCAAGGTGTGTGCCTTGCGCTTGCAAACATGTTGCAAACAATAGGGATCTAAGCATGTGCCTCTGGTTGCGTAATTAGAGCTTGCCGAGGATTGCTGCTAACACCGAACCTTCCATCTCGCCAGGGCCTGCTGGGCGGCGATGCGGCCACCGGCACCTTCACGCTGAACCCCAAGCTGACGATTGCCAGCACCACCCTGGCTGGTGTCTCGCTGACCACCACTGCCACCCAGAAGGTGACCGTTTCCGGCATACTGTATTTAGTACCGCTCCGGAAGTGGCTCCCAAACTTTTCGCATCTTTTGGCCCTATTTGTACCTATTCACAACTTAGTTTATTACGCAATAACACAGAGGCTATAACCAGTCGATCATGACCCTGTGTGTGTCCTGCTTTTTCGCTCGCCACATGTTTAACGCCATCTCTACGCGCGCTCCGCACCCCTCCCAGCTGCATACTGCTTAACAATCCTCGATCATATACAGCCTCCGTTTCTTCCGCATACTTCATGCGCCTGGATCCTGGCTTCCTTGTTTTCGTCCTCCTTATGACCCTCACCATTTTCTGTTGCCATGGCTCAGGGTGACAAGCTGGACGCCACCGTCAAGGCCGCCTACACCTGCTGCAAGAAGTACTCCGGCGATGTCACCGCTGACCCCAGCGGCAAGCTGGCCGTCAACGTCTCCGTTGCTGAGGTTGCCCCCGGCCTGAAGGTGAGATAGCCAAACCGTCAGCGATCTGGGTCGTCAGTGATTGGCACCCCTGCGTCTCCGCACACCACATCACGCCTCTCCCTCCCTCCTTCCCGCCTACAGCTAACCAAACACGGCATCCTCCATCCACACATACCACCTCTCCCTCTCCCTCCATCAAACTCACTCTTTCCTTCTCCTCCTGCCTCCCTCCCCTTCACCCCCCAGCTCTCCGCCGCCATGGTCCTGCCCGACCCCGCCGCCTCCGCCAAGCTGACCGCCGAGTACGCGCACGAGAAGGTGTCGCTGAAGAGCACCGTGAGCCTCTCCGCCGCCCCCGTGGTGGATGTGGCCGCTGCCACCGCCGTGAGCGGGCTGCTGGTGGGCGCCGAGGCGGGCTACGACGCCAAGAAGGCCGACCTGACCAAGTACAACTTTGTGCTGGGTGAGTCTTGGACACTGTGCTCGTGGGTAATGATGGTCTTTTTTGAAAGCTGGCCGCGAATCGGAACGTACTGTGAGGCTACACAACGTATTGTGGGTGGTGTCGCTATATCTTGCCATGCTGTCTTGCCAGGGGCTGCCAGGGGTTGCATGGTTGTTACTCCATCTGAATCCGCCAAATGCCGTCGTCCTTACCGCTGCCCATGTGGCCACTCCGTATCCAATTTCCGCACCCCTCATCACCCTCGCAGGCTACCACGCCTCCGACTTCCAGGCCACCGCCACCGTGGCCGACCAGCTCTCCACCCTCAAGCTGGCCTACGTCCAGACCCTCTCGCCCGCTGCCACCGCCGGAGCTGAGCTGTCTCGCAAGCTCAAGGGCTCTGAGGCCGGTGCCACCACCTTTGCCCTGGCCTACGCTCGCAACCTGGCTGGCGGTGCCGTTGCCAAGCTCAAGCTGGAGAGCAGCGGCGCGCTGTCGGCGCTCTACCAGACGAAGCTGGCTGGCGGCGAGAAGGTGACCGGCTCGCTGCAGCTGCAGGCTACCGACCTGAGCAAGGGCCCCAAGTACGGCTTTGCTCTGGACCTGGCTTAAGCGGAAAAAGGATATGCGCGAAAATGGCGGTTATGTTGGTTGGGTCTCGCGATGAATTGTTGATCTTTTCCTTTTTGTGCTTTTGAGCTCTTGTACACGCATATGCGTGGTATGACGGAATGTGCTTTGAAGAGGTGTGATTCCGGATTGCTGTTAGCATGTGTGGCGAGTAGTATTTACGCGCGTTGTATATGCGATGTTTGTTCGTTAAGTGTATCTTAGAAAAAGAGCTGCTTTTTGTGCTTTTTCCTAAGGTTTGGATTTTGGTAAGCTTGGCAGCAGCGTGCGTGCGTGCGGTTTCCATGGGGCCGGCTGCTGTCATGGGAAGGTTTCACGGTCGGGTAAGATCACCTACCGTACCTGCCGTACAGGTGTCTCTCCCAGGCGGCATTCAATCCTTCCGTCATTACGTCTTGTGATGTCGGGTTCGGAACTGCCCAAGACAGAACCTTACGCATGCCCGTTGCTGTTAGTGGACCTCTCAGTTACCCGACCTAGGAAGGGAATAAACCGTCGAAGAGAGCTCGGATTGGCGTGAGTCTTGCGCGCTTGCTGTGCCCAAGCTGTTGCTTGTCGCCTGCGCGATTTTGACGGATTGGCGCGCTTGTGTCACATCAATCGTGATTAGGAATGGACCCGGAAACACCCACCACGTTTCAGACCATGATTTTTTCACGTGCGCACTCGTGATCAATCCGCTCTTGTAAGTTGTAACGCTCACAGCTGTACGGAAGAGAGTAGCAGGAGGCTACGAGAGGGGAAGCGACAGTTGAGGAAGGGTATTATGAGCATAAGATGGGTAGTTAAAGCTCTCACCTCAGGTACAGCTGCAAGCACCTAGGTGGGCACCACAGTCATCCAGTCGTCGGAGTATCTGTCCTCAGGGGGCTTGATCCCTGAGCCGACGAAGTTACGCTTGGCCCCCTAGCTAGCCGGGTACAAGGGGCAAGAGGGCTCGTGGGAACTGCAATTGGGCCAGATCAGTACTTTAAGACTGCACTTTCAAGGCACCTGGCTTTACCCTTACCTGAGTGTGTTGGGTGGGTAAGCCGGTAAGGGCTGTTGATTAACCAACTTGCTCAAAGTACGGCATCGTCCCCAAGTTGTCCAACGAATTACGATCTGTCTGTTTTACGGTAACATCCTTTGACTGTAAAGCTTTACCTGTTGGCTGTTTGACGGAAGGGAACACTGCGCTTAGGTTGGGACTAGACCTAATTACAGAATATTGACCGTTCTATCAATACCCTTTAACCTATGGGATCGGATAGTGAGAGCGAGGGGCATCCCCTCGACGATTACCTTTCTCGAGCAGCGAAGAGGAAACGAATGGAGGATGCTAAGCCGGCGGCCCAGCAAGCGGACGAGGCAAGCGTGGATGAAAGCGATGACGATGGCGCTAAGAATAAAAAAGGCCAGGCTGGCGAAGCGGACCGTGATGGTGCTTCCGATGGAGACGACTCCGATGACAGCCAGGGTTCAGAAAGCTCCGACGGCGAAGATGAGGATGACGAGGACAGCGACAGCTCTGACGAAGCTGAAGAGGGAGGACCAAGAATAAGAAGAGCAGCATCTGCGCCACCCGCGACAGAAGCCCAACCACCAGCAGCCGGGTCAGCAGCGGAGCCTGGGCTGTTGCAGCCGGCACCTCTGGCTGCTGGATCCAAACCTGTGGGTGTCGTACTCGTTGACGACACAGCTGAGATTGTCCGTGACTATGAGGTTGCCAAGCTATTGCGCAATCCACGCTACTTTGACGACTACGCTGCGGAGTTGCCCACCTTCCGCTGCTTCAACTGCGGCCAAGTGGGGCACGCGGCGCGTGACTGCACCAACCAAGCGCGCGTGAAGCCGTGCTACCTGTGCGCGCAGTTCGGACACGACGGCCGAGACTGCCCCAACCGTAAGGCCGCGCACTCCTGGCTTTCCAGGTCTTGGGTTACCGGTAGCGCATGCATGTGTACATGCACCTCGGGAACGGGCTGGAGAGAAGGACACGTAGGCGACCCGTGCTTTACGACGTGCCGTACCGTGGTTTCACGCTTCTGGAACGGTCGGCATGGCTTTACTGGAAGAGCCCTCCGATGCCTCATGGCTTATGCCCACACACCCCAAACACACCTCTGTTCCCCACCCGCCCCCTGCCTCCCCAGGCTTATGTTTCCGCTGCGGCCGGCCGGGTCACAAGCTGCGGGACTGTCGGCAGGACCGCAGCCAGGTGGATGGAGGGCGGGCGTGCGCGCGGTGCGGGCGACAGGACTGCGACGCGGCGGGAAAGGGCGACTACTTCAGGTGAGGGAGGCGAGTTGGAGGCTTGGGGCAGGTAGTGGGGGCTGCGTTGCAACGGCTGCGCTCGTGTGCGGTACGCGGCGGCATAGGCACGTCTTCAACCGTTCTTTTTACCAGTCACCTCTGGGAATGTACAACATAGGCGCGGAGATTGAGCCTCATGCCATGCCGTGCCTAAACCTCTTCCTTCCTTTTCTCCCTCACTCTTGGCCTGCAGGTACGAGGGCGGCTGCAGCAAGCAGTACACCTCCTCCGACCTGCGCCACGTGCGCTGCATGAGCTGCGGCGAGCCTGGACACCTCATGTGCAAGCCGGCACCCAAGGTACACCCCTGCTTGCAACCCCTGCTTGCAACCCCTGCGAGCATGCATGCACAGGATACCGTGGTGCGCCCTGGTGTGTCGACCTTGCCTTCCCAACTAAACGAGCAAATCGTCCGTCTCGTACCTCCCGCATCGGCCCCCCTCCCCAACCTGAGGTTTAATATTCCCTCCCCCCTCTCCTCCAGGAGCCCTGTGTTCGCAGCTGCTACAACTGCGGCCGCATGGGGCACTACGGCGAGTTCTGTCCCTCCGGCACCCGCCCGCACCTGATGGCGGAGCGGCGGGGGGACGAGGAGCGGGCGGCGGCTGAGCTGCTGGAGTACGAGATCGCGATGGAGAGGTGCTGCGGGGCTGTGGGGTGCTGGGGCGTGCTTGGGCGCTGGGTAGATACAAAGTGCCGACTGGCTGGGTGCTGTTGTTGATGCTTGGCTTTGACCTTGAATGCACAGTCTCTCTGTTGCTTGGCAACGCCTACCCCATTGTGTTGTTCTCCTGGGACTTTCCTTACTTACCGGTCCTTTTCTTACTTTCGATGCAAACCATCCCGATCCATGCAGGGAGTACGAGGAGAAGCGGCGACGGGAGCAGCAGCAGCAGCGGGGAGGCTACGGCGGTGGTGGCGGTTACGACCGTTACAACGGTGGCGGTCGCGACGGGGGTGGTGGCCGTTACGATCAAGACCAACGGCGAGGCGGCGGAGGTGGGGATGGGTATGGCTACGGAGGCGGCGACGGCTACGGAGGTGGCGGCGGGTATGGCGGAGGCGGTGGTGGAGGAGGAGGAGGATATGGAGGCGGGTATGGTGGAGGCGGCCGCAACGCGCAGATCGAGTGGGGTTACGAACCGCGGCAGGATGGCAGGTACGTGCTTTTTGGGGGCCATGCGGAGGCGTTACTAGGGCGGGCGGGCGGTGTAGGGTGTGGAGGTACGCATGTAGAATAGCTAATTACGATGTACCCGTACTTCATGCTGCGTTAGTCCTGTCTGTCTTGTCTTGTTGTTTCCTCCCTCTCGCGCTGTACCCCATTCCGTGGATATCCTTGCATGGCTGCTGCCTGCTGTTCTACAGGCGAGGTGGGCGGCTCTTCTCGCCCGACGCCTTTCCTCGCGGTGCTGGCGGCGGTGGCGGCGGGCAGCGCTACGACGACCGGCGCGCCAAGACACCCCGCTGGTAGTAGCAGCAGCAGGCGAGGAGGACAACTGTTTGGCCTCTCGGTGCGCCTGTCGGTAGGCGGTTGGCGGATGCGCCGCGCATGGAGTGAGTGCCCCAGAACACGTCATCTGCTAACCTTATTTGTCTCTCAACAGCGGGGGGGGGGATGCTGGTGAGGCAACCGACTGACGCGTCTGTGACCGAAAGTTGACCGTGTTGTGTCTTTTGTCTTAGTCACTTGACCATTGGCGGACTTTGACTACTTTAAGTCGTTTGTCTTGTTCATCAGACCAATGACGGACGAATTGACGGTTGGATTTGGGAAGCACGGGTGGGACCGAGCTTGCACGTGCCTGCATGCGCGTCAACTAACTGTTCGGGATCGACTGTTCTTGACGCTGTTGACTGGGGTGGATGAAATCCCAACTGTGTTCTGGGTCGGGGCAATCCCAAAGATTTGTGTACACGGTAAGGCCAGGGCGGCACTGTCTGTTGCCGTACATGGATGCTACGGCCGACGCCACTGCATCAAATCCACCAAGGAGGGACATGAGAGGAGGAACACAACATGTACGGTGAACCTCGTTTTGAAAATGCGGCAGTGACATGCCTTCAATGAGGGCTATGGCCAGGACATGCCTGGCAAGGCTGGAGGGCTGCTGTTGAGGCTGAGCCTCTCCCAGTCTGCGGCACCCTCTCACTCTCCCAGGCTCTTGAAACTGGGTTCATTTCCAGCGGCAGAACGCTTTGCTGTGGCTGTGGGGTTTATACTACACCACGTGGGAAGCCGTGTCGGCGGGTGTTGACGGGCCGCCCCGTGACACACCGGCCTCCTGCGGGGCCTCGGCCTTGCATTTTGCGAGCACACTAACACGGGAAGGATGGACGATACGGCGGAATGTTGCCGCACGTTCGCGGCCATGCGAGCACCCTGAGAAGCTTGCACAGGCACCGGCTTACCGGCAACGCATGGATGCGGAGTTGGGACCCCAAGGCACCGCACAGCACGTCCCTTGTCGGACAATGTAGACTGCACTGTAGGGTGCTGCCTGCACAGCGGGTTTCGGTAGCCGTGGTAAGGGCGGATCAGAGTCGGGCTGCAGGAGGATGAAGCACACACGCCTTGTCATGGAGCTGTCATGTTATACGTTTTTATGTGCGGGAATCAGCATGCGGGTTATGCGTGTGGATTGGCGCATAGCGTCTTCCTGCCTCATACATGGCTTTCCAGGGTTCCGATTCCTGGGGCCTCGGGGTGATCAGCCAGGAGGCAACATAGGCAACCTGCCATCCATGCCGACCTTTGCCTCAGACGCATAAACATTCTTCAGAACGGGATGCGGCAGTTAGCGGTTGGCTTGCATGCTTCGCACTAGAGTAACTCACGCGGTTGCAGACAACAGGGTAGCAGCAGGTGGTTACCCGCAGGAGGGGGTAGGGTGCGAGGTTGAGAGCACTGGGGCAGGGAGTAGCTTCGTTGCTCGAAGCTCCGGCGGTGCCCAAACCGCACCACGATGGCTCCCGCGCCTTCTACTCTTTGAAGTACTTTTAAGGTGTTTAGTCATTGTGTATGTCATGTCCATGCACGCTTCTAAATAGCTGCGGCTTGGGCGCATCGTCGTACGGGTGTTGCGTTAGTGCGCTGCAAGGATATGCTTCGCGACGTTATCTGCAATTTGAGGGTCCACTATTTATGTACCATATCCAGTTCTTTTTTTAACAATTGATATACTAGCAGCGCGCGTCGTGGTGCCGGCTGCGGCTTGCCGTCGCCCAGTTAGCCAAGAGCCGTAGAAGCTTTGCCACGAGCGAAATGGAGCCTGCTGTTAAAGGGAAATGTGGAAATATCGCGGACGTGCTTCGGCAGCTTGATACCTCAGCTGCCGATTGCCTCAGCGAGTATTTGCTAGAATACGGCTGCCTCAAGGAAGCGCGCCTAGCATTCCGTGTGTTACGAGATGTCATCGACAGCAGCGTCAAGGCGACAACGCTTCTCGTTGCCTCTGATAGCGTCGAGCTCTGGCAAACTGGGCGCGCGCCATCCCTGGCACGGTGGCCCCGCTGTTATGATGTAAGGGTAACAGTAGCGCCAAGCGGCGACGAAGACGTTTCAACGATGCTGCACCTGCCTTTCTCCTCGGAAGCCCCAAAAATCCGGCAGCGCATTACCCATCTGACCTGCTCGCTCTCGGAGAACGGAGACGGCTATTGTGCCGCGGCCGCTGCCGCTTCCTTGACGCTTTGGCTCCCAGCGCTAAGAGTACTGAATTTGGTCGGGCTTTCGCCCGCTTTGTCGGATACTCCTCTTCAGCAGCTGCACATGTTTCGCGCGCTCGGCACTCTGAGGAACCTCGAGGAGCTGTACGTGCCCTGCTGCAAGGGGCTGCAGCATGTGGGACTACTGGCGGACAGCTTGACACGACTGGTCGTTGACAAGTACTTGTACAGCTCCGGTGGGGTTCTGGACGCAGCTGCAGTGTCGGGTATCTCGCAGCTTCACAAACTGAAACACCTCAGCCTCGCAAAATGCCGCCCATACTTAGTTAGCGGCATCAGCACGCCCGCCGACAACGAAGGTGTGGACGACGCGGAGTGCCAACTCAACGGCACCTACCATCTCATCAGCTCCCTGCCGCCCTCATGCACTGAGCTTCAACTATGGTGGGCGGACTTTGATGAAGGCTGGCTGACTTGCGACGTAGACCTGCTGTTTGACGCCGACCGCACATGCACCACCCTGACTCTGGCGGCCGGTGAGGAAGGCTTCTTCGACGCCGCGGATGTCATCCCAGACGTGCTACGGCTGCTGGCCTTTCAATGCCTCAAGGTGCAGCTTCGGGAGCTCTTCATCTCAAGAATGATAGTGCCGCCCGGGGCAACGTCGCCCTCGGGTCCGGAGCTGCAGCCCCTACGGACGCTGATCGCTGCTTCCAGGCAGGCGTCTGTCCGATGGCTGCGAGCCGGGAACGCAGGGGAGCTGCTGGCGGCGATAGACGTGGTGGGCAAGCCGCGATTCGTGCAGCTGTTTAGGCAGCAGCTCGAGGTGGAGCACGGAAAGCCGTATGCGTTGGAATTGGAGCTGCGCAAGTGGGACCAGCCCGTCACAGAACTTGCGGAGGCTGATGCAACGGCGGCGGAGAGGCGTGTGGCGGAGGCAGGAGTGACGAAGGCGGTCAGGGAGGGTGCAGCGGAGGTGAGCGGGGCAGGGGCCGTGGACACCACGGTGGCAGTGGAGGCAATGGCGGCGGAAGCAGTGGAGGCAAAGGTGAAGGAGATGGATGCGGAGTGGGACGCGGAGACGGAGGCGTGGTTTGCTGCATTGTCCGCTGTCCTTAACGACCCAGGCGCAGCAAGGGCGAAGGTTGAGGAGGACTTGGAGGCGCTAGTTGCAGAGGAGAAAGCGGCGGTGGAGGCAGCCGCCTCAGCTTCCTGCGCACCGCTGGCAGCCGTGCCGCCCGCAGCTGAGGTGGCGGCATCCGCCCTGCGGCGGCTGCGTCAAGGACCACTTACCTCGCGCTTCCTGCTGCTCACGGGCGCTCCGGGCACAGATAGCTTTGTCCGCTTGCTTTCGAAAGTGGTAGACATGGCCGTCACTCACATCCGCCGCAAGGTGGGCAACGAGTGGGGAGCGGAGGGCAACAGACGCCTTGTGGCGTCTCAGCGGCTGCCCGGAGGCGCTGTGTTGCTGCAATGCGGCGAGGCGCGGGATGCTTCAGGCATGCTGGAGGTTGTGGTGGCGGCGTTGGCAAAGGCGTACGGTGTGGCCAAGCAAGCCAAGCAAGCCAAGCATGCCAAGCAAGCCAGTGGCGGGGGGAGCAGCGCCGGAGGGCAGCAACCGCCGCTGCAGGTGGTGCGGGTGAATTGTGCGCCAGTGAGCTATCGAGACCCGCCCAAGCGCGCAGCAAATCTCTTCATTGACGCGTTGGAGCTGGTGAGTGCAACTGCTGGCGTGGCATGCTGTTGTTGCTGCTGCTGCTGCATCTGGTACCGGCTAGGGTCTGACGCACTGTCATGCCATTGCTGTTCCAAGCCTCTTGGCTTCGCGGATCGCCGCGCTCACGTTGCCTGCATGCCTGCTTGACTGCGCCGCATCCCTCTCACCCTACCCGCCACACAGGAGCTGCAGGCGTTGTGGGATAACGAGTCCGCCCGGCGACGTGTGGGCGAGCGAGAGTGGCTGCGACAGCTGGTCGGGCTGTGGGAGCAGCTGGGGGAGCTGCCGGAGGAGGAGAGGCTGTATACGGGCGATGATTCTGATTCTGACGATGAAGAAATTCAGGAAGAGGATGAATAGTGAAGGAGCTGGTTTGCAGTGGTCTGGATGGGGATGGGGCAGTGGGGGAACATGGACGGGCTGCGCGGGTTGCGCTGTAAGATGAAACGGAGGAAAGGGAGACAGAAGGAGCATGCGGGGGCATGCGGGGGCAAGAGGTGGTTCCTGCCTGCGGTTGCTTCGCCGCTGCTTTAAAGATAAACGCGTGCGCTGCAATCCTGAAAAGGAGGTGCGTGCAACGGACAGATGCGTGCCGTAGCACATGGGGTTGCAACGTGTTCGGTGGCAAGCGTCGTACCGGTAGATGGTTTTCTTGTTGGCATGTTTATATGGCGTCGTTGTTGGTTGGTGTCCGTGTCCGCTCATGAAGCTTTGGGAGACATTCTGGTAGCATATGCGCAAGCATGGCATTGGTGCATGTGCGTACGGCTGAGCTGTCCTGTATTGTGTCCCGTATGCACAAGCAAGCAAGCAAACATAGTTTTGCGAAAGGTGCTGTGCAAGGGGGGGGGCGGTGGGACAATGTTGTTTACAATTTGCCCCGGCTATTACTTTCAGGATGCCCAGACTACTCCGTACTCCAAGCTACACCCGCGGCTATGCAGTCGCCACACACAGCTGGGTAATGGGCGGTTTTGAACACAGCAGTGTATGTGCGCGAGCCAATGCAAATTACTAGCTGTAATCCAACGAGTTCAGACCTCGGTGTAGACAAAAGCTTCTCTTCGCCATCACAGGCACCTTGCACAGCCCACGGCTCAGGCCGGGTCGCCAACACGCCCTCCACCACGACCCGTGGGTCAGCCAGGGGCTCCTCCAGGTCCAGCAGACCCCAAGGAGGCGGCAACGCCACTCCAGTCGTTGCTGCCGCTTCTTTTCCGACATCACCCGTTACCTTTCCACCATTGCCACCATCCGTGTTAAACTCGCTTTCTCTCAGCCTCCTCACCTCGCCATTCGTCAGCCACCCCACCCTCTTCCTTACCCTCATCGCTGCCATTTGCCGACTCATACGGATGTGCACCACCAACCCGGAGCCTGTGGTTGGCCTGCGGGTATGAAGTCAGGCATAGGAGGCAAAATTCAGGCCTCGTTGGCTTCAGGTTGGTGGCGCCATCCTCAAGCCAATGACGCCTGGATTTTGCCTCCTATGCCTGATATGCCTATACCCGCAGGCCAACCAAGCTAAACCTGTTGCTGCCCATGGCTCGGCAGCAAATATGCACTCTGTCAGCAGAAAACCCTGATGCTACCCCGCCCTACCACAAAGCCTACTACACCACGTTAATCCGCCGCTAGCAACTCACCATACCCCCCTGTCCCCGCCCCAGCTACCATAGGGGAATAGCATCAGCCTATAGCCACGCTCCGTACCCCAGAATCGTTTGGCCCTCAACGACACCGGCCTCGCTGGTGCCCTACACGTCACTCATGAGTCATGACCTGCACACGGCTTCCTTGCACACAGCTTCTCCGTCTGCACCCGGCTTTGCTGTCGAGACGAACAGCGGCTCCTTCAGCTGCACCGCGAGGTCCACCAGGCACGCCAGTACCTCCTCCGCGACCCACTGCATGTGAGGAGACACGTGCTGCTTGATGGCCTCCAGGAGCTGCTCCTCGGTCACAGCCGGCTCCGGCATGGGGTGCGCCACCGGCCAGGCCAGGTAGCACAGGGTATTCACCCCTGTCTTCAGCAGAGGGTACTTCGTGACGGTCTCCTTGTATACTTTGCTGCCTTTCTTCTCGGCCAATACTTTCACAAGTGCCATGCACAAATCGCGAGCCTCGTGCGCTGACATTTTGGGTTCCACCAGGCGGCCGAGTTTGTTCACCGTCTGGGTGGCCATCTGCCGCATCAGCAGCTTGCCGGCGCCACCTTTCAGCTCCGACATCTGCTCCTTCAGCTCCGACATCTGCAACTTTAGCTCTGAAGTGTCCTGCTTCAGCTCTGAAGTGTCCCGCTTCAGCTCTGCAACCTCCTGCCTCAGCTCTGCAACCTCCTGCTTACGCTCTGACATCTGTTCCTTCAGCTCTGAAATGTCCTGCTTGAGTTCCGCAATCTCCCGCTGCTGGTCACAGGCTTGGAGGGCTAGCCCAGCAATTGCTTCTACTAAGTTCGTCAAAGCGCCCACTACAGCGTCTTGGGAGGGTGTCTGTCCGGTGCTACCACACTTGCCCATGGCGTCAATTCCTGTGACAGCGCCGGAAGTATGAGAGAGAAGCTGCCAGCAGTTTGTGTTGGTGCCGGTGTCGGCACTGGCTGCTGAGTCGGGTGTGCCGGATGAAATCAAGATCTCATGGCACCGGCGAAGAGCGCCTTGGGCACGCTGTGACTCGCCCTCCAACCTGTATAGTAAGGGCAAAAGAAGCAACAGGGGCCGGGGTAGGTCCCGAGGGTCAGGAATTAACGATAACGGCTTTATGAGGGGGTTAAGGATTTTGTATCCCTTATATATGTTCCCCCTATGCCATGAATATTCCGTGAGGAGGCCTCGGACTCATCCACCCATGCCGTACGGCGAGCAATTTGTGCGAATGCATCCTTCGGCTCCAAACACCCGGGGAAACGCCGTTAGGTTCCTCTGCGTAGGATTATTAACGTGTAATCAAATACCGCCACTCCCCCTGGGACGACGCACCACTTTCAGCCTTCAGGCGCTGGGAGGAGGAGGCGCCGGCAGTGGCGACGGAGCAGCAGCAGCGGGTGGGGGTAACGTGGCGCTCGGGGCCTGTGGAGTATGGATTTCATTAGTACCTCTCATTACTACACTATACAGACTGAATACTGGCTTATCGCCTACTCGCCTTGTGCGCCAAAGCCAATGCGGTATAGGATTAAGTTTCAGGCGTCTAAGCCGTTCTAGAAAATATTCTTCAGTACAGTATGCTCCTACAACACCGTATTAAGGTTTTCGGCATCCATGTGTATTGTGAGAATTGACTCGCGGCTTTATATAGGTACGGCATTTGGTCATCTCGGCGAAACGTCCATCAATCTTGACGGGACTTTCACCATCATATCAGCTTTTGGTAAGTAATGCGTAACAGTAGGAAAGCGGCGTTAACCGGTTCTCACACTTCTGTGCCGCAGCACACTGTGTCGCCAGGGCGCGGTGGGCTGTCGCTGGGTTACCGATTGGCAGTTGTGAAGCACTCCTCAGCATGCAGTCGCCGCGGAGTACCTAGAGGTCAGGCATGCGTTTGGAAATGGAAGAGGCTGTGTATGCAGTGGGTTCATTATCATGTTTCCGTATTACAAACCCATTGGATTCCCTTAACGGGCTCTAAACAACTCAAGCTGCCCTGCCCTGCTGGTTCTTGTGTAACCCCTAGCAAGACGCGCAACCATCAATCGCACAGGCGACAGAAGGAGGCGCGTTGCCCGCCCTTCTCCACGCCCTCCACGCATTTGCTTGCATTGCGACAGGGCAAGGTCGTCCTCAACGTTCATGAAAGCCGACGTGTCACCCTATTTCAAAGGTCCCCGGGCGGGACACGTACGACTACTGGAATGCATGTATGTATCCCAGCTGACGCCAGCAATTGGGAGCCTTCTGACCTGCTTGTGATTTGTAGGAAAGCGGCGCGAACCGGCTAGCGAGGACCGGCAGTGCAAAACGACGTGGTTTGCGTACATGCGGCCTAGTAACCTAATGCTGTAGCCCGACAAGTTCGGGTTTCAGAACGGAAAACACGCAATCAGGTCCTTGCACCGGTATTGGCCAGCGGGTGATGGACGTAATCCAACCTAGCCTCGCAGAACACACAGAACACAGAACACACAGAAACCGGAGGTACCATGGTTTTGCAAGCCATGTAGAGTGTAGACCTGCGATAGTACCGGTACTACATCTCTAGGAAGCAAATGCTTAAACAGCGAACCCCGCCAAACGCGTACACGAAACCCCTAAACTACCCCAACTACATTAACTCCAGACCCGGAAGCTACCCCGATTCCGAGTCCGATGACGCCTCCTCGCTGTCCCAAGCGTCTCCGCCTTGCACAGCCCGCGGCTCAGGCTTGGTCGCCAACACGCCCTCCGCCACGACCCGTGGGTCAGCCAGGAGCTCCTCAGGGCTCAGAAGACCTAACGGAGGCGGCAACACCGACTTCGCCGCTCCTGTTGCTGCTGATGCTGCTGCTCCTTTTCCGCCATCACTCTTAATCATTATCGCGCCGTTGACACCATCCGTGTGAACCCCGCTTACCCGTCTTCCCTCCTCCGCCTCCTCGCCTCGGCCTTCATTAGCCACCTCATCCTCGTCATCCTCATCCTCATCACTACCGTACCCGCCTAACAAGCCGGCCAGCCCGCTTGTCCCTGCCTCCTTCCCGCCGCTGCTGCTTCCACCAGTCCCCAACCCCGCCGGCGCTGAACCCGACCTGCCAACCATTACCACCACCACCTGCTGCTGCAGCTGCTGCTCAGCCCCTGCTCCCGACCGATCGGATGCCGCACCGGATATGGAGGCGGCTGCAGCGGCGCTACTAGGACCCGCCGCAGCGACAGCAGCGGCAGCAGCAGCGCCCGCTAGTGGCTCCGACCGAGCGACGTGCAGGCTGCCAGCAGCTGGTGCAGCGGAAGCGGAGGCGGAGGCGGGGACTGCCGCGCCGCTGTCAGTCTTTAAGCGCTTGCTGTCTCGGAAGGAGGAGGCGCCGGCAGTGGCGACGGAGCCTTCCCGGGCAGCAGCGGGTGGGGGCGACGTGGCGCCCGGCGCCTGTGGGGTGTGAGTTGGAAGCATGGGAGCTGAGGGATACACGGACGTAGCTAGCCGGGGTGTTGTGGGTGTTGTGGATGCTGAGTCGTGAACTACCGGTAACGCGTGATAAGCCGTAGGCTGAAGGAAGGGCTTTGCGTGCGTTGTCCGCTTCGTAGAACTCGCAAATGACATGGCAGGCAGGCGCTGCCCACGTGAGATGTTACCCACCAGGTTGATATACACCACCCCCACCTGCGGCGTGTGCTTGGAGCCCGCGGGTTTGACTTTGACCGGCAACAGCAGCGGTGCGGGCCTGTGGGCGGGGGCAGCAGGAGGAACAGGAGGAAGATGACATGAACCGGATACCGTCCATCCACAGGGGCGCCCTATGCTTATGCCAAACAGCCCCGGAGCAGCAGCAGCAGCAGCTGCAGCAGTAGCACCAGTAGCACCAGTAGCACCATGCAACTGCAACCGCAACATACAGCCGAGCAGGCAGCAGGAGGAGAAGGTCTTTCGCCGTGAGGGCAGGCGTGGTGCGAACACGCACCTAGCTGACGTCAGCAGCCCTCCCTTGACAGCAGCAGCAGCAACGCCGCCACCACCGCCGCCGCTAGCTCCGTTGCCGCCGCCTGCCTGACCTCCGCTGATGGCGTTGCCGCTGCTGCCCCTCCGCGGCAGCAGCGCAGCGGCCACGAGCGCTGCGCTGGCCTCCGCGGCTGCCTCAGCCTCCACTCGCGCGCGCTCTCGTTCCCAGAGCTCCTTCTCCTTGTCCTCGATCTCCACCTCCTGTTGGGGTGGCGTTGCGGGGATGTACAGGGAACGTGGGGAAAGCCGGGGAATGGTTCGGGAATTTGGTGGGGTTGGTGCATGCTGACTCAGCGGGGAAGGTGTGAGGGGCATTCTTGGAGCCGTTGGCACATGGACAAAAGGCATTGAATGCCATAGCTGCTAAAAGTAACTGGTATGACCTAGAAACGCTGGTACTGCCCCGCGTAACTCTGGCATCCGCAGGCCAGTCATATGCATGCACAATGCATGCTTTGGTAGGGGTAGCGGTACGGCCGTAGTGGCGGCTGCCGTACCTTGTACCTCAGGGAGTTGTTGAAGTCACGGAGGTACTGCAGATCTGCCTTGTCGAAAGCTGTACCGTGAAGCACACAGCGGGGGGGGGGGTAGGCCAGACAGGGGCGGGGGCATGGGGGCCAGATGCCGGTGATGAGCAAAATGGAAGCCAGGTTGGTCTGTGAAATATCATGATTGCATGTCACGCTATGAAGGAAGAACGGGGCAGTACTTCCTACAGATATGAAAGCTCGATGCCAGTCACCCCAAACCTTCTCGACATGTGCTTGCTAAATGCGGGCGGGGCTTCAAGGGAATCCCTCCTGTTGGTTAGGACCACCACATGCATTTCTACTCACCTCCTCGCCCGAATAACCAGCCGCTGCGCTGCGTTTGCTCTTCGACTGCAAAGCATACCAGGGTTATCCGCTGAGCGAATGCGCTTCCATGGACGAGACGACGAGTGCGAGAAGCCAATACTTACTGTCGGCGACCATTTTCTGGTAGTTGTCGTCAAACTCAGCTCCCTCCGATGCTATCGTATGGGTTTGGAAGCGGCCCTGCCGAAAGCGCGCAGCATGCATTTCGCGGGCTTGCGTCCAGCAAGCATCCCCGATCGCTGCGACCCAAGAATCCTACCGCCATCTTGAAACGGCAGCCCTCTCGCTAAATGACGTCTTTTGCAGATGGGGAATGGAAGTTTCCTCTATGTCGTCTTTGTAAGACGCAACAAAAAGTCCTTGCTATACACTTACGGAAACAAGTGATGAACAAGTTCGCATCGACAATAAACAGTGGTCATGCGGAGAATAATGTATGGCTGCGTGCGCTCTTAGTTCACTGGCAGGATGGCTAGTGTACCTAGGTTGCGGCCGCTAGCTTTGCGAGCAGACTTATGACCCTAGCCGTCACCTAAATGGCGGTAACCCTGCTTGGTTCAGTGCGTCTGTGTGCGATCTTATGATTCTAAAGTACTCCCTAGGGTTATTGCCGTACAGAGTGTTGCCGTTACACCGCCCTTCCCTCTTTCGTTGTCTGCGAACTGGAACCTGACGCTCGACCAAGCACATGCGCAAACATCAACTCCCGCAATGTCTCAGGGATTACCATGCTGCACCAAGCACGCTCAGTTGCTTCGGCGCATGCGGAAATGGGCCTGGTCAGGGGCCCCATGCAAGCCCTTGGGAGGAGCCGTCATGCCAAGTTCGGTAGTTCAGAGGCGAGCGCTGGTATACTGGTTACAAGCCCAACGCGGGCCGCTTGTCAGGTACCATGTACCCATGTCGCAAGCCAAGTAACCAACACCCCCTAAACATCCTCTCTTTCTCTCTGACACTCACGCAAGGGCTTCGACTGTGAAGCCAACGCCCTCCTTTTCCTCTCCTCATACCGCCCTCCATTCACCACTCAGCTCTCCTCTCATCAGCTCACCCATTGAAGCAGCCATTTCGTACAAAAACGTCACATCCCTCTCATCATCATCAACATATCATGCCCGAGCCGTTCGCAAAATGGCCCCGCTACATGCCAGCTCCTCCCCTCATCCCCTGATTCCGCACGTCAAGCCCTCTCCCTCTCCCACTTCGAACATAGACGTGTTCCAACAACCCCGACGAGCCATTCCTACCACCTATCACAACCCTTAATCGATACCCGCCAGCCGGATGGCTCCGCTGTTGAGTACGACATTGAAGGTGCCCAGCATGAGAAGGATGATGAGCGAAAAGGAGCAGAACAGCACCTGTGGGGTCAAGAGGGCGGGAGAAGAAGAAGACCCGAGGTGTTGAATGATGTGTGGGGGCGGGGCGGGGGGGTAGCAGGAGGGCAGGCAGCAGGTTAGGAAGGTGGGGAGAGGTTTGGGAAGGTGGAACGAAGGCCGGGGAAGATGGAGAGGTACAAGGCGGAGAGGTACAAGGAAAGAACAAGCAGGAAAGAGTGCGCCCACCCCGTCACGACATGCATGCCGATGCGGCACCTCAAGATGCAAACCCAGGCGGCGGCCACCACACACCCACTGCATGGCCAGCAGGTGTGCCGGTTGCGATGTCATCGAGGCTGCCCTCCTTACCCTCCCCCTTTCAGCTTTCACCCCGCGTGCACTCATGGGCTAGTTCCCCAGAGCAGCCGACAAGGCAAGGCCCGCTACCCCACCCACTTCTTCCAAACCTCTTTCCTTCACCCCACCCCACCCCACCCACATTGGATTTTCTTTTTACCCCCCCCCCCTCCACCCAATCTCACCACTTGTGTTGTGGTGATGCTCTTAAGCAGGTTCACCGGTGCTTCCTTCACGAACGGGTCGGGCGACATGTCCGGACGCAGGCCCGCCGGCTCCATGCTTGACCGGAAGGGGTTGGCTCCGGAACCACCGCTGCTGCCACTGGCGCTGCTGCTGCTGGAGCCGAAGGGCGAGGCCGCTGGCGCTGACCCAAATGGGTTGCTGGCGCCGGCGGAGCTGCCAAAGGGGTTGGGCGCGTCTGCGGTACGGAGGGGGAAGGGATGTGGCGTTGGGTGGCGCGAATAGAGAAAGGCACTGCGAGCATGCAATTGGTAATATCTATTGACCTTATCCCACAGAGCCCTAGCCCCCTCCCGAGGAATACACGCTTACTTTCTGCGATGACTGGGCTCTGGGTTGGTGATGCTGCGTCTCCAAGCTCAACTTTGTATTTCCCCAAAATGTCCCCTTGCGCGTTGCCCAGGAATTCCTTGCGGTCCCGGTTTACAAGACGCCGGACCTGCGCTGCGTTTTCTTCCTCCGAGCCCCATACTTTCCCTGCGTAAGGGTGTATGAAAGCTTGAAGCATGCGGACAGGCTATGCGTTTGGGTTGGAGGTTTCCCACTGCGGCTGGACCTTGGTCCGCTGTCGCGGATCTGCCTTGCAGGTCACGATAAACGAGCGAACAAAGCGCAAACATACCCGAGCTCTGGTTTACGCGTACAGATGGCCGAGTTATGCGACCAGCCAGTGATGGCGAGGACCTCCCCGAGAAAGCAGCGTGCCTAGCGGCTCGCATATTTGGTGCCTTTAGACTCATCCAAACGACAGTGTAGTATTTCGAGTTCGCAAGGGGCAGGGCGTCAATAAAGGCGAGCAAGTGTGATTTTTAATAGAAGGCGACTGAGGGCAGGGTTTACACAATTGAAGAAGTAATTGCGAAAGGAGAAACACTACTTTTTCTCCACGACACTATTCGGCTTGGTTGAAATCCTAACTGCTGCATTGCAAGTACTGCATTGGCGTGTTGCATTGCTCGCATCTGGGGCAATTTGACACAGATGCCTTCCGCGCTTTCCTTTCTTACAATTTCCTTTTAAATCGAGCGCAACTTGAGCTCACAACCAGCGCCTGCCATAGGCCTGGCAGGCATAGTACACCCTTGCCACTTCTGAAGCGCTTACTAGCAGCTGCTGATAAATGGCGCCTAAGAAGGCAGCAAACGTTGATAAGGCGAAAGTAGCTGCCAAGCAGAAGGTAGACTCTATGCTTCCATCGTTCCAAACACGTCGGCGCCGCAGGACCTTCTCTTCTTACGCGCTTTCTTGCCGTTTTCATACTGTTAGGCAGCTGAGGACAAGACTTTTGGACTTAAGAACAAAAATAAGTCGTCTAAAGTGCAGAAGTAAGAGATCCTACAGATGGTCGCGTTGGCACACAGGCGTTCGGCTGTAAGCGCCCCTATCTGTGTTGCAGATACGTCCAGAACGTGAAGCAGAATGCCACTCAGGGCCTGGGGAAGCCGGTGGAGGCGAAGAAGGTAAGCTTGTTACCGTATATGGGATGGTTGGCGGATTCTGGCTTCAGGCAAGCGATCATGACGCTCTGGTCTCGCAGAAAGACAAGAAGCCCGAGGACGAGGTCGGCAACATCTTTGCGGTGGCCATCAAGCAGCCTAAAGTCCCCGAGGGTAAGGGGTTAGTGGAGTCGGTGTGGTGGAGGGAGCAAGGCAGCACAAAACACAGTAGCACCCACACGCAAGCATTGACGCCGCTTCAACCCGTGCATGCTGCTCACATGCCGTTCCTCCCTGCACCACCCCTTCGAGCACTGCCTTCCTAAACGCACTCTGGCGGGCGAGCACCACACCAGCAGCAGCAGCACCAGGCCTCCAACCCGCACTTACAGCTGGGCAACCCGCGGCACTGGCTGCCAGCGGCAATAGCGGCCATCGTCTGCACTGTAGTGGAGACCCACCGACCCAGCCACTAAATCGCCCACGAATGGGCGCTGCTGCTGCTGAAGGAGCGAGCGACGCCGCTGCTGCGGGTTACCGCACAGCCACTGCAGCTAGCAGGCACCCGGTGTGGCCCATCATCACCCATCAGGGTCCAGTGTGGCAGGGTGCTCGCGCGCTTCTCCGCAGCTCTCAGGCTGCCGTGCTGCCGCACCGCGGCTCTCTCTCTCTCTCTCTCTCTCTCTGTGTGGACCCTCCGGGAACTCTCCGGTTTGCAGTCTGTCCCGCGGGCTTAGCCAGCTACGGTATGCGGAACCAGCTGCAGCCGCAGGGCTGTGAGCTGGGACCTCTTTGTTAGAACCCGGGGACCTGAGGAGCGGGCAGGAGGTGGTGGCGGAGCAAGATGGTGTTGCACAGCCTGTCGCCCTATCGTCCTGCGTCAGCCCCACAGTCGTCAGCAGTCTCCCTCCTCATGATCGCGGCTTTCCCCCAGTGCCTGTTCAGTCTTGGTGGTAGCCGTACGACAGCTCGTACGGCGGCTCATGGAGGAGCGGACATGGCCCGGCCCAGCAGCTTGTCAGGGGAGCACATCCGTGTAGTGAGGAGCAGCTGTGGGGCAGCGGTTGGGCTGTCCTTGCTCCCCTGCCCCTGCGGGATACCCGACCCGCTTGTTCAGTTCAGCCTGGCCTGCTGCATGTCGGCATGAGGCGCTAGCGTGGGAGGAGGGGTGGCGCTGGAGCTGGGCTAGCGCCCTCGCAGCAGCACCCCCCTCCGGCGGCAGCAGGGAGAGGCGCAGGGAGCAGGGCGCCCAAGACGCTTGCGATGAGCGCAGGCGGGCAGTGGCGGGGGCTGTAGCGGGATGCGCCGCGGCCGCATGAAGGGACTGCGGGGATGGCGGTACCGGCGGGGGTGTGGCAGCCGGGTGTTGTGCTGGGGTGCAGCTGAGGGCGAGGGGCAGGGGCTGGTGCGAGCGCTGCTGCGGGTGGGGTGGCTCGGCGGCACACAGCTTGTTCCGGTTGTTGGGAGTCTTGGCGATGCCTGTGGCGCAGCAGCAGCGGCAGCAGCAGTGGTTGGGCACCTGGAGGTCGCAGCAGCGCCTGCAGCAATTCCAACGGCAGAAGCGCACACTGAGGTCGGCGGCAGCAGCAGCCGTGGCAGCAGCATGTGCCATTAGGACGGCGGGGGGCTCAGCCGCAGTGCAGCATATACCCCTCTTCAGTTTTCACCCCGTACCTTACCACGCAAAACGCACCTTATACACCAGCACCCACATACTCTTTACATCGGCACTCACCGGTACTCTCTACACCCTCAACTCCGAACCCTCACCTGCCACACCTCTATATACCCCCCCCTTCCAGGCGTTGACCCCAAGTCCATCGTGTGCGAGTTCTTCCGCGCCAACCAGTGCACCAAGGGCTCCAAGTGCAAGTTCAGCCACGACCTGTCGGTGGAGCGCAAGGGACCCAAGATCTCGCTGTACACCGACCAGCGGGACATTGGCAAGGGGGAGGGAGAGGAGGGCAAGGAGGTGGGCGGGGGGGGGGGGGCGGGGGTTGGGAGCTGGGTTGGGTCCATGTTTCTGTCATGCCTGGCCAGCGCCGCTTCGTTTTCCAGTCATCCCAGTCCCCGATCCCCCATTCCCCGCAGCCTTCTCACGCCCTTTAGGGCTATAGCCCTGACCGTTTTCTCTGTTCTTCGCTGCCCCGGCCCCCGCCCCGTCCTGGCCTCACCCCGTCTCGCACCCCACCCCCCCAACCTCCCCCCGCACCCCCAGGGCATGGAGGACTGGGACCAGGCCACTCTGGAGGCGGCTGTGAAGCAGAAGCACGCCAACGAGAACAAGCCCACGGAGATCATCTGCAAGTTCTTCCTGGAGGCGGTGGAGAGGAAGCTGTACGGATGGTGAGGAGGGGGGGATTAATAAGGAAAACTGACGAACTGAAAGACGGGGCTTCTCCATGGGTTGCTGGTTGAACCCGGCCCGGGGGGGTGCGGGTGGGGATGGAGGTGTGGTGAGAAGGCTGAGGTAGTGCTGTACAGCGGCTGGTGAGGCTGTGTCGTGCTGTGTGTCTCTTCTACACACAGTTGCAATTTCTACACCAACACCCTCGCTCCGGACCTTACCTCCCTCTCACCTCGCCTCGTCCGCCTCCCCCCCTCCCCGCGCTGATTGCATGAATTCGGGATTGGGACTCCGTTGATGCATTTATCTATATTCCCCCCCTCCCCCAGGTTCTGGAAGTGCCCCAACGGCGAGGACTGCAAGTACCGGCATGCGCTGCCGCCCAACTACATCCTGAAGAGCCAGATGAAGGAGCTGCTGGAGGAGGTGGGGGAGGGGGAGGGGGCAGGGCGGGGGAGAGGGGCAGAAGGGGAGGAGGGGCGGAGGGAGGAGGCGGACGCATCGTCAGTTTGTGTATGCTGCCGCCGCCGCATCTTCACGAAAAGGCATCGTCTTCAGGCAATGTGGTATGCAAGGGTGACGAACACATAGAGAGCGTGCCTCAGGTCGTACCGTGTTGCCGTACTGCCCCCTGCACCTCACCGCCCACCTACCCCTGCCGTACACCTCACCTCCCAACCCCCCTCCCTGCCGTACACCTCACCTCCCGCAGGAGGCCCGCAACGCCAAGGACATTGCGGAGTCGATTGAGGAGGAGCGCGCCAAGGTGGAGGCGCGCACACCCGTGACGGAGGAGGTGAGGGGGCAGGGGGGTGGGGGGGGGTGGGAATCAGGGGTGTACCCATTGCCGACGTCGTGGCATGGTCCTTGGGTCGGGAGCGGGACGCGTGCTCTTATCTCAACCACTACCCTCTTGACCCCATGGCCTGCTCCTTCTCCTCTTTACCTCCCTCCCTCCCTCCATCTCGGCCCCTCCCTCCCTCTCGGCCTCGTCCGTTTCTCCTTACTTTAATCCCTCTCGGCCCCTAACCCCCCCCCCGCCCCTCCCACCACTCCCTCAGACCTTCCGCACCTGGCACCGAGCCAAGCGGGAGGCGCGGGCGGCCAAGCGCGCAGCTGACGAGGAGGAACGCCGGCGCAAGGGCATCATGAACGGCCGCGAGATCTTCATGCAGGTGCGTGCGGCCGGCCGGCCACCCGCGCGTGTGTGTTGTCACCTACACACAATCCTACAACTCCTCTTCCCGCTCCCTTCCCGCTCATCCCTTCCCACGCACCCGTAGGAGGGCTTCGTGGCTGCGGACGATGCCAGTGCGGCGGACGACTACGCGCGCGAAGAGGACGAGGAGAGCGCCATTCGCGCCATGATAGAGCGCGCGAAGGCGCAGGCGGAGGCGGCACGGATGGCGGCGGAGGAGCTGGCTCCAACACCGGGTGAGGGGGGAGGGGGAGGCGAGGGAGGTGGAGGGTGTTGGGGTGCCAAGACATGCTCATCTTGGTTCTTCAACCGCTGCTGAGCTGTGCTTGCTGCTCTGTTGCCACCCGTGCTTTCATACACCTGTGTTACAACATTTGGTCGCAGAGGAAGACGAGACGGCGGCGGAGGGGATGGGTGCGGGGCCATCCAGCAGCAGCGGCGGCGGTGCGGGTCCCTCAGGTTCGCAAGGGGCCGCGGGCCCCTCCACACACCTCAACCTGGACGATGGTAGGTGGCGGGGTGCATGGGTGGGTGGGTGGGTGTGCAAAGAGGAAACAAATAACTGGCCATGTGATAAGGCGTCGTCAAGGGTGGCTGGGTGGGTGGACGGGCGACGGAGCCGCTGTCGGTGCAGAAGACACGATTGAAGGGAACCAAGTCTAGCTCAGAATAGGGCTTCCAGCGCCAGCCAGCGCCTCGCATCTTGCGTTGACCCCATAGGCCACGTGTTGGCCCTTGAACCCTCCTCTCCTTCTTGTCTTCATGCGTCCCATGTCATGTCCCCGCAGGCGAGGCGCAGGCGCTATTCGCCGGGGACGACGACGAGGACGAGGAGGAGGAGATGATGGAGGACGACGAGGAGGACGACGACGACGAGGGGGATCTAGACGGGTTGGAAGACCATGTGAAGGGGATGCACACGGGGGCAGCAGCAGGGGGCAGCGCGGGGCAAGACGGCTGAGGTTGTGGTGGGGTGGTGGGGTGCGGCTAAGAGAGGCTAGGGTTCAAGGCCAGGCTAGGGTGTACGGTCTGGGGGCCTTGAAGCCAGGGGAGAACAGGGGGTGCCGGGGTGGGAGCAGGGTAGTAGGCTGGGGTGGGATGCGGCGCACGGGGCAGCATGGGGCTCATGTGTGGCAGTAAGCAGGCTGCAGCGATTTAGTGGCGGAAGGTAGCAATGGCGGCGCCGCCAACATGTGTCCGTCCGGAAGAGGTAGGCAGGCAGCTGGATTACGATAAGGCTGGCGTCATCTGCCCCTCCGTTGTATAGGCTGAACTGTGCTGGTTTGAACCTTTCCTGAGGTGTTGTCAGAGGCAGGCGGGGTTGTAGAGCAACCGAGAGCAGGACATCTGCGGGTAACAGCGCCGGCGCTGTGCGATACACATCGGGGTGGTGGTGCGGGTGAGGCCAACAGCTCGCAGGAGTGGGCAGGATGGCTCGAGTGCGTTACCTGCTGCGGCGAAGTTCACGGCCCGGCATGGTTGCTCAGGAATCCTCCGACTGTTTCATGCAGGAGCCTGGCTCTGTTAACGAAACAGACACCGACTTGATCCAAGTGTTATATGCACGCGTGCAGCCTGTTAATACCGAATTCCATGTAGACCAGATACACCTGTTGGGTAAATTTGCATTAAGCGTGGGACAAGAGCCTGCCCAGGCTCAAAGGATACGACAAGGAAAAGCCTCCCAATGTGCTTAGGGTCACCGTCCTAACATGAACCTCCTCCTCGCAACCACGAGCTAGGAGCCGCGGCTTTGAACGTCCTCCCTTCCCAACCCGGCCACACGGCATAGCTTGCAACACAATATTTATCGTCACGCACATCAATGCACATGTCGCAATTTAACAGGGGGAAAAACGAAGAATCACCTCCGTGGAGATCACGTATTGTCGTCTACAACGTGCAAGGCCGCCACCGCCCTGCGCTGTGCGCACGCCCTTGCTACGCCACGCGCGCACGCCCAAACCTGCGCCCACACAGGCGCCAAGCGTTGCGACCCTTGCACGGCACATGGCTGCTAGTTGTCATAAGAGACAAGATGCAGCTATGGCTTGCTGTCAGCCATACACAAGATCCGGCACCTGCCTGAACAGCAGCACATGCCATTTGCCTAACCGAAAGCGAATATCAAAAGCATTCCCAGCAGCAGTGCTTGGCTAGTGTCACTGCCCCGTCCAATCCGCACCCTAGACTCACACCTCCAGTGACTCAGTCCATTTCCAACAAGTCGTCTCATTTCTCTAATAAGCATTCGCATCGCAAGGGTGTCCCGAGCTTCACACCTTCGCACTCACACAACGCTACCAGTACTAGCAAAACCCCACAGACCCGCACTCTCCCTCATTACCCCTCCTGCCCCCCTCTCCCCTCCTGTCCCCTCATCTCCCCCTTCCTCCTCCCCCTACTCCACCTCCTCCCAGTCATCCCGATACCAGTGCTGGCAGGGACTGTCCACCCGATCAAGCGCCATCAGCAGGATACCGCCCTCGTACTCGTCAGAACGACCCAGAATGCCCTCAAACGGACAGCAATTGCTGCCGCCGCCGCTACCTCCAGCCCCTGCTGCTGCTGCTGTCCCCGGTGCAAAGACCTCCTCCGGCTGCACTCGGCGGTGGCGGTAGCGCAGACCCCTGCGGCGGCACTCTCGAGTGAAGTACTCGAAAACCTGAGTTGGGGGGGAGAGAGGCAGGAGGGAAAGGGCAGTGGTCATGGGTTTGGAGGGGGAGACAGAGGGCCATAGGTTGGAAGGGATGGACAATCCTCAAAAGCAGTGCCTCCTCCTTGCCCCGTTAGCCCTTTCCCAATGAGCTTTCTTGGAAAGCCTCCTCCGCTTCCTCCTCCTTACCTTGACCTCCCGTACAGCGCACTGCAGTACGGCACAACCGCCCGGCTCCAACCGATGTCGTACAACCGCCGCAACCAACTCCGCGTGAATGCGCTCGTAGATCACCTGTAGGCGAGGAAGTGAGGGGTGTATTGGCAGCGCATGCAGCAGAGAAGAAGAGAAGAGATGTTGGCAGCGCATTCTGACAAGCAGCAGGAAAGGCAGGTAAGGGGTCGCGAACAATGACACCGCCAGCGCGACTCGTCCACAGCGGTATCCTACCGGTACCCAGGACGTGTAGCAAGGAAAGAAAACAAGGCATGTTTGTTTCAACTCTTCCATGCACATACTTAACCCGCCCTCGGATCGAGGCTTCGCTCGCCCTTCGCTTCCTCCCGCCCTCCCTTGACCCCGCCCTCCCTTAACCCCACCCCACCTCTTCCCTCCCCTTACCTTCCAACCCCCGACCCCTTTCCTTTCTGTAAACCCCTCAACCCCGTTACCCCCTCCTCACCTCCGACCCAATGATCACCGGGAAGCGCTCCTCCGCCGGCACCCTCGGAGGCAGGTCCTCCCCCTCCTCCTGCGCCTGCTGCTGGCTGCTACACCCCCCTGCTGCCACCACCCCCGCCTCCTCCGCCTCCTCCGCCTCCAACGCCCGCACCGACTCCGCCCAGTCCAGCAACCGCACCGAGGTGTTCCCCGCCTCCCAACACCGCTCCCCCTCCTCCCGCCCGCCCACTCCCCTCCTCCTCCTCCCGCCGCTGCTGCTGCACCCCGCCGCCTCCTGCTCCTGCTCCTCATCCTCCCCACCCTCCCCCATCAACATGTCCCGCATCATGTCCCCGAAATCGCCCTCCTCCACCTCCTCAGCCCCCTCGAATAGCTCCTCATCCGTCGGCACCCCCGCTCCCGCTCCTGCTCCCTCACCACTGCAACACTCCATGCAATCCTCCGCCCCAGCCCCAGTCAAGGCGTTGTTGTTGTTGTTATTCAGGTGCATGCAGGATCGCAGGTTTCGGAGCACGGGCCCCTCCACATCCGTCAACACCACCTGTCCCGCCCCCAGCGCTGCCGCCGCCAGCCCGCACACCCCACAGCCGCTCCCCAGCTCCAGAACCTTCTTGCCCGCCAGCAGAGGTCCCCGGTTCGAGGCCAGCTCCAGACACAACATGTGAGCGACCATCCAGACCTTGGCGCCCAGGCCGTCCCCTAGAGCGCCCTCTTGGATGTGTACGACAGCGCCGTCGTAGGTGTAGGTACTCACCTGGAGGTTGGAGGTGGAGGGTGGGGAAAAAATTAAATATGTGAAGGGTGGAGAAATAAAATAAAATTAAATATGTGGAGGGTGGGGAGGTGGAGGGGAAGAAGAAACGCAGGAAAGAGCGGTGAGGAATGGGGATACGGGGAGGGCTCTGGAAAGCAAGCAAGCAAGGCCATGTAGTATTGTCGTACCTTTCCAGCGGTCGCCAAGGGCCCCGAGCAGGCAGCGATGACGGCGGAGGCGGCGTCAAGCACCTCCTCATCCTCTGAAGGGGCGAGGAGGAGGGAGGAAGTGGGTGTGAGGGAGAGGAAGAAAGAGCCAGGGCATCGCAGGAGGCTATCAGGGGATAGCGGCCGGGAGGGGGGCTGCATACAGCAACACAAGTGTCCGAGGTCTCCTGTCCTAGAGGCCACGCGGAGGTCAACGAGGGAGGTATAGAGGACAGGAGGCGAGAGCGGTCCTAACGGGGGTTGCAACGGGGAAAGCGTGTGCGAGGCGGCGTGACCTGCCTGCAAGCACGGGGTCCTCGGGCGGGCCTGGAAACCAGGAGCGGAGAATTGTGTCAGAAGTGGTTGCGTGACATTTGTTTTGGTTGCCGCTCTCTTTCCTCCAGCGCGTATGGGTTGGGGCGGGAGGAATCCATTGATCAATCACACGCACCGGTAATGCCCAGCAGGCGAGTGAGAAGCGGCACCACGCCCGCCTGCCGTGCCTCCTCTGCGTAGGCACTGCGGCTTCCAACTGCGTCCTTTAGCAGCAGCAGAGCCTGCTTTTGCCTGAGGGAGGAAGCGCAGGCGACGCGGGCGGCGGCAAGCGGCCGTTGTTGACTAGTTGATGCGTGACGTGCTGATGTATTTACGCAGTCACCGTGCAAAGTTATACCTGGCGGGGTTGCCACGCGCTCGAATACGCTCCACCCATTCGCCTATCCTGCTGTTAGCTACAAGGAGCTCCAAAAAGTCTGCTTCGTCTGCACCAGCCATTTTTAGTAAACTATGCGTTAGCAGGAAGCGAATGCATAGATGTTGCGCTGCGGCGCGGGCAATATATATTTCGCCGTACAAGGAGCAGTTGCATTGCGCCTTCCGCTGCTTACCGCCTAACGAACATCACTACATTTCTATAACGTTATTTAAAGTTAATTCTGGAATTTATACTCGTAGTTTCGCAGCTAAAATGGAGCATGACGAAAGCCATGTGCCATTGCTACCACCGAAGGAGTCTGAGCCTAACCCTAAGCTCCAGGACACCGACGTTGACAGCTATGGAGCAAAGGCCCAGGGCTTTTTGGTTGGATTCTGGCCTGAAGCGAAGCGGTGGGTTATGGGATGGATGTTGAACGATGACCACATGTTGCGTGCGACACGTGGCCTGTTGTGTCCTATGAATCAGAGTAAAAGACATCCAATGCACTTGTCTTACTAACGGAGAGCGGCCGTTTAGCGCGTGGCGACCCAGCGACCCCCGCCCAAGCCATTCCCCAACGCGTCGTGTTCCGAAATGCCAAACCCCTCCTACAGTGCACTGTACCCCAACCTATCATCAGCTAGCTCTGATGCTTGTCTCATTCCTGCAAAAGCCGAAGTTGCTTAATCCCTAGCAACGTGGCGGCGGGGACGTCTAAACCACATCCTTGAAGCCCACTCCTCTTTCCCACCGGTTCTGCTCCCCCTCACTGGCAGCCCCTCCCACCTCCGTTTCCCGAACCATCAACCACACATTCCGTGTAAAAGTCACCTTATCCTCTGTCCGTGCTACCCTGCACTCGGGCTTTCCCTCTATCGTCCCTCCTCTTCGTTACCTCGTACCCTTTCCCCCGGATGCTTCCCGTATCTTGCTATAACCCCCCTTCCCCATGCCCCCCTTCCTTTGGCCCCTCCCTCCTTCCCTTCCCTCCCTCCCTCCCCCCCTCCCTCCTCCCCCCCCCCTCAGCGTCCTCTCCCTAGCGCTACCCATCTCCCTCAGTGAGGTCGTCTCCTACTTCGCCTACCTCATCACCACCGCGCAGGCAGGGGGCGGGGAGCGGGGGGCAGGGGTCAGGAGCGGGCCAGGGCCGAGCTGGTCAGGTGTAGGAGGGCAGCAAGGCAGGGGCAGCAACCTTGCATGGCCGGCTGGGTCCGACGGGCTGGGAGGAGGAGGAGGAGGAAAGGGAAGGAAGGTGAAGGAGGGTGCTGACCGACCAAACCGCGAAAGGAGACGTGCAATGGCGAAGAACGCTGGCCAACGGTGCAAGCCAACGCACCGTACACATCTCTAAACCCTACCAGCCTGCCTGCTGTGCTGAAGCCCCCTCCTGCCCTGTCGACCTCCTCTCTCTTCCTCCCGCTCCATCCTCCCTTCTCTATGAATCCGCCCCCTCCCCCCCAGGTTGGCTACCTGGGTGCGCTGGAGCTGTCCGCCATCACCCTGGCCCGCAGCGTGTACCACATCACCGGGCTCTCACTGTGAGGGGGGGCCGCAGCAGGAGGGGGCAGCAGCAGGGGGCAGCAGGCAGCGGGCTCGCATGGGGACACGGCATGAGGGCATGGCACGGGCTAGAATTGCTGTACGTGCCGTCTATGCTTGGAGTGGACACGTGCGCCTGCACCTACCGATGGCTCACTTCACCCCTCCTCCGACCCTTCCTCCTGCCGCCCGCACCATTGGGTATGTTTCCTTTTCCTCCCACCCTCCTCCTGCCCCGCTCCCACCCACCCTCCAACCCCACTCCTCCAGTGTTGTGGGCATGTCCAGCGGCGTGGAGACCTTCTGCGGCCAGGCCTTCGGCGCCGCTCACTTCGGCGTGCTGGGGCTGGTGCTGCAGCGGGCGGCGCTGCTGTGCCTGGCCACCTGCGTGGGGCCGTGGGTGCTGTGGGGGCGGGGCGCGGAGCAGCTCATGAGGGCGATGGGTGGGTAGCAAGCAGGAAACGCATTGGCGGGCCCGAGGGCAGGTGCGGGTGCTTGGCGTGGGTTTGGGAGGGCGAGAAGGGTTTGACGGGATGGGCCGGCAACGGCGATGCAACCTATCGGGGAGCCTGCAGGTCACAAGGCCAGTTTCTTCATCCTTACCCTCCCCCGCCTCCTTCCACCCCCCCCGCTCCCCCACAGGCCAGCAGCCCGAGGTGGTGGTCCCCGCCGCCCGCTTCCTGCGCCTGCTGGGCCCCTCCCTGGCGGCCTGGGGGCTGTGCGCCTGCATCAAGAGCTACCTCACCAGCCAGGTGGGGGGGGAGTGAGGGGGTGCTGTTGGGGAGACTGTCTATATGATGAGAGGTTAGGAGGCGGGCCGCTTGTGCTTGAACTCTAAACCCTGTGTCGACGCAAGCGCCTTGTCACATTGTTACCCTATCCATGGGTAGATGCCTGTAACTGGGGGTGTTGCCAGTAAGCCCACCTGCCTGCGGACCAAACACCAACCGTCAACTGTCAACTGTCCCCACCTCCCACCCAGGGTGTAGTGAAGCCGCTGACGGTGGTTGCTTTCACCTACACCGCCCTCACGCCGCTGGTCAACCACCTCTTCATGTTCCAGCTGCGCATGGGCATGATGGGGGCTGCGGTGGCGTACAATGTACTGCAGGTGTGTACGTGGGGTGGATTGCCGTACGGCCCTAGAAACCTTCCTTTTTCCTCCCCCCTTTCCCTCATCCCCCTGAGAAACACCTCCCGCCCCGCCCAGCCCCCTATATTGAAGCTTTGTCATACGGCTTGTTCCTTTCTCCTTCTTTTCTGCCCCCTCCTCACTCTATCCTAATTGCTTTTCCCTTAATCTGTTGTTCTGGTATGTCTTTGACCCCCCCTGCCCCCCCGCCCCCTCCTCCCCCCCAGGTGTTCGAGTTGTTGCTGCTGGTGTGCTCCATGGTGTGGTTGCACGTGCGGCGGCAGGGGCCGGGGCGGCACACGTGGCGGGGCTTCAGCACGCAGGCGTTCAGGGGGTGGGGGACATACCTCAAGGTCGCGCTCCCCTCCGCCGCCGCCATCTGTTTCGACTGGTGGACCTACGAGGCGGTCATCCTGATCGCGGGTCTGCTGCCGGACGCGCACGTGCAGCTGGGGGCCATGGGGCTGGCCTTCAACACGCACGGGCTGCTGTTCATGGTGGTGGGGGGCTTCAGTTCGGCGGCTAGCACCCGAGTGGCGAATGAGCTGGGTGGGGCGGGCGGCGGGGTGCGGCTGGGGTTGGGTTGGGTTGGGTTGGGGTGGGGTGGGGGTGGGGCGGGGTAAATAAAGGAGGTGGGAACAGGTGGAAAGACCAAAAGGCGAGGATGGTGACGATGGTTGGGATCCCGGGTTGAAGGTCCCCATTCCGCACGTACATCCACACGCACCGGTACTCACCTCCTCCTCCTCCTCCTCCTCCTCCTCCTCCTCCTCCTCCTCCTCCTCTTTACCCCAACCCCCGAAATCCCCGCAGGTGCGGGTCGCGGTGGTGCCGCCCGGCATGCGCTGTGTGTGGTGCTGGCGCTGGGGGCACTTGCGCCGCTGGCCGCCTCGGGGGGCCTGCTGGCGGCCCCGGCTGCATGGGCGCGACTCTACACTCCTGACACCGGGATCATTCGGCTGGGTGGGAGATGGGGAGGGGGATGAGTGGGGGGGGTGGGGGTGCCGTACATTGGTATTGGAGCAAGGACTGCATGCAAGCGGGCAAGCAAAAGTATGGCATGTGAGTGGCGTTTGCGCCAAGGTGTGTCGTGTCCTCGTGTGGCTGGTATGACCCATGGGTCACCTGACCCTGCTCCTTCCCTGCATGCCCCCCCGCCGCCACCCCAGTGTGTCGGCTGATGCCGGTGCTGACGCTGTCCAACGTTGCGGACTCCGTTGCCACGGTGTGCAGCGGGGCTCTGCGGGGCAGCGGGCGGCAGGGGCTGGCTTTCGCAACCAACCTGGTGGTAAGAGGTGCTGCGGAGGGGGGGAGGTTAAGAGGTTAAGGAAACTGGCCGCGAGTCGGAACATATTGTGATTGGATGTGTTGGGGGGGGAGTGGGTGTGGGAGATGGGGGTGTGCAAGTCGGTGATGTCGGAGTGGAGGCTCCGGTTCTCCTCCCGCCACATATCCCTAACACATGTCCCGCACGCATTTGCATGCCCCTCTCTCCCCATCCAACCTCCCTCTCCTCATCCAACCATCCGCACCTTCCCTCCCCCTCCCTCCTCCCGCCCCCTCAGGTGTACTGGCTGCTGGGCCTGCCCTGCGCTGCGCTGCTGGCGCTGCGGTACCGCATGGACGCCATGGGGCTATGGGTGGCAATGGCGGGGGCGGCAGCGCTGCAGGTGGGGGGCGGACGGTGGCGGGGGGCGGGGTTAGGATGTGTCGGGGAATGGCCATGCGCTGCTAGCCCCATCTCCTCCACAGCCCTCGTAAACCAGGTTTTTAGCAGTCAGGTTTGGTTCCTTCCTTTCTCCCCCCGCCCCCCCGCAGGCCCTCATCCTGTTGGGCTGCCTGCTGCGTTTCGACTGGCCGGCTGAGACACGCCGCGCGCTGAGGCGGGTGGCGGAGTCGGAGGGCGCGGCGCAGGCAGCTGCTGCCGCGGCCGCAGCTGCAGGGTCAGGAGCAACAACAGCGGTGGGTGGGGCCTTGCCGGCGACGGCGGATGCGGCGGAGGAGCCGGCAGCGGAGGATGAGGAGGCTGCGATGCCTCCACCGCCGCCGCCGCCGCTGCACGGGGGCCTGGACAGCCGACATGGGGTGCATGAGCCGCTGCTGACGGCGGAGCACGTGATGTGATGTGATGTGACGTGAAGGAGGAGAAGGCTGGAGAGAGAGGGCTGGAAAGAGAGGGCTGGAAAGAGGGCTGGAAGCAGGGCTCAAATGTAATATGTTATGATGGTAACATAAACGGTAAACGATGGGGGCGTGGGAGACCGCGCGCGATGAGGAAGTGGAGGACGGGGGTGGTCCAGGACGAACCTATGGATGTGCGCTTAATAGTTTCGGACCAGGATTCGGACCAGAACCAGTAGGAGCGTGAGCGCCGACTGGAGGTGCCGCAGAATTAATTATTTAGGGCGTGCCCTATTGAGGTGCAAGGTGTTATGAAGGCCCTTGGCGTAGCTCCTTTTGGGAGGCAAGGTAGGGCCATTTGCCGGGTTTCGTAAGCACGTTGCGCGTTGCAAACCGCGGTTGAGTAAAGTTGTTTCTGGTTGATGTGTATACTTATACCGATGAGCGTGTGCGGGTGCGGGTGCCCCGATCTCCCGTGCAACTGCACGCTTCTGTACAATAGTGCCGTACATGATTCCATAGTGGATGTAGTTTCAACAATGAGAGGCGCATAATTAGCCACTCCTTGCACGGAGGAGCTGAAGAAGCGTTTGTGAGGTGTGCGAAGCATTGCAGCAGGGGTTTGTATTGTTGGCAGCGGGTATGGTGGTTCTTCTGAACTGCTGCTCGCAGCGTCTGGTTGCAGGTGCATAGTTGCTGTTGCCAATCCTTTTTGTTGACCTAGGTCACAGGCTATTAGGGTTATTACGGGTAGGATCCATGTCTTTCATGAAGCCTAAGACAGCTAGCTGGTTCTGCTTAGCTGGATCTGTTCAAGGGCGTGTATAATGTTGGTGCATAAGGACCGCTTAACTAAGGATACCCGTCGGTTTGTGACACGTGGTGAACCGTCTGCAACAGTGTATGGGTTGGGGTTACAGGTGCCGTATCCTCAACTAGCTTGCGGCACGGGTTTTAGCATCGACGGTTTAAGGTGTCAGTCAGTTTTTGTCCTCATCCTCATGCGTCCTCAGACCACGTCCTTAATGTTATCACAAAAACCCAAGCGCGCCTGCGCGCCCTTGTTCGTGCGCAGCGGACCTATACTTCTGACTTCCCCGCACGCTTGAAGCAGCACACGATTGGGCAGCACGAGGTGAGGTTGGATATAGCCGCCGAGGGCCCTGTTATCCCCTGTTGGGTGCTGCCGCACTACCCCGCAACGACAATGTGCCCACTCTGCAGTTCAAGTCATCACGTTCCAGGCTGTGTCACACCGCCACTCGTAATCGCAAAAGCAACTTGCTGCGTAACAACTGCTGCCCGCAACAGCGACCAAACCAACGACCAACGTGTTTTGCCCCGACAGCTACCGGTAACACGTCAAACTACCTGCGTCAACAAGTCGGCCTTTCCCCATCCGTACTTCTCATCCCTGCACAACTATCTTCTTCACATCCCTACCGCACCACCATCACTGCCCACCGCTTTCCTCCACCCCTTATTTGCTCCTAACCTAGGACCTTATCTTACCCCTTCCTTTACCCCTCCCTCCTCCATCCCTCCTCCATCTACCACTCCACCTCACTCCTCCACTCACTTCCTGCTCGCAACCGCCACCAGACTCCCCATCGGGCCCACCGTCGTCATGGACCTATCCCCGTCAGACCGGCTGCGTACCAGCGACCCAAACGGGCCCACATTGACCGACACTTTGGGCTTGTTGTTGTTGTTGTTGTCACCGCTGGATTGCTGAAGCAGCTCTGGTGGTGGCTGCGGCTTCTCCTGATCCGCCTGCGGTTTTGGGTCCTGAGGTGCCTTTGGTGAGGATGTGGAGGAAGAGGAGGAGGCGGAAGAGGAAGAGGAATCGTCGCCGCCGTTCGGCTTGAAAACGCCCACTAGGCCGCTGGCGGCGGTGGGAGATGACGACGGAGGTGCGATGGCGGCGGTGGCGGCGGCAATGACGGCGGCGGGTCGCACGTTGTCAGCAACCACCTCAACGGCGGAGCGGAAGGTGGAGCCCACGCCAGCTGCGGTGTTGCTCATGGCGTCATTGAACGCCGCGGCGGCCTCATTCGCTCGGTCGCTGACGGCTTTGGCGACGCTACCGCCGACGGCAGAGCCGACGGCGCCGCCGGAGACGAGGCCGACTGGGCCGGCGAGTGCGCTGCCGACGCCGCTGCCGACGGCGCCGCCGACGGCAGCTCCGACGGCGCCAGGTGGGGTGACGGCGGCGGGCAGGGGTCCCGGGGGATCGGCGGCGGTGGCGCGGAGGGCGGCGCCGACGTTGGGCGGCGGTCCCGAGGTGGGCGCGTCGGCCTTGACGGTGACAATGGATCCCAGGGGGCCCACCCGGACCTGTGTGGGTGTGGGAGGCCTCGGCAACCTCAGCGCTGGAACGACGGCCACACCACCGGTGAAGTAACCTTCACTGGCCGCCGCCACCATTTAGAACCCGGGCCTGCTCATCCGACCCTCGACGTAACGGGACCTGCCTAACGTTGCCGGTCTGTTTACCGGTAATCCCTACGCGCCACTCCGTTGCACGCGCCCCGCATGTCCTCCACCCAGCCCCCCCCTACACGGCCCCTACCTTGACGTCGCCATCGGGCTGCTTGTTCACACGCACGATGCCAGGAATCCACACCTGCATGCAAGCGGAGCAGGGCAAGCAACAAGCGGAGCAGTGTGTGTGTGGGGGGGGCGGATGGGGCCGCAGGCAGCTAGGCGCCGCACTACAACGCAGCGACTCCTCACTCGGCAACACCACGAGCGCCTAGCACCGCAAACATACACCTCCACTGCAATCACCCCCGCAGCAACACGCGCCCCGAACTACCGCTTCCCTGCAATGCACAAAATAGAAAGCGCATACCAACACGGAAAGCACACACAGCGTGCACAGGGCCCCAGCTGCATACCAAATGTACTTCGCATGCATTCATTGGTACGGTGCCGTACGGCATCACGTCAGCCTTCTTCCCAATCCAGCAGTACCCCACACCTTCCCCCACCTGAGACGGCAGCGCGTCAGCCGGCAGGGGTGCGGGCTCCCGCGGCTTCCGCGGCCGGGGGTCACGGTCGCCGTCCCGGGGAGGTCCACGGGGGAGATCAAGTCGGGGGCCGTCGCGATCTGTGTGTTTTGAAACGGGAGCGAGGTAAAAGCAATGGTTTAAAAGGTGACGTGTGGAGCCTGCCTAGGCATGATGGTACCGGTAGGTAAAGGCACACCGGTACCTGACCGGTAGCTTACGTTGCGCTGAGCACAGCCTTCTTGCATGATCTGAGCGTCCCAACCCACCTACCCGCCTACCCGCCTACCCGCCCGCCTTGATCCATTACTTTGCCCTAATTCATGGTTTCCTGTGGTTTGATTCAAGTTGGACCCTACCCACCCGCCCACACACCTTGCTCCAGCAGCCGACGTGTGATCGCAAGCATTCCCTCAGCGGAGGGGTCAGCAGCAGCAGCAGCAGCAGCAGCGGCGGCGGCGGTGGCAGAGGTGGCAGAGGTGGCAGAGGTGGCAGAGGTGGCAGAGGTGGCAGAGGTGGCAGAGGTGGCAGAGACAGAGGACGCCTCGGACGTTGCGGCGGCGGAGTCTGCCGCGGGCTCTGTCGCCGTAGTCAGTGTCAATGCCACGTCAGCAGCTTCTCCGTCACTGTTGTTGCCGTTGTCGTTACTGACGGCGGTGGTGGTGGCGGCTTCCTCAGCACCGGTAGTTGTAGCAGCAAAGGAGGAGGAGGTATCGGTAAACATCTTGAGCAGCGCATCCAGATCTCGCTGACTGGACTCGGATGCCACGTCATCATCGCCATCTTGGCTGTTGCTGCTGTTGCTGCTGTCGTACTCCTCCCGCATGCCGGCCCGCATGAGGACGTCCAGATCTGCTGGAGTGACCCGTGGGTCGGAGCTGCCCCCATCATTCGCCTCACCATCAATGTCCCCACCTGTGTCATCTGCGTACCCGCTGACGTCGCTGCCCTCGCCATTGGAACCCTCGTAGGTTTCCTCGTCGCCCTCCTCCATGCCGAGAGCTATCACGTAGGAGTCGGACTCGAGGGCATCTCCGCTATCAGCATCGAGATCTTTGACATCATCATCACCAACATCTTTACCGCCAATGCTGCCGCCATCGTCGCTGCTGCCGCTGCTGCTGCTGCCATCCTCATCAGCATCCTCCGCCGCCGTACCGCCCAGCAAACGCGCCGCCAATCGAGCCGCCAGATCATCCGCCGTACTAATGCTCGCATCGTCACTCAGATCATTGTCCTGATCCTCATTGTCGTCTGAACTCCCACCGCTTGCAGCCTGCTGCTGCAGCTCGGGCTCTCGACTTAGCGTCAGTTGTGCGAGGTGAAGTCGCATGAGCTGAAGACCGCCGTCGTCAACAACATCCACACCACCATCAGCTAATGCTGCCGTTGTCGCAGCTGCCGTCGCGTCAGGCCATACGACAGCGGCAGCGGCGTTAGAGGCAGCGGCCGGGACGACGTCCTCATTTGTGATGGTTATAGCGCCGCCGCTGCTGCTGCCGTCGCTGCTGCCCCCCGGCCCCTGCATGCTAGCAAAGAGCTCCGCAGTGCTCGCAGTGGTGACTTCAGCCAGCCGAGCAGCCGCCGCTGCTGCCGCTTGGAACCCCGCCAGCAGCAGCTGCAGAGCCGTCAAGCCGTCGCCTGCAGGACTGGTTGTGACAGCGGTGGTTGTTGTAGCGGCGGCGGCCGATGCATCGCTGGTGGTTTCGGGGATGGATGTACCCCAGGCGCCAGGCTCTGTAGTGCTGGTGGTGGTGGTGGCGGTTGAAGCGGTGTCGGGGGTGTGGCTCAAGCCGCGGAGGATGGCGCTCAGACCGCCTGCGGAGCGAAGCAGACCTCCCGGAGGGCCTGTGGGGCGGGGGCGATGAAGGGAACAGGACACAGACAGGCGCGCGGGATGCCGGTAAGAGAGCAGGGAGCAGGGAGAAGCAGGAAGGCTCAGGAAGGCTCAGGTAGGGCAAGGCAGGGAGCGAGGTACCGGAAGAGGTCAAGAAGGGTCCCTGCTGCTCGAGTCATGTGGTAGCCCTCAAAGCGATGAGAGAGAGAGTGGCAGGTACACAATTATTACCGGCACAGCTCGCCAGGGCAGGACAGGCAATGGCACAGAAGAGGCATGCAGCGCACGCAACACACACCTGGCTCATCAGTGGACCCCGCCGCAAAGGCCGCTGGCAGGCTGCATGCCAGCCCGGCGGTGAGCGCTAGCGCCAAGGCTGCGAAGAAGTGCCGCATGGGGCCACGACGGGCGGCGGCCGAGGAAGGGCGAGAGCCGGGGTCGCCTTGGCGTCCTTTCTGCTAGGGCAGATTTGTTAGTACTGGAAGTGCTGTTTTGAAAGTAATGGTTAAGATGCGCGCAAGTGAGGAAAGAGGCTAAGCAGGAAGGTCCTCGGCGGGCGTTGAATTTGGTTATTGAGGAGCACAACCGTGCGGTCGAATTTCCTAAGGACACACTTTGGGTATGATCTTGGATGCTAGGGTTAACAGCCAAAGCCTTATGGAGCGCGTTGAAGCAAGCCAAAGGTGGATGCGAATCAAGCCCAATGTGAAGTATATATCAGTGTGCGGCCTGAATGGCTATTGCTAGGTTGTGATTGCTAAGAGACAAGATAGGCGGACAGGTTTCAAGTTTTGCAGCTGATTGCGTCCGTGCGGTAGTTGATGGCATTGACGGACATGTGTCCAGACGCAGACCCCGGGGTCGTCAGACTTGCTGCTGCTGGGTATTGCCGCCTATCAATGTTATATTGTCTCCTCTTAAAACCTCGTATGCTGGTCATACAAAGAGCTTTCCTTGACACACTGAAAGCTCGCGTCTACGTGGCTAGCCAGGAATGGGCTCGCCAGCAAAGGCGTCAGTTGCGTAGGCTGTTTACCATTTAAAGTTTTAAGTGTGAAAGACGTCGGTGCCTCATATTCAATGAAGTGTGTGCTCGCTGACGCGGAGAATATTTTTCGGGCAGCAATGTCACAGGTCCCGTCTATCCGTAAGGAGTTAGTCGGTGAATAGAGCAACATCGTGTTGGTTATGAGCCTGCCGCTCAGCGCTTAACAACCAGAAAAGAACACAGGATGGGTGATGGCAGAATCGGGTTGTCTTCCTCTCCTAACGGCAATCTAAACTCGCCACTTGTGTAATGCAACAAAGGTATGATAGGCTGGTGGATCGACGTAGGCAGGTGGAGCCGATGCCAGACGGAGGCAATGGGTCTCATACGAAGGCCTTGTAAGAGAGACATCAGCCTGTGATTGCAATCTATAAGGCTTGCACATACTCCCTGAAACAAGTGCAAAAGCAATTCAAAATCAGGCAGCAATATTCGATTGCGTACGGAGAAGATTTACCGTGATCGAGCCCCATTGGCAATCCACGAACGAAAGAGACCAAGATATTCACACGAGCGTCATACAAACAGTGCTCTAGCGCTTCCGGTAGTTAGGCGTCCAATCCCGAAGACGCAGACCTATGTGGCCACTCCGTTACCGCTTCGCTCAAGCGAGGGCATTGCCTTCAACAGCTGCCGCGTGCACATAATATAGCATCTATCTTTACGCTGGATTAAATTGGGCCTTGCGAACATGGAAGCGAATACCGGTCTCACAGCAAGGCAATGGACGTGTCGTTTGGGGGTTATCCATAAGCGGCGAGGTGGTATAAACATTGGCTGCGTTGTACCTGAACATCGCTATGCAGCACGGCACAACTCGCAGCTTCCGTTTAGTGCGGTGGGAGCGGCAACAGCATTGCATGCTGCCGGAACAGAAGTGGCAGCGCAGCCCGTCCTTCCTCAGATCGCAATTGACCACCTTCACCAACCACAGAACGCCTCCTCCTTTCGGCTGGCAGCTGCCGCCGCAGCGGCTGTCGTCTCGTTCACATCGGCCATGCGAGCGCCGGACACATCCCGTCATGCGTCAGCAGCAGGGCCGGCACCACAACCAGCTCACAACATCACCACATCCCCAGAGCTCCTTCGCAAACGCCAGGAACGAGCAGCCGCAGCGCAGGCCCTCACGCTGCGCATTTGCGCCTGCACATCCCTCACCGAAGCCCAGCAACTCTACCAAGCCCACGGCGACACCTTCAACGCCATCCACTTCTCGGCATTCTTCACCACCCTTGCCCGCATGGCAACGGTGACATTACCAAACCGACAACCCCACCACCCTCACCCTCCTTCCCGCTCCTCCCCGCCCTCCTCATCCTCCTCGGCCCGCTGCTGCCATCCACAGCCGCATCACCACCGACGTCGCCAGCTAGGTCCAGGCGAACGGGCAGCGCTACGTCTCTTCGTAGCAAAGGACTTGGTCCCCGCCGTGGGGCTGCGGCTGATGGGTTTCGGTCCACGTCAGCTAGCAGCCGTACTGGCGGCGCTCGCGCATCTTGATCTGCCTCCGCCAGCATTCTGGCTTGCCGAGTGGTTGCAGCACTTTGAGCGGCGCCTCGAAGCAGCAGCGGCTGCCGCCGCCGCGGCGGCGGCGCCGTCGCCGCCACAGCAGCTGGCGCAGCGAACAGCACTGTACAGCACCCATCACCGCTTGACGTCACGGGAATCGTCGCCGGCGGCAGCGGAAGTTCCCTCATCAGCGGCGACCAGGCGCGGCGAAGGCGGCAGCGGAGGTGGCAGCAGTTGTACGGCACGTGACGTGGCTCAGGGCATGTGGGCGTTGGCGCGGCTCACCCGCCTCGCTCCCAATGTACGGCACCCGCCTCATGACGAGGACGACGACGACGAAGACCATCACGACCCCTACCACCACACGTTGCATCTGACGGCGGCGGCAGCAGGAGCGGCGGCGTCAGGTTCCGCCAGCAACGGCGCCCTAACGGCAGGCTCCGCCGCAGGGACCGCCAGCCCCAGCCTGCCCTGGTTGGATGCGGCAGCGGATGCCTTTGCCGCACTCGCGCGGGGTGCATCCGCAGCCGACCTAGCTGCGTTTCTGTGGGCTGTGGCTCGGCTGGGTTACCGGCCGCCTGGCGGTGTGATGGCAGTGCTGCTGGCGCGATGCGAGGAGTTGCTGGATGGGAGAGGAGTCGGAGGGGCTGGTGCGGTGGCTGCGGGTGTTGGGGGTGTAAAGGAGGCGGGTGACGGGGGCCGTGGGGAGGGGAGGCGGAGTGGGGGTGAGGGTGGTGAAGGGGGCATGGGGCCGCGGGAGCTGTGTGGGGTGCTGTGGGGGTTAGCGGTGATGGGGTTCAGGCCGGGGCATGCGTGGATGCAGCGGGTGAGTTCGGCAGTGGCGAGCATGGCGGGCGGCGGTGAGACGGCGGAGGCGGATGTGGTAGAGGCAACGTCGGCGGCAGTGGGATCCGCAGCTGCCACCGCTACTACTCACCCAGTTCTCAGTGTTGCCGATGTTGCTTTGGAGCCTGATAATGATGATGATGCGGCCCCCGCCGACGCCTGGTGGCACCAGCACTTGAACGCTGCTGCCAACGCGGTCGTCGCTGCAGCAGCCACAGCAACACCAGCAGCGACAGCGCTCCCAGGGGGCACACCCAACACCCCCCAACTAGACGTACGACAGACCTGCACGTGCATCTGGGCGCTGGCGCGTCTGGGCCACCGCCCCGCACCCGCCGACATGCAGGCCCTGCTCCGACACCTCTGCAGCCCCCACCTCCCACCACGACAACAGCCGCCCTCCTCAGCCTCCTCCGCCTCATCCTACACCAGCTACCATGCTGCTGGTAATAACGCCACGGCTTCCGCTGCCGCTGCCGCCGCCAGCGGAAATGACGGTGGCGGTGGCGGAACCCGTCTGCTCGCTGCAGCCACGCCCCAAGACCTCTCCGTACTCCTCCACGCCCTCGGCGTTCTGCGGTACCTTCCCGAACCGCAGCATGTATTCCTGCTAGTGGCCGCGACGTCAGCACGACTTCATTCAGCCAGCGAGCGGGACTTAGTCATCTGGGCTGTGGCCCTGTCACGGTTGCGGATCGCGCTGCCTGTCCCATGGTTCGCTGCCTACCTGCGGGCGGTCGCTCCGCGGCTGCATGCGCTGCCGCCGCTGGGGCTGTTGCACTGGTTGCATGCGATGACATGGCTGAGATCCACACAGCGGCTGTCCGCCTCGTGCTTCACCGCCTCGACCTCAGCTCCCGCGATGGGCTTAACTGGCGGTCAGCAGGGGCAGCAGGGCCACCGGCAGCAATCACAGCAGCAGGGACATGAGGAACAGGGCGCTGGCGCTGGCTGCTGCCGACCCGCGGGTCACCAGCGGCCGCAGGAGCTCCCTGGGGCTAGGGTTGGGCCGTGGATTGTGGTTTCGCTGCCGCTGCGCCAGCACGGCAGCCCAGGGGTGCAGGCAGTGCAGGAGCAGGGGGGCGGTGGTGAGGAAGGCGCCGTCGCGGACCACCATGCTTCTGCTGCCATGCCTTCGGGCATGAGAGCTCGCACGCAAGCTATGGATGGCACATCCTTCATAGACTCATCATCTTCATCATCATCACTATCATCATCACCCCCATGCATTCCTGCTTCTCCGCACCTGCACCGTGGACCCCCAGTTGCCGCAGCCACCTGGCCGCAGCTCGCCAGCATTTCGGGTGGCTGCGGAGTGCTCCTGCGGCCTGCCTCCAGGCTACTGCACCCCAGGCTACTGTGCAAGATCGTACGACAGATGATCTCCGTCCTGCCGTACCTAGGCTTGGAGCAGCAGTGCTGCCTTGCATGGGCCGTCGCGAGGCTGGGAAGGGCGGTTGGGAACCACTGGGTGGTGATGCTGGTACGACAGACGCAAGCGGCATTGGAGCAGCGACTGCGGCTGGGGCCGAGATCTGGGATGCTGCAACAACAGCAGCAGCAGCAGCAGCAGCCAAGAGGGGGCGCTGTCGGGGCTGTTGTGGAAGGCAGGTGGCTGTTGAAGATGGTGAGAGCCCTGGCGGAGACGTTGCGCCGACACGACCAACAGCACACGCGCTTGCGTTTCCTGCGGGCTAATAAGACACAGCAACAACCGCAGCTGCAGCAGCGGTCCCCTCAGCTGTCCTCGCTAGGACCCAGGCATCCTCACCACCGTGTCCACCGTTCCCAGAGAGGGCCTCACCAGCCGGCCAACCTTGTCTCACGGCGGTGGGTGGAGCTGGTGTTGTCGGCGTTGCTGCCGCAGCTGCCGAGTCTCGGAAACAAGCAGCTGCTGAGGCTGCTGCGAGCGCTGGGAAGGCTGCGGACGCGTCGTCAGCAGGGGGCGCTTGGGGCGGAGTTGCGGGCGTATTGTCGAGCCCGAGTGGGGGCGACGTGCGGAGGGAGTGGGGAGGAGGCATGTGATGTGACTACGGCGGGAATGTTCCGCTGGGCGGCGGAGGGAGTGGAAGGGAGGTCGGGGATGGTGCGACGGCGGGTGCTGGGGAGTGGCGGAGGGAGGAGGTGTGGGAGAGGGGCTTGGCTGAAGGGCGGAAGGTGAGGCTGCTGGTGGGCACGCAGGATGTCGGTCCGGACACAGTGGCACGGCAGTGATAGGCTTTAGGCATCTGTATGTGTGAAGTGTAGGTTAGGTAGGCCGCCACGTTAATAGTTGTTTGGCATGAATGCGGGGTACCGGTATGTTGTACAGGTAGGTTGTACATGGATGTGAACGGTCCGCGTGAACACCTTTGCATGCCATGATTTCCTTGACAGCTGCAGCTGTCAAAAGCAGTCGGGCGTTACTGATAGCTGCCTGAGCGCATGTGGGTGATGCTAAACCGTGGGCAGTTGGCCAGCATGTAGAGTAAGGAGATTACTGGGTTGAAAGTAATTACCGGTAAGCCCACCCCCTGGTTGTTTTCTAAGTGTACCGTGTACGTTGTCCTATGTGACTTTCTTGGCGCGTGGAAACGCACGTTGTTCCGCACAGCAAGTAACATAGCCTAGCTATGTATGTTTGATGGTGGTGATGTGTGCCCAACATGCGTGCATGTCCGCCGACGTAAGGTGTTACGGGTCCAGGGGTGGTGTGGCATGGCACATTGCCTGTCCTCTTGTCCCTTCCTGGCACCATAAGATAGCAGAGTTACCCGTACCCGGCCATCCTCGCTGGGAATGATGGTGGAACTTAGCAGGGATGATTGTACTGGATTGGTTGCTCAGTTGAGGCGGCGGCCTTCTGATGCTGCTTGGCCCCATGGATGCGAACATGGATCTCGTTTGTCGTCTTGGGTTCTGGCTTCTTTGTTGTTCAGCATGGAAAGCCGTGTGTGGATGTCGGTATGTCAAAGAGCAGCATCATGCATGGAAGCCAACGTTGAGGCAGTGAGTGAAAGGCATGCACGCACCTGCAATGACTACCGGATATCACCAGTGCCAGTGTCAATGGGCCGGGCTGTTTGCAGGATGGCGCAGCAGACGTGTGAGGGTTACGGGGATACCTTGCAGACCCGCGGGTCGCATTTACGGTCACTGTTGGCGGCGGTAAAGAAGGTTTCGGCGGTAAAGAAGGTTTGGTGTGTTTCCGTATAAGAGTCTTGGCTCCGCTCGATTACGGCTGAGCAACGACGTGTATGTTTTCAGTGTCGATGGCTGGGTCCATTGCATGCTCCAACGGCCCCTAACGGCTTGGGGACGTGACCTGATTGCCCCAACGGTACGGCAGAGCACTGCGAGAAGCATCTTCGCCGACAGCATGGGTTACAACAACAGTCAGCCGTACGGCAACCCTTCCCAGCATCGTACATGTTCCTTCCCCGACTACCGGCGGTACTCACCAACTGAACCAACTAAACCGCCCTCTACACGTGTCAAACGCACGGATACTAGGCGCAATGTGGCGGTGAAGTGCCAGCCTGCCTGCTGCCAGAACTCACTCCTCGACTCCCAGCTCGCCTATTAACTACGTTAATCGCCCAATACCCATGTCTTCAGTTGGTTGCACACCGCTTGCCGCCGCATTCCACTGCAACCACTGCACACCGCCTCCTACGCACCCCGTCTCCGCCCCCTACACACCCAGTCTCCGCCCCCTACACACCCAGTCTCCGCCTCCTACACACCCAGTCCCCGCCTCCTACGCACCCAGTCCCCGCCTCCTACACACCCAGTCTCCGCCTCCTACACACCCAGTCCCCGCCTCCTACGCACCCTCTTCCCTAACCCTGCCGTCGCCCGCCGCACACCTCCCGGTGCCCCGCCCGCCAGTGTGCCATCTGGCACTCCCGGCCGCAGTACCACACCCCTCCGCACCGCCCACACGCCTGCAGCGGCAGCTCCGCCTCACTCGCCCCCGCCAGGTTGACGCAGCCGGGGTTGCCACAGCAGCGAGGCAGCTGCAGCTGCGCGCGAGCCTCCGCCGGCGGCAACAGCGCCCGGGCCACTGGACCGGCCTCAGCCTGCATGAATGGCACCCCCGATCGCAGCACGGACATGCACTCCTCATCATCGCCGCCACCGCTGCGCCACTTTTCCAGCTGCGTCGCCAGCGCCTCCAAGCCCACCTCCGAGCCCAGCGCACGGAACACCTCCGGACGCCATGCGTGCGAGGGAGGTGATGCAGGCGGTAGCCTTCCGCCCATGCCCTGCGAGGACCTCTGCGACCCTTGCTGCTCCCCAAGATCTGCTGCGGCCGCCGTCACCACCGCCTGTCGTACTTCCCGCGGGTGCACCGCCGCCAGCATGCAGCAGGTGGCTGCCGCCCTTTGCATCAACGGCGGGGCCAAGCTGTACTGCTGCAGTACGGCACCCAGCAGCGGCACCGCGCCCATGTCGTGCAGCAGCACACGCTGCCACTCGGAGCTGTCTCCGCCGCCACCGGCACCGGAGCTGTCTCCGCCGCCGCGGGGATCACCGCCGCTGTCCTTGCCTTCATCACCGGTGCCCCCCACCGCCGTCGCAGCGCCCTCATCACCGCTACCTGCCTCTCTGCCGCCTGCGCCCTCACCGCTGCTGCCGCTGTCGCCGCCGCGAACGCTGCCCGAGCCGCCGCGAACGCTATCCGAGCCTTTGCACAGTAAGTAAGGAAGGAACAGGAGAAGTCGCTCTGCGCAAGCCGTTCGTACCATCTTGGCTGCAGGCGTGTCTTGTGCGTCTTGCCGGCTGCCCGCGCCGCCTCCTGACGCCTGCACCGCTGCCTGCCGCGCCCCCTCCTGAACCAGTCGTGACAGCGCCGGCATCCACTCGTGCATGATGTACGACAGCAGCAAAGGCTCCGGAACACGTGGCGTTGCGGGTGAGTCTGTCGGGTTGGATGTACTCGCCGCCTCCACCTCCGCCGCCTCCACCGCCGGCGCCGGTGCTGCCGGCGCCGCACCTGCCAGGACTGCAGTTGCTTCCGGCGGCGCACCGAGCAAGGCCTCCGCTAGATCCCTTATCTTCATTAGCAGTTCGGCGACCAGCAGGTATAGAACCAGGCGCATCTTCTGCGGAACGCTCTCCTCCACCATGACCCATGGGTCAGCACGGCGCAGCAGCTTGTCCAGCGTAGCGATCAGTGAGGCCGCCTGCCTTGGCTTCGCGTACGGCAGCAGCCGCGGGAGAATGGCGGCAAGCTCGGGAACGGGGGGCCCACCACAGCAGGTATCGCCCCGGGTTGGGTCTTCACCAAGGCGTCGTAGCCACCACTCCAGGCAAGGCAGTAGACCCTCTGCCAGGGCAGCCGAGAGTGAGGGCCGAAGCGGAGAGTTGCCTGTTTGGGGAAGAGTGGAAGAACGGAAGGGGAGAGTCAAGCTGGTAGTAGCGATAAAAGCACATATACGACAGTTATGCCCCGCCGTGTGAGGAGCGCGCGTGCCGACCCGTGGGTCATTCAGGACCGGAAGACGAGGTAACCAGGTATCGGTGTTATAACCCGTCTTCAAGCCAAGTCGTACGCCGTTGTCGTACGTACTTTTAGACGCGCCCAAACGCCAGGGTTGCATGCAGGTTTGGCGTGCTGAGGCTGCTCCTAGATGTCCTAAAGCCCCACAGCCACGCACTGAGGTATATCATATTTCCTTTTCCTTCAAGCCTCCAATCCTTACCCTTACCTTGCATGGCATCACGCACACCCGGTAGCTCCAAGCGGACCTCGTTCATCCACTTATCGTTCAAAATAACCCCTCCCATGCCATCCGCTGCCACCACCGCCGCCAGCCGCCACCACTCCACCACCTGAGCCCACCATCGCGCCGATCCCACCCGCTGCGTCCGCAGCTGCCGCGCGACCCGGCATGCCAACCATGCAACGTTGGCAGCATCCTCACTCGGAAGCACAGCTTCCAGCCGTAGCGTCGGTCGAATTGAGGGCTCCTCGCTAGCATGCTCGGCAGTGCTGCTGCTGCAGCCGCCGCCGCCGCTGCCGGTGCCGCTCCTGCTCCCGCTTGCAGCTGTGTTGCTGCCTGCGGCACGGCGCGTTGCTGCCTGCCGTACTACTTGTTGTCGTGCCGCACGGTGTCCCGCCCAGAATCCCATCGACAACGCCGCCAGGCGAGCAATCCGCATCGCCAGCAGCAGCGATGCGCGCCTGCCGGGCGGCGGGTCAGCCAGGCCGGGAAGTAGCACCTTGAGCAGCGCCGTGAGGAGCAGGGGGCTGCAGATTGGCATGTCAGCCGTGCGGTCGCAGCTGGAGGTTGCCTCGCCGCTGCTGCTGCTGCTGCTGCTACGGTCTCCTTGCTCGTACCAAACAGGCACGCGCCGCATCAGCTCCGGCGACAGGCCGTACGACGAGCCACCGTCCGTCGCGCACAGATCTGCAATGCCGTACACCAGGATCGCGTGTCGTACACACCGGCCGGCCAGCAGGGGCTGCAGCTGCTGCATGATGCCGTTCCTGTCAAGTTCGCTCAACAGGTCAACGCTTGTAGCCAGCATCAGGGCTGCGTTCCGATGGTTCACACAGTGTTGTTGTTGCTGCCACTGCGACTGCAGCTGCTCCTCATCGGCTGCTGAGCTCACGGCGTTCAGTAGCAGCAGCCGGGCCGTGTGCTCGGTCACACAGCTCTCCCGCAAGCCGGCCTCCAGCTCGGAAACAAAGAGGCGGTGCGCGTCGCTCAGGCCCTCGGGCGGTAGTGCTGCGGCGACCATGCTAAGATTCTGTATGAGGGCGGACGCCGATGCGCAAAGCAGCACAACACCCTTGCTATCCGCGCCGCCCTCTTCTTCCTCCTCATTATCCTCCGGCTGCTGCTGCGGCGGCGGCGGCGGCGGCTGCGGCGGCTGCGGCTGGGATGGCTGGGGTAGCCGGGAGCTGCTAGTGCTGCCCTGGCGCGCGGCGACTCCAGCACAGGCTGCGGCCAGCTGGCGGCTGCAGGCTTGCAGGGTGTGAGCTCGCAGCATCTTGTGAGCTACCTCCAGGGCACCGGGCGACACACTGCTCGAGCTGATCGCTTCCCCCACGAGCTTCGGAACGAAGAGATGTGCAGCAGTGAAGACACCTGACTTCAAGCAAAGCAGCTTGTCGGATTCGGCTTCGCGTAGGGAAGCATTCCACTGCCCAACCGGCAGTCGCGCTGCGACAGCAACCAGCCGCAGCAGCGCGGTGCGAAAAGGCGCGTTTGCCAACATCGCAGAAGCAGCAGCCGCAAGCTCAGACCGACCTCCGGCACCATCGACAAAGCCCTCAGCTTTAGCGAAACAGGCCGAAATGTTGGTAAGGATGGATCTGTTGCCAGGGAGTTGAAAGACGCTCCACGTTGCTTGCCCAGGAGGACCAAGCAACCGATCAACCAGCTCTGGAAACCGCCGCAGGCAGGTTTGAACCTCTGCGGGAAGGATGTCAGGAGCTGCTGGGCTGCGGTTGCAGCTGCTCCGGCTGCCGGCGAGACTGCGCGCTGTGCCTCGCCTTGGCATTGTTTAGGCAGCCAGCGCTGTCCCTAAAAAGACACGAGCTGCAGCCAGAAAGCCCTACGTGCTATTCGTAGTCGAGGGACAAGGGCTTGCCTATACCCAGTATAACTACTGAAGTAGAAGGGAGCGGACAGACAATTTCCTTCGGAAACGGAATGGCGGAAACGGAACGGAGTGCAGACGCAGTTACCAAAACATTTATAGTGTTCCTATTGTTTTGAGACCTTTTTATCTTAGAAGTGAAACAAGGAAAGGCACTGCGGGCTTTACGTTCATGCTACAAAAAGTACAGCTCACGACCCAAGGGTCCAGCCGTGAAGACAGAATACGGATTTGCTAAGTTTGCGATTGCGGGCTTCCATACTACGCAGCTTAATGATCTGTGGGAAATGGAGAATTAGCAACTAATCGGACTGCTGTGTCACAACGTCGAGGTACCGGTGTCCTTTTTCCACGTAGCGGCGCGTTACCGGGTAGCTTTTGCCAGTTTTGTGAGATACCAAGTGGTGCTTTTGATACGCATTTGGAAAAGTCACTCCCTGGCTGTCCTTGTTATGCCCATGCACTCCACTCTTCCTGGTTATGCCCAGGCTAGGCTATTGTACTCGCCCCTACAGGTTAAGGGATAAATGTGCCTTTACTATTCACTTCAGTATGAACAAGCGTTTCACTCCACCTCATCTCGCCTAAGCTGCAACGTGATCCGCGGCATACGCATGGGCCTCCCCTTCTTCTTGCCCCCCTTCTTATGGATCTTATGGAAGGGTACTAAACGCAAGGAATTCCAGAAGTCGTATAAATAAAGCCTGCTATCTTTTCGGTGATAAAACAACTGCGTTAGTCCATTGCAACATCTGTCAAGACATAATTATGTCAGACGGAAGCTTGGGAGGATTTGCAACGCTGGAGGAACTGCTAGAGGTAAGGCATAATGCTACTCACCCCGTGAACTTGGGTCCTGGGCGAACCAAGAAAGCCCTAACGCTGCAAGCCAAACGCTGCATGATTGGCAGGAGTACGTTCCAGCGGATAAGCTTAAGCACGCTCGTCGTGTGTTGTATGGACTCAATGTCGGCGAGCCTGTGGCAGGGCTGCCGCTTGACGAGACGGTGCAAGAGCGAGCAAAGCACATGGACTTTGACTTACGAGGCGCAAGCTTTCGTGCTGCTCCTGAGCAGCTCAGGCAGCCGCGAGTAGTACGTATTGGGCTGATCCAGAACAAGATTGTCTTGCCGACAGACGCTCCCTTTGCAGAGCAAGCAAAGGTATGTTAAATTGGGCTCTATGCCAGCGTATTGCTTGTGACCACGTTGCGCAAAATAACCACTATCTTGATTAATCATAGGCCATCCGCGAGCGCGTGGGGCAAATGCTCGATACCGCTGGCCAAGCTGGAGTGAAAATCGTCTGCCTTCAGGAGGCGTGGTAAGTTTGCCTGCGAGGATTTGTTGTGCTCACTTGCATCATGCATACTTAACCGCGCAAACCGACTCCGTGACTGCACCGCACCGCTGACATGTGGGGCCGGGTACCGGGTACTTTCCACTACTCCCGATTACTCCACGCCGCAGGCATATGCCCTTCGCCTTCTGCACTCGCGAGAAGCAGTGGTGCGAGTTTGCCGAGTCAGCGGAGACGGGCGAGAGTGTGCAGTTCTGCCAGGCTGCAGCACGAAGGTGGGGCTGCATGCGCACCTGGGGCGTCCCTGTGTGTTTTGGGTTTGGGGTTCTGATGTTGCTCTCCAGTCTTTCACGTGTTTAGCGGTACGGCAGCGCTAACGAACTGCAGGGTTGACACGGTGGGTCAAGAACCGTAATGGAGCCGAACATGTTCTGTTTCACATGCGCTGCTGTTTCGCCTGCGTCGCTATCCGGCGTCGGTCATTAATCCGCCTTGCTGCACCCCCTGTGACGCACCACACGGTACCTCCTTGCAGGTGGGGCATGGTTGTGATCAGCCCCATCCTGGAGCGTGACTCCAGCCACAACGACACTGTTTGGAACACCGCGGTGGTGATCGGCAACAACGGTAACATTATCGGAAAGCACCGCAAGGTGGGGCGCCATGACCCAGAGGGCCTTTTGACAGCTGCGGCCGATCTGGTTTGCATGCGCTTGTGCTTATTCGAACTTGGGTTTCGTGTTTTGGGTATTGCTGCCTCTGCTCACCTGTGTGACTCCTGTTGCCCCCGCCGCCGCTGCTACTGCTGCCGGCTGCCCGCTCCAGAACCACATTCCCCGCGTGGGCGACTTCAACGAGTCCACCTACTACATGGAGGGGAACACGGGCCACCCGGTGTTCGAGACCGCCTTTGGACGCATCGCAGTCAACATCTGCTACGGCCGCCACATCCCCATGAACTGGCAGGTGGGCTGAGCATCGGTCGGCGATACATGCTTGTGCAGTATGTACCAAGTACCCTGTCTACGTGGTTTGTGAGTACGTTTTCCGCCGACCCACATCGGATAAGTGGCGGATAGGTACACAGATGCTGGGACCCAACACTCCCGCATGCGGCAGCCCAGCACTCGTCCAGTTCGCCCCGCTCGCGCTGCCAACTGCAATCCTCTTGCGTGCCCCAATCTCTCCCGCTTGCCCCGCCTACACACACCAACACCATCACAATACGCTGTCGGCTCTCACCATGATACCTGCACGTACGGCACTCAGCGCCTTTTACGTACCGAACCAACGTTCCCCCCACATGGTGGCCCCGCAGGCGTTCGGCATGAACGGCGCCGAGCTGGTCTTCAACCCCGCTGCCACTGTGGGCGAGCTGTCGGAGCCGCTATGGCCTGTGGAGGCGCGCAACGCCGCTATCGCCAACAGCTACTTCGTGGCGGCAATCAACCGGGTGGGCACTGAGGTGTTCCCGCGGGAGTTCACCTCGGGGGACGGAAAGCCGGCGCACAAGGTACGGGCATGGGACTGGGAACGGGGTCGGGAAAGGGGGTTGCGGATAGGGAGGGAGGGGAAGCATGGCCAGCGGGAGAAGAGGCGGGGTAAGAGCCTGGCTCAATAACTATGGTACTAGCTGCGGAGGACGAAAGAGCTTGTATACATGGTAGGGGGCGTTAAACAGGATGGTGGGGTGGTTCCGCTAATACGCCGTACCGCTAATACCCTGCGTGGCACGTCACCTACAGGATTTCGGGCACTTCTACGGCAGCAGCTACGTGGCGGCCCCTGACGGCAGCCGCAGCCCCTCCCTGGCGCGACACAAGGACGGCTTGCTGGTGGCTGATGTGGACCTCAACCTGTGCCGCCAGGTACGGAAGGACTGTTACCTACCCTACCTTAAGTGCTGCCGGTGTGGGCATATGTGCTATGGCGGGCCCAGCATACGCACCGGTATGCTGCATGCTTACCTCGGGTCACCTCCCCGCCTTCTACCCGCAGGTGAAGGACAAGTGGGGCTTCAACATGACGTCACGCTACGAGATGTACGCGGAGCTGTTCAACCGCTACGTGAAGCCCGACTACAAGCCGCAGGTCATTCGGGACCCCTCGCTGTGAGGGGTCCGGGTGGGGCATGGCCGCATGGGAGGAGGGTAGCTCTCTAGCTGGATGTATATTGCGTTTGGGCACGTGTACCATGTTTTCATAAAGGCAAGAGGATGAATTGGGTTTGCTCCTGCTTGGGAGTTAGGAGCATGTCCTGCAGGTGTGATAAATGTGAGAACAGCCGTTCGTGAGTGTATATTACCGGTATGTACGAGTAATGCTGTGTGTGACGTACGTTAGGGCGAGGGAGACCGTGAACACATGCGCTACTTCCCAAGGCCTTTGCAAAAGGAGGGGTACCTCGAGGATGGGGCTTTCAATTTTGACGGATGGTTCCGGATGCCACTCAATCGAGAAAGTGAGGATTTACAGGGCCGTCGGCGATGGTGGGTTGGTGGCCTGCCGTGAGAAAGCTCAGTGACGCAGTGAAATGTGCTGTCGGGGCTCCTCGAGCGGTCGCTCCAATGGAGGATTGCGGATGCGTGCGTAATTCTGCCCGGCAAGTATTGATGTACAACCGTTCCCTTGCTGGCAAGTGGTAACCCTTACAACGGGTACCCCGAGCACAGTTGCTCAGTAGGCGAATCCGTCACCCACAGCCTTCCATGACCTCTGTCGCTCCCCCTAGTCATGCCGCGAAGCGTACAGCATGGTAAACTCTGGTCAAGCCAAAGGAACACCCGGAAGCTATGCTAACTGCACTGCTCGAGTTTTCCACACTGCCAAACCTCGATGTATGTGAGTGATGTGACGCTATCCAGCAAGCATAATACAGCTGCATGCAACGTGTGGTGCTGCAATCACCCCGGCTGCGACCTCAGGCGTTTCAGGACACACCAACGAATGCCGAGACGGCCTACCGAAGCTCATCCCCCACCCGCTCGTCCCGAGGCTTCACGACTCTATTAGCCCTTCTGGCCCCGAGGCCGCTGTCTTGCGCGTCGTCCTGTCAAGGGAAAGGATTGGGAAACAGCCAACAAAGGACTCAGCATTCCACTCGGCGCCTGCGATAACAACGCGCGCAACACAAGGCTAAGCTACTACAGCGACTGCTGCGCATCCTCCAGCCTACGCCTGCAGCCCTCTGTCCCTTTTCTCTGCTCCCCCGCTCCTTCAGCCTGCAGCCGTCTTCTCGCTTACTCACCCCTCCTGGCCCGCCCGCCCGTCCTCACCGCTGGCAGCTTGGGCATGTCCGCGTACAGCCCCTGCTCCTTCTGCTCCACTAGCCGCGCATCCAGCAGCCCCAGACCCACGCGGTGCAGCGCCGTGTCAAGGGTATTGTAGGACCTGCGACCCATGGGTCCTACTCGTCACATCCCCAGACGGCAACCCGCACCAGCGCAGCCTGTCACGCGCCACCAGACGATAAACCCAACTCCTTAGTAAACCCAAGCCCAAGCAACATACCCTCACAGCCTCACTCTTACCGTATGAGGTCCAGCACATCTGCAGGTATCCGCTTCCGAGCAGCCTTGCTGAACGACACCTGCCGCCCGTCCGCAGTGCACAGCGCCGCCAGCGACTGCTCCCGGCGGGTGGCAGCCCGCTGCTGGGCCCGCGAGGCGCAGCGCATGAACTCATTACCCACATTGCTGTTGGCTGCGATTAGGGCATGGAAGCATACGAGGGACGACATGGGATGGGTTGAGCAGGGAGCTGAATGGAGCAGACACAACATGGGGTGCGGCTAGTTCTGTTAACACGCAATGATGCAGCGCAGTCAGCTGTCCTCCTTCGTCTTGAGGTGGCTGTTAATCAACAAACGCGCGTCATGAAACGCAGGGCTTGCGGAGCCTGTCCGCCGACGCGACTCACGTATCCGCTTGAAGTCCAGGTCCAGTGGGTTGCCGAATGCGTCCGAGGTTGCCACCGAGATTTTGTTCGTCGCCAGCAGCCTGCAGAAGGGACCGCGTCCGGGGCCGGGTGTGAAGAGTCGGAGTGATGCAGTAGTTTCAGGGAATGCGACAGAAGCGCCATGGCAAGCCTTGAGGGAGCGGGAAACCTCAGCCAGGACTAAGGCCGTCGTGGCAAGCCTCCTCGCATGCCAGACCCACACACCACGCACGCGGGCACGCACCTGCGCTGCTGCCCGCCCGCCTCCAGCTCCTCCTCCTGCCCTCCACTCAGGGGCTGCTGCTCCACCTGCTGCTCCACCTACGTGCGCACATGGGACATAGCAGGGTTAGGAAGAGCAAAGCGCCGTTACTCGACAGGACCAGGACCAATCCTTTAGGTGTTATAATGAGGAGTAGGGAGAGTTAGTCAACGCAACGCTAGCCTCAAAAGAACGCCGCGTATGCATGCAGGCAAAGTCGTGCGGCCCGGGCAGGCACCCACAGGCAACAAGGTGCGAATGAGTTTAGGTGCGCATGGTTAGGTTTAGGGAACCCCCTTTCCAGGGGCCTCTCCGGTGCAAAGCTGCTGAAACAGCGGAGACGCCATGGTGCACAGGCGAGCAACCCCCCTCCGTTAAAGCGTACCTCTTGCTCCGCACCCATAAGCCGCCGGCGGGCGCCTTGGGCGGCAAACACGTTGTCGACAGCCTCGCTCCTGTGGCAGCAGCCGCGCACAAGGGTCACCAGCTCATCACAAGGCACCGCGCACCCGAATGCGAATGGTGACAGTACAGGGAAAGAAGGCAACAGTACCGCTAGCTCGGCTACAACTGCATCACAAGCCGTACTGAAAGTACGTCTCCTCCGCAGCTAAGTACCATGGCGGCTGGTTAAGCGCGCTGGGCTAGCGATCCCTGAGCGACCCGTGGGTCACCCGTGTCAGCCTCACCCCTTGTCCGCTGCCTGTCCGCGGCCTCCCAGCTCCTGAGGCAGCTGATCCCTCAGCGAAGCCAACTTATCCTGAACAGCAAAACAAGACAGGAGGGTAAGGAAGGGCCTTGTGCTGTTAGGGCCAGCGCCCAGGGCCGGGAGGGCCCGTCGGCTCCGTTTACGGGCACTGTTACGTCCGTTAGTAAACCAAGGAGAAGGCACACATACCGGTAAATTGGCGTCAGGAGGCAACCGCCGTCCTTCCTAGGCTGCACAGCTGCACAAGCTGTACGTGAGAACCTGTCCCCGCCTACTACGTTTCTCTTTTCCCGGCTCAGTTTCGCACCTGTGCCTGAATGAGGCTCTTCCTCAGCGCCTCCACTCGGCCCCGCAGCACATCCACCTGCTCAGCGGTCAAGCTGCCCTGCAGGCAACGAAACACATGCATGCATGCGTGCGTGACATGCATGCAGGTGCCGGTACCGGTAAGTGGCAGGTGTATAAGGAGGGAGGGAGAGGCGGAGGCTCCAAGCGGAGGCCGGAATCCAGGTTTGTACGGGAAAGTGTACCACATCTCCCAAGCGCCATCGGCTTTCGCTTCACCTCCTGCCTCGCGCCCGCCGCGCTGTGCTTACCTTGATGCCATCCGCGAGTTCGCGTTGGGCGTTTTGAAGCCGCTGACGAGCCTTGTACGGCAGAGGGGAGAGGAGTGGAGAGGAAGACACAAGGGAAGACGATTCATTTGCTGATGGTAGTAGATCACCAAACACCTACTGGAAGGAAGATAAAAGGAGGAAAGCGCACCAGCACGGAAACAGTCGCTTGTGAACAGTCGCCGTCCCCGTCCATACCTCGCCTCATGCAAACCTCCCACCAGCCACGTACCTCACTCCATCTCCGCCATGTCCCGCCCGCCCAATCCCAATCCCCGTACCCTCCCGTACCTCTCGGACCAACTTCGCCTGCAGCTGCATCTGCGCCGCCAGCCCGCTTCCTGCCCGCCCTCCTGCCCCGCCTCGGCCGCCCTGCCCCCCGCCGCCGCCCTCCCCGGCCCTGCGGCGCACTCCGCCCGACCCCGCCACGTCGTCATCACCGCCGGAGTAGGCGGGGCTGCTGGTGCTGTAACCCAGCGACACCTGCGGCACGATGCGGTGAAGGGAAATGGTGGTAGTGGTGGTGGTGGTGATAATGATTATGAGGAAGAGATGCTGGTGGTGGTAGGGGCTCTAGTCTATAATGGAGCTTATAGGACCTTACAGGGAGACGGGGTTAAAGCCATAGGGCACATTCGCTAAGCGGGCGGTCGTCCGCACCCATGCCCCTTTTCCCAACCACCTCCTCCTCCTCCTCGTCCAACGTGCCCGCCCCCGCCCAGCAGCCACACCCACCAGCGCTGAGGCGGCTGACTCGAACAGACGGTCTGTCGTACCCACGTGGCTGAAGCGCCGTACACGCTCCTGCGCCACTCGCAGCATCTGGTCGCGAAGGCTGTCGTACGATTTGAGGCAGCTACGGAAGGCGCCCGCATCGCCCCAGTGCGAGTAGTTGGTAATGCCGAGCACCTGTGTTTGAGGGGGCGTGACATGACCGCAAGGAAACACTGACTGTGACCACAGGAAGACCCGTGCGGGAGGGAAAGGTGCGTGGTGGGAGGATGCAAGCATGCATGCAAGCGGGGAAAGATGGGTACGGTTCAATGGTGATTTCAAGTGGCAGAGCCGGAAGGCGTGAAAGCTGCCCAGGACAGGTTGGCTGCGCCAGCAGCCCCACTCCCTGCCCATCTCGAGCGACCTTTCTGGCCCGAGTATGCGCTCCGCCATGCCTCCTGTCCCACCCCCCCCCACACACACAACAGCCGCTGTTCAGCCGTGGCGTCATTCCTCTCCCACCAGCGCAGCCCCCACTAGGAGGCGCAGCCCCCGCCTCACCTGGAAGGTCGCCCCGTTGTGCAGCAGCTCAGCAGCAATGGGATGCTGTGCAAAGTCCTGGGAGGTGGCAGGTGGGACATGGGGCATGGAGAGGCAAGTAAAGCATGGCGGCTCTGAGCCTGCTTCTGAGGCTGGCTAATGCTCATCATGGCTCATGGGTCATAGCCCATGCTCGCACTCGCTCGTACCGCTGCTCCGCCCCACCCAGCGTTACACAACACCGCCTGCTTCCATAGCTGTCACAACCTTCCGCGCGATGTATAGATCTCAAGCCGTCACCACACATGGGGCATTCCCACCCCAACCCCACCTCGCACAACCGAACACAGCAGGCGCGCTACTCAGTTCCAACACCCACACCTTGAGGCTCATGACCAGCTGGTTGTCGTACGGGTCCAGCAGCGGCAGCACGCCGCCTCCCGCCGCCGCCTCCTCCTCCGTGAGGTTCCACCTGGACACGTTGAGCGCCTTGTTGAAGTACCAGCGCTCGCCGTCCTGCTCCACCTCGATCCAGCGGCCTGGGCAGCGGAGGAGCCAGTTTGGAGGTGGGGAGAGAGGATGGGAGGAAGGAAGGAGATGGATAAGGGCATAGGCAGGGGGAAGTGCAGGGCGATGGCGGCCCGTGGGTCACAAAGAATCCGCTGCCCGCATTAGCCGCCCGCATTTGCTTGCGCTAGAGCTGCAGCGGTAACTAGCCGGCCATGAAGGGTGTGTGGGGCTTGGCTTACCTTCTTCGGGCTGTGCTATGGCCTGAGCTGCGGCCACCTGGGGGAAGACGAGAAGTTGCGGCGAGTTGGAGACGAGGAGGGGGCTGATGTAAGGGCTAAACGAGGACGTGCTAAGGGTGAACGGTACGCAGGTGCAAGGTGGTGGAAACCAAAAGCGGCACTACCCTGCAGAGCTAGGTGAACACCTACCCAGCGGCAGCCATGCCCGTTGTCGTACATGGAGACATGGCCCCTACCCTGAAAGTTCAACGGCCCTTTTACCAGTTCTATCGCCCGCACCTTTGGCTGCATGTCCTCTTGGAAAAAGGGAATCAGGTATGACCATGGCCATACATCCTCCGTCGCGATCCTGCCAACTTTCTTGCGGTAGTTCTTGGGTCGCCTTAGCGACCGCGCAGCCACTTCGATCGCAAATTCATATGCTGATATAAACCGGTCCAGGGGGTCACGTAGCTGTGAGATGACTGCCACGTCTGGCGGCAGCATCGATACGACGCTAAAATCGTCATGCGATGAAAGCAAGTAACAGTTGGGCATGCTCATGTTGGACAACCGAAGGTGATCGTAGGCCTTGGGACATCTCCGAGCTGGATGCGTCACCGTTTTGAGCAAGCAACTATGAAACGTCCGCCCAGCTGTGCGCGGGACGTGCAAGAAGTAAACCATGTTCGATCCCGTGTATGGCACCGCCTCCTTGTGATGCTTCTCTAGGTAGTGGTCCGTAAGAGCCTGGCACTCATGTGCTGTCTGGCTAAGCGAAGGTTGGGCAAGGCCAAGGAGCGCCAAGCCCACCAAAGCGAGGGCACAAGGGCCCGTCATGTGTCTGTATTATTTACTACTCCATGAATTATATGGCCAATAAACAGTTCAGGGACAGCCAAAGGAGGAAACTATGTTACGCTGTCACGGATGATTGCATGGGCCGTGCCGATGCTGTAATCACTAAAGAGACCTTGTACAATTCAGAAAGTAAGTATTGGTGCCCAGATATTGATTACACTTTCGTGAAGATGAACGTTCGTATAGAATTCCAAACGTCGCATCTAGTTCTTGTTGCATGGGGGTTGCCTCGGGTTGCTACCCCGAGTAAGTCCCGAGCAATACTTATGCGTCTAACACTACCTCGCCAAGGCCCAGCCTCATCCGCAGTATAAGTTCGCAGTCACAGAGCAGCCTGCGTACATGTCATGCCGACGCCCAAAACGCCGCGTGCCTACCAACCTCCGCCAATTCCCGCACATGCCACCGTCAAGCATATACCAAATTAAGAGGTGCTGTTAGTTCTGTTCCCGCAGCATGTATCCTCGGGCATGGGTTTGCAAATCACCTCCTCGTAATACCCGTACTCCCACTTCCGCGGATTGGAACTGTCCCAGAGCTCCTTACATGGCGATCGAAGTGCCTGCGACAGCAACCAAGGAGGGCTCGGTTGTTTGGTTGTTCGGTTCCGATGTTTCCAGTAGCGCGCAAACCCCTCGACCTGTGTATAGCCCATTGAGGTCTGCTGCATCATGACCACTTGAAGTCTACAACCCAAATGGGGTATACAGACATTCCCCTGACAACCTAACGCTTGACCCGATGTCCCTTCCGTTCCTTGCTAGTCATCTTGCCTCTCCGAACGGTCCCATGCAGTGTTATGGCCCTTGGCAGCTGTCCCAACCGTCCCGCGTTTGGCACGTCCCGCTTGGCACTAGTCAGCAACCGGTACAGCCTAAACAGAGAGCCTCTCAAGATAGGTAACGGGAGACAGGAGCACAGAAGCAGCTGCCAACCACCAACGGTATGGACATAACCTATATTACCGCTTACCTTGTCCATCACATAGCCCAGGAAGCGGAACGTGTTCATGGCATCAAAGTGCCAGTCGAAGAGCGGAGTCTGAAGGGAGCGGAAATCAGGCGCGACGTGGGAGGAAACAGCCAGGGGCGCAGTCACAGCAATACCCCATACAATTACAGCACTGAAAGGCACGGCGGTATGGATTTCTCACGACGCTCACACCTGGAGGAGACAGCACAGCAAGCCAGGAAGCCCATACCTCGTCCTACCACCACAACGCCCATCAAGCCCTGAAACGTTGCTTCGCCACTGTGGACCCGCAAGCCCTGCAGCACACCCACCATTTCCTTTGTCCACACGTTCTTGAACTGCCCCTCCGTGCACTTGTTGCAGTTGGGCCTCAGGCCCTGGGCCCGAGTGGGCGAGTCAGGCCGGCGGTCGTCAAAGATCAGCGTCGAGTTGAATGTCGCATAAGCCTGCACGCGACATACACACACAGCACAGCAGCAGCTCAGCCATCTCCCTCCCCTTCGCACAGAGGATTCATATCCCTAAAGCATACCGTATGCCCGGCGTCGGCCACATGCGGAAGCCTCATGCGCCAAGACCCACGGGTACCCCAGATCCCACCCACATGGGCTCCGCAGCACTGCAGCACTGCAACCCACCCAGCCGCCCACTCACCGCCGCCACCGTGCTTGCATCCAGCAGCGGACTCGCCTGCGGTGGGGCTCAGAGGGAAAGCAAACCGATTGGAACCACAAGGCAGGACAATGGGGATGGGAGGCGGTGAGGCAGGACGGAAGAGTGCTACTGGAGTCCTCTTCAAGCAGTCCTAACGCCCCAGCAAAGCGGGTGCAATGCAGCGGACTATAGCAGACAATGGATGCCAGCTATGAATACGTGAGGCGCGTTACTCGTCTTCTTCACAGGAGCCAGATGGCTGCCGGGGGTAAAACAGTCCTTACGTGCGCACATGCTTGCCTCAGTCGTCTCGCCAGCTTACCAGGCGTGTGAATGCCTCCACGTACTGCTTGGCGATGTTGTGGTCCAAAAGCTCTTTCTGAGGGGCGGAGAGGCACAAGCGCGGTGGCAGGATGCAGAGGAAAGGGACACACCATTCAGTTTGGGGTTGAAATCTACACCCCCCTTGCCACAGCACACTGTCAGCCTCACCCCAAACCGCGCCCCGAACATCCCTAAGCCCAGCCCTCAACCGCAACTTGGGTGCTGCTGCTGCTGCTGCACCGAACCAACCCGAATCCAACCTAGTCCATGCCATCCCATCGCAATCCAGCAAACCCAACCCAACTCACGTCCTGCCAGTCCCGCTTGGCTGCTGAGAAGCGCGCGCACAGCCAGCTCGGCAGCAGCCCCAGGTCCCGCACGCTGCCGTCCGGCGTGATGGGCTCGCCGCAGGCCACGGAGCCCACCTTGTACGGCAACACGTGGCTGGGGCAGCTGCAGGTGCTGGCATTCTGCATGCATGCGTACATGCATGCGGTTTAGAAAGGGTGCGGAGGAGTAGGTAGAGGAACAGTCTAGGTAGGCCTAGGCATTTTGTATGACATGGACAAGCTTAAGATTTGTTGGGTTGACTGGTTGCAACCACTTGGGCAGAGCTGTGTGGACATCTGCATGATGTGCTACTTGACAACATGAAGCGCCGTAGTACCTGACTAAGACACCAGGAATACGGGCAGCAGCTCGCAGCACTCCGGTAAAAGCAAGATCCAAATGCATTTGCCCTTGCCTAAGAAGCCCATTACGTACCAGTTTGGTGCCGTACACTCCGCAGCTGACGCATTCCCCACCCAGCCGCGGCCCCAGGACCGTCCCAGCTGCCGTACAGGATGTTGCAGCAAAGGAGTTGAGGACGTACTGAGTGAGCGGCGGCGCGGTGAAGGGAAACACCCCCTGGTTGGCGGCATCTGAGGCGACGGCTTTCAGACGCTGCAGGCAGTCCTGTGGGCAGGAGCGGAAGCGGGGGACCCATGGGGGGGCCATGCCTGGAATATAAGCAACGATGGATGCGAGAATGGCGAATGCACCGGGTATGCATGGCCAGGCACGCATGCGCGAGGAGGTCGCAAAGCAAGGGGTGAAGCGGAGATTCCTGTGGCAGACTTCTCGGCTGGGATCCGCCGAGCCTTTTGGTGTTATGAAAGAGGATACAGCGGTTGGTGACGGCGTGGCATGGCACGAGAGGGGCTCTCCTACACAGCTGTCCGGCCCATGCAGGTCCCATGCGTCATGGCAAGACGTATCCCCTGCCTGGCCTTATTAACCCAGCGGTTGGAGATGAGACCTAGTTTCCAAACTCAACGACCAGCCCCTAGGTCGCACCGCAACACTAGTCACGTTGTCAGGCGAGGGCCCCAGGCCCCGTTTCATCGACTCCGCGCAGGCGTCAAACATGGTGTCCATGTACGGCACGATGGCTGGCCTGTATGCGAACATGGGGCCAACGGGGTGCGACTTGAAGTCGGGTAAAGACTTCAGAGGATGGCTAAGGGTGCTTACTCCTTCAAGACTGATACATGCAGGTCTGTGTAGTGACAATACCCTTGATGAAGCTAACCCAAGAGCTCTGGGGGAACCCACCTCATGGGGCATGCAGCGCCGTACTTGTTCCCACGTACGGAAAACAAGACCGTCTGGATCTCATCTGCTCCACTGCCGTACGTCTCAACCGAGTGTGTAATGGGTGCGATCCATAAGATCGGCGTCACATTGCTACTGTACGACCAGGTTGACTGTGGCGGCATGGGCGGCGGCGGCGGCGACGCCATCGGCGCCGTTCCGTTGCCCGTCCAGGGCGGCGGAGGCGGGGAGGTGGCGTGCCGCGGCGGTGGCGGCGGCGGGGGCGGCGGCGCGGCTGCTGTGTTTGGCGCGGGCGGGTTCCGGAGCTGGACTACCATCGTGTAGCGCGTATCGGCCTTCCAGGCGCCTGTGCGGGAGGCAAGGAGGGGGAGCATGGAAAGGTTCACGCACTTTGTGTTGCATCATAAGCAGGAGGGGTTTAACTGCGGTAGAGTGTCAACAACGACGATAGAGATGATGTGAAGGAGGGGTAGTCCCGTGGGATGTTCTACGATGACGCTGTAGGACTGTACTACTGCATTCAGCAGGAGCAGGAGCAGCACCGGCAGTACCTGTCAGCAGGAAGCAGTTGCCCTGCTGCTGCTCCTGCGACCCCGCCTGCGCGGTGGGGTCCACGGGGAAGTCCACCACACCACGAATGGACTGCCCGTCCTGGTCCTGAACCAGGTCATCATACCTGCGGACAGAGTGTGGGTATTTGCTTGTTGCAGGGTGCTGAAAACAATTCCGAGCCTATTGCTGCATGGAGAGGCACGTGCCGTGCGTCCGCATACACAACCGCATGAGGAATGAGGGTGCGTTGAGTGATGTACACTTGACGGGTGCCCGTGGCGTGTTGTAGCGGGTGTTTTGGACATGAGGTGAGTGGCACTAACCTCTGAAGCCGGTAGCTCCCGGCATAATAGGGGTCGGTGCCTAGCACCTCATACACCGTAGACACCTCCAAGCTGTCGATGTCACCGAAGGTGAAGAAACGCGACTCGTCGACCGCCGATTCATCCGTTGAGAATATTGAGCCGCCCGACCACAAATGGACTATTTTGATGTCGCTCCTTGTTAGGTTCACTCGGGTGCTAGTAGCGCAAAACAGCATGGATGTGGGGTCGACGAAGCGCGGCGTGCTAAATTCGAAGGTCACGTTTGCTACATCTTGGTAAGCAACGCTGCTATATAGTAGAATGCGGCACATGAGGCCGGTAAGCGATGCCGCGGACAACATTTTGGGGTAGCCTTATGAAAGCTTTCAAGGTAGACACATAGGCCTGAAACATCTTAATATTTCTTCCATACTTGCTTGTTCAGCTGGCTCTTGTGAGCTTGGTAGGGTTTACCTCCACCAGCTGTTCGCGCGGATCCAGTCTGAAACCAACCGTTAAAGTACAGGTATCTATCCAGCCATTTGCACTAAGCTTTTGTCTCGTCGAGTTTGTTAACTGCATAAATAGAATCTGAACAGTAATCGCTTAGGATCACATCTACGTGCAAGCACCTGTGGATTAGCATGCGCATGCCTGAATTTGGTAAGGAGCATATGGAGGAGCGCTAACGGCCAAGTGCCATACTCACTTGCGCAGCAGAAGTTGGGCAAAGAAGAATTGAATCATTGGGGATAAGCCAGCCGCCACGTCCATACAGCTTCAGGGTACGCTGCTCATGTCGAGTGCCTGACGCGCGCAAGCCATAGGCCGTAGGTCACTTATCGAAAATCACATAGGTCATCCATACGGCTAAGACACCAACATTCCTCTTGTTCCTGCCTCAAGCGCATGCACGCATGCACCTACAGCTCCTGCCGCCACCTCCGCTCCTCCCTGCCTACGCATCCTACCCCTCACCAAGCTTTCCACCGCCCCTCCATCGCCCCTCCACCTCAACCTTTGTCAGGATTCCATCACCTTTAACCTACTCTTCTTCTCCTCTGCTTACTCAAACCCTCCCTCTCCTCCTTCCCTCCCAGCTCCCACCCCTCCCCGTCGCCTTATCAGTTACCACACGGTCAGTTAGTTGTTTCCTCTTTACCAGCACACCCTCCCCCTGGTCCCCCCTCCCCGTCCCGCTCCCGCTCCCGCCAACCATCCCTTGCGCACGCTCCCGCCACCCCTGCCTCTCCTACGCCCCCGCCACCGCCCTGCTCAGCTCCTGGTACGCCCGCTGCACCTCCTTGAACCGCTCCTCCGCAGCCGCCTTGCCCGCCGCGTCGCCTGCGGGGTGCAGGTCCGGGTGCGTCTCCTTGGCTCGCGCGCGGAAGGCGGCCTTCACGGCAGTCGCGTCCAGTGCTGCGGACAGGTCCAATCCCAGCACCAGCATGTGCGGACGGAGCTCCGGAGGGTGCCGGTGCTGCTGGTGTTGGTATTGGTATTGGTGGTGTTGCTGCCAGTACTGCTGCTGTTGTGTTTTGCTGGAGGAGGAGGAGGAGGAGGCGCCGGCGCTGCCTGCTTTAGCCTGGAAGCGCTGCCACCAGTTGGCGGTGAAGTGCTCAGCGCCGGAGGAGCCTGAGAAGCCGCCGCCAGCGGTACCGCTGCTGGCGTTGCTGCCGCCGGAGGAGGCGCCGTCGTCGGCCCAGAACTGAGAAAACCATTCCCTGCGTGGTGGGAGTCGAATCGCGGATCAACGTGTTGAAAGCAACAGGGAATGAGGGAGCTACACATTGTATAGTTTCGCCCCTCCCTACTAGAGCCCCTACCATACTGCTCCTGTCCCTCCATTGCCCCCACCGTCCCTCACCGTTCATCCTCAAACGCCGAGCTGTAGTGCTTGCCCTTGCCGCGCCCCCGCCGCCCACTCCCTCCCCGGCCCGTCTCCGCCTCCGAAACGAACTCCGCATACTCCTCATAGTCCACGTAGTGTCCCGGCCAGCGCCGTTGGAACCACTCCACGCCTCGACGACCCCGCGCTTGCTGCTGCTGCTGCCGCCGTTCCTCCCCGGCCTCACGCCCCTGCCGGGCCCCCTGCTTGCCGTCGCGACTTGTCCGCTCCCGCTCCCGCTCGCGGTTTCGGTCCTCACGTGAGGATGATGCCGTACGTTGATGCCCTGAGGAGGAAGCGGACGAGGAAGCGGACGAAGCATGCTGCCGGGGGTGTTGATGTTGGTGTTGGTGCGAGTGCTGTTGGCTGTGGTGGTGGTGGCGCGGGTCGCGGCCTAGGTGCGGGTGCGGATAGCGCTCATCCTCAGCGGCGGCTTCCCAACCACCCTCGCCTCGGCGCGCGCGACGATTGCTCTTCCAGCGCGCTGCCTCCTCCGCCTCCTCATCTACAAACCAGGTATCTTCTCTACGACGTCGTTCCTTGCGACTGCGGCTGTCACCGCCTGCGAAGCTTGCTGAGCTGTTGTTGCCGGACATTCCCTCCGACTGTTGGGCCTTATGGCTCCGTTGTTGTTGTTGTTGTTGGTGGTGGTGGTGGTGGGCGCCATGCATGTGGCTGCTGTGGAAGTGCGATGTGCTGTGCGGTCGCAGGCGCTCGAACACGATGTTGTGCAGGTGGTCGTACTCGTGATCAGCTTTGCCGGATGCATCGCTCTTGCTCCGCTTGCTGCCGCTGCTAGCTCCTGCGCCTGCGCTTTTGGCGCTGCCGTCCGGCTTGCCGCTGTTGGTGCTGCTGCCGCTGCTGCTACCGTCGCCGTGGCTTTTGGAATGGAAGCTGCGGTGGTGGTGACGCCCCGGGTGCGAGGTTGTGTGTCCGTCCACCCCTGACGTGGACTTTGACTGGGAGTCGTCGGCATCGTTTTCAGAGTTCATGCCTGCGCTCATATGGAGCGGGTGTGCAACAGGTGAAGTTAAACGTCAAGCAGGCGAGGTAAGGGAACACTAAAGACTACACGAAATAGGAAGGGGGATAAGCCCGTTCCCGCGGGTAAGCATTCCTACGGGCTCCGTGCCTGCGGTGACTTTCAAGCATTACCCTTGCTCCAACAAGGCGACACACCTTGGTTTGGCGGCGGCACATCCTCTAGGTGCTTCAAGAGGTACTTCAGGTCGTCTGGGTGTAAACGGTCAGGTAGCCGGTCGGCGAAGGGTGCTAGGATGCGGGCAGTTGTCGTTGATGCGGACGCTGAGGTCGATGCAAAGCAAGAACCGACTGGAGCCAGACCATAAGGGGCAGCTTGTCGTGCATGGCCAACGATCGCCGCCTGGAGGGTTGGGAAAATTTACGTTGCAGATGCTGAATCAGCTTGCGAGGGAATGCACCTCGCGCCACCTTTGTGTATTACGCAATACTTACTGAGCAAAACGGCAAGAGCGCGTCCAAAAGCACACTAGCCGGCAGCCCAGTCACTGCCGAAAGCACGATACGCGACATCGGTAAGTAAACGACTAATGGGTCACTCTTTAAATATCAAGCCATCTGCCATAAGCGTTGACACGTTATGTAGCTCACACGCATAGTCATAGCCTGTTTCTCCGCCGGCCCGCCTACTTTGGCATGACGCCGTACAACTTACGGGGAGCGGATTGCATTCTTGTTACCACGTAATTAGTTGGAGCCGTTTGCACTGTTATGCACAATACCTGACGCTGCCGCTACCATCAACGCGCCTCCGCATACTTGCGCAAGTTGCAACTGCGTCTTGCAAGCAGACTACTAGTAGGAGTGCTGCAATTCCTCCACCAGAATCAGTCGCAATTGTATAGCACTTATCAGTGGGGATGCCGGGGAAGGCACCGGCAAGCAGTGGCGGCGCCATGGTGAACAGGAAACATAAGCGAGCGAAGACCGACGGCGTTCGCGACGACGCTGGTGCTGGAGCAGCCGATCCAACCAGCGCTAATGCCACTGCAGCGCCGCGCGTGAAGGCGCAGCCTTTCAAGAAGGCCCGTAAAACCCCGGCGATGGCATCGCAACCAGACGACGCTGCCACCGCGAACGACGCCACGGCTGCTGCGCGCGCACCGGCGAGGAAGAAGAAGCGCGGCAACTTCTGGGACAAACTTTCTGGCTGGAAGGAAGTAGAGGTTGGCGATGACTTCCTGCTAGGCGCCGAGGAGGGCGGCTTCGCTGGCCTTGAAATCCTAGACGACCCTGCTGTGCTCGACCAATACATGCTAGAGGGCCAGCCTGGGGCCGAGGAAAGCGGCGACGGCGGTGATTTTAACGATGGTGACGACGGCAATGACGGCGACGCTGATGTACGACAGGCCGAGGAAGCCGCCGCCGTGGATCCAGTTGCTGACGCGGCGGCTCCGAAGAAGGAGAAGACGAAGAAGGAGAAGAAGCCTAAGAAGGGTAAGGACGTGGCGGCGGCAGCTGAGGCGGCGGGTGACGGAGGCGAAGCCGCCGCTGAGCCCGCTGCAGCGGAGGCGGCAGCCGGCGAGGGTGCTGCCGTCGTCGACGCCGCCGCCGCTGCAGCAGCGGCAGAGGAGCGCAAGCGCAAGCAGCGTGAGCGCATGAAGGCCAAGAAGGCTCGGCGGAAGGAGCGGCGGATGCAGCGCCTGCAGGGCGGCGAGGGCGGCTCCGCTTCCGGGGACGAGGGCGACGGCGGTGCCAGCGAGGATCCCGACGTGGCGGCGGCAGCTGATGGGCAGGAAGGGGCCGCCGCGGGGGCCGCTGCCCCGCCGGCCAAGCGGCGGAAGCAGGAGCCTGCTGCTGCTGCCGCTGCGGCGGCGGCTGAGGCGCCAGCAGCAGCTGCCAGCGGTGGCGCCGCCAAGCCAAAGCCCAAGCAGCCACAGCCGCAATCAAAGCAGCAGGAGGAGAAGAAGAAGCCGCAGCAGGAGAAGCCACAAAAGGCCCAGCAGAAGCAGGAACCCGTCGACGCGGAAGGTCAGGACGACGAGGAAGAGGAGGATGCTGCAGCGTCCGAGGAGGCCGAAGCGGCAACTGAGGAGGAGGCGGAGGCGGAAGAGGACCACCCCACAGCAGTTGTGGAGGAGGAGGAGGAGGAGGAGAAGGAGCCTGTTGACATGAGCGCCTGGGAGGAGTTTGAACTGCACCCCTCCGTGGTTTCGGGGCTGCAGATCTGCGGTTTCGGAGCTCCCACGCCCATTCAGCGCGAGTGCCTGCACCCCGCTATTCGCGCCCGCGCTGACATCATCGGTGCGGCACAGACGGGAAGTGGCAAGACGCTGGCGTTTGGGCTCCCCATCTTGCACATGTTGGCGACGGAACGGGCGGCAGCGGAAGCGGCGGCAGAGCGGGAGCAGGAGGAGGAGGAGGAGGGGAAGGAGCAGGAGGAGGGGCAGGAGGAGCAGGTGCATGGCAGCAGCGAGGGGGATGATGGCGAGGTGCTGACGGGGACGGAGGAGGGCGAGGAGGAGCGGGACGAGGAGATGCAGACTGCGGAGGAGAGCGAGGAGCAAGAGGAGGAGGAGGTGGAGGCCGCACCTGCCGCCACTGCCACTGCGGGCGGAAAGCGTGTCAGCAAGCGGCAGCAGCGGCAGCAGCGGCAGCAGCAGCAGCGGGGTAAGAGAGGGAAGAAGCAGCAGCAGCAAAAGAAGAAAAAGGGGAAGCAGCAGCAGCGGCGGCAGCAGCAGCAGCAACAGGCGTGGCCCAAGCCCGTGCCTGGACCCCTGCGTGCCCTCATCCTGACTCCCACCCGCGAGTTGGCTATGCAGGTGAGGAACGGGGAGGACAGGGTGGGCAGGGAAAGCATGGGGCGCATGGGGATTGGAATGATAGGCGGGGCAATATAAACGTGTTTTCTGTCAAACCAGCCGAAACTCCCTGCTGTCAGGGCTAAGCGTCGCCCGCATGCCCTGCCGAATGCCGCCGCCCTTCTCATGCCCCATCCGGCCATCCCCGCCAACATACGGCACTCTCCCCCACCCACCGTTGACGCCATCATAAACGGGTCTTCCTGCAATCACGTGTTCAGTGTTTCCTACCATACGGTACTTCCCCAGCCCCCCCACCCAATCCCTTCCCCCCCGCCCCGTTGACGCCCATCATCAACGGGTCTTCCTGTCAGTGGCTCGCTTTACCTAACTCCCCTCCCGCCGCCGCCCCCCGCCCCGCCCGCCCCCCACAGGTGTGCGCCCACCTGCAAACCATCGGCCGCCCCTGCGGCGTGCGTGTTGCGGCCATCGTGGGCGGCATCAGCGACGTGAAGCAGGCGCGACTGCTGGCAGCCCGGCCCGCAGTGCTGGTGGCCACACCGGGCCGCCTGTGGGACCTCATGTGCAGGTGGGTGGGTGCCCGCCTCCCCCGCCCCAACCCGCCCGCCATTCTCGCTCAACACGTTGGGTATTCTTCTTCTGGCACCCCTCGCCCCTTGCCCTCACACTTGTTCCCACCACCGCTGTCGTCCAGACCTCCCGTGCTCTGCCCCACCTGCACACTCCACCTCTGTCCCCACCTGCCCGCCATGATGATGCCTGATGACACGGGTCGTCAGCCGTTTCCTCTTTACCCCCTCCCCCCTGCCACCCCCCCGCAGGCCCCCCAGCACCGACCGCCACGGCCCCGCTGCCGCCGCCCACCTGGCCAACCTGACCTCGCTGTCCTTCCTGGTGCTGGATGAGGCGGACCGCATGGTGGCGCAGGGACACTACAAGGTGGGGGGGGGCAGGGGGGCACAGGGACAAGGGGGGTTGTGCTGGGATGGGGTGGGGCACTACAAGGTGGGGGGGCATAGGGGTCGAAGAGGGAGAAGCAGGGTGAACAGGGAGTCCTGGGGGGGCATAGGGGAGGCAGTGAAGGGCAGGTGGTGGGTTTCCTACTGCATTCATGTAGCTCCCCTCGTTCCGTTCCTAACCCCTGCTCCCACAACTGGGGTACCGGTAATATTAATCCTATTAACTCTTTTTAAGCCCTTTCTAACCCCCCTACCCCGACTTCATTCCCCGCTTGCGCAGGAGCTGTCCAACATCCTGGACCTGCTGCCCCACCCCACCCACGCGCGGGAGGTGACGGAGGACCCCGAGTTCGCGGAGCTCAAGGCCGCAAAGCAACAGAAGCAGAAGCAGGAGGCGGCCGCTAAGGAGAAGCAGGCTGGTTCTGAGGAGGAGGAGCAGGAGGAGGAGGAAGGCGGCAGTGGCGAGGGCGAGCAGTCGGAGGAGGCAGACGCCATGGAAGAGGCGGAAGAAGAAGAAGAGCAGCAGCAGCAGCCGGAGGAGGAGGAGGAACAAGAGGAGGAGGAGCAGGACGAGAAGAAGAAGGGCAAGGGCAAGGCCCACCTGTTGCAGACGTTTGTATTCTCCGCTACCCTCACCCTGCCGCTGTTCCTCAAGAAACGTCTGCGTCGCGGCGGCGGCGGAGCGGGTGGGGGTGCGGCCACCCTGGAGTCGCTGATGGACCGGGTGCCCTTCCGCACCTCGCCCGCACCTCGGGTGGTTGACCTGACCACGGAGCGGCGCATTGCGGAACGAGTCACGGAGGCAGCGGTGGGTCCGACAACTGGGGTTATGGGAGAGTGGGAATGGGGTTGGGGTGGGAACCTGAGCGAAAAGCTTTCTGCATAACCATATTTTTTGGCAAACACGGTACCCGGGTAGCATGGCGTAATTTCATTCACATAGCTGAGCCACTTGCTGGCATTCTGTTGGTATCCCTTTTAACTGCTTCGCTATATCCCAATTGCCCTGCCCTAACCTGTGGTTCTGGTACCTGGTTCTGACCCCCTCACCCTCGCCCCCCTCCCCCTCCCTCCCCCAGGTGAGCTGTCTGGAGGCGGAGCGCGACGAGGTGCTCTACTACCTGCTCGCCCGCCACCCGGGTCGCACCCTGGTGTTTGCAAACGCGGTGTCAGCCATCCGGCGGCTGGGGGCGCTGCTGAAGCTGCTGGGGCTGCCGGTGCAGCCGCTGCATGCGCAGCAGCAGCAGCGACAGCGCCTGAAGGTGGGTCAAAGACCATATCAGACCATAGGAGACCACAAGTTAGGGCAAAACAATGGGGAAGGTGGGGAAGGTGGGGCGGAGGAGGAAGGGCCGTGGAAGGAAGGGGAGAGATGGGCAGCGAGACTGTGGTAGCCTGACTCTTCGACAAGACAGCGTTGCTCGCGAAGACGCAGCGTTGTTTTCGTTCCTGCCGTCCTTCCTTACCTGAATTACCTCCCTTCCCTTCCTACTGCCCCAACACGTTTGACTACCGTATATGCAATCCTGAAATCCAGCCTAATGCGGAACATGCATAAAATTTCTTCCGCTTCCCTTCCTCTTCCCCGCCCCAGGCGCTGGACCGGTTCCGCTCCAACGACCAGGCCGTGCTTGTGGCCACCGATGTGGCGGCTCGCGGTCTGGACATCCCCGGCGTCACCACCGTCATCCACTACCAGCTGCCCGCCTCGGCAGATACCTACATCCACAGGTGGGGGTGGGGGGGCTGCGGGGGCTGCAGGGGGAATCCAAGACTCACGCATGCATGCTCAGTTCTATGAACATACTCATGCATGCTCTTTATCTCAGTGCCACATGCATGCTCATTTACCTTCACACGCACGCATGCTTGCAGGTGCGGTCGTACGGCTCGTGGTGTGTCAGGTGACGGCATCTCCATCGCACTCGTCACGCCGCGGGAGGCGCCCCGGTTCGCGGGACTAGCCCGAGTGCTGGGTCGGGAGCCGCCGCCGGCCTTCCCGGTGGAGGCGGCGCTGATGCCGCAGGTGGGTGCGTGCGTTAAGAAAACTGCGCGCGTGTGTGCTCTTGTGAGGGAGGGGTAAGAGCTGCACAAAGTGTAGTGAAGGGCCAGAAACGTGATAATAATGCCAAAAGGGGCTTTCAGAAGTCCATGTGCGCAGGCGTTCCCAAAGGTAGAATTATCCTTTTGGCCCTTTTAGACGCCTCGGGGGGGGGTTTGAAGGTTAGACGACGTGCCGTACTACGGCTGGCTTGCCATGTCGCCAATTTGCCAACTTGCCTACTTGGTGTTGGCTGTGCGGCAGGTTCGCGCGCGCGTGCGGCTGGCCATGCGGCTGGACGACATTGAGCGCAAGGAGCGGAAGAACCGCGCGGAGGATTCATGGAGGCGATCCAATGCCAAGGTAACGCTTCTATAATGAGGCAGCATGCTGGATTGTAGACACATGCATCCAATGTGTGCATTGCAGGGCTTTTTCTGACGGTGATAGGGCGCAGTTCTGTTATGGCGAGTATTTAGAAGTACTGATAACATGTGCACGATGCCGGTATGTATGGCCCGACCCGTACGCCGTACCCAACCCCCTAACTGTCACAACCATAACCAACCGCAGGCGCTAGGCTTGGATGTGAGTGACGACGAGCAGGGCGGCAGCGGCGGCAGCGACTCGGACGGTGAGGGCGGCGGGCGGCGGCTGCGCAACGGGCGGCAGTCGCGCCCAAGCGCCGAGGCGGTGTCCCTGAGGCAGCAGCTGGCGGCCCTAACGGCGGAGCCGCTGGCGCCCAAGATGAACCGCAGGTACGGTTACCGGTAATGAGATGAGATGGGGTGTGGGAAAGCTAGGAGTGAAGCACCGGAATTCCATGGGGATGGGGGGTGCCGGGGTTAAGGAGAGCCTCCCAAGATGAGCTTGCAGGTGCCACTGATGAGATGGGGACATCGAGGTTGGGTTGGGCTGGGTAGCGGGAGAGGTGAAGAGGCGCAGGGAGGGGTCGCGGAAGGTTGCAGCGGGATTGTTGCTCTGGTTACCGTACCCTGTTCCTCGTCACTACGGCACTCCAGTCGTGTACGCCCAATACCGCACCCGCGCATGCCAGCATGCCTTCCAGTTACCACCTGGCCCCCACTCTGCTAATAAAAACAAAACATCCTCATTAACAGGTACTTCACGGGCGGTCTCGCGGCTGCCGTCGCCACACGCGTCAAGGAGCCCGCCGCCGCACCCCGGCCGCCCTCCAAGGCACCCGCCGCCGGCTCCACCGCCGAGGTGCCCGGCGCTGCTGCCGCGGCGGTACCCCAGGCCGTCGCCCTGGCATCCCGGCTGCAACAGAGCCGCGAGGCGGTCGCCGCTGCCACCGCTGAGGCAAGCAAGAAGCGTGCCAAGAAGACCGCAGCTGCGAAGAAGGCGGCGGCGGCGGGCAAGGGGGCCCCCGCCGGTCGGAAGCTCGACCCGCGGTTGATTGTGAGCCGCAACCAGCTGAAGAAGAAGCACCATCGTGGCATGGTGGTGATTCCGCAGGCGTTTGGGCGGGATGCCGCGGCGCCGAATGCGCTTGAGGCGTTGCGGGCCCGCATGGCGGCGTTGGGAGGTGGAGGTGGCGCCGGAGGTGGAGGTAGCGGAGGTGGGGGTGCGGCGGGTGCTGGGGCGGGTGCTCGGTCGGGGGCTGCGGGGGGAGGAAGAGGAAAGGGGGGCAAGGAGGGAGGAGCTGGAGGCCGGGCGGGTGGTAAGGGCAGGGCGGGTGGTAAGGGGAAGGGAGGGGCCAAGGGGAGGAAGGGCGCCAAGGGACGAGGAAAGTAAGTGGGGGGTTGAGGATTGGGTACTGGTAGTGAGGGAGGCTGGAGATGGAGTTGCGTAGCGCAAAGGGTGCTGGCGGGCTGGGTGGCTGGGGGGATGAGAAGGTGGGATATGGAGGCCAGCTGGGCTTGGGTAGGTATGGGGATGCAGGGTAGTAGGTTTTGTTGCAGTAGTGGGGTGCAGGCCTCAGTAGTTGGGTTGCAACTGTACTAGGAGTGGGGTCGTTACGGTTGCAGGGCTGGCATGTGCTATGCAGCGTTTTCTCCAGTCAGAGCTGGGGGGTCCATCGGGCCGTTGAGCTGAAGAGGCTGCAAGACGGCTCTTCGTTTGCAAAGTCAAAGCTGGTTAGCAACGCCTTGGCTGTTTGCATCCTATCGGGCATCCAAAAGTGAGCTGTTCGGTGCTCGGTTGTTGCTGTTGTGTGGCGACTGAATACGGCAACATGTAGCAAATTACCATGCTATGTTGGATTGGAAGCGCGGTCTTGTGAGAGGGGCTGCTGTTGCGGATATTGTTTTGTTTGTGCACTTTCTGGGTCACCTGTGGGACGAGTCTCAGAAGCTTTGCGCAGGTTTTCTTGAGGGCCAGCCGTGAAAGGAATGCTTCTATGGACGCCGACATGCACATTGGGATCTTGGAAGCGCACGATATGTGCATTGTGCCTTTGCATGGGTATGCGTTTTGCAGGGAGCCAAACTTGCTGTTGTGTGGGGCCTCTGCAGGCTTGGTGGATCTCCTTGTTTGGTAGGTACGAGAAGTTCTTTTTGAGAAGTTAGAACGACTCAAAGCTGTCAATGGTAAATGGGCCTGCCTTGTGTAAGGAAGCACGTCACTTGGAGTTGTAACGCCTGACAGCAGGCTCCCAGTGCCTTGTTGTGGTGGAGGTTGCAGGCATGCAGCTGGGATCACCGTTTCACGTAACGGGTGTGGCCATGAAAGAGCGTGGCGAAATGGGTAGCGTGTATCGGAGGTTGGGCAAAGGAAGGCCACTAGCGCATAGGACACCAAGGGACGGGACTCCAACGGACAGCTAGCAAGCGGGTATGAAGCTAGCGTAGAGTGGCAAACATTTAACATGCTACATGTATTGCACGTGGCAACGGTAAAAACACCGCCTGAAGAGCAAGCTCAGGCTCGTACGGCATATATGTTTTGTCGAGCCTTAAACGTCTTTGGCACACTTCGTTCGAGGTAACTTACGTTTTTATATCGCCATGGTGACAGAAGACTGCACTTGCTATAGATTTGCATCGGAGGAACCTCACCGTGAAAGCATCGCAGGGTACAAGTGGAAATCAATTTACATAAGCCTATGACGATCGGGGAATACCTATAAGTTTGTTGAATTATAATGTCGGATGTGGAAAGCATCGGCGCAAGCAGCGCTCTGATGACTGCTCTAACATCCCGCGACGACCCAGTCACCGCGGCCGCATATGATTCGTTAGGACACAGATATGGCGCAGTATCACCTCAGACACGCTATCCTATGCCGAGCCAGGAGCCATCGGACGTGCCCCGAAGGCCGGCATTTCTTTCATGTAAATGGCCCGAAGGCAGCGACTGGGCCGTGGAGCTTGCTGGGGAGCTCCGGTTGTTGAACACACCAGTTGTTCACGATGCTCGCCATCATCTGAAGCTTCACGACGTCGAAGCCCTCGTCCGGGACAGTTGCTGCTTGGTAATGCTCGTGACCCCCGGCTTCTACCATGGCCTTATCAACAAGCCACCTGGAAACCGGGCGCTGAAGGAGGTAAGGGCCAATATATGTCTACGGTGCGTTTATTGAGCGAAACGTCCACTGAAAGACTGGACGCGGCTTACCGCCTGCCGTGCACTAGGCGGCAGTCCTGTCAAGCGCACGAAGATGGGGACGGTCTCACACGGGGGAAAAAGAGGTTCTCTGTTCCCTCGTCCCCTGCCTTTCACCCATATTTCCCTTCCCCGGGCTACCGCCAATTCTCTTTCCTCAGGTCAAGCTCGCTCTACAGTACGGCAAGCCTGTTATAGCCGTCATACATGCATCCTACTGCGGCCAAAACCCACTTCCAGCGTTGGCACGATCACCCGAGCTCGCTGCAGCTATGGCCGCTGCGGCTGCGGCAGCGGCTGCTGCTGCCGCGGCGGCTGCGGAGGGCGGGCCCCCACCCGATGTGCCGCAGTCCCTGAACGAAACGGAGCTGTCATCCGTGTCAGGGGCGCCGTCTGTGCTGGTGTTCAAGGGAGGAGGTGAGGAAGGGCAAGGGGGAGACGAACATGCCCCGAGATGGGTCTCGGGTGGTCCTTCGCTTTACCCTGTCCTTTACAGAGGGAGAATACAAGCCGTAGAGAAGGAGGGGAGGGGAGCCGTCTCACGGCGTTTCCACAGTAACCCGTATTACCGGTACTGCACGGCCCCACATACATAGTCGTACGGTCCCTGTTGCTGCTGAGTGCTGACATTCCCTCACTGCCTCCTGTTCGGCCTCGGCCTCCCACAGAGGGCTTCGACGCCTACCAGCGGGAGCTGGCGCGGCTGGTGGGGCTGCACTCCAACCCCGCCGCAGACGTCAAGCTCAGCAGCAGCGGCGGCACCGGCAGCGGGGAGTACCGACCCCGCAGTGCGGAGGAGGCGGAGGCGGAGGAGCGGCGGCTGCGCGAGATCCTGCGTGTGGCGGGGATGTCAAAGTGGGTTTCGTACGGGTCGTGTGCAGCTCGAGTGCCATGCACTGTGTCCCCTGCTGTGTCTCATCAGTTGTGTGGGGCTGTGCGGCTGGGATCACGTTGGCTAGGAAGCCGTACAGTCGTGTGTAGACGGGGGAGGGTGGGGTCTGTCGTGGAGGTGTGCGGTGCGTGGAAGGGGTATCTTGCTGACAGCGCGAGTGCAGGCGGTCCCGCTGTTGATCACACCTGTGGCTGCGTTTCCTGCTCATCCCACCACAACAGGCGCATTCCTGGCCTGGTGGATGGCAACATCCGCTCCCCTGCGGCCCTGGAGTCAGCGCTGCGCATGGGCCGGCTGCTGGGCAAGCCACACAACTGGTCTGAAGCTACCGTGCGGCGGGCGGAACAGGTGCGGACGGGGACTGGATGATAGGAAGCTGCTGGGCCATCGCGCATGCAATTCGTGTACTATTGCACGGGGGCTGCTTTTTTTTAATTTGAATAGCGCACATCCCTCAACATGGCTGTCGCCGCTGCTGCTGCCACCATGCAGGCGCTGGAGGCCTGGCCGGTGCTGTGTACCATGCCCGACTGGCTGCGAGCCGCACCGCCTGCGCTGGTGCCCGTGCTGGCGGCGCTGTTGGCGCAGGAGGAGGCGCGGGAGTTTGACCGGGAGGGCAGGGCGCGGCCGCGGCGCGGGGCCGTACCTCCATGCACTGCCTTGGACCTCGCCGGGCAGGGTCCGGTGGTGGTAGGGCCCCGGGGCGGCACGGCGGTGGCTGCGCTGCTGCGCAGCGTCGGCCGGGCTCAGGGGGCAGCAGAGCAGCGTCGGCAGCAGTTCGAGGAGCAGAAGCAGCGGTCGATTAACGGTGACACGCTGCCGTCGCATCCGCCGCCGTTGTACGGCACCGCGACGACGTTTCTGACGCTGACGCTGGTGGATCTGACGGACTGTGGGCTGGACACGGCGGCTGCGGGGGAGGTGCTAGCCGCGGTGGGCGCATGCCCCTCAGTGGCCACGCTGCTTCTGGGCGCTAATAACATCGAAGATGCCTTCGCTGCTGACTTTGCCTCCTTCATGCGTCGCAGCACCGCGGCTGGCAGGTCAGCTCCACCCTCCCCCGCACGCAGCGGCCCTCCTGGCTCCCCCGTCGCTCCTGGTTCACCCGGGGCTACAACCCCCGGGCTGCGCTCCCTCGGCCTGGAGCGGAACCTCCTGACGGACCGCGGCGTGGCGGCGATCGCTGCCGTACTATACGAGAACCCAGGAACCCTGACGTCGCTAGATCTCAGCGGAAACATTGGCTTGGGCGCCGCCACGGCGGAGGTACTATCCCGCGCGCTCCGAAGCCAGGGCCCCGGGCCACGGCGTTTGACGCATTTGGGCATTGCCGACGTCCAGATGGACGACTCGGCGCTTTCCGTACTGTTGCCCGCCATGTTGGCACCCAGTGCCGTACCCGTGGCGGTTGACGCCGGCAGCGGCCGCGGCGGCGGTACGACTGGCGTCGAGGAGCTCGATCTAACCGGCAACACTGTGGATGCCGAGGCGCTGACGGCGCTAGCGGCAGCAGCGCGTCTTCCGGGCTACGGAGGTGGCCCACGGATCATCAACCTCAGCGGCGCAAACTTACGCGGCGGTGGCGTGGGTAACGTCGGCGGCGCGAGCACTGTTGGTATTGGCACGCCGCAGCACAGCCGGCGGTCGGTTACGGATGCGGTGGCCAGCACCTCGTTTGTTAGCGGCGGCGGCAGCAGCGGCAACTTTGTCAACGGCAACACCGCAGCGCTTGCCACCGCGCTGCTTCTGTCGTCCAATCTGGAGGAACTCCGACTGGGTTGGTGTGGTTTGAACGGCGCTGGCGTGCGGGCGCTCATCTCGGGCCTTATGGGGCCTTCGCTTGGCGTCGCTGCCTCAGGTGGGTCCAAAGAAAAAGCCCTTCCTCGACTAGCCTTGCATTTTTGCATGCATGTCGCCTTACCGCAGCATCCTGGCCAGCTGCCATCTGTCATCCAATGGCAGTCCCTTACCTCCCCTGCTACTTCCCCTTCCGCTCTTAACCCCGGCCCTTCATCCCCGCAGACCCCCAGCCTCTGTCAAAGCTCTCCCTGCTGGACCTATCCGGCAACCGCCTGGGCCCCGAGGGTGTAGCCCTGCTGGGCTCCCTGCTGCCCGTCAACCTGCCCTCGCTGCGACACCTGCTCCTGGATGAGTGCGGTTTGACGGGCCGTGACCTGGGCCTGCTGGCTGGGGTGCTCGACGTGGCGCCCTGGGTGGTGGAGGCCCTTGTGGCGGCGCTGAGCCAGGTGCTGGGAGGCGACGTGACGGGCAACGGTCAGGGCGTGTGGCGGGAGCAGCAGCAGCAGATAAGCGTGGGAGGCGCATCAGCGGGCGGGGCGAGTAGTGTAGGGACACCGGGTAGTTCTGCTGGAGGGTATGGTGCATCCGGAGGGGCAGCGGGATCACCGGGCCAGCTGGGCAGGATCAGCAGCGTCTCGCGTCGTAGCAACGGCGGTGACACCCCCGCTGCTGCGGCGTCAACGCTGGCCGAGCTGCTGCGGACGTGGTTGTCCATGGAGCCGGCGGCAGCAGCGGCGGAGGTACGGCGGCTCATGCTGCCTGCTGCCGCCGCAGCGGCAGTGGCCGCCGCCGCCGCGCCCGCGCCCGCCGCCCCCGTCATTCCGACCACCTCCTTTGCCCTCCGCCGCAACGTGGTCGCTGCGCCAACCCCGGTTGCCGTGCCCTCCATCCCAATCAGCCGCATAGGTGGCCTGGCCTGCCTGCTCGTACACCCTGTTGTACAGCCGGTCATGGAGGCCCTGCGGAAAACCTGGGATGCCCTGAAAGCTGAGGCGTGCTCCGCCACGGCTTCTGGCTCCGCCGGAGCGCACTACCCTCTGCGGTTGCCACCGGCGTCACAGGCGGCGCAAGCTGCGTTCCAGGCGCTCAACGCCGCTGTCGTACATTTGCGCGGCTGCGGCACCGCTGCTGGCCTGCAGAGCCTGTCCCTAGGCCGCAACCAACTCCCCCTAGAGTCGGGGGCTCCGTTGGGCGCCGCCGTAAGCTTGTCACTAAACCTGCGGCACCTGGGGCTTAAGGGCATCGTGCAGCCGCTAGCTCAGCCGCAGCCGATTGGCAGCGGCGCCGCCGCTAACGTTGCGGCGACGGCGGCGGCACAGGGCGGCCCCATGGCAGCGGCCGGAGCGGCGGCACGAGACGCTCGGGTGCTGCTTCGCTCGCTGTACCCGGCAACGGCAGCCGCCGCCGAGGGCTCAAAGACGCCGGCGGCAGCGCCGGCGCCGCCGCCGCCTCAGTCTCCTCTCACCAGGCACGGTTACCACAGCATGTACGGCAGCAGCGATCTGTACCGCAACACCAGCCAACGACTGATCAACAACGAGACGCAGCGTGAGACCACCAATGACGGCTCGGTGGACTTGCTGGCAGGCCCTGACACGCCGTCCTCGCAGAGCCAGGGCCAGCAGCAAACCCCGCAACAAAGCTTTCTACCTGGGCTGCGCTCCCTGGATCTCACCGACGCTGGAATTGGATCTCATAATGCCGTACATGTCGGCGAGTTCGTACGTTACCTGCCCGCCCTGGAGCAGATCATCATGGACTTCAACTCCCTGGGTGGCGTCGGCGGGAACGGCTACGATATGGGCATGGGGCCTCCGGGCGGCGGCTCGTCCTCCACCGACGGCGTGTCTTCGCTCTTCACAGATCTCTCGGAGCTGCCATCCCTGTCGTACCTCTCCCTCAACTACGCATGCGACAGCAACGCCATGATGACCGTTGCCGACACGCTACTCGGCCTCATCGAGGCGACGGAGGCGGCGATGGCGGCCGCTGCGGCGGCCAGCCTCAGCCTGGGGCCGCCGGCTCCTCCGCCGCCGCCTCCTTCCGCATGCTCCAGTCTGCGCGCTTTGAGCCTGGTGGGCTGCCCGCTGGACGGCATCATCGCTCGCCGGCTGGCTCGCGCGTTGCTGCACAACACGGCGCTCATGGTGCTGCGATTGGGCGGCGGCGACCCGCCGGAGGGAGTGGGCCCTATCGGCAGTCGCGCGCTGGGGGAGGCCCTGGTGGCGCACAAGGGGCTTGTGGAGCTGTCGCTGTCGGGGGTGGGACTCACGGACAATGCGATCAGGGTAGGTTGGGGGCCGCTGTGTGTGCGCGCACAAAATCAGCAGGATGAGAGCACCCCTGGACGCATCTTTTGGGCGCCAGCTTTGGCACTGCCACCGCTATCTCGCCTTATCGTTCTGCCTTTGACGTTCTACATTCACTTTGAACTCATCAAATTTACGACCTGCGTGCTACTTCAACCTCCGTCCGCAGATGCTTGCCGACGCGCTACCGCAGCTGCCGCAGCTTTGCAAGCTCGACCTCTCCAACAACTCCCTCACCAGCTACGGTGCCAACGCGCTGGCCAACGCGCTGCTGGGCCGCAACCGCAACGCAATTGGACCCGCCGCTGAGAACAAGGTGCACCTGGAGGTGAGGTGCAGTGCGCGGGAAGCAGGAAAGCGCGCAATTGCATGTCTCTGCAACATGCGTCGCAGCCTCAACAGCAATGAATAAGACGTGGCATGCGACGTTGCCTAGCTGGTTATATACCGTCTCTTACTGTTGTCGTCTTTATGCCCCAATTGCTGAGCGTCCTCTAGTCATGAATGCTCCCCCATTAAACTTCCGCCGCACAGATACACAGCAACCGTATTTCCGAGGAGCTCGAGTCCCGGCTGCTCGCCCTATCCGTCCCCGTCGCCATGACCCATGCGTCAACGCGCCTGCCCGCCTTCCCGCGCTACTCCGCTCCGCCCATGCGCACCGCTACCACAACCCCCTCCCCCAACGGCTCTCGCCTGAGCTACCCGGCCATCACCCGTCCTGGGCTGCCCGCCCCGCCCAGCCTTGTGCCGCCGCCGACGCTGGTGCATGCACCGGTGCCTCGTCCTTCCGCCGGCCCCACGCACTTTAAGGCCCCACGCTGTGCGGCCAACCCGGGGCGTACACCGTCTAGCATGACGGTGGGAGGTGCGGCGCAGCAGGCCTTGACGGCAGGGCTCTCGGCGGAGGGATCTCGCCCGCTGGGAAGCGGCAAGTCAACGTATCTGACGGCACCGCCGCCGCCGCCACCGGGCCGTCGTGGCAGCGGCGCGAGTGAGGATGTCATCAGCGGCATCGCGACGGCGGCGGCGTTCACTGCGTCTGCCTCGTCTGCGATCCTGGAGGACGACTGGGTCGACTTCAACGGGCGCTACCTGGTGTCCACATCCAGCAAGCTGCAGCGCATCTACGGAGCCGCCCTAGTGTCCCCATCAGCAACCATGCCGCTCCCGGCGCCGCCGCCGCATCCATCGCAGGTGCTGGACCTCACAGCGCTACGCGGCAGTGCCAACTTCCGCAGCCTCGGAGCAGCGCTGCGACCCGCCTCCTCGCCTCCCAAGCGGATACTACCGTCAGGAGCCTCGGGGGTGCGTCCGGACTCGCCCGGAGCTCCGTACGCTTTCGCTGTGGCGACGGCGCCGGCGCTGTACCCCTGGATGCGGAACGTCAATCGCCCCGCTAGTACGTACAGCAGCGTCAACGCGACTCCGTTGGGTGGTGGTACGGCTAACGGTGACGGCCAGAATCACGGCGCCTTACCAGCCGTACGGAAGCCCTCGGCGCCGGCTGGGGACATGGCTGGCTCTCCTGGAGGCGGCGGCAACGGTGGGAACGCTGCCAGCGGTGGCGGTGCGGGCCATGCTAATGACGTCATCAGCACGCCTCCCAAGGTGTCCGGCGCTTCGGATCATCTGACTCAGCGCATCAAATGCCACATGCCGGACTGGGTGTCACGCATGCAGGAGGTGAGTCGCGAGCGAGCGCTGGCTGCTACCGGTACATGCGGGGGGTTTGCACGGAGAAGCTGCTGGTGGCTTAAGCTGTGCCGGATACTGATCAGATGCATTTACAGGCTTGCCTTCGTAGCTGTCTTTATTTGTAGATCCCTTTTAAGGGAAGCGCTTTGATCGCCTGCCCGTCCCCTGCCCGTCCCCAGGATTACTACAAGAGGATAACCTCTCCACGACGGCCCGCCACGGCACAAGCCAAGCCCGTCGTCCCGCCCACTGAGCACCTCATGAAGCCCATCAAGGCTCACGACCGGAACTGGCGCTCTGCTATGATAGCGGAGCAAGTTGCCCGTGAATGCGCTCCAGAGCCGCCGCCGAGGCCCGTACCCGGCGCTCCTACAGCCGCCGGCGTCACCAGCAGCGTGGCGGCAATTCGCCGCGGTGGCGGCGGCCCCAGTGCCGGCGGTAGCCGGGCGTCGCCTCCGCCGCAGCATACGGCGGTCACGGTAACTCGGCCGCCGCCAGAGGCGCCGCCTGCCGAGGAGGCAAGGGCTGAAGTCGAGCCGGAGGCACCCGCCGGAGCTGGCGATGCAGGCGCTGACGCCTCAGCGCTGCCGCCGCCAGCCAGCGGTGGTGATGAAGGTACGGCATCCGAGCCGCATGCCGCTGCCGCTGCCGTGGCAGCCGCTGCTGTTAGCGAGGCAGATGCCTCCGCTGACCACGCGGGCCCGCCTGCATCGGCAGAGGACGCAGGCGCGAGCGAGACGCCAGTAGCAGCTGCGGAAGCCGCTGACACGCCAACGCATGCCGACGGCGGGGAGTCGCCGCCAGCTGACGACAAGTCCGCGGCGGAAGGCCCTGGCAGCGAGCCCGGCGAAGCCAAGAGCGATGATCATGCGGCTCAAGACGGTCAGGGAGCTGACGGCGACGGAGAGCCAGCCGCTGCCCCGGCTGCGGCGCCGGAGACACATGAGGCTGCGATAGTGGAGTTTGCTGCGGCCGCAGCTGCTGAAACGACCTCCCTGGAGGAAAGCATTGAGGTGCTTGCGGTTCGCAACAACGGAAAGCGCAAGAGCGCTATCTCCGTGCTGAGGATCAAGAGCGTGCGGAATAGGCAGGACCAGGAGGCGGAGTTCGAGATGGATGGAGAAGGTGAAGGCGATGGGGATGGGGATGGCGAGGGCGACGGAGATGATGGTGACGATGAGGGCGGCGGCGAGGGCGACGGCGACGACGAAGGTACGGCTGGCGGCAGTCGCAATCTTGACGGCGGCGACGACGATAGCTTCCGCAACCGAGAGCCCGCGGTGGACGAAGATCCCCATGGTGCTGTTGGTGGAGGCCAGAAGGGTCAGGAGGTGGGAGATGATGCAGGCGAGGAAGGTGGCCAGGGGGCAGAGGTGGGCGGCGCTGGGGAGGAGAAGGAGGAGGCGCATGCGGCCGCGGGCCCTGGCGGTGCCGACGGGAAGGACGACGACGAGAGCAGCTTGGGCATCGACCTGAGCGGCTCGGATGACGAGGAAGCAGCCGGTAGCGCCGCCGGAAAGGGTGCTGGCGACGCGGCGGCTGCCGTCAGTGCCAGCGGCGGGGCTGAGGGGGGCGCGGAGGCGACGGATGCGCGCAGGAGCAGCGGCGGTGGCAACGGCGACGATGAGGATGGTACGCACGGTGATGCGGCGCGGGGCTCGGGTGATGGGCGTGCGGGCGGCGAGGGCGATGACGAGGCGGGCCCTGCGGACACGGCAGACGATGGCGGGTACGAGGGAGTTGACGCTGGCATGGGTGGCGGTGATGGTGACGGTGAGGGGGAGGGCTATGCCGGCATGGATGGTGAGGCGGCTGAGGACTACCGGGAGGCGGAGGCGGATGAGTTGCCACGTAGGAGCAACGGTAGTGGGAGTGGCGGTGGCGGAGATGGTGGCGCTGATAGGGAGGAGTTGGGGGCCGCTCCTTTTGAGGGCGCAGCCGAGGCGGCGGATGATGCTCCGGGGGCAGAGGATGAGGGTGGTGAGGGTAGCGGAGGTGGCGGCCAGGAGGAGAGGGAGGAGGAGGAGGAAGCGAATGTGGATGTCACCGGCACTGTAGGCGAGGAGCAAGGGGAAGAAGGAGAGGCGGCTGTAGCGGAGGCTGCGGAGGGTGATGCTGAGGGCTATGACGGCGCGGAGGGTGAGGAGGAGGTTGGGCAGGTAGCAGGAGAGGCGGATGAGCCAAGCGCAGGAGGCCATGACGTGGCTCACCCCGAATAGGCAGGACACCTCGAAGACAGCGCCGGGAGTGCAACACAATAATAAGGATGGCTTGGATGGCGTCACATACCTTGGACTTAGAAAAGGCAGGGATTATGGGACACGAGCCAATTGACACAAAGTCGGGACCCAGGACTGCTCGCGAATCCATGGCAAGGGCCCACCTGTCCTGTGTGCTGTTGCGGGAGCGGGCATGGAGGGCTGCAGGTCGTGGCGGGGTTGAGCGCCGATGGTTTCATTTTGCGCGTGTCGAAAGCTGATACGCATGGCCATCGTCGTCACTTACCTGATATACTGATATGCTGGATGGGTGTATTACACACCAAGATGAGATGTGACTGTTTTCCAGCGTACATGAAAGTACGGCACCTGCGTACGGAAATTGGGCGTACAACGGTTTACGGAAACGTTCAGCAGTGTTGCGCGTTCTACTAGTAGTGGGTATCCTTGCATTTGTTCGTTCGTCTTGCAGGTCTTGATGCGTGCTCTTTCGTCGTTGCGTGCATGCACAGAGTAAGAGCACTGCCGCTGACAGGCTGTGCGGCGCTGTCCTCCCTTGCAGCAGCCCGAATTGTGCGGCTTTGCATGAGGTGGTGATGGAAATAGAAGTGGTGAAGAGCTATGGGGTGGCATTGCGCAGCGAATGACAGGTAATTGGCGTGTGTGCTCGCCCTTTTGTACTGGACTAAGTGCTGTGGCGTGGCATAACTGTGACCTTCTACCCTTTCTTCCTAACAACACTATCTATGCATTTGTGTGAACTTAGTTCTAATGCCGGATGTGTTCTGTTCGATAAGTAGCCATGGGGCATCACACGTTCACTCCACCCTCCCGTACGGCGCTGTCGCCAGTGTAATGTATCACGTACATCCACACCCTTCACTCGATGGGTTTGACGATGCATGCTTATGCAGGCATGGGAACAGCAAGGATTGGGTTGGTTACAGGCATCAGCTTGCCACATGCCAGACCCCGTGACGCGCCCCCCCTCGTTGGAAGGACCATGGGTCAGGCACCATTTACATCTACCAAGCGTCAGCCCTTTCGCGCAGCTGACAAACAAGGCACCTTTGCTTCCACCCACCGCAATGCTGCGCCTTCTCAGCTGGCTTCGGGCTGCCATACATTTCATATCACCTGACGACGGTTCTAGTCCATGGCTGGGTTGCCAGCATCGTCAGCAAACTGCGTGGATTTCCCTATCGAGGCAGATCGAGGCCAGATAGCTTAACCTAAATCCCAGGATTAAGGCATCCGATGTTCCGACCTACATTATCACTGTTGTCTGCAACTAAGGATCAACTACCAACGCATACCTGCCCCGCTTGCATCATTCTCTTGCACATTAGCAAGCAGGCTACATCCGCTCCAACTCTATTATCACACTACCTTGCTCACACCCTCCGCCAACCCCAACCTCTTCGCCTACCTTCGTTTCCCAGCCTTCAACCTTCCCCACTTCCTCCTTCAGCCCCCCCTAATCCCCATCTCCACCAGCACCTTCCCCCCCTCGCCCCTCTCCCTCTACCGCAGGCGGTGCACCATGGTCCGCTCGCGCGTCAGGTTGACGTCCCCGGCCGCCGCCATCGTCAGCAGCACCCGCAGCACCAGGCTCTCCGGCTCACCCAGCGCAACCATCTCATCCAGCAGCCGCTTGGTGGTCATGTAGGCGCCGATGTGCAGCCGCCGCTTGACGCGCTCCTCTAGCCGCCGTACGTGACCCAACTGCATACGGCAGTACGGCACGGTGAACGGCGAACGACAAGTAAAGCATCCAAAGGCCAGCAAAGTATAACATCAAGAGTTAAGTGTAGTATCCAAGAGTTGGTACGACAATCGACCAACACATGCACAGTGGACCAAAACGCCCCAAAGCCCCAACCACACACATTACAGCGGGCCCAGCCACCCCTTTCACCACTCCCCCTCCCGCCCCCACTCCCCACCTGCTGCTCGCCTCCCAGCTCGGCCTGCGTGAGGCCGCTCTTTACAGCGTCCATGGTGGACTTGGTGAACAGCTCAATCGCAATGTTAACATGCTCCAGAGTGGCCACCGGCTGTAGCGACATCTTGGCTAGCGACTCCGCGATACGGACCACCGCCTCGAGCTGCCGTACAGTGATGGGCACGGGCGGGGTGTCGCTGTCCGAAGCGTTGGCCTGGTTGCGAGCCTGGGTGGGACGGATGGTACGGAGCGGAGGAGAAGGGGAGCGGCATGGCATTACGGAGGTGGTGGAGGCGAAGAGGTGGAGCAGGCAAGGATGTCTTGATGAAGGAGAAACAGAGGGCGCGGTTCCATCCAATACAAATCCACTCCACCGCAAGCAGCAAGCAGAGCCCACCCACCTCATTCCGAATCTCAACGTAAAACGCCGCCAGCCGCTTCGCCGCGTCCTCGTTCAGCCTCGGGGAGCACTGGCTGCGGCAGTAGTGGATGTAGCGCTTCAAAAACTCAACATCCTGCGCCTCCTGGCCCCCAGAACCTGCATCGCCGCCGCCTCCAGTGCTGTTACCCACAGACGATGCCACCGCGCCGCCCCTGCCACGCGCGCCCGCGGCCCCACCCAGTCGGTGGTTGTCCAGGACGTGGCGTGCAATGGCCATGTCGTGCTCGCGCGAGTCCTTGACGATGAAGATGAGGTCGAAACGCGAGAGAATGGTGGACTGCAGGTCAATGTTCTCCTGCGCCGTCTTGAGGTCGTCGTACCTAGGAGGAGGGGGAGGATACGAGGAGGAAGACGCGGTTCGGGTGGTGGTGAGGGTTGGAGTGAGTTATGGAGGGGATGATGGCTAGCGAGGGAAGAGCGCCAGAGTGGGAGTGGCGCATGCCGCAGACACCCCTTAACCTTACCCATATCCCATGCTGCCAACACAGTCCCGACTGTGGTGCCCATCCATGCTATCCACATCTACATGCACTCCCCCCCAAAGAACAGCCCCCAAACGTACGTACCTCCCAGAGGGCGGGTTGGCGGCGGCCAGCACCGAGGTCCTGCTCTTGAGCATGGTGGTGATGCCGGCCTTGGCGATCGAGATCGTCTGCTGCTCCATGGCCTGCTCCGTGGCGCAAGTGGTGGTGATGTGTGAGTGGGACACGTGCAAGATAGAGACACGTGAAAGACAGAGACGAGGGAAGGTACTCACTACTTACGAACGCAGTGTAAACCGGGTTCCGTCCGGAACCCCTCCCATGCGACCATGCCTATGCCTTGCCACACCTATCAGGTACCTCACACCGCATACAAATGCCCTTCGGACACCTTCTCTCCGCCCTTCCCTCCCTTCGTCTCCTCCCTCCGCCCCACCTCGTGGATGGCTACTCGGTCCTCGGGTCGCATCTTGTCAAACTCATCAATGCACACCACCCCGTTGTCCGCGAGCACCATGGCACCCCCCTCCAGATAGAACTCACGAGAGTTGGCGTCCTGGCGGCGGGATGGAGGGCAGGGGGGGAGAAGGGTGAGGAGAAGGGCAGGAGAGAGGTTGGTATGGCAGTGCGGCACTCCTAGTTATCATGGGGCCCAAGAAGGTCACGGTAAGTGTTTCCTCGCGGCTCAGTTTGTATAATCCCCACCTGAACGACCGAGGCCGTGAGACCAGCTGCAGAGGAGCCCTTGCCGCTGGTGTAGACGGCAATGGGCGCCACTCGCGACACAAACTTGAGGAATTGCGACTTGGCAGTGGAAGGGTCACCCAGCAGCAGCACGTTGATGTCACCACGGCGGTTGGTGCCGTCGGGCAGGGACTGCGGGAAGGGCAAGGACACAAATAGGCGGGGCAGGTATGTGGGTAACACGGATAGGTGAAGAGAGGTGAGGTGAGACAGGGGATGGGAGGTTGCGATAGGTATTGGTGTTGGAGGTGCCGGGTGTTGGAGGAGGGAGCAACTAAGGTGGGGAAACGGAGATGAGGCTTGGAAGCTCCCGCTACCACTTCATGGTGGGAAAGTGAGGAACAGAGGAAACCCCAGTCGTTGCGCACCTTGCGCGCGCCTCCAAACAGCAGGCACGCGACGGCCTTCTTGATGTCAGCCGAGCCGTAAATGTTGGGTGCGATGCGCGCAAAGATCTCGTCATGCAGCCCGTCCTGCTTGGCAAACTGCTCGAACGACTGGATCTCCTCCTTCCTGCAGATGGGACACAAGAAGCAGGGCACCGGTAGGTCAGCTGGAACCACGTGACGGCAGCAGCAGGGGCGGGGGTAGCTGCCACAGCACATGACAACTCCCATGAGAACTCCTTTGAGCCAGGAAGTACCTATACTTCATGGCCCAAGGCTCTACGCCTCTACCTAGATTGGGAAGCACAAACTTCATGGCCACAACTCTACTTTCAGGGATGTAACCCCTAGAACCAGGAGGAGAAGCTGCGACAGAAGATGCTGCAGGAAGAAACAATGCCATGCAAGGAGGCAAGGTGGGGGCTATACTCACGTGAACTTGAAGCGGCTGTGCGCGTCTCCCGCCTCCTGCATGACCGACACCACTCGGATGTACGGCTGCTGCAACGACACCGCGCCCTTGTCCATGGCCTTGCCCTGTGGAGAAGGAAAGGGGATCTATGCGGTGACGACGTATCCTGTCCGCAATCCTGTCGATCCTGCGTTCTTCTCTCTCCGTTCCTTTCCTCGCTTTCACCCCTTCCCGCTGCGCCACACCCTCCTCCCCACCTTGTAAGTGCTGTAGATGCCGGTGACCGTGACACGGGTGCCCGGAGTGACCTGGTTGCAGCACTGCCGGTCCGCAACCAGCATCACAGTGCGGGGCAGCTCGCCGGTGGGGACGTCCTCGGGCTTCTCCTGTGGTGGGGGTAGGGCGTGGTGATGGTAGGGCGTGGTGGGGGTGCAGGGTGGTGCATGGTTAGGAGGAAAACGTAGGACGCATGGGCGATGGGTAGGAGGCATTAACAAGTACTGTGCGGAGTAGGGTAGGGTAGTGTGCTGCCGTACTAGCCAAGTCTTGCTGCTACTCAGCAACATGCCGGCAAGACCAAAAAGCTGCATTTGCCTTCCAAGACCCCGTCGTACAAGCCCCTTCTTGGGGCTCCTTTCCAACCCGACTCTCAACCCGACCCTTCCTGCTGTGCTGTGGCCTCCGCTGTCCCCAACTCGCCTGCAGCTTGAGTGTCTGCTGGTCAACGAAAGTCGACCCCTCGGGCAGGACGACAAAGGGGTTGGGACCGCAGCCCTCCGCACCCGCACCGCCGGGGGCACGGCGGTCCGCCAAGTCGCAGTAGCCGGGCATGAAGGTACCGCCCAGGCCCGGTTTGCAGTTGACACGCTTGCAGCCGCGGCAGGTCTTGCACTGGAGGGTCAGGTAGGTGGCCTTGTGCTGTGGGGGGTGAGATAAAGGAGAGGAGAGGCGGCGGAGCGAAGATGTAGGGATGAGGTAAGGCTGGAGGGTTTAGCGCTTTTGAAGCAAGGGCGCCCCTCGCTGTATGTATAACAAACCCATGCATGCATGCATGCGCGCATGCCTGTACCGCATGCGTGGTCAACTGCGCCAGGCACGCTATCCACAGCACTCAGTGACCTCGAGCCAGCAAGCAAAGCAAGGCCAGCATGCAAGACCGTCATGCAAGCCGCACCACCCACCCTGGGCTTCGAGGCTGCCGTGATGATGCCGGTGAGCAGCACCAGCTTTGAGACGCGGGAGGACTCCAGGTCGCGAATGGACATGGCTTGGGACTGAGCGAGCGGAATGGAGCTGTACAGCAGGATCTGCATGCAGCGTACGACAGAGAGAAAGGAAACGGAAACAATGCGGATTCCAGTTTGTCACAGGTGTGGCAAGAAAGAAGGCACGCAAAAGGCTGTGCAGGTGGAGATTGCGCTTGTGTTGCTGTGTACGCACTTCCACTCCTTTTGACCAGTCCAAGTCTCCCCCCTCCCAGATTATTAAAGGAGGATGCCCTACCTGCACGTCTGGCAGCTCCGCCGGCTTGCCTTGCTCATCCGTGGCTAGCTTGTCCTGGAGCACCTTGTAGGCAGCCTCCTCAAACTGGGAGGGACGAGGGAAGAGGGGAGATGCGGAAACACACAGGAGTTGGAAGGCGGCTGAGGTTGGGATGGGGTTGCGCTTGAGCGCGTGCTGCATGTTGTGGACTCCCGTTAGCTTCCCTGCCATTATACCAAGCCTTTGGTGATCCTGTCCATGTTATGTTTTACATAACACAAACATTTAGCTAGCTGCGTGCTTGTGGCCTCTACTCTTGCCCGTAATAGTCCTGTTAGCGAGGACTACTACGGACAAGAGTAGAGGCCACAAGCACGCAGCTAGCTGAATGTTTGTGTGGAGGCCTCCCTCTATTTCAGCAGTGCCCCGCAACTCACCAGCGGCAGCACCTCCGCGGGCCGCTCCTCCAGCTCATCCGCCAGCCGGTGCGATGCGGCGCGGACGTCCTTAAGGTCCACATGCAGGTGGGTGCGGTTCTCGTACAGGTCATCGCTGTTGGCAGGAAGTGGGGCGAGTCAAGGTAGGAAGGAGTGGGTGAAGGGAGTAGGGTGAGATGGGTTTGGAGGTGCGGAGAGAGGAGTGGGGGTGGAAAGGGTTGAGCTAGTACTGCTGCAACGTGGTCTCGCCCGGAAGCAAGCTCGGCTTTACACCATAGCTGCTGCTGCATTAAGGCCGTCAGGTGAAAGGGCATCCGTATGCGTTCTAGTAAGAAACTTAGGACGGCTAGCCCAACAGAACTTTCCCCAGTGTCACGGGGGGTCTCAGGACGCCACTTGCTAGCATGACTGTCAGCACAACGCTCTAGCACTTACGCATAAAGGCGTCGCTCAGAGACATCCTTCGTGGTACCAATCTGGTAAGACTGAATGAACTGCTTGAAATGCTCAATCAGGTCCTGGTCGGGTATGCCGGTGCCATCCTCGAGAGGCTCGCGCGGAGCTTCCTGTCCTTGGTAACTAACGAACACACGGCCACCTGCGAGTGAAGGAAGCTACCATAATTATGGTTCAAATCTGTAATACGTTGGTCACTAGCGTAAAGGGCTCACCGTCGAAACCGCTCATGTTTAAGTTTGACAGCCAACAAAGGGTTAGGTAAAAGTATGGACCGCTTGTGACGCTAGACTGCGGCAAAGGTATCGTGCCGTAAGCCAGCCATTGCCATGGTGAAAACGTCTGGGATAAGTATCCCTCCCGCCATTATGCTGCCGTACAAGCGAAGCACGTACGATAGAACTGAAGTTGCCCTCAACGTGCATCAGAACCACTGCAGCACTTCCAGACACGTTTCTCGCAGAAATTAACCTGTTTGGACTGAACCCAAATCAACGTAAGCTTTAACTAGAACAATCCGCAAAGTGCGTCCTACGCAGGACCAACGGCTGCAGAGTACCCGTCTCTCACACTAAATTTCCTCCATCTTTGACCACTCGTTATATATCGGCATAGCAGTACAGGCCCTTTAACGCGACAACCGGGAGGCATGGCAGCGCGACCGCTCCTGTACTACCTTCCATTAATACCTATTGGATGCATGATATGTATGATTATTGGGGTGGGCGTCTGGTAAGTGCCTGGATGTATCTACTAGACTTAAGACGGGTCGCTAGCCGAGTATTCTGGTCCACACGAACAGCGTTTGCAATGTACCCTGTAACTTTTAGCTAAGTGATGTGTCTGAGGCGTCGGGCCAGACCGGTGGCCGCGCTATGCTGTTGACCCTGAGTCCAACTTCTGTCTTGGCCCGATGGGGCCTTTCATCCTCCACCATACAGGGTCCACTACACTGTTGAGGCGCTTAACCAACTTGATTACGCAGTCCGGCTGCTAGGCCCTGCTGTCACAGCCAATGACCTAGACCGGGGAATAGCGGCCGTGAAGGGGACATCGGCATCGTACCTCATCTTTGCGTGCGCGCTGTTCGGGCTCGGGCTGTTCAGGAAGCTGCTGAGCCTGCAACATGACATGGCAGGTGTGGCACCGGGCAAGCGTGCAGGGGCGACACGTGTTAATGGGTGCTGGATTGCCTTGTGTCGCAAGAAAGGGGCCATGGGTCCGAGGATCAACAACAACCCTAGCATGTCATGCCAGCTCCGTGTCCACTTCCATACCGCCCGCACAAGTCAGACTCTCGGAACCCATCGTTGCCACAACATCGCTCCAGGTCCCAACGACAAGCATCTGCGGATCTACCGCGCAGCAAACGCTGCCGTACACTACATCTGGTGGCTCATCATGGTCTGGATTGTCGTACTCATGATGGGGCTTGCCGTACTAGCCATCCTTTCCTGGGTGAGCTACCGTGCGGTAGGCCAGGTACTGGACAACCAGGTTGCCGTGCGATCACAGTACGACACGTGGATCGCTAGTACGGCAACCGAAACGGGAGTTAGTACGGCATCAGTCCTTAGCTTGGAGCAGCTGGCGGTTGCGAGCAACGACACGGCGCTGGCGGTTATGATGAAGAACGGTTGGTCGGCGGCGCTGACGTGTCCCTCCACATGCGCCAACCTGCAGCTCTTCCAGTTCCTTACGGTGAGCTGGGTGGGGGTTACAGGAGGAATGCGAAGCCAGCATCAGCTTCTAGCGCAAAGTTTAACCAGCTAGCCAGTTGCTTGACATGTCATATGCGTGCCTTGTGCCGTTTAGGAACCGCTGCTGAATGCTGCGCTACCAACTGCGTTACCACTCCTCCACCTTCCCTGGACTGTGCATCTTAGCGTTCAACCCTCACACAGGCGAACCGGTATCCGCCTAATCCCCAATATTTACGTGCACATCTCTTAACAAACTCATTCGGCCACTCCCTCCCGTCGCGGCGGCAGGTTGACGCGGGCCAGGTGTGCATCTGCGACCCCGCGGTGTTGAAGCTGGTGCTGCAGGCGACCCGCGCGGCGCTAGACGCGGTACCCGGCATCTTTGTGGGCATATGGTGAGAGAGAGAGGGGGGGAGAGCGGGGAAAGCGTGACTGGTTTGCTTTAAAGGCCTCTCTATCCCTGCAACATGCCGGGGGGGACCTGCTATCCAACTGGGTTGTTGATCAAGCGCATATGACCATGCCTACAGCGCCGTGCGGCTGGCCGTGGATTTTGTTTGTTGGTGCGCCGTTTCACAGACGCTAACGGCTTGTTCGTTGCGGTGCAGGTTCATGTACATCTTTGGCGACTTCTTCAAGACCAGCCTTGCATGCGACTTCACACATGCCATGCGGGATGCAGAGGGGAGTACGGTGGGCGGGGCGTTCGCGGGAGCGGCGCGAGGGGCAGCGGGTGGGGGACGCGGCTACTATACGTTGTAAGGGGCGGGGGTGTACCTTGTATTATTCTTCGACTGCACCATCCTGTGATGAATTCATATTTGGCAATGGCAATGCCGTGATCAGGGAAGATTGCCGGTATGAGGTCGTATGAGGTATGATTATCCGTACGTATCTTGTACATGATTGCATGCAAGGCACGTGGGGTCCATGGGGCCATGCCGCCATGCTCTGTGTTTTATATATGGCGTGAGCATCGGGCACGGCGTCGGGGACTTGGGGCATGCTGAGAGGCGCTGACACTTCGCGGGTTAATGCTGAACAGGCTGGAGGATTGGATTGGCTGTCCATGTGAGGCGGCTTCCGGATGTCACTCTGGGCCTGTTGGATTCCCTAGCCTGGTAGATGCCCGTTGTTTTGCCAAACACAGTCTGCTTGCAACTCCACCGCTGCCGGCGAACGGAACCTAGTGGCATGGTGAGGGAGTTATTGCGTGGAGATGATGCCTTAGGGCCCTTCTGTGTAGTTGAGTAGGACAAGAGCAAGCAATTGGGAGAGGTTCGCATGTGAACCGCGAGTACAGGCAAAACAGAGGTGACCCCTCCCTCAATGGGCGAAGTCCCGCAAGAGGAGGAAAGCCGACGGCCAATCTAACACATGCTAATTAGTCACACGGCTTCAGTCATGGACGTGAACTTTTCATTCCTCAGACGCCCCAAGTAAGCGGTCGGAGGATGGTTGAGCTGGGGAGATATTTCCTGGTCACATTCAGACTGCTATTTTACGGCCGTGGCATGGTATCCATTTTGGTCGCGATGGCTACTTGCAAGGCTTGCCCCGTCAGGAGCACAATGTTTACCTCCCGGCATGTACATGTTGGCCATGCATGACCCGAGCTTATGTTCTCTCGCTTATAGAACCCGGATGGACTCCTGGCAAGCTAAAACGGTAGGCATAGCAATTCTAACTCAACAGTTTGTTATGGCTAGGGTGTGGCAACATCGTACCGAGCACGGGCTACGCACATGTACCAGTGTAGCATAATCATGGACAGCCTGACAACCACTAATAATTTGCTTTGAGCAAACTATTTTCGGTTGCCTGGGGGCTTGCCAGACCTTGAGATCCAGAGTTCGTACTATTTAAACCTTACTTTCCAGGGCTGCTACTCGCCCAGGGCTCAGGACAGGCAGGGACCTTACTGGATGATACTTTCTTTGCACATGACATTACAAAAATGACGACTTCCAATTCGCCAGAGCGTTGTTTCAGCCCTGCCAAAAGTGAAGCGATGGATATTGACGCGAGCAACATTTCTGCTTTCAAGACTTTCCACAACCCTGCAATGGACATGTCAGTCAGCTGCTCGCTTGCCCAGCTCGCAGACTTCAAGGGCCATTTGCAGAATCTGACGCCCATGCAAACAGACCAAGGCGAGCATGGCCACTTTTTCACACCTTTTAGCAACAAGGCGTTTGAGACTCCAGCTGACAGCCAGGCGTTCTACACGCCTGTGGAGACGGGCGTGAAAGGCCTGCATTCTAGGTCGGGCACCAGCGTGAAACCAGCAAGACACAAAGTATCGGTATTCGCGCTAGCCGATGATGCAGATCCACGCAGCATGGCTCAGCAGCAGGCATTCTTCGGGCCAGAAGCCAACTTTGCGGTTGACGAGCTTCGTGACAAGTTGACCGCTTCAGCAGATCGCGAAGCCGACGGTAAATGCACAGGCGCACACCAACTGGCCAGCCTGGAACACGCTTGCGACGAGGAAGAGGCCCCGGTCAGCGAGCACGGCGTAGTACTTGAGGTATGGAATGGTAAACCTGTGTATTGCAGCGAAGGGTGTGTTGCTGACGGACCCGGCGTCTTGCCGCAGGTTCTGCGTGTGGCTAGCCCTGAGTTGCACCCCGAGGGCGAGGTATGCTCACCAGCCCCTTCCTCATCAGCTGGAAGCTTCACGGCTGCGCAAAAAATCTCGCCAACACGTCGCCTCTCCGGCGCTATCACCGAGGGAGACCTGGTTGAGGACAGCGCCTGCTGCGACGTCTGTTCATCACCACCTGCCGAGGGCATCCAGGAGACCCGACCGCTGACGGCTGTGTCTTGCCCGGGTGCCGCTGCAGAGGAACAGCTGAACTCAGCAGCACTCTGCCAGCCTGACGTGACGAACGTCCTGGTGCAGGCCCCAACGACCGGAGCACCCAGCGCTGACAGTTTCCCGCCGGCAGCTGCCTGCCCTCTTGCCGTCGTCCACGAGCAGGCGGATGCGATAGAATCGATAGTCACGCCTCACGCCGCGTGCCTTCCCACTAGCCCCTCGGCAACACCTTGCCCGCTCGCTGCCACGGACCAACCGGAGGATGCAGCAGCAGCGATAGCTACTGATGCCGCGGACATGCACCCTAGTCCAGCGGCATCCTGCCAACCTTGCGACACGGATTTCGGGGCGTCTGCTTCTGCGGCTGATGCCGTGGACGTCACATGCAGTCCGGCGGCAACCCCTTGCCAGCTCAGCGCAGTGGACGACCTGGCGGAAGCGGCAGCAACGACAGCGTCTGATGCCGCTGATCTACATCCCAGCTCCGCAGCAACGCTTTGCCAGCTTGGCGGCGTGGATGGCCAGGCGGTTGCAGCAACGGTGCCAGAAGCGGCTGATGCAGCGGATGTTAAGCCTAGCCTGGCGGTAGCACCTTGCCATGTCGACGGCACAGACGACCTGGCGGACGCTGCAGCGCCAACGGCACCTGACGCTGCAGGCCTCCAGCCTTACCCTGCAGCAGTACCTTGCCAGCTTGTCGCCATTGATGACCAGTTCGCCGCGGCACTTGCAGGTGGCGATGCAGTCGACGTCCAGTGTAGCCTTGCGGCAGCGGGTTGCGCCCCCGACGCCATGGACCAGCTGGCGGGTCCGGTAGCTGCAGAGGCTGAGATCACGGACTTCCATTTTATCCCGATTGCAGCGTCGCCTGCGCCTGAGGCTGCGGATCTCCAGCCCAGTCCGGCAGCAGCAGATGGCCAGCTCAGCGCCGTGGAGGACCAGGTGGATACGGCAGCAGCAGCAGCGCCTGAGGCCGCGGACGTCCAGCCTAGTCCGGTCGCAGATGGCCAGCATGATGCCGATCTGGAGCTGATCCCTGCAGCTGCAGCTTCTGCGTCCGAGGCAGATACCGCTCAAGTGGCCCCGCCGGCAGAAGCCGAGCCAGAACCCGGTGCTGGCGACGAGCCCGTGGTCGTCAACGATGAGAGCATGCAGGATGAGCTAGTGGAGGGCAGCGACGCTACAGGTGCAGGGGATGCGATGCCAAGTCCTTCGGAAAACACGCAGGTGGTGGGCACATCGGCCACGCCGACCTCCGCTCCCGGCTGTTCAGTGGAGGCGGCGGGCCTAGCAGCATCTGCACCGTTTTCATCGGACGTCGATGCACAGGCTGTCGTTGCCGGTGGCACGATCGACGGCGCGGCTTCGACCTCCGCGGCCACTATAGCACATCGCCGCTCCAGTCAGCATGACGCTGCACCCGTGTCCAGCCGGATCTTGTCACCCAAGGCAAACAGGGAGCGAGCGAAGGCCGCTGCCCAGCAGGCAGCGCAAGTGCCGCACCGCCAAGGCAGCGCCGCCCAGCAGCATCCCGCGGTACTCGCACCTGCCGCAGCGGTCGTGAGCCCTTGCCGTCACCGACCTATCGCATCCGAGGCCGTCGCCATGCCGCCAGCCGCCATTGCGGCCAAAGCCCCTGGTATCATGAGCCCCGTACGCGCAGCAAACCTGATGAGTCCCACCCGCCGTGCAAGCATGGTTACCAAGGCCGTCAGCTCGCCAGTCGCGAACAAGGCCGCCGCCGCTGCACCTGTCGTGGACCAAGCGGGTGCCGCGGATGGGTCCAGCACGCCCTTTTTCCTCAAGCGCGTGCGGCCTGTCGTGTTTGGGTCGCCTCCTGTGACGCCCTTTGATGCCATTAAGGATCGCCCGGTTGCGGACCGTGTTGCCCCTCTGCCTGCTCCGGCCCTGCATGCAGCTGCCAGCAACGCTTCCGCGCCGGCGCCTGACGGCCCCTCGTCCGGGGGCGTAGTGGCCGCGCCCGCAGGTGGAGCTGCAGCCGCTCCTACCGTTCGCCGCGCATCGGACCATCAGCCTGCAACACAGCAGCAGACCAAGCGACCTGGCCCTGCAAAGGCAGGCAGTGCCGCGCCGGTCGCAACCGCAGGGGCCAAAGGGGCAGATAGCAATGTGGAGAGCAGGGCCCGTCCGGGTGCACGCGGCACCGTGCCTGCGACAAGGCAGCATACGGCGGCTGACGCTCGCACTAAGCCAGACAGCCGCCCTAAGCCAGCTGCGCTGGCCAAACTGGCGGCAACAAAGGCAGCGAAGCCCGTCATCCAAGCAGTGAAGAAGGACGAGACTGGGCGCCGTGCGTCAGCGGAGCCAACTGCCGCCAAAGCTGCGGGCGTCGGGCCGGATGCGTCGACAAGCGCGCAGGTCGGCACGCAGCAGGCAGAAATGCGGGTAATCCTTACCCGCAAGGTCATCGCCGCGGGGGCTGCCGGACCAGGCGCGACAGCCGGTCGGTATGGTCGGACGCAGGCTGTAGCACCCGCTCCGTCGGCGGTGCCCGTCACTGGTGATTCGGACGGCGACAGCCCCAATAAGATACCCCCTTCCAAGCGCCACGCTGCACTTACAACTTCACCGTCAAAGCGTCCGCGCCAGGATGGCGAGGCTGCCGCTCCTTCAACGGCAACAGCAGCTGCTGCGGCGCCGTCACAACCCCTGGCTGGTATCCCGTCTTCCACCCCATCCGCTCCAGACGGCAGTGCTACCAAGGCGCCCGCTGCGCCGACCAGCGGCTCCACTCCCAGCAGCCCTATGCTGCCGAGCAGCAGGGCCTCCCCGGCAGGCGCTCGCCCGTCTTCTGGGGGCTCGGCGCAGGAGCAGGCGGCGAGGCATCTTTCTCCTGCGGCATCGGCGCGGAGGTCCCCTGGAGGTGCAGCTGTGGCAGACGCTGCCAGGTCGCCAAGTTCCGTCGCTAAGCAGCAACCGGGAGCGCTCGGCGCCAACATTGCTGCAGATATGGTGCCGCTGCTTCGCCAGCCTGTGGCTGTCCGCAGCCCGGCTGGGTCCTCGGGAGGTAGCAGGCCGGTGCCTATCGGCGTTGCTCTTGCAGCTGCAGCGAACAACGCGGCTGCTGCAGGTGCAGTGCCTGCCAAGGAGCCAGCAAACGACACAGCTGCTGCTGCTGCACCCAAGGATCTCAGCGCTGTAGAGGAAGCAGCGAAGCCGGCGCTTACGGTAGGTGAGTCGCAGCCAGCAGACAGTGCGAAGGAGGACGGCGCGAAGACTACGGAGCAGCAGACGGCCAAGGGTGTTCAGCCGGGCGAGCCGCAAGCCCGCAAGGCAGCGACTGGGTCACACCACACCGGCGCGGCTTCAGCTCCCAAGCCGGATGCCAAGACGGCGGCGGCTGCCGGCGGTGGTGCAGGCAGTGCAGCCGCAGCCCGCGCTAGTCAACGCCCAGGGGCTGCAAACACCACCACTACGCGTCCCGTGCAGCCGGCAAAGGCGGCAACCGCTTCCAGCAGGCCCGCTGTTAATCAGAAACCGGCTGCAGCGCCAAGCGCCGCCGCAGCCAAGGTGCCTGTTGCATCAGCAGGCGGGGCAGCTGGTGCAAGCAAGGCAGGAGCCATTGTCCGGCCGACTGTGAAGGAGTCTGGTCAGCAGCGCAGCGGTGGTAGCGGCAGGGCGGAGCCAACTGGCGTCGCTAAGCCTTCTGGTCACGGCAGCACCCAGTCCGCTGCGGTGCGCAGTGCCGTGAACATGCAGCAGAAGCATGACGTCCGCAGCGGCTCGGCCCCTGGCGCTGGAGCGCAGAGCGAGCAGGCGCGGCTGGCGGTAGCGCGAGGCCCCAGGCAGGAGGAGCAGCAACGTCGGCAGCCTGGGGCTGCCCCGGCGCGGCTGACAGCAGGACATACAGCACCACAGCAGCTGCTGCTGCCTAACCCCTTTGCCAAGCCCTCAGCGGCCGCTAGCGCCCTCGTCCCATCAGCGGTGGCGCATGCCTCGCAGCCAACTGCCAAGGGGAAGGCAGCTCCTCGCGCCAGCACCCCTCCGCAACGGAAGCCGGGCCTTGGAGCCATTGCCAGCCCCGTCTCCAAACCTTCGCCGAGCAAAGCTACTGTGGTTGCTCCTCGTCCGCTGGCGGCCTCCAAGGACGCGGCAAAGAAGGAGGCTAAACCTGCTCGCCAGCCGGCAGCCGCAGCGACCAAGGCCCCCAGTGCCGAGCCAGCGCTGGCTAAGAAGCCTGCGAAGGTGGCAGTGGCGGCACCACAGCCCTCTTCCGCCGCCGCCAGTTCAGAAAAGACGGCGGTGGAGGAGGAAGGAACCGTGGCAGGCGCCAACGAGACGGCCTTCCCGGCGGCCTCCGACAACGGTGCTGGTGGTGCTCCAGAGGTCATCTCGCAGCAGGAGTGCGAGGCACCAAGTGGCAGCGAGAATGTAGCCGAGAGCCTGCAGGTATGCACCCACGACGCGTGGAAGCTTGTCTACGGTATCGTGCAATTGGGGGAACACGGGCCCTAGCTATATACTTGCAACTTACCCTGCATGTCCTGTCGTGTCATAGTTGCACGCCCTTTCCCTGTGCAGGATCCCGAGCCCATGGCCATGACGCCCCTGCGCCCGGCGCCCTTGGAGATGCCAGCAGCTGATCAACGGGAGGCAGGCCCCGCTAAGGGTGACAGCGGTGACCAGGATGCGCATGCGCCTCCGGATGCGGCGATGGAGACGACGCCGAAGCCCGAGCGCCCGGTGAGTCCATGTACGGGTAGCCTGGGGCCAACATGCGTTACTCTCCCGCACTGTTTCTTTGACTAGTTTGCAAGGTCATGGGTCTGCCGTACTCTCTCTTGAAAACTTCCATCTTGACATGAAAACTGACTGCGCTTTGGTGTTCTGTGTTTCTTTGACAGGACCTGAGTTGGCTGGTGGACAGCAGCCCGTGCGCCAGCCTAGCTGCAACACCGTACGGCTTTACGGACGCGGGCAACGGGCAGGGATTTAGCTTCCCCGTCGACGAGCCCCAGGACAGCAACGTGCCGCTGGACGCAACCTTTGCCAACGCCTTTGGTTTTGGTGGTGGCGGCGAGAGTGCGTCCCCGGCAGCGGAGCAGCCGGTCTTCGCACCCTGCATGGGCGACTCTATCTCTCTTTCGCCTGTCGGTGCTCTGCTCCAGAACACCGTTAGCGACGAGACGGACTGCGTGCCCATGTCGGTTGACAGGCCGCCGGCGCCACAAGGAGTTCTAGCGGGACGTGAGGCCACGCCGATCAGCCTACGCTTGAAGCCGTCTGGCGAGGTTTCCATGCTGACGCCTGGGCCAGTGGTGAGTGTGGGCTGCCTGGGTTTGAAACATGCGGTACGCTTTGCTGTACTGCCATGTGTCATGATGGGTTACGCTTAAGTTCATGCGTGACAGGATCACGATAAGCAACGTAACACGTAAATCAACACCCCTCCGATGCCTGTACCTCTGTCCACTGCAGTTCCAGTTTGCGGCGCCGCCGCCTGCCGCATCCAAGCAAGGCAACGACGGCAGCACTCCCGTCCTCTTCCCGCAACCCAAGCTGCGCTTCTCCTGGGATCCCACCGCACCAGGCGCCACGTTGCCTGTCCCTGGCGGTCTCTACACATCCCCGGGCATGGCAATCAGCGGCTTTGGGAGCATGGGCTCCGCTGCTGCAGGCGAGGCTACCCCCACCAGCACCGCAGCCGCTGCCGGTAGCTTTGGCCCGGGAAAGGCGGCTGGCGCAAGCTCCGGAGGCCCCAGTGCTCAGGCTGCGAATTCCGCAGATCGTGACCTGCCCGAATACCTTAACCCAGTTAAGTGCGCTTCACCCGACGCGCCCGTGCATGTCAACTTTGCCAGCGCGGGCACCGGGGCCGTAGGCGGCGGTCCGGGGGCTGGTGCTGGTGGCGTGGAGGATGGGGGAATGGTGATGTTTGGTGGCGGGTGGGCAAGACCGGGCCGGGTGGCTCAAGACAGCTATGATGAGTTGAGGATTTCCAGTGTGTCGAGCTGGCCCATGCTTCAGCGTTAAGGGTCGGTTACAGCTATGAAGGCAGTAGCCGAGGGGGTAATCTGGGGTAATGTAACATAAGATGTGCGTAGGAGAAGGTAACAGGGCGCTGGCGGTTGCGTCGAACTGTGCGCGCGTGATCGATGTTTAGGTAATACATACATAGGTGGAGCCAAGATGTCAGTCTCATGAGAACTGGGCTAAGTTGCGTCCTCGAGCATCGGGGCCAAAGCTCCTCTACAAGGCATGTCCAGTCCTGCCGTACCGCGGGTCCATTACTAAACAGACGAGGAAGGTTGCATCCTTCAGAGCTTGCGTAGTTGGGTTCAAGCTTGTAATAGTTCTGCGTCTTAGATATATAAGGAAAATTACTACTGCGCTAGATTGGACGCCAGCTGACATCGGTGACGAGTTTGCTGCAACCGCATAAGTGAAAAAATGGAAATTGATGTTCCTATTAAAGAAGAAGTGGTACAGGAACAGCGGGTCATCCTTGGGGCACCAGCAGATGCAATGGAAACAGAGCGCCCACGTGGGGAGCCGGGACCACCGCAAGAGGCCAGCACAAGCATCCAGGCACAGCAGCAGACCGCGCCTTTGGGTCGGCTCTCCGGACTTTCGCGGCGTTACAGCTTGTGAGCATTTGACCCTAGCCCCTGGATGAACCCCTTCCTTTGAGCCATAATTAATCATACTGGCTAATACAGGTTGGAGCTAACTCAGATGGGTGAAGGCTTCGAAGTCAAGCAGCAGCTGGATTTGTTGCAGGCAAGCAAACGTGGACCGGCCGTCTGTTTTCCGCCATGGTTATCATACATATTTCTTCCTGCAGGCACGCCTTCGACAAGGTGCTCTCCTCTTTCAGCCAACTATATGCAAACCACGTTCAACTACCATCCGCGAAATAGAGTTCCTGCACGAGCTTGGGATAAGCGTACCAGACTGGCACTCCCATAGAACCACTCGAAGCCGCCCGGCGCACACCTCGTCCCACGGGCATTTACGAGGGAACCCCCGCGCAGTGAGTATTGGGGTTTACCAGGACTCTACCCTGTAGGCATGGCCCGCCTACCTAACAGTCCTCTTCACTCCTAAACCTTAACAGAGACCGGCGCCGCAACACCACATGGCCAGCGGGAAGGTTGGGAACGCGATCAAGCTGCTACGCGCTGTCAAAAGCAAAGCAAACGGGTCAGGACGCACGTACACATCCAAATACCGCGGCGTGCACCAAACCTTCCCCACGAAGCGCTGGGAGGCCCAATTCCGGCGCAACGGCAAACCCACTTCGCTCGGTAAGTCCAACGTGCAACATGCACAGCACAGCATAACATGGAGGTTGTTCACATTCCATTGGCGACCTGCCATTGACTCATGTGTGGAAATCTTCGTACCGTAAGCCGGTTGTAGAATTACGGCGCCTGCCTGCTTCTCACAAACACGCCTATGTGCGTTCGCCCCCCTCAGGCTGCTTCGATAACGAGGAGGAGGCAGCGCGCGCGTACGACAAGATGATGCTGTGGTGCGAGCTGCACAACGCGGCGGGCGTGAAGAGCGGCATCACCAACTTTGATGCCACGGAGTACGAAAAGGACTTTGCCTGGCTGCAGGCTGTCAGCCAGGTAAGGGCATGACACGGCAAACCTGCGCACGGTACGACAAAGCTGATGCGTTTCAGTGTTACAACCCTACAAGGCATCAAACCAAAGGGGACATAGTTCCTTAGTGGTGAGTGAGGAGGGCCCGGAAGAAGGCGCTGCACACCTGCGCACGGACCTTCATCATCTTCCGCCGTCGCGCCTAGCGTGTCACACACGCATACGCACCAGCTCGCATTCATCCCTCTCCGCTGCCTAACAACCAACCCTCAACCACCGCCGTACCGGTACGCGCAGGACGAGCTCATCGAGACACTGCGCGGCGAGGGTCGGCGCCAGGCGGCGCACCGCATGATGCGCCAGAAGCGCGAGGGCGGTCAAACAGACGCCACCACCGAGGACTTTGAGGAGCAGGCGCCCGCGCACACCGGCCCCAGCCTCAGCCTCGGGCAGCCGCCGCTGCCGCAGCAGCCGCTAGCACAGCAGCAGCAGCAGCTCCTGCCGCAGCAGGCACACCGATCGCAGCCGCCGGAGCCGCAGTCGCGGCCAGGGCTGGTCCCGACGCAGAGCGGGCCCCAGCAGGTGCTACCGCCGCTGGGGCTGCTGGCGCCGCAGTCGTCCTTGCAGGCGGTGGACCTAGGGGCCTCAGAGGCGGCGGTGCAGGGAGCAAGCGCGAGTGCGGCTGGGGATGCGGCGGGGTTGCAATCTGCAGCAAGCGGCCAGGAGGGCCTGGCGGGCGGTGGCGCAGCGGCGTTGCTGGATGCGACGGCACATGTGGCAGGGAGCGCTGTGGCGGATGTGGCCATGGGGGAAGCAGGCGCCGCTGGGGCCGACGGGAGCAAAGTGGAGCCGCGTAGAGGGGTAGCGGCGCCTGCAGGGGTGGCGGGCTCGGGTCTTGACGTGCTGACCAGCGACGAGTATCTGTTGGACGTGTGAGAGGGCCGTTGAGGGCGGCGGGGTTGTGCAACGGAGTTGAGGTTCATTGGGCCACAGGAAACTGACAGACCGACAATGGGGGTTATCATGCAAATGGTGGGTTTCGTGGGTTGGTGGTGGGAAGGGCCGAGGAAGGGAGGGGACGCGACACACGAGTTGGGCTAGGCTCGCTGCGACATGCATCTTACAGCAAGATGCGCATGGGGGTGGTAAGCGAGTTTGGATTCATTCAATGGCCAGCAACATGCTGGTGTGGGGTGGGGAACTGGTTTGGGCTATCGTGTCGTTTGTGCAGGAGGGTTGCTGCCCGCTGCAGGTGCGGCATGGCTTTGAGTGAGAGAAGGCAGTTTGTGTTTTGTTGGCCTTCAGTGCGGCGTGTGCGGAGCTTTGTATGGTTTGAAGCGCAACGTTATCCTTCATGAGCCTGTTGCATTGACTACTTCCGGGGCTCTGTACGTCCTGTGTTGCAACTGCTGTATTAAGACACAAGGACGGACTTGTAAAGGACGGCCCCAGCCGTATTATGCGTTGCATCAGACGGTGCTGCAGATTATGCCGTTACGGAGAGTGCAAATGTTAAATCCCGGCTTTGGGCACTTATGCCAATCTTACACGGCTGTAACGCATAACTGACTGGGCCCAACAAATTCGTCATCAGCTCGTAAATGCAGCAATGAAAGTAAGAGCAGACGCTCATATCCTTCGACTTATTTTTGTTGCGGTCTGCTGTCTTTGTACTGTTTGGCTTGTTCGGTCTCCATCCCAGTTGGCAGCAGCGCTCTACGCACCGAACCTCAAGGCCTCTGGAAAAACGGGCAACTCAGGTGCTAAAGCAGCTGTAAATATGGGCAAGGCGGAGGCTCTGAATGAGATTAAGGCGGCGATCTCCGCGAACAAGGTGTGGCTCGTAACCATTTGGCTCACGGGCAGGCCAGCATAGCTTATGTCATTTACTTGTCAGCTTGCGCTTTCACGCTTGGCCCCGGCATTTGACTCATTCGCGACTGTCCATCTGTCGCCATGTGCAACGTTGCTCGATTTTCGTCATGTGCTAATTGCTTGTGTACTGTGGATACAGTACTCTTTTACGTTTTCTGCTTCTATCATTTCAGCTGGTCTTTTTGGTTAACGGCTTGCAAATAAGTGGGCCATGTATGCCTGCCCACTCAAGTGTTTCAGGAACACCTGGAATACCTTAAGGACTATAGTTATGCCGGGAAGCGGCAAAGCAAATGACGTCCTGGTCTGCGCATCCCACAAGGTTCTTAACACCTTCCTGGTTTCTTCCATCTGCAGGTGATGGTCTACAGCAAGTCCTACTGCCCCTACTGCACCAAGGCCAAAAACGCTCTCAACCAATTCATCAGCCCCAGCAAGTACACCGTTGTAGAGGTGCGGAATCTGAGGGGACGCGTAGCACCACTGACATCTACCGGTACCTAGCCCATACTCGCAGACTTGCCGTGCCGTGCCCATCCATAAATGCTCTGCACAGCTTTTTCCTACACCACGCGTCCTACCTAATTCCTCCTTCCTCCCTTCTCACCCATACCCCTTCTCCCACGTACGGTATTCTCCCTGCTTGCAGCTGGATCAGCGTGGCGACACAGATGCGATGCAGGACGCATTGCTAGAGGTCACGGGCGGCCGCAGCGTGCCTCGCGTTTTCATCAACGGCCGCTTCATCGGCGGCGGCGACGACACGGCGGCGGCCGCCGCTAACGGCTCCCTGCAGAGGATGCTGTCGGAAGCGGGTGTGCTGTAGTGTGGATGTAGCGTTGACGGAATGTTGATCGAGTGCTTGGATGACGAGGGAAAGCGGCGGGGTTAGGGCTACAGCGTTCATGGTTTGCAAGGACTGTTGTCGTTGGCGTTGTGTTGGGGGGTGTTGATCTGTTGAGACAGAAAGGTGCTCTTCCTCCGTGCATACCAATTTACCAAGCATGCACTCGAATTGGTCGGGCTCGGTATTGTGGTTGGGCTCGGTACTGGGTAACATTTAGTGGTTGGGCTCGGTATTGCGTATAGCTAGCAATTTAGAGCAGCTGTGGAATGGCGTGTGGCAGGAAAAAATACGCAGGATGGGGGACGTGGCAATCGCTGCAGTTATACCTTGACATTGCAAGTACCGGTATTTGAAGGATCACTCCGTATCGCTGTCTGAGCCCACCAATGACACGCACGCGCGCGCGCTGCTTCACAGCATGGCAGGCACGGGTAAGTAACGCACTGAAGCGTTCATACACGTTCGCCTCAACCTTGAAGAAGTTCATTCTAAGTCTTGCAGTACGAAACTACTGGCTTGGGCAATAGGAAAAGGCTTGCTGTGGGCTTGAACAGTGGGACGATTGGAGAACTGGACCACAGGACACCGGTAGGCACAAGTCGACAGCGTCTTAAAAGCCCGGAAAGGATTATGTTGGGTTGTTTGGCCAACTGTCATCCCTGAAACATTTGCCAAACACAACCCTGGCCAACTGTCAGCCCCGAAACGGTAGCCGGCGTCAGCTCGCTACAAACGCCGTATGGGGTCAGCGACCATGATGGTAAGGTAGAGAGGTAATGGGCAGCCAACGTGCAGCAGGCAGGGCTCCCTCGCGGGGCGGCCACATTTGCCTCCTGCAGCACGCACAGACGGACAGGCCGCTCCCCAGGCAGAAGGCAGTATCGGTACGCATTTCCCCGCCCAACTCCTGCAACAACAACTCTACGAATGCCGCTTTTGCTGTAATAAAACTCCTTTGGTATAAAACTTCGAACGACAGCAAGAGAACCTCCTTGCGTGCAGTCCTGACCCATGGGTCATCCGTCCTGCCCTCTCCGGCTCCTCAGCATCCCCCCAGCGTCCTCCCCCCTCCTTCCCCTCTTCTCCCCTCCTCATCCTCTTCACCCCCCCCTTACTCCGGCTCCCCATGCAGCCGCTCCCACTCCCGACTGCTCTCCCGCCACCCTTCCAGCCCCATGCCCTTCAGCCCCAGAATACTGTCAGGGCTCCTACCGACCCTCGGCAACCCGCCGGGAGCGCTCTTAGCATGGCCGCTCGCTGCCCCATTGCACCCTCCGACTGCCAATGCGGACGGCGACGTAACGGCTGCTCCGCCGTCACTCAGGCCGCCCACCCTCGTTGCAAGCGGTTCGCTGTCCGCCTGAGAGCCCAGGTGGCCAGGTTGCGTTGTGAATCCTGCCGTCACAGCCGCCGCCGCTGCTAGTGCTGCTACTGCCGTCTCCGCTTCGTTGCGGAAGGTGCCGTTGGGGGCCGCCGGTGCCTCCTGCTGCCCGCCGGATGAGCCACCTCCGCTTGAACCTGCAAGCATAAGGGGCGTGGGGGGGTACTGGTACTCGGCGTACTGGGATGAATGCGGCTCTGATGGGATTGAGTGGCTGGTAAAGGGTCAGGTGAGAGCGGGCAACATCCATTCGCCGGCGGCTTTGCATGAGTGTGTTGATGGTGAAGGAAACGCGCCCGGGCCTAGGCGGTATAAATTCCTTCCCAATCCAGATAATCCTGATGTACATAAGAGTGTTTTGACCATCCCTAAACTCAAGAGCCAACATCGTATGTATACTCTTACACAGCTATACACATATTCCTCATGCCTATTCCTCATTTTTCGTCAGCACGCTTCCTCCAGTTTCCAACCCCACCAACCACCTCCATCACTCACATTGTGACGATCCCGACAGATACGTGGGGTTCTTCGTGACATAGTACACACGTCCGCTCGCCGTCGCCGCCTGCAGGCCCCCATCACCCGCGCCCACGCCGCCGCCATCCATCTCATCCCCGCCGCCGACCCCGTCGCCACCACCCAACGGCACCGCCACCACCGCCGCCGTCGTATCCGCAGCCCGCACTGCATGTACCCCCACTGCCCCTGGGTAGCCAGCCGCCGGCGGCGGCGGCGGCGCCACTGACGGCAGCAACGCCTCTATCAGCGGCAACATACCGCCGCATGCCAGCACTCCTCCGGCCGCCGCCGGGGAGGCTGGCGGCGGCGCCAGTGCGAGGGAAATGAGCTCGTGCCCGGATACCTTGCCCCCTCCAGAGTAACCCGCTTCCGCCGCCGCGGCGGAGGTGGACGCAGCCGCGGCGAATGGGGGCTGGGAGTGCGGCTGCGGGAGTGCCGGTAAGCAGCTGGTGAGGCCGTGGGGGTGGTGGGAGTGGTGGTCTGGGGCGCCTGGGCGCTGCGGCCGCTGCGGAGTGAGTTGCCACGTGGGCATGGCTGCGGGGTCGCGTTGGGACTGGGCGTCCAGGAAGCGCACAATGTGCTCCTTGAGACCCTTGGGTCGGCGGTGTGGGTGTGGCGTGGAGCGTCAGGAAGGGAGGGGCGGTGTGAATTGTCAGGAAGGGTGGAGGGGTTGCGGCCTCGGACAATGTCAGCTGGGTAACTGGGTAATTGCCACGGCCTTGGGTAATCGACTTCAGCATCAGCCTCAACCCCACGCGTGGCCGAGCACCTACTACCGCACTCTTCTTTGTGGGGGTAAGGACCCGTATAATCCGTATCAATCGCTCGCTCCAGAACCCAGCCCCAGAACCCAGCCCCAGAACCCAATCAGCTCCAGGGCTCACCTGCGGGCAGTTGATCCGGAGCTCCTCGTGCTGCGGACCGCCGCCCCCGGGCTGCTGCTCCGCCGCGGGTTCATCCGAATCCGAGGTGCCACCCAACTCCAGGGAAACAGATCCGCGCAGCCTGAATGCATGCATGCATGGAAACATGCGGGGCGAGAGTCGTCAGGCGGGCAGGAAGCGGAGACCTGCTGCTGGATTGGAAGGGTTAGTTGCGGGTTCTTGTAACAGCTAAGACTCGAACACGTCCTAAGGTCTGCTTTGGTGGATTGCAGGCGGTGGTTAGCCGTAAGACGCACAGGTTGCGTCGGGCTAAGCGGAAGGTGGAAGGGAGGCAGCTGTGGTAGTCTTACTTGATCAAGCCGAACAAGAGGGAAAGGGAGGAGGAGAGCTGCAGGGTCCTCCCGCCGTCACGACGCCACCGCAGCGACAAGCAGATGATGGAAGCAAGCAGGGCCGCGACCAAGCGAGCTGGTTTGTTTGCTAGCAAGACTCGAAGAGCTGTCCCCAGGATGCCTGGTAGGCGCCGCAGCGGTTCCAAAAGAGTACGTCGGTTCTGAAGCAACAGTCTAACGACACGCCGGACAGCCGTGATGGTCAAGGCCAAAGTGCGTAAAGCTCCTTTGACGCCTTCGTTTAACAGGATTATAAGTACAGCCCTGCCCGTAAGCGGCTTTGCCGTGGGCAGCCCGTCCCCGGCCGCACGGCTTGCAGCTCCCTCCATGCCCAGCTCGCCGCCTTATGAAGCCGCCTTATGAATCAAGGTTGTAGGTTACGTCCAAACAAAGTTTTCTTTTCTGCTGCGCCACGGCCGGCAGCATGTTGCTCCGGCCGCGACCGGGATGGATTGTGGATTAGGTCCTCAAGGTGGCAGCTGCAAGGACAATGATGTATGGGTAACAGTTCAGTCATTGCAAAAGACAGAAGTATCTGGCAATGCCTCGTCGTTGCTTATCGTCAAGCAAGCGGTGAACGTGGAATGAAAACCAACGGCTCCAGTGGGGATCGCACATATTCATGCCGCATCGTACCTTTGCGCTTTTATGTTAGTGATAGCGCAACAGGGCTAGTGATAGGGCTGTTGTCGGTTGAAGCGCGGACCGCGCAGGGGAACGTTCATCAAAACGCCTGCAGCTTGCGGGTTATGGCCCAAGATCTAGATATTATACAGCCAACATATGAAATGGTGCGTCAGCAATAGCACGAGCTCTGCGCTGCCGCGTTTCCGAGCGGGTATGAGTCGCGGTTCCCGCCACTGTCGTGACTTGGGCCGTACAAAGGGAGTCCAGCAACCGCAGGCAGGTAAGAGGTCAAGAGGAAGCTAACGCTATGACAATGGCTTGCTCAGTCGACTTGTTCATAGGTGTTACGGAGGCCCCTACAGTGCCCTCTAAGCCTTGAGCGACCACGATAACATCCCCTTTCGCAGGGCCGCGATGCTGGACATATCCAATTTACAATACATTTCGAACAAACGATATGTTAAACATTTGTAATATCCCTTGGCAATAGGCGACTAGGGCTACGGCACAGGTCCATGTCCAGCATGGCTGCTAGTACTGCTATGGAGGTGCGAGATCAGGGGCTCCTAATGGGATTTGGGGCCGCTACTGGGTGATGTGAACATCAGCGGTATAAACAATTGGACATTGCTGAGGCAGTTCCATTCGCAAGCACTCCCTGACCAGTCCCACCCTCCCCATGCTCAACACATTGGGTATTCTTCTACCCCCCCCCCCCGCTCAGCTAGTTTGCCACTATCACACCAGACATTGGAGTTTCTTCTTTCCCCCCCGTTGGAGTGCGCAGGATCTACGGCAGCAGCTGGAGGCGCTGGTGGAGCAGCTGTCACGCCTGGCGGACGCCAAGAGGATGTACGGCAGTGTACGAACCACCGGATCCGCTGTTGGATCCTCACGTTTAAAAAGCACCAGCGGCGAAGGCACCGCCCGCAAGCAGCCGGAGCACAGCCGTGCGAGGGGAGGTGACAAGACTGGCCTGCAAAGCAGCCCGCCTGCCAAAGCCCAGGATATTAATAGGGAGGATGTCGGAGGCGATCCCCGCAAGACGGGGTTGGAGGAGCAGCAGCAGGAGGAGGAGGAGGAGGAGGAGGAGGACCTGGAGACGTTCTTACGGCGAGTGGACGAGGCCAGTGCACGGTACGGCACAGCCCTGGGGGGTTGGCTGGGTGGATTCGGATCCGGATTCGAAGTGCCTACCCGGTGCATCTGCTTCCCTCCGACAGCCTGGCCCCTGCCGTGTCCCTTCCCTCCCTGGCTCCTGATGCCCCTTGATACCTCCTGCCATGACCAACACCCCTCCTCCCTCCCTCCCTTCCTGTGGCACACGTTCTCCCACCCTCCCTCCCTCCCTTCCTGCCCCCCACCCCCACCCCCGCAGCATGCTCGCCCTGCTGTCCGAGGCTCCCCACGCCGCCACCCGCCACCAGCCGCTGCGGGGGGCGGCACTCCTAGCGGCGGGACTAGCCGCCTGGCTGCGTGGGGGGGCGTCGGAGGCGGCGGTGGGGGGGCTGCAGGCGGCGGTGAGGGGGGCAGGGTGAGGGGGTGGGGAGGCGGCGTCTTAGCTGGCTGGCTGGGGAACGAAAGCTGGAGGGCTCCCCATTCATCCAACCCCCCAATCACATACCCGTGCACCCCGCCTTCCCGTCAGGTCAAGTTGCGTGCGCTGAGCCCCGTGGCGTGGAACTGCCTGGCGCACAGCTACTGGGAGCGAGGGGACCTGGTGGGGTGGGGTGGGGGGGGAGGGGGGGGAGAGGGAAGGGGGGAGGGGGATAAAGAGGAAACAACAAACTGGCTGGGGGAAGGGGAAACGAAGAGGAAACGGTCGAGGTGTACGAGCTGGTGGGAGGGGACTGGTGACGTGTTGAGGGCGTGCTTCATGTGGGCTGTGGTGGGGGTTGAAGGTTGTTCCTCCTCCTCCTCCTTCCTTCCTCCTCTCCCCCCCCAGTTCATGGCCTCCTGCTGCCTGCGTTCCGGCCTGCGCCACTGCCCCAGTGTGGCTGGGCACCAGATGATGTCGCTGCTGGTACGGCAGCCGGGGTACTACTCGGGCTGGGGGGGAGGTGTGGGTACGGCAGCAGCAGCGGGGGCGGGGGGAGCTGGAGGCGGCAGCAGCAGCAGCAGCGGTAATAACTATACCAGCACCAGCAGCAGCAGTAGTAGCAGTGCCGATGCAGCTCAGGCGGCTGCGTTGACTGCTAGCCTGGCGCATGCACGGAGGGCGTTGGAGTTGGACCTGGGAGGGGAGGGGATGTGTGTGGTGGGGGTGAGGAGGCGCGCGTGGAGAGACTTGCTGCCCTGTTGTACCGAGCGTTAGGGCGAATGGTCAACCGGTGTCTCCCCCTTCCTCCGTCCTCTTCTGCTGTCATCTGTCCCATGCTGTTGTTTGAAGGATCCACAGCACCGCTGTGTGTTTGATTCTGTTGTAACTAAATAACTACCGTCTGCGTCTCCTGCCCTTGCCCCTTTCCCCTAACGCCCCTCCCCCCTCATTAAATGTTTCCCCTCCCCCCCGCAGACGTGCTCGCCATGGCCCAAATGGCCGCCTACTTCCGGGGCCACCACCTGCCGCCTGGGGTGGCAGCAGCAGCAGCTGCACCGCACACCTCTGCATCCTCTTCCTCTCCCTCCTCCGCTGCACCCTCCCCCTCCTCCTCCTCCGCTGCACCCTGCTCCTCTTCTGGTACCGCACCTCCTCGAGCACCGGCAGCACCGGCAGCGTCGTTTCCCACGTCATCAGGAGCCCCAGCCGCGGCTGCGGTTTCAGCAGCAGCAGCAGCGGCAGCAGCAGCAGCAGCAGCAGCAGCAGCAGCAGCAGCAGAGGGAGGGGCTGCGAGCGGGGAGGGGGCAGCGGCCCTGGGGGGCGGGTATGGAGGGGGTGGAGGAGGCGGAGGAGGGGCAGGGCGCGGGGGCGGCGGGCGAGGTCGGGGGGAGATACAGCGTGTGCTGGCGGCGTTTGCGCAGGTGGGTGGATGGGGCGGTGGTGGGACGTTGGTGGGGTAAACAATAAGGAAACTGACGAGGGGTGGGTGAGGTGAGGTGAGCTGCTGGGGCATGGAAGTGAAGCAGACAAACGCTCAAAGCTGACTCCGACGTCCGAACCCCCTCCCCTCCCTCCACAGCTCAGTTTATCTAATCCCCCTAAACACACGTCCCCGCCGCGCACACACCCCATCGACGTGGCTCAGCTCCTACTCCTCCTGGTCAGCTCCCTCCGCCCGCCAACCCCCGCCCCCCGCCCCCCAGTTTGCCTCGTTATACAACTCGTTAGTTTCCTCTGAGCACCTTTTCCGGGCTCAGTTTACCCAATCCCCCAGCTTGCTTACCCCCCCCCCTCCCCCCCAGGCAACCCATGTTGACGCCTTATCCCTCAGTCAGTTAGTTGTTTCCTCTCTGCCCTCCGCCCCAGGCTGAGCGGTGCGGCTGCGCCGACCTGGCTGACCTGCAGTACAACAGGGCGGCGCTGCACGCCTTCAGCCAGGACTTCGAGGCGGCACTGCAGGTGGGGGGTGGGCGGGCGGGCGGGTGGGGGGCGGTTGTGAGTCAGTCCATGTGCGGGTGCTGCTGGTGATACGGAACTACCCTGGAGCCCTGTCTGCTGCCCAGTGACGACACGCAAGGCAGCCACACACAGCCTGCCCCGCAGCCCACAGCCCTCCTCCCCCATCTCCCTCCCTCCCCCTCCCCCCAGGGCTACGCCGCCGCCGCCCGACTGGACCCCGGGCTGCCCGCCTCCGCGCAGTCCGAGTCGCTGGTGCTGCTGCTGGGTCAGCTGGCGGGGCTGGTGGCGGGGCGGGGGGGTGTACGGCAGGCGCACTGGGCGGCGGTGACGGCGCTGCTGGCGGGGGATGCGGCCAGGGTGGGGGGGGTGGGGGGGGGGGGGGGTTGGGGGGGCAAATCTAGGTGGGAAGTTAAGCGACGGAGGGAGGGGGACGGGGCGGGGTTGCCTTCTTGGTCCCCCAACCTCCTTATCACCCCCACGTCCCACCTCCCACCATGCTGTGCCCCCGGTTCTCCTTCTCCTTTTCCTTCCCCGCCCCCCCGGCCCCCCCCCGGCCCCCCCCCCCCCCGTGTGTGTCAGGCTGCGGAGGTGCTGCCGCGCACCCACCACGAGCGGCTGCAGCTGCGGTCGCTGAGGGTAGGCGGGCGGGCTGATTGGGGTGCTGGGGTGAAAGGAGGAAACTGACGAGCTGTACGACAAGGCTTCTTCACCATCTCTGGGTTGATCCCGGGGTCCCGGGGTGGGGAGTCAAGGGGTGCACAGCAGCAGCGGGACGGCGGGCGGGAGGCTTTTGGTGTATACCTCCTCCTGACAGGACAGCGGCTAGGGGCTGGTGGCTGGGTGATGCGGATGTCTGAACCATGTGGGGGCGGTTCAGGACGGACCCACGGGACACGGGACGCCCTCCCCCAGTCTCTACCATGTTCCGTGTATGCGTGGGCACCGGTAGCGGCTGTTAGGCCCCCGCGGCGGCCATCCCCTCCCGCGACCCCCCTACCCCTCTCACCCTCTCCTCTGCCCCCTTGCACTGCTACACGGATCCCCGGGCCATGATGACGACCAAGATCACACGGTCAGCAAGTTGTTTCCTCTTTACCTCCCCCCCCCACCAGGAGCTGCACCCCGGCCCCAACCCGGGCCAAGTGGTGCTGTGTCGGCCGCTGGTATTCGTGGCGCCGCCGCTCAACGCGTCGGGCACGCTGTGAGTTGCATGGGGAGGGTAAAGATAAGGAAAACTGACGGGAGTTGCATGGGGATTGATTAATAAGGATGAAGATTCCGCATGACGCTGGATTTTAGGATTGCGCATAGTCAAATTCAAGTTGCATGGGGAGGGGGAGGGGATGTGAGGCTTGACGTACATCAGCGCGGGAATGCACGCCTCCCCCCTCATCCCCCTTGTCGCCTAGGACCTGCCACCTACCTTCCCACTGTCTCCTTTCCCCTCCTCCCTCCCCCCCACCCCTCCCCCCACCCCCAGCTACTTGGTGTGTGTCGACACGGGCGGCTGTGTGTTCGTGCTGTCCCTGGCGCACGTGCACCACGACGCATTCGACATGACGGCGCTGCTCGCCGTACTGCACCCGCAGCTGAGGAACGTGGACACCAAATGGCCGCCTCCGCCGCCTTCGCCCCCTCCAGTGCTGCCTCCACCACCACCTCCTCCTCCATCACAACAACAACAAAAACCACAGACACCATTATCAGAGACCGCAGCAGCCCCAGCAACGACAGTGGCAGCACCAGCCGCTCCCGCCCCCAGCAGCCGCACCTACCGCTTCCCCATGCTGCTGGTGGGAGTGGACCTGGGGTGTCGCAGCTGCGTGCTGGTGGACGGAGTGCCGCTGCATGTGGAGCCGCAGACGCCGCTGCTGCACCACGTCATGCGGGCGGCATGAGGGGGAGGGGGGGAGAAGGATACCCAATGTGTTGAATGAGGCTGCTGGCGTGAGAGGGGGGAAGGGGGAAGGGCAGGAGGGTGGAGAGTGTGGGGGTTCCTGAAGGGTGTTGAGCAGACACGCGTCTTGGTTACATCGCGCTGCACCATGTCATGCGGACGGCGTGAGGGCGGGGGAGAGGAAGGGGAAACCAACGAGCTGCATGACGAGGCGGGAGAAGGGCGGCATTCGGTCGTGTGCATGCGAGTTGGTTGATGGATGGATGAACGGATCAAGGAGTCGTCAAGGGGCGCGCGACAGCGGCTGATAACGCAATCGTGCGTGCGTGCGTGTATGATGCATGTTGCAGGCTTATAGCGGTAGCATTAGCAGGGTGTACCTTATGTGCTGTGTGCAACAGAAGAGAGGTGCATGCATGCAGGGGCGGGGTGTTGTGGCTCGGTTGGATGGTGGCCACGAGGCACGCAGAAGCAGGCGGGGTGCTGCTGAGGGGACGTTGCGGCGGTGGTGGTGTGCATTGTGAGGAGATACACGGAGATATAAGGAGATTTGTGAGGAGGTATAAGGAAATTACAATCGAAAGGGAAGCGAGGCGAGGTGGTTACAGGTAATCGTATTATGGATGCCGACATGCGCCTCAACTGGACAACATTTTGCTCCGCCAATGTAAGGTTTGAAGCTAGGGCATGTTTGAAAAGGACGGCGTTCATATTTTCGACACACATAAGCTAAACAAACACAACAAAAGGACATGCACCAATCACAACCGCTCAACCGCCTCTTCCACACAACGCTGCCCTAAGCAATAACCTGAAGCTTGCTACTCCTAGACACAGCCGTACACAGTAACCTGTGGCTCTGAAGCCGCAGTACCTCCTCCGTACGAAACCCTTCCTCTCACACATCTATATTCAATCCTAGCTATAGGTATCGGTATCAATCCCTCGCCTCACCAAAACCCGCCTGTCCTCAGGCCCCTGTCCCATCCCCTTCGCACCCCCCAACCCGCACGCCCACGCATCCCCCGCGCTCAGCCACTCTTCACCTCTCATCCAAAGGCAGCAGGTGGTGACCCACGGGTCGGACCAGCCCCAACGGGTCGTCTCTTAGGCCTCAGTTCTTCACAGCTACCACGCTCCCCGGTCCCGCCCAGGGCTTCGCTCCCAGGGTAGCCCTGCCCTTGAACCGACTTTTGCGCGGCGGTTCAATGAAGCAACATTGTTAATTCATTTCACTAATTACCCGTCTGACACCTTCAGGGGCTGTTCCAGCCATCCCGTGGGGGTGCACCCCTGCCGCCCGCCGGGCCGCTCTTGGGCTGAGCCGAGGTGGGGTGCTGCTGCTGCTGCTGCTGTTGCGAGGAGGAGGGGGAGGAGGAGGGGTCCTGTTGGTGCTGCTGCTGCAGGGGCGGGTCCACCTCCACTCCGCGGGCCGTCTTGCCGAACATTTGCTCGTAGGACTCCTGGGGAGGGGGGGCGGAAGGGAAAAGGAGCGGGCGCAGGGGTTAAATAGCAGGCGGGAGAAAAAACAGCAGCATACGGTGTAAGCATTGGCGATCCCCCTACCGGTAACCATTACTAAGGGCGCCGCGGTAGATGATTGAAGAAGCCATTGTGGATGAAGGTGATCTTAGAAGTACAGGCGCTAACTAATCAGGGCGAACGGATGGACGCACGCAGGGGGGGCGCTATAACCTATAAGAAGACAAGTGAACGGCCGCGGCACAACGCAAGTTTTGCTTCTGAGCTAAGTACTACTTGGAAAGAGAAGTCGTTATCCGATTAAGATTATGTAAGGGGGTTACTAACATAACACCCGAAAAGACCCAAAGTAACCACTTGGCTCCTAAATAATTACCCAGCCTACAAAGTTTTAAAAACACTGGCGCCGCCAGCTTTCCTTGTCCCCTGCTACCCGGCGACACTTATCTTTAATTTCTTTTACCCCGCCGTACCTTCAGTCGTCCCACGCCCGCCTTAACCGTCTCAGTAATACCATTGCCAGCAATACCGCCCTGCCACCCCGCACCACCGCCGCCGCCGCCGCCGCTGCTGCCTCCAGCGGCGCTGCCGCCGCCCACCGACGTGCCCTCGAACGTCTCCGTACGGCCGCCTCCGACGCCGCCGCCCGCCTCTTCCGGCGCGCCCCTGCTGCCCGCCTGACGCGGCTGACGCAGGCCGTAATCCTCACCCATCTCGCCGTGAGGGCCGAATATGCCTGTCGCCGGTATGTACGGAACAGGGATGGGGTGCGGATGGGAAAGACAAGCGAGGGTAGAGCAGGAGTGGAGATCCAAAGCGCAGCGGTGCATCAGCGGTAGAGAAGAAGACACGCACTGCTGAGACGTGCAAGCCGAAAAAAGCGCCCTAAGCAGCTCAACGTCATCTGCCTCTCCAACCCGCCTCCAATCTTTTCCTTCCTTCTTTCCCCCCTCTTTCCCCCCCGTCCTTCCTCTCACCCCTCATGCCTCCCAGCTCCGGAATGTCATCCGTGGGTCCGCCCCTCCGCCCGCCGCCGCTGCCCGCCGCCTGCTGGTATTGGCTGGCCACCTGCTCCGCGGCCCGGTGGGAGGTGGTGCTCACCGTGCCGGCATCGCGGCTGTCAGGGGAGGGCTGCTGCTGGTACACAAACTTCACGGCGGTGTTGCTGCCGTACGCCTCGGCGGCCTCGGGGCTGGGGGAGGGTGTACGTGGTGTGTATGGGGGCGAGGGGGGGAGGAAGAGGGGAGGGAGGGAGGTAAGGAGGGAGACTAGAGAAAGGAGTAGACAGTCGAGGGGTTACTGGCGGGGTTGAGGAGGGGTCAGAATAGGGGAGTAGACATCAGGGCACGGTCCGGCGGCGGAATAATAAGAAAGAAAGGGAGAAACAAGATGAGTCTTTCAGACCTCTTACCCTGCCAGAATGGCCTCAGCGCTCTTTCCCGAGCCGTGTCGTATCGTCATGCGTGCAGCCGCCTCCGCCGCTCGCTCATCCGGCATGGTCTCCCGCCCGCCCGTCCGAGTGGCCGGGTCGGGAGGGGCGTCGGGGCTGCGCGCCGGCCCGCCCCCGGGCTGGTGCAGCTGCTCCTGTTGCACGCTGCGAGTGCGAGGCAGGTCGCCCACACGTGGCCCATGGGTCGCTTGGCGCCCTTGGTCGCCTTCGTCTTGGTTGGAGGCGGCGGGGAAGAGGTGGGCGGGGGAGGAGGAGAGGAGGCGGGGGGTGGAGAGGGCGGCTGTGGCTAGGGGAGCGGAGGCCTGTGGGGTGCGGAGGGATGGGGTATGAAGAGGATGGGGGAGGAGGGGTTAGGGTGGATTGAGGAGACGGGGAAGGGAAAGTTGGAGCGCCTCCGGTACAGCAATTCGAATGCCCTGTTTGGAAAGGTGTAGTGGCAAGCGCGATAGGACAATGGTAATAGGACCTGGCGACAATGCCTCCCAGCTAGCGCATTTTCACCGGCTTACGGGCGGCTGCAATGTTGCAGGCCTCGCTAACAGTGCTCTGGAGGTGCCATTGGAACCAGTGTAGCGTTCTAAGAGTGAAGCAGCGCGCAGGAAAACAGGAATTCGACAACGCGCAGCATCATCATAATAGAAATCATAATAGGAATTTACATGAATGCCCTTTTTCCAGCATGCCAAGGGTCAGTACGTGCGGGAGGCTTGTCGCAACTCTGAGACCCATGGGTCCGCTCTGCTCCGATCGGCCGTAAGGCACATCGCGGAGCCAAAGCATTTGTGCTGATCACCACCGCATTCTTGGCTTTGAACGCAAAGCAAACATCCCTGAAAGCTTGCCATTTGCAGCCTCCTTTTCCGACGTCACCAGGCTTGGAAGCCGGAACCCTTGGAAGGCCTCACCTGGCCACCATTACCGATTGCAGCGGCGGCTGCAGCCGCACGCGCGAGAGCCACCTTCATGGCTCAAATGCTGCTGATCCCTAGACGGCGACTGGGAATGAGCTACTCGAGCTACGAGAGAAAGACTTACAGCGCTCGAGGACAGCGCGGATTACGTGTTGTTGCTGCAATTATAGCAAGCCAGGTTGACAAGGAAAATGCCTTAACTTGTCGATAAATGATTTATACCTATGTTTGGCAAGGAAGAGTCGGGCATACTAAATTCAAGTCGTACTAGCGCCATCCCCGTGAGTCATCGCCCCTTTGCAAACGGAGACGGACCTAACCTGCGCACACCAAACGCAGGAGGCCTTGCTCCGCTGCCGCTAAATAGCGTAATCGGAAGGCGCCAATGCCAGTTAGATACCGGTAAACGCAAACGCCGGGACTGCCCTGGAGCGAAGCGGCGCACGAGAGCGCCAAATACACAACCAACGCTAAACGAGTGCAGGGGCCTAAAAGATTCCCACCTAAACTCCTCCTATCGAATGGCCACCATTCCCAACTCCTTGTCTGTAAGTCCCCTGCAAAGCGGGCAGGGTCATTGCGCACCTGCCAGCCCGAATACGGTACCCACCAGTGCTGCATTGTTTTCACAGCGCAAAACACCACAACGCTCACAACAGCTCTCATCTCATTCGTTTCATGCTCAGTAATTTGCTTTGGAAGTCATCTAATGGTACATGTAAAAGCAGCCGAACGACTGGGCCTATGTCTCACTAAGCCTCTGATGGTCCTACTAAAGCACAACACCCGCTGATCCCCTCTTTCCAGCTGCTGCTCGGTAGCACTGTGCCCTTCGTCCTACCAACACCTACCTACTCGACAAACTGGTCTATTCATTCAATCCTCACTCCTTCCTCAAGCCGTAGCTTTCACCAACCAAAACAAGCCCCCAGAATCACAACCCGCCTGCCACCCCAACCCCCAAGCTAGCAACCTCACGCACGCATACCACGCCCCCTTCCCCAGGCCCCACACGGCCACGGGAGAGCAGCAGCTGCGCGCTTAGTAGTTGCTGTGTATTGCACACGCTCCCTCGCAACCGACCCGCTCGCATCGACACATGGGCCAGCACGGCGACCCACGGGTCAGTCCGACGACTCGGCGGGTCGCTCAGCTGTCGTTCAGCCGGGCACATGTGGAGCGCAGCTTGGAGTACACCTTTGATGCCGGCGAGCCTAGGATGAGCGCGCAGAGCGCGTCACGCGCCACCCGGATGTTCTGGAAGGAGCCCAGGATGTGAATGCGGGTGTCCGCGAGCACGATGCGGGTGCGGGTGGCATTCTCTATCGTGAACTTGGTCTTGCCGTCCTGTGGAGGGGAGATGGGCGTGGGATAGGGCAGCCGGGAGGGTAAGGAGGAAGAAATTATGGAAGCATGTTTTGACGAGGCTCCGGAAAGGGAGGCATTATGGGCGGAGAGGAGGAGAAGGGGAAAGGAGGGGAGCTTTCGGGTATGTTACATGTAGTGGGCACCGGGGTATAATGACTGGAGGCGCGTGGGAAAGGAGGGACCGCAGCTGAGGCGAAACTGCAATCGGGGTACGATATCCGATGTGGGTCGGAAGGTCAGGACCTGCAACGGTGCCACTTCTCTTCTGCCGCAGACCTACAATGCTGTATTTGCTCTGCAATTTGCGTTTGCTCCCTGCCCGTGCAACCCACATGTGATGGGGCTTACGCCACCACCCCGCCGCTATCCTCGCGCGACAACAACCAGGGGAGACGGCATGCGAGGTCGGGGATCCCACATCCTCTGGCAGGCTCTGCCGGGGGCCTATCGGGCGGCTGCAGCCCTTCAAGCTAAAGCGTGCCAGGCCCCGCGCACCGCTTTTGGTTGCGGCTCTCCCGACACTGGACCAATCCGTGTGGGTGTTCCTAGCAGGACGCCGGGACACTCGTTTTGACCCAAGCCTTCCCCGGACGCCGGCTGCGGCAGCAGCAACTCATCCTGACCCAAACCTCCCAACATCTTTATTCTCCCGGGGTAACCCAGATTTGCATGTGCCCCCCGCATGTGTCTTCCCAGGATGTACGTGGGCCCGGCCCCCAGCTATCCACCAACCCCGTTAGCCCACCTTGCCGGCTAGACGGCCGATGCAGCGCGAAAGGTGCTCTCCTCGCAGCGTCTGAGGGGAAGGATAGGGTGAGGAGGGCGGCAGAGGAGGGCAGTGAGTAACATGGAATGGGAGTGTGTGGAATGTTAGGATGTGATCGGGATGGTTTCGCTTGAGCGTGTGAACAGATATGCGCCTATTGGGGGGGGAATTAAATATGTGAAACAACGAGTCCCAATCCCATATTGGGGGGGGGGCGCAGCGTGAGCAGCAGCATTAAAAGGTGCGTTCTGCATGCAATACCGACGTTAAAGTATCTAACATGCTCGCAGCGTGCCCATACACGCTGCCTTTTGCACCTCTGGACTGCTAAACGTCAACCCCCTGCGCTCGCACCTTCACGTCCTTAATCTCAAAGCACTCCACGTACAAGTCGTCCAGACGCAGCAGCGCGATGGCGTCGCGGATTTCAAAACCTGTTTTGCGCAGGGAACCGAATTTCCGGTTTGCAGCCTGGGTCAGGCGATGCTAAGAAGGCCTGGATTCGCCACGAACACATATGGCACAACGCCTAGCTCCAGTTTTGAGGTACAGTGGCTTAACCCCCAATGTACTTAGCTTTCCCTCGCTATGCGCATGTGGGTTTGCAAGCAAGAAGTAGAGGACGGAGTTCCCGCTTGCAGCAACCAGTAACCCGAAAGCGGAAGGCAGCCCACCGTGTGTGACACAGCTGCAAACCGTGGGTGGGAATGCCCTTGGCCACTTGCTCCCTCGCTCCCCGTGACCCTTACAAGCGCACCCTTGACAGTCATGCGACCCTTGTGGAAGCGTCAGGGGGTGCACTTACCGAGCAGGTATGCGTGCACGAAGTCGGCAGCTTTTTGTAGGGCGTCCGAGGACGTCGTCTGGGGCGTGGTCTTAATTTCCACCTGCAGGCGAAAACCACTTCCGCTGTTTGGAGGGCTCGTCTTGCAGCATCCCCGCCCAGGCACGGCAGCCTCCTCCTACCTTCTTCGTCTTTAGGTTCATGCGCATGTCAAGCTTGAGGTTATCCGTAATGGGTTTGTAGAGCTCCATCCAAGCAGTTTTGAGAGGAGTCATACGATGCTGCGGCACTGGAACGCGCCGGAACTCCACTTTGGCGTCGCCGCCAGCTTGCTTGTCGCCGTTGGCTAGTGGAGCAAATTTGGGCTTATCAGGCAGCGGCTCGACGGCTGCCTCGTCTGCCTCCATAGCTACTGGACCTACTTCCTTAAGCGGCTGTTGCCGCGCGTTCCGGTCCGCCTTCGGCATGGTGACAAAGTCTCACACCGCAAAAGTAAGTCAAGTGGTTCCTTGTGTAAACTAAAAGGTGCTAGGATACCGCTGCAAATTGCTGTAGGTGTTGCAGTCCTAAAGGAGTGCCCTGGAATGTCATGAGTACGGACTGGGAGGCCCAGGGGGGGGTGAGAGCTACCTGGCCTGGCCCTCCTCCAACTCAAAACGTTTAAAGTAACTAGTCCATGCAAGGCTGTGAACTTAGCAAGAACCACTTATAGATTTAGGAACTGCGTATTATATACACTTTGGCTTTTGGTCCTGCTACACAACTCACTTGCTTTGTCCTTTAAAGCGTATATGAAGGCGCATTAGTGAGCGCACGCTTAGAGCGCGCGCATAGCACGGTTCCGGGGAAGGCCCTGCTGCATTGCAACGCGGGGCGCGCCGACATTAGCTTTGAGGACCAGTCTTTGGCAACATGGCGTTGGATATTCGCATTGCTGGCCGGTAGGCATGGACAAGCGGGCTGCAAGCGCAAAGCGTCTCGTATTTTCAAGCGGCCGTGGTGTCTTGGAGGCTTAAGTCCCATGGCGTCAAACTCCAAAGCAACTTTAGCATTAAGCACATGCTATATTTCTCAACTTGAAGACAGCTATGAGGGTTCTGCTTTTGCTGGCCTTGGCTTCACTAAGAGGGCAGGCGTGACGCCATTTCGCTCCCTTCGGCCCCCTTTGGAACAGCTACCGGCTTGGCCGCAAGATTGGTGGTGGTAGTTTCGGTGACATCTATCTGGGCACTAACATTCAGACTGGAGAAGAGGTGGCCATTAAGCTGGTGGGTGCAAGGAGCGCGGCGCTTACGGGGGGGCCATTTCTCATACCTCTGGTCGCGCCTGCAGGAGTCGGTCAAGACGCGGCACGCACAGCTGCTTTACGAGTCTAAGCTTTACAAGATCCTGCAAGGCGGTGGTAAGTCGCTTGCTTTCAGACCGCGCAGCTGGGACGCAGCTTGACCTTCTTCAACCGCGCAGTGGGCATCCCCAACGTGAGGTGGTATGGCGTCGAGGGCGATTACAACGTCATGGTCATTGATCTTCTTGGCCCCAGCCTGGAGGATCTATTCAACTTTTGCAACAGAAAATTCAGCCTAAAGACGGTGCTCATGCTCGCAGACCAACTGGTGAGGCCTCTTGCAGCTGTATTGCAACCGTTCATAGCTAAATAATGTTCTCCTTCTTGTGCAGTTGTCCCGGGTGGAGTTCGTGCACTCGCGCAGCTTCATTCACCGCGACATTAAGCCTGACAACTTCCTCATGGGACTGGGCAAGAAGGCCAACCAGGTGCACATCATCGACTTTGGCCTGGCTAAAAAGTATCGGGATCCTAAAACGCATATCCACATCCCGTATCGGGAGAACAAGAACTTGACAGGCACGGCCCGTTACGCCAGCATCAACACGCACTTGGGCATCGAGCAAAGCCGCCGCGACGACATGGAGTCGCTGGGCTATGTTATGATGTACTTCCTGCGCGGCTCGTTGCCGTGGCAGGGGCTCAAAGCCACCACGAAGCGGCAGAAGTATGAGAAGATCAGTGAAAAGAAGATGTCCACCCCCATCGAGGTATGTTCGAATACTGGTTCCCCCATTCCTTTCATGCAGACAATAACATAGGGCTTCCTGGCTGCAGGTGCTCTGCAAGGGTTACCCGATGGAGTTTGTGACGTACTTCCAGTACTGCCGCTCGCTGCGCTTCGACGACAAGCCGGATTACTCCTACCTCCGGAAGATGTTCCGGGACCTCTTCGCCCGGGAGGGTAGGTTCGCTACAGCATAAAGGGGCTCGGTCCTGCCTTCCTGGTGCAATGCATCAACATCCCTGGGCGGCATGTCGTGCGTACTTTGCCCATCCTTTGAGCAGCATGGTGTTCTCCATGTCGTACTTCCCGCTGAGCGTCATTGCGGCCCCGTCAACGCAGGCTACCAGTGGGACTACGTGTTCGACTGGACCATCCTCAAGCACCAGCAGAGCGGAACTGTGCCCCGGGCAACTGCGCCGCGGCCAGAGGCCGCCGCGGGAGAGGGAGAGGAGCAGCAGGACCCGAACTACGGTGGCAGGTGCGTGGCCTGCTCTACGCCTGGGGGCGTCGGCATGAGCAGACCGCTGGAAATTTCTGGGTAGCTCCTGAAGGGTGCAATTGCCCCATGCGTGACATTGCATTATGTGCAATAACAGTCCGCTGTCCTACCCCGGTGTTCCTTTGTTGATCCCTACAGGTTTGACTTCTAAACAGCTTCAGTGCGGCGCTTGTGGCTTGTTGTCTGGTGCAACTTAGCGCCGTGGAGCTTCACCGCCGGCCAAGCTTGGTCGGCGGCTTCCCATTTGAGGAGTAACGTCATGGAGCCACGCATACGGATGCTTCGGCCAGCGTATGCCAATTTCTCTGGGGGTTTTAGCTTTGCCTAGGGTGGGCTGGTCCCTGGCAGGGCGCTTGCTGCCGGTCTTGCCGGCTACGACATGAGTGCAGCACTGTGCCCAGTTGAGCTGGCGGGTGTTGAGTGTTAACGAGTTTGGACTAATAGATTATAGCAGCGCCTTGCTATGATGGATGAGCGTAGGCCCTGCAGGCAGCGGGCAAAAGGGGGTGTTGCGGTTTGGCGTAATGGTCGGTTGTTTAACTACATAGGGACTAGCTATATAGAATTGAGTTAGATAGGAACCGCGAGAGACGCCATGACTTTTGGGCCGAGCTTCTCCTTGGGTGCTCGGACACTACGTGGCGTCCAGGCAGGGTGGGGGTTTGAGGACCCATGACACTGATTACGTTCTGTTGAGCCCTGAGGCGCGACTGCGCATCATGCTTTGTGCAAGCGCCGGTGCACCTTGCGTTGAGCTTAGGAGCTGACCGACTGAGGATGCTTTCAAGTCTGGTTGTCTAAGGCGGGTCCTTTCTTGCATGCGCCGAATGCTTGCTTAGGACCTCAGTCATGACGACCAGAGATGCGTTCGTTTGCAGTGCTTGCTTCACTGTCATGATTTGAGACGAGTAGCGGGATTGCATGTCATCGGTTTTCGACTGGATGGAGCGCGGCTTGTCAAGCATTTGTGGCTCTGGGTCAAGTTAACATGTTTCCCTTCGTACCAAGCAGCACCGGGAATGCGGGGGGGTCATTTCCGTGCATTAAGTAAATGAGGCGGTGTCGCGTTGTGGAGGTGGAGTTTCCTAGTTTCCGTAGCCTTGTAACGGCTTCTGTATGCGATACTGTCTAGGGGCGGGGTTACTGCCCTGCTATCCTAGAGCTACAGATGCTGTGTTACCGGAGACCAAAGGAACCCTACCGTTACATCTTCAGCTAATGAGCACTTATTGTTTACTACAAGCCTTAACTCTTAAGGTGTAGGTTGTATTCAACGATTGAGACATATATTAGGCATTCGCCTTCAATCCTGGCGGTATAACCTCGCAGCCTCTGCCCATCCATACGCAACACGGCCTGTGTCAAGCCCTCATGGCTTACGGACTACCCTTGCGCGCCGGTGTACCATGCCACCTGCATAGCCAGTTTCCCAGTTGAACACGAGTGTGACCCTTCTCCCCAAACAGCGAACAAGAAAAGACGCATTCTCGTCCCCTTACTACGTACCGCGAAGCCTACCCAGCATTGCAAAACTGCCAATCTGGCAAACAGCTGTCGGATGACAGCCCTGGAATCTGCACAGTCTTACTGTGCCAAACAGGAATGCACTACCTCCTAAGAACCCCAACGGTTCCTCTTACCATGGTCTACCTGTTGCCCCGAAAACCGTGGTTGTCGTTGCACAACAAACAAACATAACATACCGGTACTACAGTAAGCGCAACGCCGGCGCTTATGCGCAATGAGTACAATCGCACGCAGCAGAACCAGAAACAGCCCTTGTCACCGGGTCACCAAACCCTGGGTTAAAGGGACTAACCCGACGTCAACATCTCGAGCAAAATCACGTTCGCATCACCCCGACAATATACACAGGGAAGCCCCATCACAACAGGCGTCCCATCCATTAACACAAACCAGTTGCCTTGACACAAACCACTTCTGCAAGCCAAACGTTTTGGAGCCAGGGCTCTAGGTGCAGTTTGTCGCACATTACCAAAACCACCTGCGGAGTCCTCCAATGTCTGTTTGAACACGACCGTTGCAGGAGGTCAGTCCACATGCTTCGCCTAAGCTGCCGCAGCAATGGCTGCCGTACAGTGCAGTCTGCTGTGAAACGGTTCACAACCCCTACAGCGCAATTACTCCTTCCTCGCTGGGCGTTCTGCATGCACCCGCATGCATCCGCTGCATCTCCTTTTCACATTCAACCTTCTTCTTCTTCTTCCCCCTCCTCTTCCTCATCTTCCTCCTCCTCCCCCTCCTCCTCCCAGTCGCCCTCCTCCTGCCCATTACCATATCCCCCTCCTTCCTCATCTCCAGCCCGGTCTGCGGCTGCCTGGGCCGCCTCCTCCCCCACTGCAGCCTCTCCCTCTCTCTCCCCCTCCTCCACGACACCCGCGCCCTCACCTCCACCGCCCTCCTCTACCAGAGCCGCAGCCGCTGCCATGAAACCCTGACCCATTCCTTCCACATCCGTCCACCCCCCACCACCTCCACTACCTCCAACTGTATCGCATGCGCCCTGCTGCAACCTGCCAACCTGCCCACCCGCCTCATCCTCAGCCTCCTGACCTCCTTCCTGCACCGCACCCCCACCAGCCACCACCTCCTCCTCCTCCTCCTCATCCTCCTCATCCTTTCCCCCATCATCCTCCTCCTCAGCTTTCTCCTCCTTCCCCGCTTCCGCCTCCGCAGGTCCCACAACAATCTTCGCCACAGCACTCCATACATTCCCCTCCCCCACTCCCCCACCCGCATTCCCCTCCGCAGCCTCCTCCTCCTCCTCCGCCCGCCGCTGCCGCTCCTCTTGGGCCTCCTGGAACTCCTCCTGCTGCCGCTGCAGCTCCACCACCGCCCGCATCCCCTGCTCCCCCAGTGCCCCCGGAAGAACCTGCTGTACCTGCTGCAGCAGCCACAGACGGTACGCGTCAGCCTGCATGGCGCTCAGCTCGCGCCAGGCCACAAAGTAGGCGCGCAGGCGCCGCTTGACGACGCGTCGTACGACAACGGCTCGGCGGCGGCTGTGATGCAGCTTCGCGAGCCAGGCGTTGAGGGCAAGCGACAGCAGCCGGAGGTTTCGGCTGCGGCCTAGCTCGTGGGCTTGCAGACGACGAGCTCGCATGTCTTGCAGGATGGCCTGCGCGCGGTGTGGCAGGGTTTAGGGGTGGGGAGCAAGATTGTCAGTGTTACGTTCTACCGGTATCGTTCCTTAGATTCCCCCCAGCCCAGCCCAGCCCAGCCCAACCCAATTTGCTTTTTTTGTGTACCCAATTTCCTCCCATAACTCACCTGCCAGTGCTGAAACGCGCCGCCCAGCAAGTGCCGCCGATTGTACCTCACCACCACCCGCCAGGCCAGGCTGTCCGGCTCAACCTCCTCCCCAAACCTGCCGGCCACCCTAGGCAGCGGCAGCGAGAGCGATAGAGGCAGCGGCAGCGGCAGGGCCGGCTGCTGCTGCTGCTGAGAGGTGCCATCAGGGCTCTCACATCCCGGGTTCGAGCCTTCCCGGCCGCGTGCCCCGCCAGCCGGCGGCGAGCAGGAGCGCAAGCAAGGCGCCCCGAGTGGAAGGGGCAGAGAGCTCCGACTGATAAGGCCCACCTCCGCCGCGGCTATGAGTGCACTACGGCCTGTACGGCGGAAGATGTAGGGGTTGTTGCCGTTGGCACCCGCGACTGATGGACCCGCGCCTGATGCGCCCGCGCCGGCGGCGGCGGCGGCAACGGCGGCGGTGGCCGTACTGATGCCGAGATTGGAGCTGGCTGCCGTCGCACTGACGGAGGCGCCTCCGCCGCTGACGTTGGCTGCGACGGCGGCTAGCGCCTCCGCCGCCCAACTGCCGTACTGCAGATGAGCGACGTTGAGCACGGGTAGCGCCATGCCGACGGGTACAGGCGGGGTTGCATTATTGCTGGTGGTTGTGGTTGTGGTTGTGCTATGGGTGCTGATGCCGATGTTGCTGCCGACGGAGGGCTGGGCCACGGTGGATTCCGTGGAGGGGTCACTCGTGAGGGGACCAGGGTTGTTGCCGGCGCTGTTTGCAGCGTTGGTTTTTGAGGCGGGGAGGGGCGGCAGGGAGGGCGATGAAGGCTGGTTGGTCTGCTGCGGTTGCTGTGCTTCAGCTTCGCCGGTAACCGCTTGTCGCCCCACCAGAGGTAGCAGCGTGGGTGGGGCTGCAGCTGGCTTGGCTTCGTTGGTGGTTGTCGGTTGGGGGGATGCGGTGGGTGAAGAGGGCGGTTGCGGTGGTTGGTCCTGGTGCGACCCGGTTGTTGAGGGCAGGCGGGCTTCTGGCTGGGGCTGCTCAGGCGATGCTGTTGTTGAGGTCTGCGGAGCCACTTGGGGCGGGTTGTCTGTCGCGGTCTGCTCGCGTGCCCGTTCCTCAGCCTCCCCAGCCGCCACCACTGCGGAAGCCCCAGCTACGATTTTTGCCGATCCCAGCGCTTCTCCCTTCTGAGGTTGCATGGCGTAAGGAGGTTCGGCCTGCCCTCCTTGCGCCGAGTTTGCGGCTTGGGGTTGTGGCTGAGGGTCGGAGGGCGGCGAGGGCGCTGTTGGGGAGGGCGACCGAGTCTGCTGGGCTCGAGCTTGTAGCGGGGGCGAAGGCGGTTCGGACTGCGAGTCAGACTGGGAGTCCAGTTGAAGCTGGTAGAGGGGGGATTGCTGCGGAACGGTTACCGAACGCCTTGGACCAATACCGGTAACCGTTAGCGGCGAGTATAGGAGCGGCGGCGTGGCAGGCATGGCTGAGGGTTGTAGCGGACCGGAATGCCCGGTTTGAGAATGGCGCGGAGGGTGGGGATGGGGTCCATGCTGGTTGGATGCAGGGTGCGGATGGTAAGGAGGCGAGTGGGGCGGCGGCGGAGGGGGCTGTACGGGTGTTGACGCTGCGTTGATGTACTGCAGTACGGCAGGTGATGCCGTACGAGGAGGGCCGGATGGTGGGCTGTGAGGCGGCGGCGGCGAGGGGGGCTTGCTGTTTCGGAAACCCACTCGAGCGCTGTGTGCGGGGTGTCTGGAGGAGGCGGATGCAGAGGGAGCAGACCTGTAGTGGGGTGGCCGGGTGGGATAAAAGGCAAAGGCAAACGGGCGCGAAGCAAAACGGTTACGTGATGAGGGCTCTAGCCTGAAGCCGCGTCGCAATGACCACGATCAAAGTCAAAGTTACACCGGGAATGCCCCATCTACCGTCGCAACCAACAACCCTCAGGTCCATCCTCGGCTCCCACACCCCAAACACCTGCTTTACCCGCACCCCCCCAGCCCCCACCGTGCCCGCAACCCACCGTGCGCTCTGAGCCCGGGCCGCCTGACTCCAAGTGGGCTGCGGCTCCAAGCCAACTCCCAGGGGGCTTGCGGCAGCCGGCAGGTGCCCGGAACCGCCGCCGCCAGCGGAGGTGGACCGCACCACGCCGCCGTACGAGGATGACGTCACGATGCCGTCGACGACGACGATGGCGACGGGTCCGGGGATGCCGGCGGCCGCGGCGCCAGCACCGCTGCCTCCAGCGTTGTTGGATGCGTGCGGTTGGTGGTGGGGATCACCGTTGAGGCCGCCGTGGTGGTTGAGACTGGGGCGTTTCCAGACGGGTTGGGAGTGACCGGGAAGGGCGCCTGGGAAGGGCTTCGGAGCGCGGAGAGGGGAGTTGTTGCCGCCGCCTGCAGCTTCCCCGCCGGCGGGGCTGCCGGAGGTGGGGGCGGCAGGCAGGGCTCCAGCGGCTGGGTTGGTTCCGGCTGGGTTTGCAGGCGTTGCGCTGGCGGCATGGACGTCTGGGTGGTTGGCAATGGCAATGGCCTGCGGAATGGGGTTGGCGGTTGTGTGAGGCGCCGAATGGGGAGTTTCTGAGTGTGCGACAAAGCGATGATGCGCGTGCATGAGGCTGAGGCAAGCACGTGTACGAGAGCCGAGAGGGGTTCGCTTCATGGCGTCCTAGGCGTGGAGATAATCCGTGCACAACCGAATGCAATTGCAGCACAGCGGCAACGGCAATGCAGGACCATGACTGTTCCTGCCGGCTGGAGGGGGCGTCCGCAGGGTCTCACCCGGTTTCCATGTAATGGCGACGCCAAAGGGGTCCCTGGGGTCCGCGGTTGTCCCAACTCGGGAAAGCCGACCGGAACCCGAAGACGGGAAAGCGCCCGAGCTTTCTCCATTGTTGACGGTGACATGGTGTATAAGGTCACCGACTCACCATTCGCGGCCACCATTTCGACCGGGTTTCTTCCTTTCGACGGGCTTTAGATGCAGTGCGTTATGAATTACTTAGTGAAGTATCCAGGATTCAGCAGCTAGGTCCACCGCTTCACCGCTTCGGTAAATGTTCATGATAACGAGGTGAAGCCCGTGTCAGGTCGTCACAAACATGGTATTGTCGTGTTTAGAAGTCTTCAATATGGGACGTATGATAACCACACTCCTGTTTTGCGCCCCTTGGCTGATCGTCCGTCGGCCAACGTACCGTACAACGTCGACGAGAGAGTATGATACCCTGCTATGTAACACCTGACCAAAGCAGCGCGCTCTAAAGGGGTCCTTCGTTTGCTTACTCCGGGACGGTTACGCAATGACCTCTAATGCAGGGTTTCGCTTCCGGCCTTGCCGCTTCTGGGTGGAGGGCTTGTTCCAGTTAAATTCGCACGCGAAACAGCGGGCGAACATGTGACACGAACATGGGACGATGGGGTGCACTTCTGCATTATAATTTAGGGTGACGGCTGCTTTCTTTGCATGTTACCTAGCCAGTAGTCTTCACCTAGCTACTCATCCCCAATACCTCTGGCGCTCTGATCTCTGTAAATACTCCTTTCATTGCGTTTGACTGCTTGCTGTTCTGCGATGCTTGGCTGCGACTTGACCTCTTCGCCTGCCTTAGCGGTTGCGTACCAATTGCAATGCTTGGGCTGCACAAAGGAGCTTCGCAAGAAACAGACGCATCAACCATACATGCAATTAGCAAAAGCGCTGATATTTAAGCAGTCTGCATGAGCAGTAACTGGCGCCACCTCAGCAGTCAAACCCTAGGAGCGCCCGTTCCACCCCCTCCTGCATGCTCCCCGAGCGCCGGCATCCGGCAACCGTCTTCACGCGATCCGACGTGGAGTCCCTCACTGTAAGACATTCAACGCCTGCTGAAAGCAGCATGCTGCATCTGATGCTGTTGTACCCAAGGGCGGGGAGGTGATGGACCTTTTGCGCTAATGACTTTGTGCAAAGAGCGTGTGCCAATGGATTCCCTCCTCCGCACGGATACCCCAACTTGGCATGTCTTGTTGTCAACCTTTCCTAGACTGGCGACCTAGACCGGCGACACCAACCGGTATCTTGTGTCAACTTTACTACCGGTACTAGTTGTTTCCTCTTTATCCCCCTAGCAACTGTCAACGCGACTGGCTAAACGTTGCGAAGCACGAACGCCTGGCATGCGGCCATCATGGTAGGGGTCCCCCCCGCTTGACCTCACTTGGGCTGTGCGTCGCAGTCGCAGTAAAAACTGGGTCTAGAGACAAACGAGTACCCCTTTCTGGAACATTTCAGGCATATCAGTGTGCCCTACAATGTATGCCAAGCGAAGGCACCCTTCCGCCAGTGTTCACGAAAGTACACCCGCTACGCTCATGGGTGGGCAAGCGCATGGATCGGCACGCACCGGATTACACATACAACTGTTTGTGCCTAAAGCTTGGGACTGTACGATACGAGGGAAAGATTTCTAGTCAGTTGTGTCTCATGCACCAATGTAGCTATACGGAGGGGCGTCCTTACGGCGGCAGGGATCCCACCACTACTCTAGGGTTGTTGGAGGCCAGCAGAGGGGTAGCTGCAGTTACCAAGCCTGTACGTGCTTCACAGCTTCCACAGCTAACAGCTGCATAAACAGTGGATAACCCGTCATAACAGTATTGCAAAAGCGTCACGTTGTCATGCAAACGCACAGCCCCGTGGTTCGGGGCCAACATCACCCAAAATTCAGGCATCATGCGGTTTGCAAGATGTCAAAGACGGTTTGCAATAAGAAACGGGTTTCTAACAGTTGGTGCGAAACCGCAGGGAATGGCTTCGAATGCTAGCTGACGCGGCGCATACTCGGATAGGTCCCACCTTTCCCGATATGTGCACACGTTGCTGATTTATAAAACTTATGATAGTGTGTAACACCCGAGTCGAGGCGGCATAGCGGAGCTACCTGAGCTCGTACCCCGAAAGCGCTCCAGGAGGGCCTGTACCCCAAAAGACTCGGGATAAGACCCCAGTTACCATTATTCTCTTCCTGTTAGAGATTCTATGCCCTACTCGGGTGACGTTACTAGGAATAGCTACTACTAAGCACTTAAGACGTGAAGCGTTTGCGTTAACAATTTCACAATGGCCTGTGCAGTTGCCTTGCCTTGCTCCGCCCTGGCTACCAAGTTTAAGGGCGACTCTGCTGAGTTACTTGATAGGCTTGTTGAGGTCTGCAATACTGTCATGGTCCCCAACAACGCCAAGGTTGTCGAGCGCGAGTTGCTTCCGTTCTGCTTTGACAACGCTCCTCCGCTTCCCAAGGCTGGCCCGCGCTCTCCTCCCAAGGGCCGTTCACCACGATGCTCGCCGCCAAAGCAGCAAAAGGCTTCGGGCGGCGTTTCTCCGAGCGGTTCTCGCAGGGGTGGCGTAGCTTCCTGCGCTTCTTCGCCAAGCCACAGTTCTCTGGACGGCAGCTGCTATCGCACGCCAAAGCAGCCTGCCACAAACAACCGCTTCACTTCTCTGGAGTCAGCTGACGACCTTGCCCGTGTCCTGCGGGCCCCAGGCGTCATGGTCCCTCCGGCGTCGGTTTCAGTTCGCGCGTGCCCTGGCTTCTTTTCAAGGTAGGCTTTATTTGTTGAATTGTTCAGTGGTGTTTGCCGCTGCTTTGAAGTTTTGGGACACGTGGCGAATTTATCCCCAAACCCTTCCTTGTAAAGATTTGGCTAACGATATCAGAATACGTGATTATTATTCACGTCAGTGAATCTGTTATCCTATTCTGCCCTTTGCAGCCCGAGGCCTTGTGACATTCCTATGCCAACAAGCACGCTGCTGGTCAAGGCTGCGCTTGTGAAGGCCTAAGCTCACGGCTCGAGAGTAGAACAATGTTCAAGAATGATGTTAGCTTACATTTTACAATTCGTCTGGTGCCACCTGGAGATTCGCGGAGAGCGCCTTCGAGACTTGCTGCTAACCATCGCTGCGTTGCCTTAGGTAACGGCAGCCCAGGCAAGCTCTTCGTTCGCGTAATGCTGCAGCCATGCGGTTTGCCGTTTGCAGTATTCGCTTCGTGTTGGCTGTTGTGTGGCGTTCTAAGGAGCGGGGTTGCCGGTATTGCCTACTTTCGTCTTTTGAGGAGCTCTTACTGCATATGTCGCGCGGCAGCAGCTGTACGGTGGTGAATCTGGCAACCGCAACCCTGTCCGCTAGTTGGTTCTTCAGCAGTGCTGCGGTGGGCTGGGGTCGGTAGGCTGCGATAAGGCCTTGTCGGCCACCATTTCCCGGCGTTCACTGGCTTGGTTGGATGCTATATTGTTACTGTCGTGTGTTCGTGGATGACCTTGTGCCAACAGTCGTTGTACATACATCATCGTTTGACTCTGTTATACAGCATCAGTTGTTTGCCGTGCACCTTCTACGTGTAGGCTAAGCTGGTGCATTTTTGCAAGTCGCCTCTGCAGGATAGGAATGGGCGCGAGTGTTTATGCTGGTTGTCGCGGACTGTTCAGATGTGGGGTACAACATGTTCGCAACTGTTGCTGCGTGCGTGCAATGTTTACCCGGAGCATGTATGGTCAGCAGCCATCAGCGTCTTGACTTCATCCCCGCGGCCTGCATATACCTTGTTGCCGTCCTAGGCCTGCCATTTATGTGGCGTGGCTGTGACTTAATTGATTTTTTCTATGACCCTTGGTAGCTTAATGCTTCAAGGGAGCGAGCCCGGTTGGGCCCAGACATGAACTTCCTGCGGGGGCCTAGAAACCCGGTTGGCTAAGGAAGACGTCAATGTTGCCGGCCGCGTGCGCGTGGTCGACTAGTTTGACTTAGCTTACTAGGGTTGCCCAGCAGGCGACTTCCAACTGTGTCTTTTATTAGCCCTGCTGTCGATCCCTCGACATCTGACACTGTTTTGGTTTACAACTCATTACAAGCTGCGATTTGTGTGCTTGTCATGTACCCGGTCTTGTAGTCGCCCGTCCTGGTTCGCTACTTGGCATGGGAGTTGCTGCAGGGGAGTGTTGCTTATGAAAAGCTGATGCTTTGCCGATTTGAGAGATGCGCGTGTTGTTGCTGTCGTTTGGTGCTCGTGAGGATGCCTTGCCATGTGTGCCTGGCCCGCTTTTTACAAGGGCATTTGGCGCTAGAAGAGAGCATTGGCTGGGACTACTTACAAGTAGCCTATGCTTTACATACCACCATGTTTTGTTTGGTGGCGAGCGTGTAGGGCGGGGCCACTGGTCGTCCGCTTCATGATAAATGCATCAGTTGATGTGGACGTGCGGATGGACATGCTGGGCGAGGGTTGCATACGGGTTCAGAAGGGTTAGATGCACGCATGTGTGGGCGCATGTTGTACGCTCGGCATTAACGCGTGTGCAAACCATGAAAGCTATTTGGAGGATGCAGGAGCATGTTCGCGGGGTTGCGTGGCGCACCCACGTAACATGACAAGTTAAATAGAGATATGACGGTTCGGGCTTCAGTGGATAAATGGGTATACATGTTGTTGGCACGAATGGTTTGTACTACTAGCTATGGCTCTGTGCCGTTCTTTTTCTTCGTTTTTCTCCGTCATGCACTGCGTGTATGCGATTGAGGAGGTTGTTGCACGGACATAACGCTTTGTGGCATGTTGATAATGTCAGCTTTGCTCGGTTATCGTGCGTGCACGCCTTTTTCGGTGGGTTACACAGCCTTGGTCTGTTGTACCCTTGAGATTACATTCTTTTCGGCACTACAGTAAGTATCGCCCTTCCGTCAACACGGGGTGGGCTCCAGCTACGCCCTTAGGACGGAGCCGGTGGTTAAATGAGGCTGGAGGACGGTGCCGGTGGTTATCTGGGCTAGGAAGTTGAAGATAGGGAGGACGAACGTAAGTTTGCGAGTTGGAAGGAAGCGGAAGGTAGATGGATGAATGAACTTGCCAAATGGAAAGTTGGAAACCGCTGAGGAGCGATGTTATGGCTTGGAACATGGAGGAAGAGGCATTCTGTTGTGGAGGGCGAGAAATGTCGGCGATGGCGGACAAGTGTGGTAGCTTTCTAACTACCCAAAACCTGAAGCGAGGTAAATGGCAACAAGTTGGTCACTTTGAATAGATTTGTCTACATGTCTTTTTTTGCCTACAAGATCTTTAGTAAGATCGAAGTTTGTGTTGTCCCGTCATTGTGTGATTGTTTTTAGTAGTCCTCTTCGAAGAGGAGAAAGTTACGTCTTGTGTTGCTAGCTCCATGGTCGGATATCTGTAATCGTTGCCATCCATGTCTACATTATTGCAATGGGATGGAAAATTGGTAGTGTCTCTTACACAGCCGCACCGAAGACCACCTGGAACCTGCTTATTAACCATGCCAGCCAAGCTCCAAACCTTTCTTCACAACCTTCGAAAAACGAAATCTTTACACTTAGTGCGCCAAAGTCAAGTATGCCACCTATCGCTGCTTCTTGCGCTCCTCCTCGTACTGGAACTCGAGCAACAATTCCCGCTGTCGGGGCGTAAGTCCACGAGGCATGGTCACCCTGCAACATTAAACGCAAGGCAAAGGCACGAGGAAAGAAATATAGCGTGTTAAAAGAATGCGGTCATGCGTGTCATCCGTGTCGGCGGAAGGAAGTGCACCCCTAACAGCGGCCTCCAACGACCGTATTTTCCCGCTGCGTAGCTTACCCAATCTCGACGTAGTGGTCGCCCTTTAGCCCTCTCCGCGGGTTGAAGATGCCCTTGTTGCGGATCCGCAGCTTGTCTCCCTGCTGCGTCAGCGGCGGCACAATGAGCTCCACGCCGCCATCCAACGTCTCCACACGAACCTGCGAGCGGCAAAACAAGGAGGCATTTAAAAGGGAATACACAAAAGGGGGCCTCTTCCCGCGGCACTGTAGATCTTCCCTGACCCTACCCGTCCTCACCCTTCTATCACCCACCTCCCACTCTGCCCTATACCTCTTCCCCGCCCCCTCCAGCCCTCAACCCCCCCGGTGAGGCCTAGTCACACGGCTTCCTTCTTCCTCTTCATCCCGCTGCCGTAACCCTTCCCCCCCCTTTGCCGTACCGTGGTTCCCAGCAGCGCCTGGCTCAGCGGCAGCTCCAGGGGGGAGTAGATGTCGGAGCCCTCACGCCGGAACTTGGGGTGCGGCAGCACCTCGATGGGGAAGGTGACCACCATCTTGGGACTGGCGCGGCGGCCGGGACCCGCCAGATCCACCTGAGAAGCGGGAGGGGGTAACGAGGAACAAAGGGGGCGGGAGCTGAGAACCACGTGCCAAATGCCCGGCTTGGGTCCCCGTAGGCAATACACGGAGGTTGTGATGGGTGGAAGGCAGGACAGCAGTGCATGCAAGTGCGAGATGCTTGCGGTTCGCAAGCTAGGAGGCAGCAGTGCTCAGGTGCGCCCCAACAACACGCCAAGTTAACGGTAGATGGGCAGTCCGCAGTCTCGTGTTACATCCACTCAGCAAACCCCCGACGTTGCCCCGTTCTCTACATCCTCCGCTTCCCCATGTCGACCTCTCTAGCCTCAGCTTCCAACCTCCCCTATTCCCCCACTCACAAGCCCCCTCTCCCCCCGCCTCCAACCCCTCCCCCTACTAGCCCCTACTGCCCCCTTCTGCCTCCTCCCCACGCACCTGCGTCTCCAGCACATCGCCCGTGTCCACGCCCGGCGGCACATCCAGGTCGATGGTGCGCACCGCCCCCTGCCGAGTGCCCACCTGCACGCTCTTGCGCGTGCCTTGCACCGCCTCCTACGCACCCAGAAGAACAGGGGGACCACATCCGCAGCAGCAGCGGCAGCAGCAGCGGAAGGGCAAGCAAGCATGTCAGCAAGCAAGCGTGTGAGCAAGGCGGGGTGTCGTAACGGAACGGAACTGGGGGTAATAGCTGACGAGGCATAGAGCGTGCGGGCTTAAAGACATGCGGAGTCATCATGAATTGCCCGCAAGGCAGCCCTATACCGGTGCGGGATCTGGTCTGACGTACGGCATCGTTCCAGTAATGCGTGCGGGACCCCTATGACCAGCACTCTTCGTGTGTTGCCTTCTCCGCATGCGCCCCGACGCCCCCGAGCCCCGACCCAGTTCCGCGTTCGTACCATGAATGTGATGCGCAGCGGCGGCATCTGCACCCGATTGAGCATGGCTTGCAGGCGGGGGTCAGCCCGGAAGAACTGCTCAAAGATGTCCGCGCCGAAGGGGAAGCCCTGTGCGAAGGGGCAGGGAAATACGTTTGATGGTAGTGGCGGGAGGGGGATCGGGTGAGAGGTGAGAGGTGTGGAACGGGGAGACGAGTGGGGAGGCAGAGGGGGAAGAGGGGTATTAGAAGTAACTCCTCCGTCAAGGACTATCAACTGCGCTATATCCCAACCAGCTTGTAGTCCCAAGTAGTTTCTTTCTGCGCTCTCCCCAACCGCCTCCTGTTACCTCCTTCACAGCACACCTCCTCCCACACACCACTCCCACACAGCACCCTCCCCGACTCGTTGTTTCACTTATATCATTTTTCCCCAACCGCTTGCCCTCTTTTACCCCGTGCGCCTGCCCTCTCCCCCCTCTCCTCTCATCCGGCTCCCACGCTTACCCCAAAGCCCTGGAAGCCTTGGAAGCCGCCAAAGCCCTCCTCGAAGCCCGCCCCGGGCCCGCCCGACTGGCCGCCCGACTCCATACGGTCCATGCCCTCCCGCCCCACTTGGTCGTACATGCGCCGCTTCTCCGGGTCCCGCAGCACCTCGTACGCCTTCTGGAGCTCCTGGAAGCGCTGGGCGGCGGCGGGGTCGTCCTGCAAGGGTTGGGGTGCCGGAGGATAAGGAGGTGTGGGATACATGTTGAGGCTGGAAGCAGTTTGGTGGCAGGCAGGGGGGGTTGCGGAAAGGAGGAGGTTGCGGGTCGTACCTTGTTGGTATCTGGGTGGTATTTTTTCGCTAGCGCGTAATAAGCCTTTTTGATGTCCTGATCGGAGGCGGCCCGCTCCACACCCAGCAGCTCATAGTAGTCGGTCGATGCGGCGGTCGCTGCGAGACAGAGATGCCAAGAGGGTTGCCAGCTGTTGTAGGCCCAACCCAAGTCGCAAAGTGGGCAAAACCTCATAGCGACCAAGCACGCTTACCTGCGCTGCTGTGTATGCAGCGAACCGAGAAAGAGTCCGGCGCCCGCATGCCACCTATGTATAGACATCATTATTCCGAAATGTTTAGGCGTAAGTCTTCTGAGTGAAAGCATTTCTGCGCGAATTTTGATTGTTATCACCCTTGCCTGCGCTGCTCGGTATGGTTGATGGGTTTGCCGATCCTCGCAGAAGTGTACTCAAGCCACGGCTGCAAGGCTGGCTGGCCCCATCGAGCGCTTTTGCTGCCTCTACAACAAGCTGACGAAGCTGGCTGACAGCGCCACGCCCTGCCCCAGACGCAAGCAGCGCCAGCCGCAACGCGCCGTTCCCCGCCATTCCTTCTTTGAATATGTAGTAAAGTGCCCAATTTCCTTATTGTAAACTACAATAGAGGCGTGTATCTCGGAGATACCGGAAACGGGACCTTCATGCGCAGCTCATTACTTCCAATCCAGCTGAAGTGCTGCCTAACTCAGATAGGATGCACACACGATACAAATACTAGCTTGTAGGACGCCTGCGGCATGGTTCATTGCCGCACAACGACCTTCCAGAAACGGCGTACAACGACCGAATGCCTCAAAATCAAGGCACCGGCGAAGGACGCAGCATATCAACACTGCTCCGTACCCAAACACTTCTTGTTTTTCTTACGAAAGCGAACATGCACTCGTAGCCTCCTTTCCTCCCTAGTCGCCAATCCACGCGCACGCATGCAAGCTGCCGTAGGAGGCCCGGCCCCCTTCCCCTCGCATTAAGGGACAAGGAAAGGGCGTCCCGAAGCAATCCCTCTGTCTACCCACCTCCCGTCTGTGGCCAAACCCAGTACTTGCCACGACCGTAACATCCGCAGTTCCCTTTGTCGTACGCGGCACCCTCCCCAACATCCTTTCGGCCAATCCTCCCAAACCCGATGCAACGGCGGCGACGTAAACAGCATACAATGCCTCTAGCATGAACCCTTGTTAAGCATTTGATGCTGCCTGCTGACCTTCAGCCACCGGGTTGGGTGGACATACATGCAACCGTGCCGGCGAAGCAACCCAGCTGCTCTTCCTTGCGCGCCCTTACGGAAGGACGGAAAGTGAGGGAGGGACGAGCAATCGGCGTGTGCTTCAGCGTAGCTGATCGGTTCTTTCTGCTGTTCCGCCAGACCGATAGTGTCAACGGCTAGAGCCGCAGAAAAGCCGCTACCATCTTCGCACCGCCTGCCTCTCAAGCCGTCTGTGATGTCATGATTCATGAGTCCTTAGTACAAGTCCAAGCTTCGTGTCTCCGTCAAGCGTTCGAGCCCCTTTTTCTCCACGCGTCTCTCTTGCCCGCAAAGTCACAATACATGCGCCGCAGAACAAAAAGAAACAATGAGACAGGCCTTCCTCTTCCGACACCCGAGGCTAGCAGGCAGAAGTACGGTAACGGTAGATGCCTAGCGACAGCAGCTGCGGCAGCTACTGCCACTGCTGCTAACGTCCTCTTCAGTCACAGGTCTGTTGGGTCCACCTCAAGACAGCCCCTCCATCACCCCTACCAATGCCCCAACACTCTCATACCTACCAATGCCCTGACACGACAGTGAGCGCGATGCCGACCAGCTCAACAGACGTAGTCACCATAAGTTCGATAAGTTGGCCAAGGGATTCTCGAGGCCTAGGGATCCATCTTTTCTTCCCTAGGAAGGGCTTCCTAGAGCTTTGTCACACAGCTGGACCGGAATTCGCTTCCATCCAACCCATCCCCTACCCCCTCCGCCCTCTCTTTCTCTCCCTCTCTCACCGCCTGTTCGGACACGCACTAGCCCAGTGACCCATCTGGCGGCACTTGTAGCACATGTCGTTATCCCGCGACCGCCCCCCTCCCCTCCCACCTCCCCCTCCTCCTCTTCCTCCTCCCCCAAACCCACCTCCCCCACCTCCTCCCGCCCCTCCACCTCCTCCTCCCCTCCCTCCCCCCGCCTTAAACCACCTACTCACCCCACTCCCCGCCCCCGCCTCCCCTCCTTCCCCACTCCCTCCCGCACTCCCACCCCGACCCCAAGCAGCCACCAATGTCTCATCCAGCTCCGCATCCCTCGGTGGTGGCCACGAAGGCAACGGCCCCTCCATCGCCACCCCACCTCCTCCTCCTCCTCCTCCCGCCCCACCTCCCGCCCCTCCTCCGCTGCTCCCCCGACCCAGCTGCTGTCGTACCGCTGCCTGCTGCTGCTGCGTGTGAGGCGAGTTGGGCGGCATGTAGGCTGGCGGGAACCTGCCGGCCAGGCGGTGGCTCAGGAAGTGCCGCCACGCCGCCTCCTGCTCCTCCTCGTGCTCGCTGGTGGCGCCGGACTGCAATGCACGGTAAAAGGAAACCACCGCGGGGTCCACCTGGGAGGGATGGTAAAGAGGAAACAACCAACTGACCGTGTGATAAGGCATCATAGTGGTTTGCAACATGGGGGGTGGGGTGGGGAAGAAGAAGATGTACGAAAACCAGTAAAAGGGAAGTTAAGAAGAGAAGAAAGGAAGAAGGGCTATTCATGTGACAAGGCATGCAGCAAGAAAGAAAGCCAAAACAGGCCTAATCCCCACCCTCTCCCCCCCCGAACCTGTGGTTTCCTACGGCATGGTATGGTCTTTGACCCCCCCGTCCCCATAGTTAGTTGTTTCCTCTTTACCCCTGCCCACCTTTACGCAGTCCTCCGCCCAGTCCAGCAGCTCTAGGCCCTCCAGCGAGCGGGCGCGGGAGAGCGCCACGTAGGCCTGACCCGTCGCGAATGTGTTGCGCAGGGAGACCTGGGTTTAGGGGGGGGGGCAGGAGGGGGCAGGAGGGGGGAGGAGGGGGCAGGAGGGGGGAGAGGGGGTCAAAGACCATACCATACCATAGGAAACCACAGGATAGGCCAAAACCAAAGGGGGGAGGAGGTGAGGACGTACAAATGGGGATTAGGAGAGCAAACCACACCCCAAGCGAGGGCAGAAGGCAATCCGGCAGGCGCCCGGCATCAGCTCCCTCCCCCACCTGCACCCTATCCAGTGACATGCCCTGACACTTGTGGATGGTGAGCGCCCAGGCCAGCTTGAGAGGAACCTGCGGCAGGGGGGACAGGGAGGGGGGCAGGCAGAGAGAGACAAGCAGGCAGTCAGTTAGGTGCCGTAGTTGGGCCAGGGCAGGCAGACATGGCACTTCAAGCAGCAGTTCGTGCCCACATCTCCCTCCCATGCCCTCCCTCCCGTGCCCTCCCTCCCGTGCCCTCCCTTCCCCCCTCCCTCCCTGCCCCCCCCCCCCATACCTGCAGCCGTGTGCACTCCCCCCACCTCGGCACCCTGCCACTGAACAGCAGCGGCAGCACCTCCGTCACCACCCCGTTAGCGAACTGCACCACCGGCACGTGGGCGCCCTGCCACCGCTCCAGCTCGCTGATCTTGGCGGCGATCTGGGGGGGAGGGAGGGGGGAGGAGGGAAGGAGGAGGGGAGGAGGTGGGTAGGGAGGAGGAGCGGCAAAGTCCAAGGGTCCAAGGCCGCGCGTGATTTTGAAGCCTACCCTCTACCTTCATCCTCCCACGCCTCATTCCGTCATGCTCTAACGCAACCCCTACCGGCATGCCTTCTCCTTCCTTCCATCCTGCCCTGCCCTGTCCCCCTCACCTGCTCCTTGTTCGACAGCAGGGTGGGTACCGGGTAGTCCCGACCCGCCACCATAACCGGCTCACCGCCCGGACCCACACCGCCCGCCACAGCTACCGCGCCCGGTATGCCGCCACCGCCACCGCCGCCATTGCCAATGCCTGGCTGCAGCGCCGTCAACGGCGCCGCCCCCGCCGTCGCGACCAATGCGAGTGTGTTGGCGTCCCCGCCCGAGGCCGGACTGCTACTGCCGCCATTTCCTCCACCAGCACCAGCAGCAGCAGCAGCAATAACGTTACAGTCGGTGTTTTTCTCGGCTCCTAGCATGGCTGCTGCTGCTGCTCCTAGCATGGCTGCTGCTGCTGTTGCCTTGTTGTTGTTGTTAGGGGGTGGCGGCAGGGGGATGTTGGCGTTTGAGGCGTGTACGACACCCTTGAGCCGGTTGATGATGTCAGCCTGGCAGCGGGGGGAGAGGCAGGGGGCAGGACAGGGGAGGGAGGGGTAAGAAAGAGGGGCAGGGGGCAGGGGGTATGGGCAGGGGTTGCACGTCACTCGCCCTTCAGCTGCAGCTCACCCAACCCAGCCTTCCTTCTCCTTCCCTTCTTCCCCACCATTCCTCGCCCCTCGAATCCCACCCCCGCCCCCCCACCCCCCACCCCCCGCCCCCTCCCACCTTGGCCGCCCAGCCCACCACCACCCCCCTCGAGCCGTTCACCAGCTGCCGGCCGCCCTCGGGTTTAAGATCCAGATTGCGAACCAACATCACCTGCGCCCTGACCTGGGGTTTGGGCAGGTATCGGGCAGGGGGGAGATGATGTTAGCGGGGGTAAGGGAGAGAGCGAGAAGGGAGGCGGAGCAGGGGGAGAGAGGTGGAGAGGTGCGCCCCTTGAGCCCACTCTTCCCCCTCCCCTACCTTGAGCCCCTTCCCCCCTACCTTGAGCGAGTAGCGCTGGTGTGCGAGGCAGCTGCGCCAAAAGTCGCAGCCCCACAGCCGGCTCTCAGCCTCGTGCAGCTCCTAAGGGGGTGGGGGGGTCAAAGATCATACCAAACCAGAGGAAGCCACAGGTTAGGGCAAAGCAATGGGGATAGGAGGCGGCTCAGGGGGGGGGCAGGGCAGGAGGCCGGGGTTAGGGGGGCAGGTGGGGGAGACCTTTTACCCAAGAGAGGCTAAGCAAGAGGACACTGCTTAACGCGCACAACAAGGCCCCCCAGCCCCCACCTGTCTGGAGGGCGGGGGCTGCGCCTCCAGGATCGCGGGGTCCAGCTGCACGTCGTCCCGCCCCGCCAGCTCCACCTCCGCCCCGGGCAGCCGGTCCAGCTCCTGCTTGTTGAGGCAGTCCACATCGCGATTGACGCAGTAGAGGCGGGTGGGCTTGATGCCGTCGGAGCAGCTGGGGGGGGGGAATTATATAAGTGAAACAACGAATCCCAATCCCATATCCCGAGGGAGGGAGGGAGGGAGGGGAGGGGGGAAAATTATATAAAAGTGAAACAACGAATCCCAATCCCATAGCCCGACTATGGAGGGGAGGGGGAGAGAGGTGGGGGAGGGGGGGGGTCAGACATAAACCCGAAGCACAGGTTAGGGCAAAGCAATGGGGATAAAATGAAGCGGTTTGCCACGAAACCCCCAACCCAGGTAGTGAAACCCCCCTCCCGCCCTCATCTCACTCACTCCAGGGGCCGGCCGCACGCCTCCACGATCCGCCGTACCGCCGCCGCCGCATTGCGCCCGTAGCGGATGTCGTCGAGCAGCGAGGCGAACAGCGCGTCCGCCTGCCGGAATACCTGTGTGTTTCGGGGGGAAGGAAAGGGGGGAAAAGAGGGAAGGGAAGGGAGGGAAATAAATTGAAGCCTCGTCATGCAGTTCGTCAGTTCCCTCTATTTACCTCTCCCCCCTCCCCTCTAATGCGGAATAAGTCTCCTTACGGACCCCACCCCCTAGTCCCCTGCCGCCTCCTATCCCCATTGCTTTGCCCCAACCTGTGGTTTCCTATGGTATGCTATGGCCTTTCACTCCCCCTCCCCCCCCTCACCCTCTAAACCTTCTCAATTAATCCCCCCCCGCCTCCCCCTCCTAGCCCCCCTCCTAGACTCACCTGAGTCAGCAGCACCATGTTCATCCTGCACCGGGCCCAACTGGCGGTCTGGAAGAGGTAGCCCCAGTTGGTGAAGAGCTGCAGCGGCAGCGGGTCGGACCCGCGGGGGGGCTTGGTGATGGGGGGGAGCCTGGGGGGGCAGGTGGGGGAGCAGGTGGGAGGGGGCGGTGGAGTGAGCAGGTGGGGGGGATTAGGCAGGTAACAAGTGAAGCACCTGGAGCAGGCGGGGATGAAGTCGGAAAGGAAGTGGGGACGATGAGGCCAAGTTACGGTACCTAAGCTGTCAGGACGCGCACTCATGGAAAACAAAAATTGCACCCCCGTGCAGCCCCTCCAAGCAACCTCCTGCACCGACCTCCCCGCCTCCACACCACGCCCATCAAGACCCTCTACAGATGCCGCTACACGCCACCCCATCAGCCGCACCCAACTGGAAAAAGTCGCCGCTAAAGATGAGCTGCAGCCCCCCCGCGGGTCGGGTGTTGCCGCGAACAGCCCGCAACTGCACCTCCAGAACCTGGGGGGTGGGATGGGTGGGGATGCAGATTTGGAATGTGTTGGGGGGGATAGTTAAGGTTGTGGCGCTCAGTCAAGCGAAGAAGGAGGAGGCAGTCAGGAGGTGCAGCAGAGGGAAGGTGCGTTTGGACGCGTCTGGAAACCCAGCCATCCCCTCCCGACCCCCATCCACCCCACCCCCACCCCCCCTCACCGTCCAGAACTCCCCGCTCGTCATGGAGGCCTCATCCTGCAGAGGTTGGGGGGTTTGCGTTGGGTGGAGGTTGGGGTTGGGCCTGTGTCAACTGGTCAACCAACCTAGGCTAGCAGCCAGGTGCAGGACATGAAGGAAGCAGGTGGTCTGGGGCCCAAGACATACCGCTGCGAACGCCAATACAATGGGAATGCCCCCTCACTCCGTCCCTCCCCACCTCCCCCCCCAACCCACCAGTATGAGCACCTCGTATCCCCGGATGCGCTCCCGCGTCTCCTGGGTCATCATCTTGTCAAAGTCCCGGTACTCGGTGGGAACCCCGCAACCCAGCGCGGAGTGAAGAGTGGTGCCTGGGGTGGGGGAGAGGAGGAGAGGGGAGAGGGAGGGGAAGCAGGCCCGTCCTTCATGTCCTGCTCATCTTATTTCTCCCTTCTTTCGTTGCCTGTCGCCACCCACTGCAACACCCGACAGGCGGCGTCGCTCTCCCTAAACCCGCTACCCTTCCAACGCCCCTCACTTCCTCTCCCTCCCTCCCCCTCACCCCCTTCCATCCCTCCTGCGCCCTTCATCCATATCCCCCCCGCCCCTCACCCCCCTTTCATCACCCCCGCCCCTCACCCCCGATGTGTGTCGCCGCAATGCCGGTGGACGCGCACACCGCCACTCGCCGCCCAAACTCCTCCTCATACCGCTGCCGCAGCTCGTCAATAACCCGGGTCAGCACAAAGGTCTTGCCTGGGGGGGGGGGGGGCACGACAGCAGGGAGCAGGGAGCAACGGAGCAGGGACAATGTGCATGGGGTTACAGGCCACTCGTAGGGTTACCGGATGGTAGAGTTCAACATAAACGGGTTAGGATTAGGTATACTGCGCGGCATACCGCGAAAAGGGAGGGACGGTCCAGGGGAGAGGGCAAGCAGGGGCGAGGATAAAGAGGAAACAACCAGCTAGCCATGTGACAAGACTTCGGCAGGGACGGGGAAGGCGAGGAACCTGGGATAGGCATGGCAGCAAACAACAGCGACACCAGGAAGCACATGCGCACGTACAATCCAGTACGTTCCTACTCGCGGCCAGGTCATCGAACTACGCACACGTACCTGTTCCCGCATTCCCGGTGAAGAAGATGTTGTCGCCGTTGCGAACCAGCTGCAACACACGCTCCTGAGGGGCGGTTGGAGGGGTGGTAAAGGGGAGGGGAGGCGGCCGGATGTTAGAGGAGTCACCCAGCCTCACCCAGCCACACCCTGCATGCATGCTTGGGCGGCAGCAGTCGGGGACAGGAACGCCCCACAGGACTCCTACCCGCCGCCTGCCCCTCCCTGTATTCCCTCCTCAACCCCTCCCCTCCCCTCCCATATGGTCTCCTATGGTTTGGTATGGTCTTTGACTCCCCTCCCCACTCCTCACCTGCTCCGGAGTCAGCTCCGGACCAGACACCTCATCCGAATCAATCACCGTCATCGCCCGCGGCGCATCCCCTCCGCCACCACCACCTCGTCCGCCTCCGCCAGCACCGCCGCCAACACGACTGGCGGCGGCGGCGCTTCCGCCCCCGCCGCCACCACCGCCACCCATGTACGTATCGCTGACGTGGCTGACTCCACCGCCGCCGCCGTACGAATAACCGCCGCCGCCACCACCGCCTCCGTACGAATAGCCGCCTCCGCCTCCGCCACTGCCGCCGCCAACGTAGGTATCGCTGACGTGGCTGGTGGCGGCGGCGCCGTACGACTCGCCGCCGCCGCCAGCACTCCACCGCTGATGTTGCTGCGGTTGACCGCTACCGTACGGATTACCGTTGGCGAATGGCGGTTGCTGTTGCCGTTGCTGCGGTATGGTGTACGGGTTGAAGGGCGGTTGATGGTGATGAGTAGGACCGTCCGCGCCACCATTGCTGCCGTACGCTCCGGATTGCCAAGCCGCCGCCGCCCCCGGTTGCTGCCGCTGCGGTACGGAATTGTACGGCATTGGGTTGGCGTAGCCGTACGGCGAGTGGAAGGCGGCGGCAGCCGCCCCGGGTGGGGTATAGCCGCCAGCGGCTTGAGGCGTGTGATAAAAGGGTCGAGCACTGCCGCTACCACCGCTTTGGTAAGCTTGCGTTGCGACGTTGTCGTTGTCGTTGCCATTGTGTTGGGGTTGGTGGCTCTGCTGACGTGTTCGTTCCCAATCATCTTGTTGCCGTTGTTGGCTTTGCAAAGCATCCAACATACGGCGTTGCGTCCCTGGGCTATCATCAGGGTAAGCAAAAAGGTTTGCACCGCCGTCGGAGGCGCCGCCCGCGGTTCTGCGCTGAGTCTGCTGCGGCATCCCGGCGGTCAACCCATGGACAGCATGTCCATTCCCATTGACTTGGGGTCCGCTTTCGCCGCCCTCGTCCTCGTCTTCATCATCGATAGGAGTTCCAACAGTCTGGTTAGAATCACGGCGTTGCAGCGGAGGTTGGGTTTGCCGGGGAGCCGAGCGATATGGGTAGCCATTGTACGGCAAGCCGGCGTTGGCAGCTCCATGTTCGCCGGCCAACCGCGGTGCTACGCCTGGCCTGGGGCCTCCAATTATACCTTCATTCCCGTTATCGTCGTCATCGTCATCAACGCTCAAGTCCACAACGTCTAGTGGTCGTGCAGCAGGGGCTCGAGGCAATGGTGCAGAGTGCCTTCGGAAGGATGGGCCGGAATTGGCAGCCTGCGCCTGGGTGGCCGGACGCGCCGCGCCTTGCTGCGCTGCTGCTCCTCCTTCTGATCTGTTTAGGCGGTTGGCGGGGTCTTGGCGGTCGCGAACGCGCACCTCCTGGGCTGCAAATTGGCCCAAGAACTGGACATCGTCGTCTTGGCTAAGCGACATCGCTGGGGCGTTGTTAGCTGCTGCTGCTCCTGCTGCGCCCGGCGAGTCGTTCGGTAAAGGGTGCAGGGCTGCAGACAGCACTGCGCGCCGGACTGCGGAGGGCTCTGCATCGTCTGCACCTGTTGGGCTTCGTGCGCGTTTCATGATTGTGCCTTCACTGCCTAAACGTTGATATTATACTTTCATACTTCAATTGGCTTGTGCTCAATGGTTTCTAAACCAACGGGAATAAACGCAGCTCTATCGAAAATTGCGAAGAGGGGTCTTCACCGCGACAAGTATGGTGGTGGTCTTCCAGCTACAAGAGGTCCTTTGCAATACCGGTAGAGTTTCAGGCGCATGAACTGAATACTCTGGCGCCATCCGCATGCCGTGCACGACCGTCCCCCATGCTGAGCGTGGCATGCAACTCCAAACATGTCGTGGGCACGGCTTAGCTTGTTCCTTGACGTCCTTCTATGCATCAGTCGAACTTGTCCACTTAGCTAGCTCAAACATATTTCTGCTTTAAACCAACTTCTAAGCCCAGCCAAAGCCGAAAGCCCACATGGAATCGCGCGGGGAAAGCTGTTACCAACTGGTAGACATGCTGCACTACGTTTGAGAGCAGGCATCTGCTTGACTAGAGGCCAGTGTGACATGCAGGGTGGGCGCAAAGCGCGTCAGTGTTTACGAGGACAACAACACGGGCTTTGGGTGTGCGCCAAGCGGTCAGCCCAAGATCGTATTGGAAACCTCCGTAACAGGCGCCTTTAAAGCTGCCTTCGCCGGCTGCGCAGCAGTACAAAGTAGAGTCCACGTTAGCAAGGGAGTTGCACCACCAGCTAGCGCAACCACAACATGTCGCTATACGTGGGGAAATGCAGTTCGTAGTAGATGTGACTATCCAGTGTTCAGGCAAGCCGGAGGTGAATGGAACCATCAACTGACTGCTGCACGGCAATGCGCTCCAATCGCTACCGCCTTTCTATTTCGTCACTTTTTACATGTGCGAAATGTAGATAATTTTGTTGAGCCCAGCTTGCAGGCCAACAACAATTCGACTCCATCCCGTGTAAAGTAGGGTTCTTGGCCATTTGGTTCAATACTTGTCAGCTCAGCTGCTTTGCGGATGACATATTGAACCGGTGATGGCCTCATCTTCTATAATTTCATGGAGCAGACATGGTGGTCTGGCGCCAGGCCAAGGCCCAACGCTCATTCTCCCAAGCGCATTATGCCGCGGGCTTCTAGCATCCCGGGCCGGACCTTCTCTGCAAAGCTTTACTCGGCGCACAGGGGCCTTTACGTGCCCTCGTTACGGCCAGTCGCCTTTAGGCCTGCGACCGTTCAACGCTGTCCCGCCTGAACGAGCCGGACCGAGGCAAGGTCCCCCTCCGACTCCTGCTTCGAATCCTAAGGCCTGGAGTCCACACAAGCTGGGCTCTTGCATTCTTGACGTCATTCTGGGCCTGCTTTCCGTGGCTGTTGCGTTCGTCGGTGTTGCGGTAGGTTCACGTTCACGGCGTTCGGTGCTGAGCGGGATAGCAGTCTGAGGAACCGGGTGTTTCGCAACGTTGGAACGAACAAACGTGTTGAAAGCGCATCCGCACAGCCACCCGCTGTTCCCATTTCAAATAAAGCTGCATATTGGATAAGGTACGCAGCAACCCAGGGAAGAACCCAAGCCGGAGAGCGCCGCGACAGCTTTCGGGACATTAGTCTGGATGACGCGCATCCCGTGAGCAGCTGCTCACCTTATTCCGAGCTCGCCAACTACAGTAAACCCAGTACAGAATTCACAATGCATCAGCTGGATTTACCGGTCCCTTCAACGCAAGGCTGTCCTGGGAACGCAAAGCCTCTGGTGTCGCCGTCCTCCTCCCGCGCTATCTCCTTCTGGGCTGCGCTTAGGACGTTTGTCTGTTAGCTTTTGTAGTAGCGTTTACGCATTCACTAAAGAATTCTCGTGCTTCCCTGCCCTATACACTTTCGTGTCCTCCTCGATCCTGACCCGCCCCGCTCCCGTCTGACGCCGCCTCCCTCCTCCAGGTCGTCCAAGCCCTCCTCTTCATTCGCCGTAACCAAGCCGCAGGAGTCCTCCCCGTCATCGCACAACCCCCACACCCGCAACACGAGGCCGCGACCTCGGCAACCAGGACGGAGCCCCACCAGCAGCGCCGCGTCTCCGCCTCCAAGCCCTCCGCCGAAGCCGCACACGATGCTGCCGACCCAGGGGTCGGTCGGGGCAACAATGTAGGCCCCGAGAAGCGCCAGAGAGGCGGACCGGGGGAGCGCGGGGATGCAGCCGCGTCCTCGGAGGAGGCCTCTGATGACGCTCCCTGGAGCCATACGGACAGGTGGGGAGCAGCAGGAGGGGGGATAGGGCCCCAGGCCAGACACGCGCCTGGCCTGTTTGCTCCTTAGCATGGCAAACCTGTTGCCGATTTTTTCCCAATGGGCTTGCCGGCTGTGGTCATTATTCGCACTCCCTCCCTCCCTCTCGCCTCCACTTCTCCTGCCACGTGTCACCACCCTGCCGCGTCCTTCCCCCATTGTTTTGCCCCAACCCGTGGTTTCCTTCCTATGGCTTGGCATGGTCTCTAACCCCCTCCCCTTTACACCTCCCTCCCTGCAGGCGGGTGGTGGTCAGCCTGGTCTGGCCGGACACTCAAAAGGGCCAGCCGCCGCAGCAGCAGTCGGCGGGAGCGGCAGCCACACCAGCAGCGCCAGCAGCCGGAGCTGCAGTGGGCAGTGGTGGTGCCGGCGGCGCGGTGCGGTCGGTGGCTCGAGGTGTGCGCGGAGTGCTGTGGCTGGCGGGGCAGGTGGCGGACCTGCCGCTCAAGGCGGTGGTGAGTGCGGGGAGCAAAAGGAGGAGGTAGAGGGTGTGTTAAGAAAACTGGCCGCGAGCGTGTGTGTATGGGGTTATTCAATGTGTGTATGGGGTTACTCGAAACGGGGAGGGAGGGAGGGTAGCAGTGGTGTGGGCAGGAAGGCGGAACTGCCAGTAACCGTAACCAACTGGTGAACAAGGTATAGTCTAGTATGGGTGGACAGCAAGCCGACAGGGGCCACGGTGCGGGAAGCACCGGGAGAGGGCTCTCGGGGCACCAGCTATTGTGTAAAGATGCCGTTGAAACAGATCTTCTCCTTGCGCTGCTTTCTTCTGCATCGTGTCCTCTCGCTTTTCGCAGGATTGGGCCCTTCAGGTGGACCGACCCATCCCCATGACCCACGGGTCGGCAGCGGACTTCCACACCAGGTGGGGACTGGGAAGCGTCTCTCGTGTTAAACAGTCAGCGTGATGCTCTAGCTGCACTCTTCCATGCGCCTGCTGTCGAGGCGCAACCTAAGCGCCATGCATCTCTTACGGCAGACTGCTCTTCTCCTTACCTACCGTACACCAACGCAGAACCCAGAACTGAAGTCCCCTGCTCATGCCCCCTGCTCCGTTCCCTTCTCCATCACTCAGGGCCACCGCTGCTGCAACTCCCTCTCCCGCCTCTGCGCACCCCTCGCCTCCCCCCGCCGCCTCCGCTACCGCCCCTGCACCCAGCGTCCTGCCGCAAGGACCCACTACGGCGCTCTCCACTGCACCCGCCGCCCGGCCCGCCGGACCCGCGCCTGGGCAGAAGCAGGTGGCGGAGGCGACGGCGGCGGGCCGAGGCCTGCATGTCCTGCGCGACGCTGCCGCCGGCGTGAAGGAGGCCGCCGCCGCCGCTGCCGGCCGGGTGGCAACGCAGCTATCGATGTACGGCAAGGGCGGATCCGACGCAGCAAGCACGGCCACTCCGCAGGTGGGTGGCGGTGGGGGGCTGCTGCTGCATGGAAAGGGCTGCATGGAAAGGACTCGTGAGGATCACAGTTTGGATATGTTGGCACCAGTGTAGGGCCTGCCATAGTCGCTGATCCCCTTGCATGAAGCATGGGATCTCGGAGTGCGCACTGAGCCATGTGCTCACTGACCCATGGGTCACCCTCCGTCATTCCAATCTCCCATCCACCTCCAGGCCGTCTCCCAGCTCCCAGGCGGCGCCACCACCGCAGTTTTCGCGCTGGCCCTCTCATCCTGGCTGACCGCATGCGCCCTGGTCCTGCTGGGCAAGGCAGCCAGCCGCGCCCTTGGCGCCATCGCCGGCAACAATGCGGTTGGAACCTCCGCTGCCGCCGCTGGCAGCAGCAGCCGCGGCCGGGGCAAGTCGACACGCGAGTACTTTGGTCCCTTCTACGACATCGTACGGCGATCGGGGCCGGCATGCCCGCCGATGGGCGTCCCGTCGTGCGTTCCGGTGCCGGCGCCGCCAGAGCTGCTGCTGCCGCCGCCGAGGAATAGTGCACTGATGCGGCCGAGGCTGTCGCCACCCGAGCACATGAAGATGTCACAGGGGCCTCCGACGGCTGCCGTACTCGAGGAGGGAATCCAGATCATTAAGAAGCCCCCGGTTGATGACGTCAGCAGTGCCCAAAACGTATCCCCGTCGTCTGCGGCGGCGACGGCTCCACCGGCTCCATCGTCAGCTCCGCCGTCAACCGACGGCGGCAGCGCCGTCACCGCTCCGCCGCCTCCGTCGCCGCCGCCGCAGCAGCCTAACGTCGTCGCGGCCGCGGCAACAGCACCCGCCATCGATTTGACTGACATGGCCAGTCTGGTACGGCTGATGCCGCCGCCGGCGTCACGAGGCGGCTGGTCGGGCAGCGCCGCCGCCGCCGCCGGGCTCCGGCCCAACCCGCCCGTTCTGCCGGACCCCGCCAGCAACGCGGGCCTTACGCCTGCGTCGCTGGCGGCGGCGGCGGCCCGCAGTTCCGATTCGCGGATCGATCTTGAGGCGCTTCTAATGCCCAGGAAGGGTGTCGCTGCTGCTGCTGCCGGTGATGGTGCGGAGGACGGCGCAGGAGGAACCGCGGATTCAGCCGCTGCCAATGCCAACGCCGCTGCCAACGCTGACAATGTTCAACGCACGGCGGCGAAGGCGAAAGAAGATACCACCGCCGATACAACCACCGCCGACGCCGACGACGCCGCATCCAACGAGGGCGAGCTCTGGCAGCTGGGCCCTGCATGCGAGCTGGCGGTGCCGCTTGCCGTACCACTCGCTGTACCGCTGGCGGTGCCGGTGCCGCCGGCGAGGCCGCTGCCGCTGTCCGCCGCGGAGCTGGCGGCGCCGCCACTGCAGGCACAGCCGCCGCTGTCGCTGCCGCCACCGCAATCGGAGTTGACGCAGGAACAACATGAGGAGGAGAGCAGCGCGGGGCATCCTGCTGAAGCGGTGGCGGCTGGCTCGTTGGAGCCGTCAGGTGTGGTGCCGCCGGTAACTGCTGATGCTGCGGACCCGCCCCTTGTCAAGGGCACGATGTCGGCGCCTGGTAAGCTGCGTCGCTGGGTTGACGAGAAGAGCTGTGCACTGGTTGGCTAGCTGGTCTGCCTTGCTGAGGCGACTGTGTGAATCACCTCGCTTGCTTGTTAACTTTGTTCCCGCATTTCGAGGTCGTCTTCGGCTCTCTCTCCGTTTTCTGTAGCTTTTTATAGAACTTTACTGTCGATCTGCCTCACCAGGTGTGAACGTCAGCACTACCATCAGCCAGCCCGGTACGGCGCTCGTCATGCAGTACAAGCCCACATCCCAGCTGACACTGTACGGCACTCCGGCCTCCGTCGGCGCTTCCGACGCCGCTGCCGGCGGCCCTGCTGCAAAGCCCGATGCCGTCGAGGATGTTGCCGCCGCCGCCGCCACCACGGACCTGCCGTACGATCTCGGCAGCGCCACCGATGCCGTCGCCGACGCCGCCGCTGACGCCGAGTTCTGGAGCAAACGGCCGGGGTACGACACACCCGAAGCGCGCATGTACTACCTGCGTGAGCTTCGACGCATGCAGGAACCGAGCCTGCAGGAACAGCAGAGCGGCCAGCAGTACGACAGGGCTCAGGGGAAGGAGACTAGCGGCAGCAGCAGCGGTGGCGGAAGCCTACTTCCCGCCCTGGTGCGGAGGGAGGAGCGCCGCATCGTCATTGCGCCCGCGGCGGCGGCTGACGGCGGCACTGCGGCGGCGGCGCAGGTGCTTGTACGGCACATGGGGCCCATCCGTCCACCGACCCGCGGGGCGCTGCACAGTCAGACTGTGACGATTACCATTGACGCCGACGGCAGCCGCCCGGGATCCGTACATGTCGACGTAACGCCGGCGCTGGCGGAGGCGGTGGAGCCGCCGGCGTTGGCGGCGCCGCCGCCGCCGACGGCGCTGCTGTCGGCGGCCCCTGCGGCGGCGGAGTCTGAGGTTGCGACGGGGACGGCGGCTGCGGCGGCCGAGGTTGCTGAAGAGGAGCAAGCGCCCGTGGAAGTGCCCCAAGTCGCGCCGACGGTGAGTCCTGCGTGTTGCATCTTACTGCGGTTACTGCTGGCAATCGCAATCTTTAGGTTGGCGGCGTGCAATCCCCGTGTTGCATGGTGCTTCCCCAGGTGTCCGCATCCCCCGTTGGTCGCAGCTCCCAATACAAATGGCTGGCTAAACACGTCGAGGTGTGCCCCCTGGCGCCCTTTGTTGTCCATCTGCAGGTCACCACCCCCGACCTCCCCACTGCCCCCGCTGCTCCTGGGCAGCAGGGCTGGGCCTTCTACAAAGGCCACTACAACGGGATGATCGCATCGGAGCTCAAGCCGGCTGAGGCCGCGGCGGCCGCGGCGGCGGCGGCCCCTGATGCCATCGACGTTAAGACCAGCGACGCCGCTGATGTTTCGCCGCCGCCGCTTACGGCGCCGCCGCCGTCAACTGACGTCAGCGCCTCCGTGGAGGCTTGGTGGAATGAGGTGGACGAGCTGGCACACCTGAAGGATGGCCCGCCGCCGACGCCGCTGTCATCGCCGCCGCCGCCGCCGTCACCCCCGAAAGCAGTCGCAGCACCCAGCACCGGTGGTCGTGACGTTGCAACACTGCCCCACGAGCAGGACATCACCGCGGGTACCTGGACCGCCTCGGGCGCTATCGACATGGCCGAAACCGCTGCGTTGGAGGCTTCCAAGGCCGCCGCCGCTGCGGCGGCCGCCTCGTCGCTAGCGGCGCGCAGCTCCGCTCGCGCCACCAGCTTCCGACTTCGCGCAGCCACGTTGCAAGCGCAAGCGGCCGCCGCCAAGGCCGCTGCCGCGGCGGTGACCGCTGCCGCCAACGCAGCGGCGGCGACGTCCTTGTACGGCAAGTGCCTCGAGGAGATGTACCAGGATGAGGCGCCTGCTGCTGCTGTTCCCGATGGTGCTGTCGGCGCGGCGGCGGCGGCTGTACCACCTGCTGCGGTGCCGTCGCCTCAGCTTCCGTTGTCTGCTGACACCGATGCTCGTCCAGACCCGTCCTTATCCGTCGCTGCTACCTCAGCCGCCGCCGACGTCCCTGCCGCTTCGAACGCCGTCGTGGGCGCCTCCGCGGGCTCCGTCAAGGAGACGGAGGGCGCTGAACTCGCGGCCATGGCAAGCCTGGCGGCGGCCGCATGTGGCGCCGCCTCCGCCGCCGCCGTACCGCTGGGGGTGTTCCATGCCCTGACGTCCACGATGGAGCCGCTGGCTGCTGCCGCCGCCACCGCCGCCGACGATGGCACCGTCAATGCGCTCGCCCAAGAGTCGGTTACGGATGCCGTGGAGCAAGCCGCCGCCGCCGCCAGCGTTGCCGCTGTCGTACCGTCAGCTGTGGATATGCAGCCGCCGCCGTCGGTGGCGGCGGCGGACACGCCGACGGTCATGTCGGCGACGGAAGAGGCGTCCTCGGCCGCTCTTTCCGACGCCATGTGGTGGGACAGCGGGATGTCCGAGTCCGAGGAGTGGGAGGCCAAGTACGGCGGAGCCCTGCTGGAGGACGTGGGGGCACCGTCACCACTAGCAGCCGCAGCAGCGGCGGCGGCAGTGCCAATTCCGGCGCCGCCCATTCCGGAAGAGGAGGTTGCTCCGATCAAGGAGGATGTCATGGCCGGGGACCCGGCAGGAGCGGTGGCGGCTGCATGGGAGCAAACAGATGAGGAGCTGCTAGCATGGCTGGTGGATACGTTTGAAGCTGATAGCTATGTGGAGTTTGGCAGCGACGGCGGCGGAAGCGGAAGTGAGGCCACCATTATGACTGCGCCTGCTGCTGATGTTGCTGGGAATGATGCAGCAGCGGCGCCGCTGGCCGCAGCGGTGACGGAGGTCCCTGTCGAGCAGGAGGAGGTGGCGGTTCAGGAGGAGCGGGAAGACGGCGGCAGCGTGGATGTGTATGGCATTCTGAGCACCCTCTTGTCGGGCCTGGAGGCGGAGGGCGCCCTCACCAGCACCATCGTCAGCAGCAGCATGGGTGCCGCTGTTTCGGAGGCGGGCGACATCGCTGCTGCAGACTCCAGTGTTGATACGGTAGACGGTGAATACGAAGACGGCAGCGGCGGAAGCCTTGACGCGCTGATTGAGGCCCTGGCTAGGGAGGCTGCCGATGCTGATGCCGCCGAAGCTGATGTTGCGGATGCTTCTGGAACTGTTGAGGGTGTCGGTCTGATGCCTTTGGCCCCGGAGCAGCAGCAGCCGCAGCCGCAGATGGAGGAAGTGGCGGAGGGAAAGGTGGAGGCGGCGGCGGCCGTCGAGGGCGACGATGATGACGGTTTGTACGGCATCATTAACCAACTGCTGTACGGCTTGGAGGTTGAGGACGACCCCGCACCTGCTGACGTGGCGAACGCGGCGGCGGAGACTGCTGCTGCATCAGCTGCTGCTGCGGAGCGTACGGCGGAGCCCGCGGCTGCAGCTATTGCTGACGTCAGCAGCATGCCGTACCCTGCCGTGAGTGATGACGTCACTGGTGGCGACGGCGCCGTCGTACCGACAGTGCCGTTGGCTTCGCTGCCGTCACTGCCGTCGTCAGGCCTCGACAGCTTCCTTGCGGCGTCTCTGACCAACCTGGAGTCGATTGTGGCGGAGGCTGAGGCTACTGTTGCAGTGCCGCCGAGGGAGGTTGAAGAGGAAGAGGAAGAAGAGGAGGAGGAGGAGGAATGGGAAGAGGAGGAACAGGAGGAGGAGGAGGAGGCTGGCATGTTTTTCGCATGGGACGACAGCGCCGACCCCCACAGCGACAGTGAGGAGGAGGATGGTCAAGAGGGTGTAGAGGAGGAGGAGCAGGAGGAGGAGTATGATGATGATGATTTTCTACCCTGGCTTGACGAGGAAGAGGCGGAGGAGGGGGAGGAGGAAGATGAGGACAGGATCTTTTGGGACGACGAGGAGGAAGCGGCGGAGCAGCAACAGCAGGAGGAGGAGGATGGCGATGATGAGGCGGGCATGGCTTTCTTCGATACCTTTGATGATGACGATGAGGAGGCGGAGGGCTATGGTGATGATGACGATGATTAAGACAATGCGGTGTAGCGCGGTGTTGCAGCCGCAGCCGCAGGGGCTGGGCCGGGTTTGATGATTTGACTCTTACAGGAGGGGACAGGCTTAAAACGCCGGTTGGCGGGCCACCTGCAGTGTTGTGGGAGGAAGGAAGATTGGAAGCCCCTATTTAGGAGGGTTACATGCCTGCATTGATAAAGCAGCGCGGGCTACGATTGCGGCAGACATTGTGGCTGGTGGTGTGCCTACTTTGCTTGTGCGCCAGCAAGGATGATGAGGAATTGCACGGCGAGACGACGGGCCGGCGGCGCAGGTATGGACCTCCTGCTGTCGATGCCGCCGTGTTTGCATGCTTGCTTGCCGCCGGTGCGTGCTGAGAGGAGATATGCTGACGTGGAATGCTGCTGGCTACTTTGCCCAGCTGGTTGCCTGTTGTCATGGTTGGTTGCTTTCGACGCGTCATCACCCCATTTCGGTTGGACTCTTTCGCTTTTGCTGGAGCGTTGCCTTTGTTGCTCGAGGAGCTGTTGGCCCGAGTCGCATGTATACTAGGAGACTCTTGCTTGAGGGGCAGTGTGATGAGGTTTGGGAGGTGCAGCTGGAGAGATGACCCATGGGTCAGCAGCTTGGGACCGCGTGGAGAAGCATGTATAACATATGAGCGGTACGAGAGTTTCGGAGTAAAGGGTTGGCGGGTTGTTGGTCTGAGTTGTTATCATTCTTAGCGTGCCATGTATCGATTAGCCAGCATTCAGCATGAAGCAGATGAGAGTTCGGTCAGTTGGTGTACTATAGCATGTTATCGAAAGGCTCGCACCACAGATTCTCTTGTTAGCGTTCAAGAGAGTTGAGAAAGTTGTACGTTTTGAGAGGGTACGTAGCGTCGTAGCGTTGGGATTGATGCTGATCAGTGGCCGTTTGTTGTTGCCTGCTGCCAGGCGTATACCCGCCGCTTACCCGGTAGTACGTTTTTGTCCAGCTAGTGTCGAGTAGGCATGGATAATAGGACATTACTTGTAGGTCCTCAGCTCAATGGATGAGCAGTGTACATTATACGTTTTGCCGCATCAGCTGATCCAGGCAGTCGGGCATCTCTCTTGCATGGCCGTTGCCTCTGGATAGAAGAGTAGTAGGCACTTCTTTACACCTACCATGCGTGCCTGTTCTGGCAAGTCTGCTTGCGTGGTATGTCTGTTGTATGCTAATTAGGCACCAACCTTTCATTTGTTTTTTTGTCATAACCATGCGGCTCCAGGGGCGTATGGAGTCTGGGGAGTACTGCTTGCATGTGCAAAGGGGGGGGGCCCTCACCCCCTCAGGTTCACCCATGCAGAGCGCATGCGGATGCCCACCAACACCCTTGCTGCAGCGCTGTATACCGGTAGGCGTGGTCTCATTGCTTGTATCATACGTTGTTCCGTTGTATGCGTTACGGGTGGCTTGTAGCTCCTTTGCGGTAGATATTAACCCCACCCGCATGTCTTGCTGAACAACCAGGAGCGCGGGCTTTCCAAAGTAGGTTGGCATTGGCGGCAAGTCGCGCACGCACGTTACGGGCTCTCTGTATTGCGCGTAGCGTGCATGCAATGAGTTGCCGGTGAGTGAGCGAGTAATAAGTAAAAGAGGGACGCGTGTGGATGGCTCCTTAGGCAGCGGTCCATGCATGCCAGCGGATGAGGGGTGTCGTATCGGCGTGCATACACAGCAGCTGCGCTGCCGTCGGAAAGGTCGCCTGCGGTGTTTGTTTGTCGCCTCTCGATCGCTTTGTGAGGGGACGTGCCGAGACATAGTGGTTAGGTAATAAGGCATAAGAATGTAATAAGCAAATAAGGTATCGATTACACACCGAACAAACTGTGGTGAGCTCTACACTTCCGAGTTGAGTTTCCGTCGACAGGCCAGGGCGGGCGCCGCAGCCGTAAAGGCAACTCTAATGCAGCATGTCTGCATGTGCAATTTAAGACTATCTCATCCTCATTCAGACCAGGACAGGGGAACACATTCATCAGCACCAAAAAGCGCTCCCATATTCAGCTGAAGTGCATACGCAGCAAAGCATGACCCGTGGGTCGCAATGAGATCTGGAAGCGACGGCGGCGGCGGCGGTTATCAGCAGCGCGCAGCTGCGTCCAATGCTGTAGCTTCATGCATTTGGCAAAGGTCACGTCGAAAGTTTCCGTTCAGGACACGCAGACCCACTTCAATAATGAGCCAACATGCACGTAGCTGCTAACATACTGAAGTTGATCTAGCTGCGGCATTCCCGCTTGCCTGACTCAGGCGGCCCTGAGGCACTCCAGGGAGGAACCAAATACCGTAAACCGGACAACAAAACTGACATAGCGGCGTCGCATTGTGCAGTGTTCTAGGCTTAACAAACAGGTTTAGATCACATACATTGCAATCCTTCAGAGGCAGCCCGACAGGAAGCAAACATGGCTCGCGCGCTGCTGTGCGTCACATTGTTGGCGCTGGCTGCTGCCGCTGCTAGCGCCGCCCGCAATCCCGGTAAGCCATGGATCTGAGCATGCAGCCCACTTCCTAACAAGGACCAAGCATGAAGATTGTTGCATAAGTAACATGTTTATTAGCGCTGCAGCTTTTAAGCAACGCGCCGATTCCGGAAGGTCTGCCGCCGCCTTCCTGTCTCACATGTTGCATCCTTTCCCTGTTTACCTCTGATATGACTTGCTTTTACATGTGCTATTTTCCCTTCCTTCTTGTACCCTTTCTGTCGCAAACCTGAACAGGGCATAGCAGTCGCCGAGCCTTGCTCGCCCCTCCTTCCGGCAACACTGCCGCGACCGCACAAGCTATAGCTGAAGCCATTGCTTCCGGTAACACTTCTGCGGCAGCGCAGGCGATTGCTCAGGCCACTGCCCAGGTCAGATCGAGCGCTACGTTTGCCTGATGTCATGGTCTGGGTCGATCCAGTTCACAATGCCACATTGCTACATTGCATACGCTAGTCTTTAGATCATGCACAATGTACACAATAAAATGTATGCCCGGTATGATCTGCGCTAGGAACTGTGCGTGTTTAGGCATTGAGGCTAAATCGATCGACGCGAGGCCGTAAGGTTTTCGCAGTCTACATTCGCAGACATCTTCCATGCGATCGGCAATACCCTATGAATTCAAACACGATGAGTTACTACTAGCCGACCTGAAAGGCGCTAGCCATTGCTAATGCACCTCTGGAACCTTCGCTGAACCATGGGTCGCATCCGTTGACGAATGTTACCCCATTTCGATGTGTCTATCAATCTTATACTATCTTTTTATTTTGGCCTTTTCCCGTCGTCAGATTTCCCGATCTCATTCTTCTCCTCTTGCATTCTCCGCAGGGCAACACCAACGCTGTTGCCGCCGCTCTCGCCCTCGCGGCAGCCTCCGGAGACACCAACGCTGCGGCCCAGGCCGTGGCGCAGGCAGTTACCCAGGGCGGCGCCAACGCAACCGCCGTGGCGCAGGTACGGCAACCTTACAGCAGTACGACAAGCATGCCGTACTGTACGGGGACTGTTTCATCACAGCAGGGACCGCTGTTTTTGCGAGTAGTGCATCAGCAGTCATTACCCTTCAAGTTTCCGCCGTCTATCCATCCCGTGTAACCATTTGTGTTCTACTGTTTCCTTCCTCCGCTTCTACACCGCCCCACACTCTCCAGGCACTAGCCACCGCGACCTCGGGCGCTGGCGCCGCACCCGCACCCGCTGCCCCCTCTGGAACCGGGGTGAGCGTTGAGGACACCTCTCTGTGCTGCATCATGCTGCACATCATGCGATGTCGCTGCTGGCCGTCTTTCACCATTGCCACCACAGCTACCATACACGCTGCATGTTAATAATGCGGGCCGGCGCCTGCTGCTGGAAAGCCGCCGAGCCGCTGCCCCTTGCGTTGTGACATGCCGACACATGCCAATATACGTCCTCCCGCGATGGTACGTATCAAGCTTTGCTTACTTAACTTTTCTATCTGCCATCCCCCCCCCCCGCCTCCGCAGAACGTATCGGGCACTCCCGCCGCCGCCCCCGCCGGCGCCCCCGCAGCCACTCAGAGCCTAGCCGACGCCGCCTCCCGCGGTGACGCCAACACCATTGCAAACACCGTGGCAAACTCCTTCGGAGGTAACACTCCTTATTTCGGTTGTTGTCCTTCCTGAACCTTTTTAGTTGCCTTTTCCGTCATACGTGCTCAGCTACCCATAAAACAGACCATGCATGCAACCGGCGTCGTGCTGATGACACCTCCGCCTACCCCCTTTACCCTCCCAACCTCCTTTCCACCCTCCCCTCGCCCCACCTTGCTTGCCGCCCCCCTGCCTTCCTCCAAGAAGGAAGTGTCACCGCCGTGTCCCGCTCCAGCTCCGCGGCGCTCAACGACGCGGCCAATGCGAGCGCCAAGGCCGTCTCGCAGGCGGTAGCGCAGGTGGGTGCCGGTGCATAGGAGCGTGTCGTGGTGCGTGCCGGGGTGCATGCATGCTGTCCCTTTTTGCCATGGCTGGGTACCGTACCACAGGGTACCATGCATGCGGTAGCATGCAGTACATCTCCTGAATTGTTTTGCCGTAATCGCCCTTACTGTCGCGTCGCGTCGCGACCTTCCATACACACACACGCAACCTCGCTCGCTGCACCTGCCTCTCCCTGTCGCATGTGCATGTCGCATGCAGGTGTGCGGCGGCGGCAGTGCCAACGCCGCTGCACAGTCCCTCTCAAGTGCCGTCGCCACCGCCACCGCCCGCGCCTACGCCAGTGCCGAGGCATCCGTCACTGTGACCGGTGAGGGGCGCTGCGTGATAACCCTGCCATTGCTTCTTCTCACTAAGCCTGCCGTGCTTCCAACGACCAACCCCTGCGAAAACCCAATCGCAGGCAGCGGCAGTGGCTGCGCCAACGCCGCCGCCGCCGCCACCGCCACCGCTCGCGCCGTCGCCAGTGCCGTTGCCGAGGCGTTCGCCGCCGCCAGCAGCAACTGCGCCCAGGCAGTCGCGGCCACAAGGGCGGAGGCGCTTCAGGACGTCATCGCTACCGCTACCGCTAGCGCCGCCGCCAGCGCCTGCTCCACCGGTAAGCCGCAAGGGTCGTTGCCTGGGTTATTGCTGTTGCCTGTTTTAGCATGCTTTTGCTTTCGCTATAGTGCATGGGCAGCTGGTGGACCCATGGGTCGTTACCTGACGGCTTCGGAACGCTGCTGTTGGAATTTATGTTTGCTGGGTGCCGCATGAATAATGGTTGCATTGCCATATTATTGGAAATCCATGAAGAACGCACAACCCCATGCTCCTTTTCTCTTTGCCATCTCGCTCCGCTGTAACAATCCATCCTGATGCGTCATCCTTCTCATCAACTTTCTCCTCCTCCCCACCCGTCAACAGGCGGCACCGCTTCAGCCAGCAGCACCGCCGTCGCCACCGCCGTCGCCAACGCCACCGCCTCCGCCTTCGCCCAAGCCCTCGCCGCTGTCAGCGGTCCCTGCTCCAGCAGCGCTTGCGGCGGCGGCGCCACCTCCCCCGCCGCCGCCTCTCCCTCTCCCTCTCCCGCCGCCGCCAACACCACCACCCCCGCCACCAGCCCCGCCCCCGCCAACGCCTCCACCAGTTCCGTCCCAAGCGCCAGCATCAGCGGAGCGCCCTCGGGCCCCGCTCCTGCGACCAACGCCACCACCCCGGCGGCCAACCAGACGTCCCCGACCTCCGGAGGCCCGGGCGCCCCTGCCGCAGCAGGCCCTGCTGCTTCCAGCAACGGAGCTCCTGCGGGCGCATCCAAGTGCTTCGGCTGGACCAAGACGATGTGCTGCGACCAGTGGGACAAGAAGGCCACCACCTGCAATTGCCTGGGGTGAGTGCGGGTCAGATGAGGGGAGGAGGTGGGGAAGGGTGAGGGCGGGTCGCCCGTAGGTGTACCGGTAGCTCTATCTCGGCATGTAGGAAGTATCGGTAACTGGATGGGCGGGCCTTCCGATGTGCCTGAAAGCACGGCATGCGTGTATGCCACACTCTTTACCGGTACTCCCCCCTTTAAAGCAGTCCACACCCAGCATTGCTCACACACCTGCTTGCATACCTACCCCGGCACACAGCTGTTCTCATCACCATCTCATCACGGCACCCCCGCTCCTGCCCCACCTCCTCCTCAACCCTCCCTCCGCAGCGGCCCCCTGGGTTGCCGCTACCAGCTGGTGCAGCCCAACCCCGCCGTGTGGCAGGACAAGTTCTTTAACAGCAAGTGCTTCTGCGCATAAGCTACTGCGCTTGCCGGCATGGGCTCTGATGCTGGGCGGGGGTTGAGGGGATGATTGCATGGCTACCGGGCCACCTGTTGATGTGAGGTTGGTATGTGAGGCGGCGTGTTGGCTGATGCATGGGCGTTGCATGCGATATCGTGTGCTGAGGGCGCTGATGGCGGTGAGAGGCTATCCTCAGCGGGATCCCCGATGCATGGGAGTAGCCGTGTCGTTGTTTCTGGGGCGCTTCGGGTCTGGGAGGTGCATGCGCGTGCAGGTGTTGCGGGAAGTTTACGGTCTTTTGGTTTCCTCATTGCGTTTTGTTGCCGAATCCCCAGGGATGCTGCTGTTTGGTCTGGAAAAGAATGGGGGCTGACTGGTTGAAGAGCATGCACGGACTGGATGGTAGGGGACATAATAGGAGACGGGAAGGTTGATGGGAGTAAGAAGTTCGGTGGGCGCGCATGAGAAGCAATATGCATGCCTTGACCCACGGGTCGGAGCATGGCATTGTGTCTTTCCACGTTGGGGGATTCACGGCATGGGAGTGCGCTTGGCTAGGAGGCTCGGCATGAAAGTGCGCCAGGAAGGCATTGTTGCTCGAGTACAAGCAATGTTGCAATGTACAATAAGCCCGCCACACCGGACTAATAGGGGCATCCTCCTGCGCTGC